TATACTTTCTTTCAAACATTGGCACCCCAATCTTCACCGTACGATGACTACAGCTCGGCGAAGCTCGAGAAACATAGAATGACTAAACTATATCAATCCCCAGATAGCCAGCCTGCCGCGATTAGCATTGTACGTTGACTACCGGTGTTCTGGCCGCTGTGCCGCAGGATTCATCGGTTTGCCCAAGGATCAAAAATCCGTTGGGTGTGGCGTCAATACCTGCTGCGTGGATCCCCCTTAATTTGAATTTTGCCGACATGAACGACTGGCGCGTAAGTCAATGCAGGTTTTTTCATAACTTCATTTATAAGCATATGTCAGTACGGCCGTAAGTCAATAAATTGAGCTAGTCGATACAACTCGGCATGTTCCTTCAGCCTTCAAGGGACTTTAGGTAGACCGATCGATTTACTAGGTACCGCGGCCCGGTCTAAGCCTTTGAATCGTTGTTAGTCAAACGTTGCCTACTTTGACCATAACGCGCTTATCAATGCCTTAACAGAAAGGCCAGGGTAGCAAGCCTACAGTAGAAAAGCACTATTGGGCGGGTATTTTGGCAGGGGAGGCACAACTGCAATGGAGCGCAACAGCACAGAAATACCCCTGCTATCAGCCCTGCCCGGTGCTGATTTCTCAGCATCCCTACCATGGCACATTGGAACCCTGTCTACTTAGTGCACAAAGTACGATACCTCAAATGTATCCACCTCGCCCTCGTTTCGTGGCATCGTCTATCCCGCTTACGCCCTTGTTGTATTGGGGGCCACGCGGTACGCGCAGTGGCCATGCCACCACCCATAGTATGCAGGAGAACCTCCAAGCGATCGAGTGCTGTGTTCCGTATGTTGTACGCATATCTACACGTTCCTCTAAGCGAACGTGCGTTGGTCTACGGGCATGATACCGTTGTAGGCCGGAGAGGTCTTTTCAGAGTTGTCGATCGCATTTCAAGGGTCCCCGAGCCAGTCAGTTTTTCTCTTGACCAAACATTGTCCCCAATTCCATGGGTATGCACACTACGACAAGATTTATGCAGCCATTTGGAGTCCCCAAAACATCGTAGAAAGAATAAAACGGAACATCGAGTATGATTTACACGTGCAACGACACCCATGGACCAAAGTTTGGAGTAGGACAGCCATCCATCAGTGGGGTAAGACCCCCGCAGAAATGGTGCACACAAGAAACGCGGATACCCTGAATTACGAATTTCGCGTTTCTCCCGCTTTAGGACCTATGAAGTACTTGGGGAAATGTAAGAGATTTCTTAAAACGTGTTAACGATGCTCCCTAACCTCCTTTTGATTCCTGATATGAGTTTTAGCCATTAGGGCTTTGCGTTATGGTTAATAATACACGTGAAGATGGCTTGTCTTGGGGAAGCTATAGTTCGGCGGGCTATGTACATATGAGTGTCTGGTCACATGGACCCATCTTTTAGTGCGGTGTGCGACTTGCCAAGCTCGCTAAAATGGTGATCAAGCTTTGAGCTGGTTCCATTTGAGTAGCAGTGTATACTGTTTTTACGTCATAATGTCCAACGAATCGGTGAGATGGCCGAGTTGGTTATGGCGCCAGGTTAAGGTCAACCTTAACACCTACTTCCTGGTACGGAAACGTGCGTGGGTTCAAGTCCCACTCTCATCAACGCTTCCCCTAGATCGAATCTAGGTTTGTCTTTTTGTTCTCCCTATTGTCTCAAGACAATAGATCTCCAACCTAGTGTATACATCTTGATGGTTAGAAATCACAGAACCATTCATGAACGTGTGGTGCATGATAAATTAGTATGGTTACACAAATGTTTATGGCTATCCAATTTTGTCTGTTCGACGGCTTAACAACTATTCTTTTGAGCGTGAATCTTCGTCATCGGACTGCACGTGTGAGTTAAAGTGTGTCGTCATGAGTGGTGTGATGTGGCTTGCACTAAACATTCTAACCAGTAATATAAAAAATGTGCAACTAGGGACCTTGAGGCGTCGAAGTCCCGCTTCGACTGATCCGCCTCTATAAGCATCCGATTTAGTACAGCACACGAGATTCAAAATGACCACCCTTCCCTTTCCCTGGGATATAGGCCTAGTTTTGGTCGTCAATGAGCGATTGAGTGTGTATGTAAAAGTGTGAAACATCGTGGAAGTATACGTAAGTTTCATGCTATTTTGACAACGAAAACGTGATATTGCCCCAAAAAGTTTGAAGGTATCGAGTACTAATACTCTAACGAATAGCATGGTATATCAGCATCAGAATCATCAGCTGTGGGCAAGATGATCAAACTCAACATATACCAAAGGTTGGCGCAGTCACTGGTAATACAGAATCTTTTGTGTATTTATGTCAAATGTAGGAAGAACACTTGACACATACTCGACTATCTCCTGGAGATATGATATTCTTCAAGGATGACGCTAGACTAATGGCAAGTTGAGGAAAGATGTAGTACAGCATGTAATATACGTTGGTAGATGCGATGAACATTCACTGTTGCTAACCCAAACATAACCGTACACATGGATATCATAGCGCCAAATAGACCTTTGTTTTGATCATATATGGGATAGGAACTCTGTCCATTCTACCGTCGAAAAGGCACCTTAAGATACTTCTCTCATGCTCCAACAAGCTCTCAAAGCGATGGCACTGAGCGAAGCACAGAAGATCTTGTCAGACCCAACCAGATTGGAGTTCCCTCAAATATTCTCCGGCTCGGTTATCTTTGTTATTTCCAAAACCCGTTATGGACTCCGTGGACTTCTCTTATAGCTCCTAACATAATACGTCCTGGACTTACGGGATTCCGTCTATATCGAGCCTGTCGATGGCTATAGGCCAGATATCTGATTAATAATTCAGAAACCCCCCATCCCCGCGTCAGAGCGTACTGCAGATATAGGAATCGTTGTCGTTGAGTGTCATTGATGGCATTGTTTGCATGAACTTCTCACACGAACGCCACCAGAAAGCCGGAAAGATCAGAGACGACGACATGTTATATACACTAACCTGAACTTTTTCTAGTCACCACCCTTGTTTCCTACTAAAACCCATGATGTTCATAATCACAGATCTTTACGAAAAAGAACTAGAAAAATATATAAATTAATTTCATATATTTAGAAATACTTTAACAATTCTATAGATAATAAGCTCTGTTATTTAGTCATACCGTTTAATTGGTTATAATCTAGATTTATACAAACTTAAGATTCAAAATTGATATTTTCCCTCTAAAATTTACTCATTTATAAAGTCTTCAATCTATAAGCTAATATCTTTAACATCTCAGCATACTTTATAAAACAGACTAAGCAAAACTTATGCGTATGGACTTATAAGCAAAACAATAAAAAGGTATAATTTTGCAATTTATTCTGGGTTTATATGATGTGAACAAATATCATGAGTTTTGGTGTGATTTTGGGCTTGTTTGCTCTGGAAGCTGTCCGTTAGAACCACATATTCGACTGTAGGGCCTGATCGATCTCCAGAAGTGCGCACTGGGCGTTTTCTGGGGAGATATTGGTCATGCCATGGAGATTCTCTGGGACAAGACAGCTTCTGCGGGATAGGACAATAAGAGGATGCTGGATGAGCGGAACCTAATTATTTAATGCACACGATGGTTGCTTAAGGTTGTCAAATATATGAATGCCACTAGACAGTAACAAGCCTGCTTCTTTGTGGCACCGACAGACAAGTTGTCATCATATTACTTAAGGCTCGAATGGAGATTAGATAGGTGAGCTGTGAATATACTACAGCCAATCATTCATGAAATACACATGACAGCGTAGCATATCATGCGTCACTGTGTACAATAAACATGTTCGCATGTTGCTACATTAACAGGCTCTTATCCAAATGAACCCTTTTGTCATCTGGGATGGTCAACATATATCAACAGAACACCATGTTTGGTGTGTATTATTATGATGCTTATGTAAAAAACCACCACTTATGCCTCGATGCCGCTTAATACCGAACGCCTATCCAATGCAGTGTATGAACTCTATCGCAATCAACAATTATGCAGCGGAAAGTAAAACTAGACCCGAATCTCACAAACTTGAAGTCCCTTAGGGCTGTACATCTGAGCTTTCACTGTGGTCTGGCCTTATTTCTCCACTCTCATGAGTTTGCCCGCCTTCAGGAATCGTGTTCCGGCGATGCCTCTTGCGTCCGAATAAGTCACCTAGAGTATTACTCAGACTCCTAGCCCGACCCCTAAGACTCCCTTTTCCGTCGATAGCGTCGCTTACTTCGGCTGGCAAAGGCTCGATTTGTGGTCGTTCTGGAGGTCCTCCTTCGATTTCGTCTTCGTCATCGCTATAAGGCACATAGAGACTAGATCTTATACCGGACCTCGTGCGCCGCATAGATTTTCTCCTCAGCAGAACACCATCTTCACCTCTCAGTAGTGTATCACCGACAACAGCGCTCACGGTCGATGAAAGAGGCGATGGTGAAATGATAGCATTGGAGAGGTGACGGCTATGAGGCCTCGAAGTAGAGAACGAGGCGCGAGGCGTTCTAGGCTCCGTGGGTGAAGGAGGCATGACAATGTGGGGGGGCAGGTTGGTGTCTATTGGCAATGGATCTGTGTTTGTCGAAACCATGGAGTGTATCGTAACGACACTATCCTCCGAAAATGCTGAGGGCAAGCCTGGATGCGTTTGGTTCTCCCATGGATTGACTAGAAGAGGAGAGGCTTCCGTCGGAGACCCCTTCAAGGACAATGGCGCACGGGAAGTGACGGCGTCGGGTTTCCTTGGAGATGGAATTCCCGAGTCGCGCTGAACACTGATGGGTCGAGGGGCAAAGCTGACACGAGATGAACGCCTAGAAGGGTGTGCCGTTGATTGGTGCCTCTCTGGCTCGGGTTTTGTCCCATTAGCAATGCTCGCTTCCTGGTCTGCGAGACCAATGGTTTCCTCAACCCCTTCATCGTCCGACAGCCCGTCTTCCTCGTCGTGCTGCGTCCTGCCACTAGTAATGAGGAAAACACCAAAGAAAGTAAGTAAACACCCGCCGACAAACTTGATAGCCTGTTCGGCGCTTGTTCGCTCGAAATCCCGGTATAGGATGGCGCTTCCAATAATTACAGACAAAGTGAACATGACAAACTGTATAGGGATGACCTGCGTCGAATCAAACCGCTGGAGAGCTTTATTCACATAGCGGACTTGCATGACCGCGGTACCCAGGAGTACAAGTAGAAGTACGTATGTGACTGGCGTTGCGAAGGCTCCCCAGAGTGTCGAGGACAGCATAGAGGAAACACCTTTTGTGGAGAGAGCAGTATAGGCGCCTATTTCATTAGCACTTTATACATAGGGGACGAGCGCCACGACTTACCAAATAGACCAACAAGACCGAGGTCGATGAGAATAGTCCTGTTGCCATACTTGGGGCTGGCACACATCAACACAATGATGAGGGAGATAGAGACGGCCATGTAAATCTCGAATTCCATGGTGGATATGGCATCCCATACTCCTTCAGGATCCAGCTTCGTTTCCTCTTGCTTTGCGCTCAGAACGACGACGACGGCACCAGCGACGGCAATGACGACGCCCCAGAAATCTCGGTTCCGGAACACCTCGCCGAAAAAGATTGGCGCAATGACACAGTTTGATACCAATGCCACCACACCAAGAGGCGATACGATTGACGCAGGAGCAAAGCCGTATGCTAGGAAATTGCCCATTTCTCCAATAGTCATCAGAATCTGCCCCAACCACCAAGAGGGTGACCTGAGATAGTTGGAATTAACCCTTTCCTCGCCGATGGTGTTGCCCGACGTGGTTGAGTCTCCAGACGGGAATGACCGGGCGAGCGGACGCGTTTCTGACTGAGGACCGTCGTCATCGGAGCTCGTTCGAGGACCTTGGCTGCTTGGTTCGGCGGTGCCGTAAGCGTTCCCTTGACCATTCTGTGACCTCTCGGCCTCCCTAGCTCTTTGCCTTGCTTCGACCTTCCTTTTGTGCAATTTTATATGTGTATACCTCTGTACGTTGAGGGCGAGGGCAATGAGAATGTTTCCCACAATGGCAGTAATTATGCCGATGAGCGAGCTCCATTCTCCCAGCTTGGAGTCGTCCCCTTTCCCATCGCCAACGCCTTCGGTCCAGCCCGGATCGAGGTTATCGAAATCCGGAAGCACAGGCATATCGGCCGCGTCTAACTGGGACGGAGTGCGGTATACCGTGAAGTGAAAGCCTTCCAGTCGAGGGGGGCAGAACGGCGAATGAGTTATGTGTGTGTATGTATGCATGCGACTCGCGCCAGGAAGCGATCCAGGTGTAGAGTATAGGCGATGACGCTGCGCGCCCGGGTGTGGTTGGTCGGGGTCGCGGAATCATGTGTCGCCGCTCGCTACCTGCAGTAGATAAGGATGGCAGCGTAGGATGGTGCGAGGTAGAGGAATGATCGCAGGACAAGAATGGAACGCGTGGAAAAGCGTTAAGGATCAATAATCAGGTGGATACCAGGGAGGTCGAAGCACTGTTGATAATTAATTGATTTGGACGGGGTCTGGGAATAAAGCCTCGGGTTGATGGATTGATTGATTAAGTGATTGATCATTGTCGGCTGGGTAAGGTTGCTCTCTCTGAAACCCGATAGCGAGCTTGATGAGGTTTGTAGGTCCACTACTGTTCCGTAAGTAAGCACTGTACTACTGTACATAATTACATGCAGTGTATATGGCATATGCTAATAATTAACTTCCGCGATGCGAAAAGGGAAGCAAGTGGTTTGCGCTAACTAAAAGTGCTACCAATGCACCTGCTGCGTCATCTCAGTGACATGACATTCATTGTACTCCGAAAATAATGATAGTAATAATAATGATGATAAAACAATGAGCAGGTTGCGACATGGAACCCGAATGGCGTTAGTTGAAGCCCGCCCGTGCTGTCTCAGCCTTGCGTCAAGTCAACTAACCATTAAAGTAAAGCAAAGTAGAGTAAGGAAAAAGTAAAGCATGTAACGGGTCAAATTTGAATATCTTTTCAATCCATCGTACTTGTCCATTTCCACAGCCACCTACTATACCCATCTTCCCACTCAAACATCCCCCTTTCTCGGCAACCATGAGCGACGACGAGGACATCCACATCGACGGACCCGACCTAGCAGCAGATGATCCCATGCGCGCCTTCTTGCCGACTTCTTTTGGCAAGAAATCCAGAGAGGCTGATATTGCGACTCAACTGGATCGCAGCAAGAGGGCAGCAGATAAAGTGGAGCAAAAGACACGAGGCCCAGCCTCAGACGGTTCAACCAACAGCGGCGACGATGACTCCGGCGGTTCAAACTCCGATAGCGACGACGACGACGATGACGAGTACCCGACTTCGCATGAGATGGTCGTCAAGACTCACGACCGCGCAGTCACCTCAGTGTCGCTAGATCCAGCTGGTGGCAGGCTGGTCTCTGGTTCCATTGACTGCACTGTCAAATTACACGACTTTGCATCCATGACTCCCACCACTATACGTGCCTTTCGGTCTGTGGACCCGTACGACACGAAACCCTCAGCTGCCGGCTCCGAGACACACCCTATACATCATGTAGAGTTCAACCCGCTAGCGGGAAATGCCATCCTCTGCATATCCGCCCACCCCCAGGCTAAGATCATGTCCCGAGACGGCGACATCCTGACCGAGTTCGTCAAGGGTGACATGTACCTCCGGGATATGAACAACACAAAAGGCCATGTCTCAGAGATCACGACCGGCACGTGGCATCCAACCGACAAGAACCTCTGCGTCACGGCAGGTACCGATAGCACACTGCGCATCTGGGATATCAACAACAAGCGTAGTCAGAAAGAAGTTCTGGTCTTCAAGTCGAAAGCCGCAGGCAACGCAGGACGCACTAGGATGACGGCTGTCGCCTGGGGAAGTCCAGCTCAAGGAGGCAGCAATATCCTGGTCTCAGCAGCTCTGGATGGTACATTGGTTATGTGGAGCGGCAATGGTCCCTTCTCGAGGCCATCGGCCGAGGTGAGGGAAGCCCACAAGCCCAATACCTGGACTGGTGGCATCGATATCAGCTCCGATGGACGAATGGTCGTCACGAGGGGAGGCGACAACCTCATCAAGCTTTGGGATACGCGCAAGTTCAAAGAACCTCTCGTTACCGTTGAGCACGCTTCGACTTCGGATCACTATCCCATGAGCAACATCAGATATGCACCGAACTCGACGAGCATCATCACGGGATCGGCCACCGGTCACCTGCATATCCTCAACCCAGGAAACTTGCAGGCAGAATACACAACACCAATCACTCCAGGGTCGCCTTTGATCACGGTAGACTGGCATCCGAAGATCAACCAGATCATCACTGGTTCAGCCAACGCCGAAACACATATTCTATACAATCCGGACATGTCCAGTCGTGGCGCCATAGACGTCATGTCGCGAGCTCCCAAGAGGCGTCACATAGATGACAATCCCGAGTTCACCACAGATCAAACTCTTGGCCTGTCGGGAGATTCCATCATCACGCCAGGTGCAATGCCTGGCACACGAAAGGCTGGCGTCACAGCTTCTGGCCGATCCTTGGACCCCCGACGACCCCAGGTACAGCAAATCACGCCATTCATGCGCAGCCAGCCCGATGAGAAGCAGATCAGCGAGAACATTCCTTTGAGCCGAATGCTTCACGAAGATCCCCGAGAGGCTCTACTAAAATACGAGAAGCTCGCCAAAGAAGATCCCATGTTTACAAAGGCTTGGAACAACACTCAGCCTGTGACTCAGTATGCGGATGCCAGCGACGAAGAGGATGCAGGTCCCGACAAGAAGAAAGTCAAGCGCTGAAGCAGCGGGTGAGGGGTTTGGTCGAGGTAATGTTAACGTATCGTACAGATGGCCCATTTGTGACATAGGATGTTGACGCGAAAAACCCCGTAGGCCGTAGCTTATCATGGCAAAGTCGAGGAAGCGAGCGTTTCCTGTCGCGACATTGAAACAGAGTCATGGATGGTGGGCGCCAAATGTTCTGAACGCCCTCATTGCGGGACGCGCCATTGACGTGTAAGTTGCGTCAGTCATGCTCGGATCGCCAAAGTCAGGGGAACAGGGCGTAGACGAGGGAAGAGTGTTGTGCGAGGGACCTTTGACCATGCATTTGTCTGGGATTCAATATCATGGCTACGCATGTATGGTGTACACTACTCGCGCCAAGAATTACAAGCACTCTGTCTATGGTGCTGCTGATAAAATTGCAAAGAATACTAGTGGATTGACCTAGGAAAAGACCGTCCGCCGAAGAATGTCAATTCATGCGCGAGTACTAACTTATACTACCCTTGTCCGGGGGGGCGTTTTAAGCTCATAGGATGCTGGCCGATTGGGCGATGTGTTTGTACGAAGGCGCCAGATGCGGAAGGCGGGTCTTGTGTTGCATACCGACATAAGGTGCTTACTTAGCTTCAAGATGACCAGCGCGTGCTGTAGTATGGGTGCATGTGTTGTTTTGACGGGCTTGCACAAGTACAAAGCAACAAATGATCCGAGGACTTGAGTTCAAGAGCAGCAAAGACCAAGTCACTCCTCGCAGCAATCATGACGACTCACGACGGAGACTTGACAATCACGAGCAGCAGCAGCCAAAGACAAAACAAACGATTTGATTGGCGGTAGCGGAAGTGAAGAAATTCCGGGCCCCCTTGACCCCACAGATGAGGACTAGCGTAGCGAAAGCTCGGATCATTTTTACGCGGGCAGAGAGTGCCAGTGCCAAGTGCTAGTGCCAGATGCGCTGCTGGTTTGTGCCTTGCAATCAAATCAATCAATCATCCCTCTTGAGTCTTTCCACCTCAGCAAGATTGAATCCATCCACCCCCAAGCCATCAAACAGCGTGTCCGCGCCAACCCACATTGACCGCGAAGCATCGAAAAGCATCGCAACAAGGTCAGACCTCAACTTTGCGCGCTATTTGGGTCCGAGATTGTCACTTTTTTGCATCCCCCCAGCGCATTTCATTGCAGTGCAGCCGCGACGAACTCCCCTCCCCCACTGAGAGATTCCTTCCTCGTTTCTTCCCACCCTCGCACCTTCGCACCTTCGCACTTTTGCATCCCAGCCGCACTCTCTTACAGCAGAGTGAGTAGGCCTTTCATTTGTTGCATTTCTCGATTCTTGCGCGTCGTCCACCGCATCGACCCCCCTCCCGGACCACCGTTCCGAGCTTCGACGATATCTTTTTTTTTTTCCCTTCCCTTTCTTGTCTTGACCCGCGCCGCAACGCGACTTATCCTCCATCGCAAAGCTACAGTACCGCGTACCGTCTACCGTCTACCGTAATCGCCTTGCTTCCAGTATCCAAGGCTGACTCCGCGACGCGCCCGCCCTCAGCACTCTACATCCGCATTCGACCTGACCTACCCTGCCATATCGTCACCTTGCACTCAGAGGATAGCCCTACTCGGACTTGCTTTCTCACAAGACTACATGCTTCGAGACATGCAATCGTCGTGATACCGCACTTTGGAGAAGTAAAAGGAATTGCCGAAAGGGTACCCGCAGTGGTGTGATTGAACAAGCGAGACGAGCCGGGACGCGATCAAGATGGCGTCGGTTCATGCTGCGCCTACCGCCCAACATGGCGGTCCTTCGGGCATGTCCCAGATGAGTGGTGCACAGGTAAAGGAGATGTACATGGTCAGTCCCAGTTCCTCACCCCAATTTCCACTCCTCGCCAGAGAAGCTTGTTGCGCTGAACCACGACAACCATATCAACCTCCACGCCCCCGACTGACAACCGTGTATAGCGTTTCAAACAGATGCAGGAAGCAGGTGTCTCCAAGACGGACCCCGAATTCATCAAGCTCAACCAGTTCTTGCAGCACATTCAGCAGCAGCAACAGCTGCAAAATGCTTACCGCCAACAGATGCAGCAGAAGCAGAGTCAGAATGTCAACTCCAATGCCAACGTCAACGTCAATGGCCAAGTCAATGGCACCTCGCAGCCCCCAGCCTCGACGCCCCTCGGCGCATCTGCTCTGCCTTCCACCTTGGCTTCAGCATCACAACCGAATGCCTCCTCTCCGTCGACTGCATCGTCCACTCCCCAGTTCAACCAGCAGCAGTTGAACCTCCTCAGGCAACAGATCCATGCATTCAAGCTGCTCCAGAAGAACTCTGGCGTCTCGTTCCAGATGCAACAGGCACTGAATTCTCAACGACAACGTAGACAAGCTATCGCTGAGCAGTCAACACAACCTCCGGCATCCGCAACAGCCACGCCCGTCGACGAATCGACAAAGCCTGGCTCAGTTGGCCCTGATGGCACCGCCGGTACCGAAACTTCCGCCTCTACCAGCAGCAAAGTCTACAAGATAGTCAAGTCGCCTTATGAAGCTGGTCTTGTTAAGAAGGACATCAGCTACCACGAGCATAACCAGCGCGGAAAGCGTTTGATCATCCCCAGTATCACCCCCACTGGCATTGATTTCGAGCAGTTGAGACACGAGCGCGAGATTATCGTCTTCAACCGCATGAAGGCAAGGTATAGCGAGCTGAAGGCCGTTCCCGGCAACCTGGCCCATTGGGACACGGCCAAAGAGACGGTCGAGGCTGATGACACCGTTCGCCGAAAGGCCCTTATTGAGTATAAAGCTCTGGGCCTCTATGCCAAGCAGCGACAGCTCCGTGAGAAGATCGGGCGCCAAATGATGCACTTCGACAATCTGGCCATGACCACAAACCGGAGTCAATACCGACGCGTCAAGAAGCAGGGTGTTCGCGAAGCGAGAATTACCGAGAAGCTTGAGAAGCAGCAGCGCGATGCCCGTGAGCACCGCGAAAAGAAGAAGCACACCGACTTCCTCGAATCAGTACGGCACCACAAGGCCGAAATTCACAACTCGGCATCGAATGCTAGGGCCAAGATGTCCAAGATGGGTCGTGCCATGTTCGCCCAACACTTCAACATCGAGAAAGAAGAGCAAAAGCGTATTGAGAGAACTGCCAAGCAACGTCTCCAGGCTCTCAAGGCCAACGATGAAGAGGCCTACCTTAAGCTGCTCGACCAAGCCAAGGATACACGTATCACCCACCTGCTCAAACAGACTGATGGTTTCTTGAAACAACTGGCTGCTTCCGTCAAGGCACAGCAGCGCCAGTCGGCACATCTCAACGGCGAAGATTTCGAAGAAGATGAGAGCGAGATTGAAGAGGAGGACGAGGAGAGTGGTCGCAAGATTGATTACTATGCTGTGGCGCATCGTGTCAAGGAAGATGTCACTCAGCAGGCCGACATGCTCGTTGGTGGTTCGCTCAAGGAGTACCAGCTGAAGGGTCTTCAGTGGATGTTGTCTCTTTACAACAACAACCTCAATGGTATTCTTGCTGATGAAATGGGTCTCGGCAAGACCATTCAGACCATCTCTCTGGTGACTTACCTCATCGAGAAGAAACAGCAGAACGGACCATATCTTGTCATCGTACCGCTGTCTACCTTGACAAACTGGACCCTCGAGTTTGAGAAGTGGGCCCCGTCGGTTTCTAAGATTGTTTACAAGGGTCCTCCTAACGCCAGAAAGCAGCAGCAGGATAAGATCCGCCAAGGACGCTTTCAGGTTTTGCTCACAACATATGAGTACATAATCAAGGACCGGCCTGTTCTGAGCAAAATCAAATGGTTCCACATGATCATCGATGAGGGCCATCGTATGAAGAACGCCAACTCCAAGCTCAGCGCAACGATCGCACAGTACTACAGCACCCGCTTCCGTCTCATCCTCACCGGTACTCCCTTGCAGAACAATCTTGGTGAGCTTTGGGCTATGCTTAATTTTGTGCTGCCAAACATCTTCAAGTCGGTCAAGACATTTGATGAATGGTTCAACACTCCCTTTGCCAACACGGGCGGTCAGGATAAGATGGAGCTGAACGAAGAAGAACAAATTCTCGTTATTCGGCGTCTTCACAAAGTCCTGCGACCCTTCCTTCTACGACGTCTCAAGAAGGATGTCGAGAAAGACTTGCCCGACAAGACAGAAAAGGTCATCAAGTGCAAGTTTTCTGCTTTGCAGAGTCGCTTGTACAAGCAGATGGTTACACATCAAAAGATCGCTGTCAGCGACGGCAAGGGCGGCAAGTCTACCGCTCGTGGTTTGAGCAATATGATCATGCAGCTGCGAAAGTTGTGTAATCACCCCTTCGTTTTCGATGAAGTTGAAAATCAGATGAACCCATCCAGTACAGCCAATGACTCTCTCTGGAGAACAGCCGGCAAGTTCGAGCTTTTGGACCGTATCTTGCCTAAATACAAAGCAAGTGGTCACAGAGTGCTCATGTTCTTCCAGATGACCGCCATCATGGATATCATGGAGGATTTCCTGCGGTTCCGAGGCTTGAAGTTCATGCGCTTGGATGGTACTACCAAATCCGAAGACCGTTCTGACTTGCTGAAGGATTTCAACGCACCGGATTCGCCTTATTTCATGTTCTTGCTTTCCACTCGCGCTGGTGGTCTTGGGCTGAACTTGCAGACTGCAGACACCGTCATCATTTACGATTCAGATTGGAATCCCCACCAGGATCTGCAAGCCCAGGATCGTGCGCATCGTATCGGTCAGAAGAACGAGGTCCGTATCCTGCGACTAATCAGCTCCAACTCGGTAGAAGAGAAAATCCTCGAGCGTGCTCGATACAAGCTTGACATGGATGGCAAGGTCATCCAGGCTGGTCGGTTCGATAACAAGTCTTCAGAGACAGATCGTGACGCCATGCTTCGCACACTTCTGGAGACTGCTGACATGGCCGAGTCTGGTGACCAAGACGAAATGGATGATGAGGAAATGAACATGATTCTGGCACGAAACGACGATGAGCTTGTCCTCTTCCAACAGATGGACGACGAACGGGCAAAAGACCCCCTCTACGGTAGTGCTGCGGGTAGCAAAGCTATTCCCAGACTCATGACAGAGAGCGAGCTTCCTGATATCTACATGGCTGAAGGGAACCCTGTTCAGGAAGAAGAGGAGGTGGTTCTCGGCCGTGGTGCTCGTGAACGTACCAGAGTCAAGTACGATGATGGTTTGACCGAGGAGCAGTGGCTGATGGCGGTCGACGATGATGATGATTCGCCAGAGGCTGCTGCTTCACGAAAGCAAGCCAAGAAGGATAGGAGAGAAGCCAACAGGCTCAAGAGAATTGCTATGGGACATAGTTCTGCCGCAAACTCTCCCTCGGGTAGTCGTGCGAGTTCCGAAGAAGTCGAAACGCCACCCAAAAAGCGTGGCCGTAAGCCTGGCAGCAAGAATGAGAAACGAAAAGCTGACGAGGAGGATGGCGAGCCTCCAGCTAAGAAGCGCCGTGGGCCTGGCGGACGACCCAAGGCAGTGGCGGTCAATGGCGGCAACTCGCGCGTTCCTGGTGAAGTGCGCCCCATACTCCAGCGATCGTTGCGTAAGCTGTACGATGGCCTGATGTTATTGGAAGCGGATGATCCAGAGCCAGAGGAGAAGCCAGAAGATGACGAGGACGAAGAGCAGCCCAAGCGTCTAATCATTGGGCCCTTTGTCAAGTTACCATCAAAACGTGATTACGGCGACTACTACCAGTTCATCAAGAATCCCATCTGTATGAACCAGATACAAGCAAAGATCAAAAAGGAGGACTACAACAGCATCGACGACATGCGCAGAGACATCACGTTGATGTGCAACAATTGTAGAACATACAACGACGATGGTAGCTTATTGTATGCTGACGCCAATGCTATGGAGGTAAGTCTTTGGGTTGTCTCTGTCGTTTCGATCACAAAACTGATTATTCCTAGAAATTCTTCAACGACAGGGCTCAGCTAGAGCTCGCCGCGCATCCAGAATTAGCGGAACTTGAGGATCCGTCAGTCAAGGAGAGCAGTGCAGCTCCAACAACAAGTGCGGGTACACCGCAACCATCGGCGAACCCTACGAGGATAAAACTAGTCACTCATGGTACAAGCCAAGCCAACGGTGGCCCCAGTAGTACTCAAAGTGACGGAGAGTAGGACAATCATGGCCACACCTTCAGATATCATCACTGGCCCCCTCCGATCAAGACATCTCCATGAGCGGATTTGAACAACTTCGTACCAGAAAACTTGTCAGCATTGATTGGACGAGATCCAGCCTGTTGTAGCGCAGGAACAATTCCTACATGACTAGATGAGTTTGGAGCGGTTTCTTCTTGCCAGAATCTATCGTTTGCTTCGTTGCCCTCGCAGCTTCCATGACACAGTCATCATTCGAGGTTACAAGACTTGACGTGGCAGGCGTTGCCTCTCTCTAGGCGTCGATGGCGTTATTTGATTGAACGGATCCCTTAGGACAGGTGTTTGGTGGGGGAATGATTGGCACGTTGTAGTTGTATCAGAAGAAACGCCCAAAGTCATGGCAAGAACGAAAGATGCCGCACAAAATACCCAAAGGTGCCTTTCCCGCCTTCATTACACCGCTGGTACTTGAGGAACCAGCTAGCTTAAAATTAGACGAGGCTGTCTGTCATACATTGGTTCTCAAGGTTTTGTTTCTAGTATGTATTTAATATGAGGTGCTGCTAAGCAATTAACTGTCATTTAACTAAACCACCCATGCCATGCAAATTGAGCCCCGTACTTTATGCAAAAAGGGAGTAGTCGAGACGCGATTGCCGCTCCATCAGCAAGCTCTAATAAATACCACACCATGACCGGACGAGTAAAACAGCAGCCACGACGGAGGCGCGGGGCACATTGTATTTCGAACTCTGAGTGTAATTCCCTTGATCTGCACTTGTATTCAGGTATCGTCTTGGCCTTCAAATTGGGTCGTTGATTTGAAGTTGCATTCGCAACAATCTACAACTTTCACAATCCATGGCCCACGACGGCCATCTCATAAGACCATCCTTACATATCCTTTTCAAGCGAGCAACGGTTTTCACACTACCAAGACAAGAAGAGACGCACTCTTCGTTTTTCAGGATGTATTTTTTCTGTCCGACGCCCGCAAAAGCCGTCGCGATCAGACGGTTCATGAAGGTCACAAACCGATACACCATTTTACCCATAATGTACATGGGATTTGTCACGGCGTCTGCTTACCTCTTCCGCTACCTCACCGTGCCTCGACAACGTATCGATGGAGAGTACTACTATATTCGCCTTGAAACGTCCCGTAAGCAATCTCCGGGGTGGTTCCTTTTCCTGCTCGGATTGGTTTTAGGAGGGTTGTACAGTCTATCTAGCGAGACACGCTCCCAGCACAGCAGGCAGTAGTCCTAGGGAACCCACCAGTGCATTTCCATGAGGTTATCAACTAAACCCCCGGACGTTTCTGTAGGTGTGTTCCTTGCCGGCGCCTGCGCCATGATGCCCGTGTTGTGCGTCGCGGAGATACTCCAGCGGTACCCGCCCCGGACCAAGCGCACGATACCTATGCCAGCGGTTGCCGGGCTTGTGTCCAGTATGGTCGGCTCCAGCCTCCTTTCCTTCCCTGCCGGATGGTCGTGGTGGCTGGTATTTGTAATCCTGGCGGCTTTCACACTTGGAGCCTTCCTCGAGTGTTTTCTGGGTGTATATGGGGGCGTAATGGATAAACTTTGCCAAAGCAAAAAGAGTCGGGGCAGCATTATTTCGATCTACTGAGCTTGGCAGTAAGAGTTGGGGCGATGGGTGGATAGAGTTCACGTTGATAGGGCTCGAAAAGAGACAATCAAGCGATGACGAGATATGGGTACTCAGCAATACTTATTCTTCATTTCATAATGTAATAGACTTCGAATTAATCATGATCGATATCAAATTATAACAGGTTAAGTCCTCTTGTAATAGATGTTTGATAAGAAGATGCCAGAATAAGCCCCGGAGCTATCGAACTCGTTCTATTCCGAATCCCCACCCCAGCCCATTCGGAATATATTATCGTGTTCAGGACACAGCATTAATACAACCTCTGAAGTGGTATTGTCGACGGGGAGAAGTCTTTGGGCGGCTCTTGAGAGGACCTTTCGTGACGAGATAACCTTGACTAATCTCGAGCACAGTACAAACTAGGTGTGACGGGCTGTTACTGCGGAAAGATTGTGATTGGCCATTTGGACTTATCGACTGGTCCAACTGGGCCGGCATCTTGAACCGTGCTAGGGAGCCGCCCAGGTAACGTTGACTATACCCACATAGCCGAGATAGGGGGTGAATTGGCCAATAAGGCGATCGCTGCTAACCTAGTAGGTTAGAGTGGTTCTACCAAGTACGGATCCGTATACCCCAGCTTGTCAGCTCCCTCAACCGAGGCGGACCGGGGACCTTTGGACCCACTCCAGGTATAGCGCCCAGGGGTCGTTGCCCGCATCTTTCCCCTCACGCCGTTGGTTACCATGTCTGCATTCAGTAAAACGTCCTTGCAAGGTTTCATTAATCTGGGATCGTGCCCTGCATCGTCGGTCAAAGGCAGTTTAGTTTTCCGGGCTCTGCCAGCTTTCGGAGCTTGTTGACGTATCTGTCCACGTGCCACAGAATGGCGGTATATAAGCAGGACTCTTGCACGCCAGCCTGAAGGTAGCATGGAGGGTTGTGGACACGCGTGTAAGCCTGGTTAAGACTCAAGATGTTGTTCTCACCTGGTAGAGATCTTGTCGTGCTGGCTGCTCTCTATGCCGCCAAGGGTACGAGCGCTGCGGAGCTGACAGGTTACGCGAAGGACATGTTCGATGAGTCCATGAACTTCTTGGACCAGATTTACGATCCAGCCGCAGGGTATCTCGAATACTTCTATTACCCCCTAGCCGCTGGCAGACACGAGACACGCTCTTCGATGTGGTATGCATCAGGTCTTCTCCAGCGCAATGAGGGAACCGATTTAGACGAGGCAATCAAGATCATCACCAATATCATTGGCGGCCAAGAAAAGAATGTGAGCGCCCAGTGGTTTGGTGATTATACCAAATACCCAGAAGAGCCAACTGTTGCAAGCCCAGCATATGAAGCAGTTGTAAGTAGCCCTAACTCCTCACACACCGAACATAGCTGAGCAAAGAAGATTTACGGCTCGTGGGATCCCAACTGGAGAGGGTTCATCGGCACCACTTTAATCGTAATTTATGAGGAGTTTCAGGACATTCTTCCCACAGAGGTCCAGGAGTTGATCTTGGAGAGCATGTACAACAACACCATCGGTGATAGCTATCGAGTGGGCGGTGTCGATGATGACAACCTTTACCCTTCTTATAGCAATCCTGCACTCATGCGTGCTGTAGGATCGGGCTGGACCGGCCGAAAGTTCAATGACTCAAACATGACTCTAGCAGGCGAGAACTACGCAACTGAGGTTTTAGATTTGTTCAACCTGAACAACACCCTCCCCGAGTTCAACAGTCCCACCTATGCAGGAGTATCCATATATGCACTGACCCTCTGGGCCAAGTATATGCCGGAGGACTCGGTCATGGGCCAAAATGGCAAGCGCCTGCTCCAAGAAATCTGGGCGACCGAGGCAGAACTATACAACGCGAACATGAAGAACCTGGCGGGCCCCTGGGATCGGGCGTACGGCTACGACATGAACAAGTATGTGGCTATTGTTACACTGCATATTTACTCTCTCGTCGGAAAGGACAAGGCTCCCGTTGCGAAACGACCATGGGCCATGGCCCACGCAGACGATTACGAATATGCACCTCTGATCGCCCTTCTGGCACCATTCCACAACTCCTTGATACCAAACGAGACCGTGAGCAAGTTCCTGACCTTCCCCGGTGAGCATACCTACACGACCTCCGCATTTTCCCCACCCACCGACACTTTCCCCCGAAACTACACGTTCTGGCTCTCCGACAACCTTACCATTGGTGCTCAATCATTCGACGAGGATGGCGTGGGAGGCCCCAGATACGACTCTTCACAGTGGACTCCCGCCGCAGTGCAATGGCTGCGCTCTGATGGATCGGTGGGGTTCTTCACCTGGTACGCGACCGAGGCGGCGCTTTCCCACGAGGTAGCGCCGAATGTGCTGAACCTGTCGTACCCGCACGGTAATTCGAGCACCCCGTTCACCTTCCTAGTCCAGCCAAATCCTCTCGGTGGCAAGAGAGACATCACGGGTCTCCAGGACATTGAGGGGTTGGACATCACCGCCGTCTCGGGCACGGTTGACTTGGAACCTACCATTAGCTTCTGTGGGCTGCTTGGCGGTAGCTGTGATCCTATCCAGTAAGTTGAATCGTATCTGCTGAGTTCAGAGCAGTTTCATTGACAATCTCAACAGTGGCTTCGAATTTTGGAATTTCACTTACTCGATGCCGGTAAATAGTACTGAGTTGCCGAGCATTAATTTTCAGATCGAGCTTAGCTAGCTTGTTGTAGCTTGTGTCTATAAATTTGAGATATCGGCAAAATAGCCAACTTGAATGGTGTAATGTCGACATATACCAGCATTTGGTCGAAATACCGTGTAGTTACAGTGTATATCTGAAGTGAGGGTGGCGATGGCCCAGTCGGTATTCTTCACCAGTGCGGAGTCTCTCATCTCGTTGCCCAGAACTTCTCTTCTTGTTTTCCCAGGCGCAGTATGCCATTTGCGCACATACAGTCGCCAAGCATAATACAAGTGCGCCAATGCAGATGGAGTGTCCCAGAATATATCTCGGTCTGGACACGAGGTTAGTATGAGTTTGTGGTACTCTAGAGCCTGAAGTACTGTGGCAGCACTCACGCGTCCTTAGCAAGGTATATATACGTCGCCACGAATGCCGCACAGTTCGAAAAGGCGATGAGGAAGCCTACGCCCGTGGCTCTTACGTAATGTGGTGCAAGATTATTCGATATCCAGCCCTGGTCGCACTGTAAGCACGATACTTGATCGAACGCCGATATGTACTTAGAGGTAGACTTCTTACCATGGTCATAGCCGAGCTAGGGAATATCCCGACGGCTACTAAGAAGGTTCCTCCATAACGCGTGGAGTTTTGATCTGCTGCAAGCAGCATGATATAACCAGCAATGGAAACGATGCAACCAACTGCCATGATCGGGCCTCTGGCCTTGAGATGGTCAGAAAGAAACGAGGTGCCAAGCACGACAAAGAATGCAGCCATGTTTGGTGGCACTGTGAACAACTGGGCGACCGTGTTCGTGTAGCCAAGACCGCTGATGATTGTTGGTAAAAATAAGGAAAAGCTCTGGCTTCGGTCAGTTACTTCTTGTCGAGGAGTTACGGAAAAATACATAATTACATATAAGGGAATCAGGAGGAAGAACCATATTAGGCAACAGAACCATAGCTGTGGTGCCCTAAAAGCCATTTTAACCCAATGCCAGTCAAAGTGTTCCTGGTTGACATCACCAGTTTCGGCGGCACCATGATTGTCCAATCGCAGTCTTGTGAGAGCGCGCGCGCTCTCTTCCTCCGTCAGAAACTTGGCCTCCGCAGGCGTGTGGGGCATTGTGAAGAAGCAGATAATGCCGAATAGAGTCGTGATGATGCCCTCAACTGGATCATACAACTTGATTAGTCATGAGCATGGTACAGACCCAGCGGTCAGTACTCACTGAAGAAAATCCAGGGCCATCTGTTATAGCCATTGTAGCTGATCCGCGCCAGTCCTGTCGCGAGTAGCCCGCCAAATGCACCGGACAGAGGTGCCGCGCAGTAGAAAAACCCAATTCGGCGGACCATCTGATGCCGCCGGTAGAACATGGCCAGATATACAATGATTCCGCCAAGAAGGCCGCCTTCAAAAGCGCCAAGTAACAGCCTCGCCACTATCAAGCCAGCTAGAGACTTGGTGAACCCAACGAACGTCGAAACAAGACCCCAGCAAGTAATCAAGGTAGGTAGATAGTATCCTGCCTTGACATGCTTGATTATCCAATTACTCTGGATTTGATACATGTCAGCAAGCTACAAGAGCGTTTGTTTTGAGGGAAAAAGGAATTCGTACCGGGACATCCACGAGGATATATGGAATGTAAAACACCAAGAGTGCGAGGTTATAGGTCGTCCCAGTTGCAATGCCAAGGTCAGTCGCAAGACCATCAACACGAGCATTTCCGATGTTGCTCCGATCGATGAAAGCAAAAAGCCTGGTATATAGTTACTTTAGAGTTTCTTCTTTTCATTCGAGTGAATCAACATCTTGACTTACCATATACCAAACAACCATGGGACGATATGGAGATCGAACTTTCTGTCGATCTTCTTGTCAAGCTTCGACTTGAAGTCCTGTTGTGGGGCTATCCCTCGCAGATTTTCGAGATGGCCTGCATCTGTTTTCACCAAGTCCTCTCCCTTGTCCGATCTATGGTTCCTGTGGTCCATAGTTGCGGGTCACAGTTTGTAGGTGCAGCAATACGGGATGTTCACGTGAACTACTTCTGCGTTTAGAGCCTGAACATAGATGGTATGAGCCGGTAGCAAGAATAGAAGAATATCTAACTGAGATAAACCTACAGTTCAGAACGACCTACTTCTTGCAGACGATTTGGATTTACGTATGATTCTAGAACCGGTGCTCGGTACCGTTATCCAAAGGCTTTGTCTAAGATGAACATCACGATTAGATAATTCGCAGCTATGCCATATGCCAGCTAAACTCCGCATTTGATCTCAACCAATTCAGGCTTGTGGGAAATATCCCCTGAGAGGACCATCATGGCGCGGGGTAAAATTTGGAGAGATTTCAAAGCAATCCAATAGTATTACGGGATGCGGATATCCAGACCGCAGATCTAGGCCTGCCTAATGACACACACGCGGCAACTTTGATCAGTTCCTTCAATGTTCTATCTTGGCACCTCGCCTCTTTGGATGAAGAATGAGCTTTCATATTGACCTTATCAGGCCGGGTCTTTCACGCCTAACTCCTTTAATATGGCTCTCGTGTGCTGGCCGATAATCGGGACTTCATCCATACGGACTGATTTGGTACAAGCAACACCAGGTGGAAGCAGCGCTGGTACTTTGCCTACCGGGGTTTGAATGTCGGTCCAACGCTCTCGTGCCCGGAGTTGTGGATGTTCCCAAACACCTGCCATGTTATTTACTTTAGCGTTGGCCACACCCGCCGAATCCAGCTTCGAAATCACTTCTTGCGCGGAAAGATCGGCAAAGTTGTCCAGCAATATCTTCTTGAGTGCCTCACGGTTCTCAACACGCTTGGAGTTATTTGCAAATCTGACGTCGGTCGCTAAAGCCGGGTCTCCCAACACTTCGGCGCAAAGACGAGCCCACTCTCTCTCATTTTGAACCCCAAGCATCACAGATCCACCACCTCCAGTCTCGAAAGGTCCGTAAGGGTAAATCGCAGAATGAGAGGCCCCCATCGGTTTGGGTCCGTCCTGTCCCTGGTACGTAAAATAGAGCGGGAAGGACATCCATTCCGCCAGACTCTCAAGCATTGAAATGTCTATTCGAGATCCCTTCCCAGTCTTGTTTCGCTTCATTAGAGCAGCCATGATGTTTGTGAAAGCGTACATTGCAGCTGAGATGTCTGCAATGGAGATACCGACCTTTGCAGGCTCATCACCGGTACCGGTGACAGACAACATGCCCGCTTCGCTCTGAACCAGAAGATCGTAAGCTTTTTTCTGTCTGTAAGGTCCACTGTCACCATATCCTGATATGTCGCAAACAATCAGCGACGGATGCTGTTCCCGTAATTGCTCATAAGATAGTCCCAGACGTTCTGTTGCCCCTGGCGCGAGATTCTGCACCAAAACATCCGCTTTCACGACGAGTTTCTTCAAGGTCTCTAGATCTTTGGTATCTTTCAAGTTCAAGGCTAGACTTTCCTTTGATCGATTAGTCCAAACAAAATGTGACGATAACCCTTTGACCCTGGTATCGTAATCCCTTGCAAAGTCTCCTACTCCCGGCCGCTCGACTTTGATCACTCGAGCTCCGAGGTCTGCCAGCTGCCTCGTGCAGAAAGGGGCAGCTATCGCTTGTTCGAGGCTGACGATCGTCACGCCCTTCAGTGGCAGCTCAGCGTCATCTGTTTGAGCTGTTTGAGATACGGTGGCCAAATGACGCATGTGCATACTTGGCTGACCGAAACGGATCTGCTCTGAAGCATATGATACTGCTGCAACTGATCTGTTTACCCAAGACGCAGACCGATAGATCGTGTACTGGACGCCGGGAACCACACCAAACCTAATGCTTCGGCACGCCATGGCCGCGAGCTTCAACTGCTATACGCTATGCTCCCTCCTGCGTTTTAGTTGAAAATATTCAATGAATACGAGTGGAATAGCAGCTCGGAGACAGCAGCAAGGATTCAATGTTGAGGCGAGCCGAGGCACTATTTTTATAATATCCCGAGCCTTGGCGGCAACGGCAGCTAAGAGATCCCCAGAGTGTGGGGTAAAGATCCATGCTCCTACGCACAATGTCCTTGGTGCTAATAATCGGTATCTTGCGGATAATCAGTGACATTCGCTGAAAGCCATTGTTATATGAAAAATGACGACTTCGGTGTCTGTGTAGTATACATCCAACATATGAGCTTCGCAATAGCCCTTTGCTGCGACATCATGAGATATATCTGTGACGTCTTCAATCTATAGCTGCCTCTAGCTCTCCAGCATCTCCACAGAACTCACCCCCCAACTTACAGTGGATACCGAGGTACTCATGCAGGTCATTTGTGCTGCAGTATCGTTTTTCTTGACATTCCCTTTGATATGATCTGAGTTAGTACAAGACGTCAACACTGTCTCCAGATCGTACTGGAGAACATGTCTGGAATGCTATGGCGTGGTTTGTTCCGGCGCAGCTCGGCTGTCCGAATGACGACGAGCTCTAATGTTACCCCTAAACAAAGCTTCTCAACGACTTCCCGGCGACGGATTATGGAGACTACTGGCTTCACAGAAAACCAACTGACTGTCCGTGAAGCCGTTGCAGCGATATGCTCCCAATTTCCTAACACATATTGGCAAGAAAGGGACCAACTAGAACAAGATCCCGAAGAATTTCACGCCGCCCTCGCAAAAGATGGCTGGCTCGGTATTGCATTACCAGAGGAACATGGCGGATCCGGGCTGGGCATATCTGAAGCCACCATGATGATGCAGACGATCACAGAGTCCGGAGCCGGCATGGCGGGCGCCCAAAGCATACACGCGAACGTTTATGCGACGCAGCCACTGGCCAAATTTGGTAATAAGGAGCAGCTTGAGAGCACGATCCCGAACATTATCTCTGGGAAGTGGCGGACATGCTTCGGCGTCACGGAACCTGACACAGGCCTCGACACGTTAAGGTTGAAGACCACAGCGAAGCAGCTGGACGATGGGGGCTACAGCGTCACGGGCCAGAAGATCTGGATCACTTGTGCACAAGTTGCCAGAAAGATGATCTTACTTGCGCGGACGACGCCACTAGAGGAAGCCAAGAAGCCAAGTGAGGGCCTGTCTATGTTTTGTATTGACATAGATAAGGAGTCACCCGGCCTTGACCTACGGAAGATCAAGAAGATGGGCGGTCGCGCGGTGGATGCTAATGAGGTCTTCTTTGACAACTACAAAATCGGCCCAGAGACTCTGATCGGCACGGAAAATCATGGGTTCAAGATCATTCTTCACGGCATGAACGCCGAGCGATGCCTTTTGGCTGGCGAGGCGCTCGGTCTGGGATATGCTGCATTAACAAAAGCAGCCGACTACGCTCGTGAGCGAGTAGTATTCCAGAGACCAATCGGAATGAACCAGGGCATAGCACATCCGCTAGCTGACGCATATATGAAGCTTGAAGCCGCAAAACTGGCGACATATCACGCAGCGCGTCTTTACGATAACAGCAAGACCGACAAGTCTATCAGACAAGATGCAGTCGGGGTTGCTGCAAACAGCGCCAAGTATCTTGCGGCGGAGGCTGCTTTTACGGCATGTGAAAGGGCCGTGATGACGCATGGAGGAATGGGTTATGCAATGGAATATGACGTGGAGAGATATCTGAGGGAGAGTCTCGTACCGCGTATTGCGCCAGTGAGTCGCGAGATGATCATGAACTTCATTAGCGAAAAGGTATTGTGCTTGCCTAGAAGCTATTGAGTGAGAGCGGCTAGCCAGTGCATTGGACAACAACTGGCGCGGGCCAAGTTTCCTAAAGTATATAGGTCAGACTAAAGAGAACAAGCTGAACTACAACTTTGATCTTTCCCCTTGCCCAGACACCTCCAACTCAGCCACCAGTAGCCCTTCAGCGACATCTTCTCCATCCTCGGCCTCCGTGACCCAAGCCACCCGACCATCACTGGGACTTCTGATATCAAGTTCCATTTTCATTTGTTGGATCACTGCAATAACGTCACCTTTCCGCACCTCGTCTCCTTCATCTACGAGGATTTCAACTAGGCGTCCCGGGAAAGGTACTACTACATGCCGTAGATCGGAAGGGTTGCCCTTCCGATGTTTCAAACCTGAGAGAACGGATGAAGACGAGGCCTGGGTACTTGTCAGGGAGAGCTTATATGATTGGGCTTCTGGACTTGAAGGAGATCTATAAGATATCTCGGCTGAAAAGAACGATGGAAACTCGTTACGTAAAACGCGATCGAGTTTGAGGTGATGTGTAGTGGGCTTATCTTCTTCATACACAGAAGTCGAGTTGGGCGTTAGATCGATTTTCCAGCCGTCGCCTTTGCGGAAGAGGACTGCAGAGGATGACAATCCACTCAGTTGTGCACCATCGCTAATCGGCGATGAAGCATCATTACTGGATATAAAGCCAGTGGATGACATGATTTGACGTCCGGTCTTCAGCAGTCTTGGCATCTCTGCCTCAAGCCACTCAATGTCGCATTCTCCATTCTCGAAGGCTGAGCCTGCAACTATGGCACGCAACACATCAAGGTTCGTTTTCACGCCATGTATCTGTGTGTCCATTAAAGCACGTCGAGCTTTTCTGACGACTGCGTCCCATGTCGTGGCAGTTACGATGATCTTGGCGATCAAAGAGTCGAAGTCACTTGTTACCGTCGTATGTCGGTTATTAATTAGTGCTGTATCGACGCGAACTCCATTGCCAGAAGGAAAATGAAACCCAGATATCTTGCCCATGCTTAATGACCAACCTGCATCAATATTTTCTGCTGTCAACCTCAACTGAATGGCATGTTTCTTAGGTGGAAGCGTATCCGCCGACGGAACTGGATATGGCAAGCCAATCTCCAAGCTTTCAAGTCGCTCTCCTTGAGAAACACGAAGTTGTGCTTGCACTATATCCACATCTGCAATGATCTCCGTGACTGTGTGCTCGACTTGTAAACGCGGATTGATTTCCAAGAAGAAGAACTTGCCTGTCGTTGGGTTGGCTAGGAATTCGAAAGTTCCTAGTGAGAAATACCTCGTTCTTTCGGCCATTCGTAAAGCTGAGTCAATCACACGATTGATGAGCCTCCTATCGGTGATGGTACTGGGAGCGATCTCGACAATTTTTTGGTAGCGGCGCTGTATACTACATTCGCGCTCCCAGAGATGCCTTACAGAACCTGTGCCATCACCAATGATTTGTACTTCGATGTGTCTAAACCCGTCGGTGGCCGCCCTTTCGACGAAAACCTGGTTGGATGGCGACTCAGCTATGGCAAGTCTGGCAAGCCTAGGGAGGTCGTGTGGCTGGCGGACGACTCGTATACCCCGTCCTCCACCGCCATCGACAGCCTTAAGCATGATAGGCGCGCCTCCTATACTATCCATGAAAACTTTTGCGCCGTCTGCATCCACAGGTCCATTTGTAGCTTCAAGCACCGGCACCCCTACGTCCCGCGCCAGCAGCTTGGCGGCCAGCTTATCGCCAGTCCTCTCTAGAATCTCCCATCCAGGCCCAATAACCTGCACACCAGCCTCTTCCCACATACATCGAGAAAACTCGGCGCTCTCGCTCAAGAAGCCGTACCCCGGGTGCACAGCATCGACTTGTTGTTCTTTGGCAATGCGAATAAGGTCTGAAATATTCATGTATGAGGCCGGAGAAGGCAGCTGGACCCGATATGTCGAATTGAATGTGTGGTTCTCATCTGAAGGACTATATAATGTCACAGTATCTATTCCGAGTTCGCGAGCTGCTGACACAATGCGTGTTGCTATTTCGCCACGGTTCGCTACTAGCAGACGAGTGATAGTGCGCGGTGGCGGCCGGCCCTTGGCTGATGTCATGTTCTCGAACTGACTATTTCGTAATGTTGTGTCGAGGTTTTGAGTTTAGGCTCATTGCAAATGCATCAGCAATTGACGATCTCAGCGTGACAAAGACTGGTCTGCTGGATAGTTTCAGTCGACGATATAGTGTTGGACCTCGGCAAGTCGGACCCACCCAACGTTTGCGGGGCCCCGCAACTCACACGTCTAGGATACACATATGGTGTCAAGTTGTTGATACCAACGTTTCGTATCATTTCTTGAGAGCTCTTGGGAGACGTATCTCAAGGTAATCTCCTTTCGCATACAAGCCCTAATATCGCCCTCGAGTTCGGAATAAAAATCAGAAAACAAGATGGCATACGATGAATCTGCGGAAAGCAAATCACCAACATCCAAAGCCAAGGATCGCGTAAACCAAATCACATCTCACGTCTCCGTCTCTTCTCCATCAAAGACCAAGGAAGAAAACGAAGACACCTCGCAAAGAGCAAATAGCTCCCGACGCCGGCGCAGGAAGTCGGCAGAGAATGGCCCTCCAGCCGACTATAGCGATATCCTTTCCCAGATACACACGCTACAATCCATGGCCTCAACGCCTGACCCTTCACGCTCAGGCTACGCGCGCCAGAAGCAGACCGGGAAATTGTGGGTACGGGAGAGGGTAGAACAGATGTTTGATCGCGGGAGTGTAAGAGAGATTGGCAGTGTGAGTGGGACAGTCAGATGGCGGCCAAAGCTGAAGCAAGAAGTGAGCGGCAACGAGGACACAACCGTGGGCGACAAACCGGCAGAAGAAGAACCGGATTCATTCGTACCCAGCAACAACGTGCAAGGCTTGGCTCTGGTGGGTGGTAGGAAAGTTTGTTTCACAGCGGACGATTATTCATTACGGGCTGGTCATGCCGATGGAGCATTGTGGGAGAAAACAGTGGGTGCTAATATTCCATGGGTCAACTTCTGCTGCTTGGTATACTAACTTTGAAGCAGATGTATTTGGAGAAGCTCTGCCTCCACCTCCGCCTTCCAATAGTGAAGTTGGTAGATGGGTCGTCAGGTGGTGGATCTGTGACTAGCATTAGGACCATGGGCTATTCCTATGTCCCACCTCTTAATTCCTTCGATGTCGTTGTTGCCCAGCTCAATGCAGGTATCCCAAACCTAGGAGCCGTCCTTGGCCCGGCCATTGGACTCGGAGCGGCCCGCGTGGTATCCTGCCACTTCTCTGTGATGGCTGGAGACATCGGCTCCCTGTTCAATGCTGGGCCCAAGGTCGTGGCAGGTGCGACATTCGAAGAAGGTCTCAGTCTTCAAGACCTAGGTGGCCCTGATATGCATGTCCGCAACGGAACAATAGACAATTATGCAGCCAATGAGCAGGACGCGTTTAGGCAGTTAAGAACAGTTCTGTCATACCTCCCGAATAGCGGAGCATCTATGCCGCCCGTCCTGAAGACGGAAGATCCAAGCTCGAGGACGGATGAGATACTTAGAAGTGCAATCCCGAGGCGAAAGGAGCGAATGTACTGCCCACGAAAGATAATCAACACGATCGTGGACAAGTCTTCGTTCTTCGAAATAGGGCCTTTATGGGGTTCCACAGCCATTGTCGGACTAGCACGCCTCAGAGGTCAACCAGTAGGTGTTATTGCGAACAACTGCGAGGTGAACGCGGGTGCGCTGGATGCAGCAGGCTCACAGAAAATCACCAAACACTTGAAATTTTGCGATATCTTCAACTTGCCTGTCGTACAGTTTGTTGATATCCCAGGGTATGCTATTGGCACAACAGCCGAGAGGACGGCCACTATGAGACACGGTGTTGCCCTTGTAGCTGCCTACTATAGTACGACAATGCCAATCTTCAATGTTATTCTCCGCAAAGTCTACGGAGTGGCGGGTGCAGCGATGATGGATTGCCGTGATCCCAGGATGAGGGTAGCGTGGCCGAGCGGCGATTGGGGATCCTTGCCTCTTGACGGTGGAATAGAGGTGGGCCACAGTGCAGATTTGAAGCGTGCCTACCAGGAAGGGTACAGAGAAGGTGGCAACGAGGAGGGTAAAGAGCGGATGAAAGCACATTACGACGAGCTTGAACGTGATTACAGGCGCTTGATGAATCCAGTACGAACTGCAAATGCCTTCGGGATCGAGGAGATCATCGATCCAGCGACTACTCGACCTTTACTTTGCCAATGGGCTAACCATGTCTACGAAGAATTATTACCAATCAGGATAAGGGATAGGGATACGGGAAAGATATGTCCGAAGTTCTCCTGAGTACCAGACTTGGAGTTCAAGTGTTAATAACAGTAAGATAATACCTAGTCATGAGCTGCGGGCTGCGCCAGAGCTGGTGCTGGCGCAGAGCACATGGCTTTGCAAGTCGGAGGAGAGTCGTTCTAGCCAGTCATGGCTACTCCAGGGACAGCCGCTTGAGTATAAGGCGAAAGATATAACACCGATATTAGGTTGCAAGCAGATGGCTGGCTCTGAATACAACTTGGTGCTTTGGTAGAGGGTGCTCAGAATACTAGACTAGTATGCTCCTGGCAGAGGCCACTAAGAGAACCCGAGTCCCCTTGAACCGCGGAGAGCTTGAACTGTATAGACCGGACGTGGAGGCTGCACGGTCATTCCAATTTAGATATGATTTCGGAGAATAATGCGCACTCGTTTGCGCCATCCCGCTGGAAAGATAGCTGGGGTTGTGGCCCGCAGCAGAAAGGGCCAAAATACTTGGATCAGAGTTCACCCTGCTCAGGGGCAGCTTTGGCCGAGATTGAATAGCGTCGGTCAAGTTAGTCCTGGTAAAATGGCAGTCGAACGAAGTGATATGAACTAAGGTTAGGTGGTACTTGGAGGTTGACGTTTTTCGATACCTATCGTATGGTCTAGTCTAGACTAAGGTTAGAGTAAGTTATGTAACCTAACCTAAGGTTAGTGACCTTGACCAGGTAATCACTGGCAGTGGGCAGGTTGGTTGACCGGATACACACTCGCTGCAATCAACGCACCACTGGACACTGTATGTGGCAAGTGGTTTACAGGGGATGATGGCAACATCAGTGGACCTTTTCCTTCTTTTTTAGTGTTACCAACCCCTGCATTACTTGGTGCAAGTTGACAACGACCTTGGGATGATCCACCCATCCATCCCAACAGCCCAGAACTGCTTAACTTAAATGGCTTTTACGTCAGAAGTCAAGCTAGAATCCTGTACTGAGGTCCGTTAAGGACACCCAAGCTACAGTTTTGGCACAATACCCGTCGTTCACAAATACTCGCAATCTTGATTTTTGATCAACTGCCTCAACACATGGCAGATGCAAGGCGGCGACGGTCAAGATGTTGTTCCTGAGGCACTGCGCCCCACTCATCTATCTGTTGGGCACCGCTCAAGGTCAAGGACAAAGCCAAGGTTCCAGCTCAACCCCGACTCCCGCAGGCGATGCGACAAAGACGAAGACAGCAACACCCACGGCCCAGCCAACCTGCGAATCGAGAACCATAAACTATATCACACATACCTTACCACAACAATGCCTGACCGTGTCCATTTCCCCCGCCACGGCTTCGGCGTCAACAACAACTTCTGCCTCAGAAACAAGTGTCGCTGTGTCCCAAACCGCTTCGAGTATTGGCGGTGACACAGCGAGTGGTGTCCAGGGCCACGACCCCGACAGCGACGAAAATGACCTGAGCACGGGAGCTTTCATGTCATTTGAAGAATGGAAGGAAATGATGCTCGAAAAGTCCGGCCAGGAGAACCTCGAGGACCGTCCGCGCAAATCTCATGACGGACGTGGCCAGGCCCCTGGAGATGACTACGGAACCATGGGCGAAGAAGGAGAGATCTCTTTGGACTTTGGTGCCTACTCGGACAAGATCTCTGAAATAACCTCTGCTGGCAAACCAGCCCAGAAGGACAAGAAAGAAAAGACCGATGAATTGTCAGCGGTGGAGAAGGTATCATACGACGAGGGGCTGGGGCATGTATATCGCAGCAAAGATGCTGGCAAGACATGCAAGGAAAGATTTAACTATGCTTCGTTCGACGCAGGGGCGACAGTACTCAAGACCAACCCCGGCACCAAAAATTCCAAGGCTATTCTTGTCGAAAATAAGGACTCATACATGCTCATGGAGTGCAGAACTCAGAACAAGTTTTTTATTGTAGAGCTCAGCGACGATGTTCTAGTAGACACCGTGGTTCTGGCCAACTTTGAGTTCTTCTCAAGCATGGTCCGCCAGTTTCGAGTCAGTGTCAGCGATCGATATCCAGCCAAGCTAGACAAGTGGAAAGTGCTGGGTGAGTACGCTGCGCGGAACTCTAGGGATGTCCAGCCCTTTCTGATCGAACACCCTCAGATCTGGGCGCGCTACATTCGTATCGAGATCCTAAATCACTACGGCAAGGAGTTCTATTGTCCCTTGTCTCTGCTGCGGGTTCACGGAACGCGTATGCTCGATTCCTGGAAGGAAGCCGATCCCAGTGACCTTGAAGCCGAACTTGAAGGAGAGGAGGAGACAATAGCTATCGAAGAAGCTCCTGAAATATTAGAACCAGCCGAACCTGTCGAGGTTGTAGTGGAAGAAACTGTGGTCGAGGAGCCGGCTCGAGCAGAGAATCAGAACGTTGAACTGCTCCAGAGTAACTTTGAACCTTTCTGGGACCACTCTTATTTCCAGCACAGATTCCCGACCTATGCGGTCTGTAGATTGGACGAAGCACCTACCCAATCTTCACAACATACTTCAGAGACCGAAGGTCATGACCACACCACTACTTCTGTTGAACCCAGAGGTACGGTAACTGCCAAGGAGAATAAACCTGCCTCTGTTGTTTCATCTCAGCAGTCTGGGAACACGTCAGCTTCAGCCAATTCGGCCACGTCTGCTCCTAGTAAAGAACAGTCGGGCGGTTCGAATACTGGCAATAGAATATCCGAGACGACTACGACCTACGTTCAGTCGCAATATTCCGCGCCAGGTGGCGCGCATACATCATCTAGTAAGCCGACAACTACATCTATACCAATAAAGGCTTCGTCTCCTACTCCTTCAACACCTAGAAGCAAGACGGCGGCTGCTACATCTCTCAAGCCCCCCTCATCCAAACCTGCTAGTCCCAAAGCGTCCGGCGGCACCACATCTCGAGGCAAAACCATGACAGCAACCTCCTCGTCCGTTTCGGCTTCACCTACGGTGCAGGACTCATTCTTCAAGCAACTAACTAAGCGACTGCAAAACCTCGAGTCGAATACCACCCTTTCGATGCAATATATCGAATCGCAGTCCAAGTTCTTACAGGAGGCGCTTGCTAAGCTCGAGCGTCGTCATGCAGCAAAGGTTGACCTGTTTCTCGACTCGCTCAATAAGACGGTGATGACCGAGCTTCGCGAATTCCGCTCGCAATATGACCAGATATGGCAAAGTACAGTCATCGCCCTCGAATCGCAACGTGAAAAATTTGAACACGACAACCTTGCGCTGTCGACCCGCGTTGGGCTCCTGGCCGACGAAGTGGTATTTCAAAAGCGAATGGCTATAGTCCAGAGCGTCCTACTTCTTGGCTGTCTTGTGTTAGTGGTTTTTGGTCGTGGACTTGGCACTGCTGGCTTAGAACTCTATTACCCATCTCAAATCCAAGGCTCATTCAGCAGACTCGCTAGCCCGCTCTATCCCTCGACGCCCAAGGGAGTACGTCGAGAGTCAGCTCAGCGCAGACCAAGTACCATGCGTGGAGCTATCGAGGACTCAACCGGTGCAACACCGAACAGAGGGCTCGTAAGCGACAGCGATATGAACGAGACGCCGCCTCGTCCGCCACCGGTAGTGCGCACCCCAACCCCCGAGCCCCTGGTGAGGCCCAAAGGTCAGCGCCACCTTTCGCTGCCGGAGAACCGACAACCGCTTTCCAGGACAGTCTCGGAGCACACAGGCATGGAGTTCTATCAGCCCCCTACGCCTGCCAGCATCGACGCTGACGCCGGGTATGACTCTGAACCACCTCACCTACCCTCGTCCCCGAGAGTTGATTATTTCTCTGTCAAGACGAATGGTGACTTCACAGATCACGGAGACAGTACACCTGCAGAAACAACTTTAGAACATTTCGACAAAACGGTACGGCTGCCAAGGCCGGCCCCTGAAGCAGATGACCAGGCCGAAGAAGATGCCCAGATGATACCCAGGGCGGGTCTCCCGCGAGTACCAACATCTGCTGCGGCGAGCGTGAAGCCGCTGCCTGCTTTGCCCGAGCATTCGGATCAGAGCGACTGAAGCGACTGATACGACACAATCAAGGATTGTATACTATACTATACCACACTAGGGCAGGGCCCTTTGGAATTAGCATTGCATAGCGAATGATCATAGCGTGATGAAGTAATGACTAATGAATACATACCCATGTTCGATGCCCCTGACCCCCGTTGTGAAGTGATAATGGTGTGGCCTGTTGCTACGCATGATCATATAGCAAAACTACCCAGACTTGCACTCTGCTATCATGCTATTTGTAACACGTTGTGTGCTTCGCAAGTCTTTTTCGCGCAAATATTGGTCGTAACATCGGATCGCCCGACCAGGATCCAGCATATTTGCTGTCCCGTTGGGAGGTTGGCGAATAAAGATGGAATAGTTTGGTTCATTATTAATGACGGGACAAGGGAAGAACGTTTCCCTTGGCCCGGCTGGGTAATTCAACAACTTCTTTTCTAGGTCATGATAGATCTTGGAGAACCAAGCAGAGTTTGAATAGGTGTTCGAACCCAACACAAAGCTCAGCCGGTAATCTGGTGATATCAGAACCGAATGCTACCTTTTTCTATCCTCTCGTCAGCACCTTACTAACATCAATGTTAGGTATTATCACGAATTCTGCTATCCAAACTAGGCCCTGATACATTCAACGAAAGGTTTTGCACACAAGTCGTTCAGGGGAAGCGGATCGCAGTTGTCTCTATCTAGACGCTATGAGCTCAGGCGCAACCCAAAAGAACACTATCCTTTGGCCCACTCCAGCAATACAATCTGTGCAGCCATTGTGTGATCTTCATCCCAGTTTTCACCAACTTTCAACCAGACTCCAACGAACCGGCAAGGCATGACGACCGTCCCGGTGAGCCTCGCTATTGAGAGCGAGGCCTTTTGAGCGAAACAAAGATTGATTTACTGATGCTTCCAAATATGGCAGGTCGGGTATAAGTTTATTTATCTCGTGTGAGAGAGAGACAAATACATCCAAGCCTTTTCAAGCTTGAAGCGAGTTTCGCCAAGCTTACAGACCGTCATACCGAGCTAACAGACTGTCTCAGAGGCTTGAGTTGCTAAGGTCGGAGTTCGGGACTTTTCTGTGTCCCCTTCCAGGGGAATGAGTAAGCATTTCTTGTTTAAGACGAGAGATTATTGCAATTGTTCGTGCAGTGTCCGCATTAAGAAATGAATCATAGAAGGGAGGGGAAAAAATGAAATTTGCTGTAGCTTTGATTTGTCCCAGTCCCTCAAATATCAAGGCTTGGTGTTTGTCGAGGAGATGGCCTATTCAAATCTTCAGAAGCAATTTTTCAAGTGTTGCTGTGTCTGGGCAGAGTCTGTCGAAGAAGTTGTTGGTGTCAAACAAGCGCCCATATTCTAAAGATCAAAGAGAAACGTAGTCAATGTACCAAAACATTTGGAAATGATGTCAATACTCATGGACCGATAATGGTGATGAGAACCATAAGGAAGAGCGTCAATGAGTGCTTGCCGCTTTCATGGTTGAGCGTTTTAGGCGGAGGCCTGAGTGCTCTACTTTGATTGCCAAGTTATGATATTGGAGAATTGCTACTGAAGATTAGTTACATCTGGAACTGTTGATGGAGAGTTTAAAATTACTGACTGGAATCAAATCCGCCAAAGGGTGCTGTGAGTTTGGGGGGGGGGGGGGGGGCATCAGGGGGACCAAAATCACTCTCTCATATTGATGAGGAGTATGAAACTGTGAGGCAGGGATTGCGATTTGTCTGTCGGTCTCTTATCGTCCGGGCACATATCGTTTGAGTTGCCAGCAAGCGAATTTGGCGACGAATGAGGGCATTGGCAGAGATTTGCGCCAATATTACCGCGATCAGTTAGCTAACCATCCTGGTGATGTATCGGTACCCTCATAACAAACTGTCCATGATAGGAATTGCGTAAGAACATGGTGAAATTGAATGGGCAATCGATTGGGCTCACATAAGGGTTACCACATAGGCAAACATGCGTAAGACTCTTGTGAAATATGAGAGCGCACCCATTCTGGATTACTGCCATCAGCGGGCAATTTAGCATCCTCCATTCGTTGTGGGTGTTTAAAGTGTCAGTTGCGTCAGGAAAAAATTTCTCAACCTATGATTTACACTCTACACATAACGTATTGTCTTTCCCCATGAGGTCGGTGCCTCCTCAGAGTTCGTTAGTGACTCGCAGTATCGATGAAGTGCCACATGGCAACTGTGACGCACCAATGCTCAGAAAGTACTTGATACTATATGGAGCATGATTTATAGTAGAATGAGAGGTGGTTTGTCAATTTTGTGACAAGCTGTGGTTATGTCCTTGATGAAGGCGTAAAGAGGGTTGTCAGGGGCTGCTCTGACCGGGTTCCAATGCGCTCTGGATATCAACGAAAGAGCTCGTGTGCTCAACCGTCCATTTTATAGTTGTTATTATTTTTTCTACATGAGAGTTGCTGTATCATTGCAAGTCAGATTACGATTCTTTCATAGTCCAGGATATCAGGACACTCACTTTTTTGCCTGACCATTGTCAAGCTACGCATAAACATCTCATCGAAATCCCCTTCAGAAATGTTTTAACTGACCACTTTGCCTGGTTTATGGTAGAACGTCTCTGGGATCTTATAGATGAGGTTCCCGTAGACAATTCGTCTCAGATCAATCGGAAGAAGTTTCGCAAAACTGAAAGATGTTTTCTGCGCTGACAGTAACGAAAATGAAATTGTCGATGAAGTTGATGTTCCGTAAAACATCGAATATCTGTCATTAAATATTTGTCAGCCTTGGTGTATGATCATACAGCAGGACTCCCTTACAGAGAAATCGTAGGTGAATTGTGTCACCGATTTCGTGATAATGAAAACGGACGAAACAGTCTGTACGTCAAATACACCGATGTTGGTCCAAAAAATGCCCAAAAGCGAAGAAATGCGCCGCACATTTTTTTTTTTAGTTGTCAAAAAGAGCCGAAGACGCCTGGAGTTCTGTGATAAGGTACTTATCCGCAATGCAAAGAGGTGGCTGCACTCAATCGATGCCAGGCATGAGTCACACCTTATTGAATCAGCTTTGTGAGTTAGTCGACCTGTGAAGACTGAAGCTGATCCACACGGATCATCTCCTACTGAGGAGAATAAGAATGTTGCGTATGGAAGGTTGGGTAGTCGAACTCTTCCATGGCCGCGAGGCGCGTGCCTCGATCGAACTGGGAACGGCGGCGTCGTTGCTCATCTCGGTAGTGTTGACCAGCATTAGGTGTAAAAAGGCCTACCATGGAGAGGTCAATAAAAACAGAGGATCCAGGGTTGATGTTGACTTACCAACGTGTTCCGCGTTCTCGCAGCTTCGCTTCATCTTTGATTGATTATCGGGCACAGGAAATTCCTCCTCGTGGCCAGCGACCTCGGGTCTTGGTCCGTTGATAGTATAGTAAAGCTAAACTATGTTAAATTGAAGTCACTCAAGAAAACCGTCGTTGGCGACAAACCTTCGGGCGATAATGCGGAGCCTCCAGCATAACGGAGCTGTTCCTAAACTTCTGGACCAAGCAGTCCTTTCCTTGAATGGCTACAACAATTAGTTTGCGACAAAAACTTCTTTGCAACGATAATTGACATACTAGCATATGAAATCTCGGCCACTTTGTCGCTCTTGAAGCAGTTCCATCGCTGGTTGCCTCGCTTGTTGACGAACTGGAAGCGGTTAGTCACATAACAAGAAACAGGTCAACTTCTCCTCACATCGATAATGTCCAGGGGGTCAACAAAGTTGATGAACGCGTATCCGACACTAAAAGTAATGAGTAGAAGTCCATGAGAAAATTTCCAGAGGCTAATGACTTACTTGCAGTCGTTTGCAAAATCTATTCTGAGGTACATAAAGTCATATTTTCCCCAGCTAGACTCGTCCACAATCCTCTTTAGCATGGCTTGATCAACCTTGTTCGGTATGTTGCGAAGCATGATCTTCCGAAAGTTAGATAAAAAATAATGCGTATCGTAAAATCATCTTCTAAGATTATACTCACTGTAGTACGGACATCGATACCTTCGCGGATTCTATCGACATCGACATGGTTGTGCTGCCCGCTGACATTGTGGTGCTGATAAGGCGATCGTTGCACACGGATTGCATTAGAACGGCGGCTGTCTCCTCGTGGATAGTTGAATTGACGAGGGGTCATAAAGTCGGAACTTATCATTGTAGGTTGCTGAGAATACATGGATCCAACCCAAGAATAGTTTCCAGCAGGGAACATGTTGGGGACACGAGGTGAAACAGGATCAATTATGTAAGGCGGACTGAGAGGCATCCCGTGATACACAAGAGGCATCATACCATATGGATGCGGCATCGAGTATTCTGATGCAGTAGTCGAACGTGTTGGTGTATTAACAAAACCAGTAGCCACAGACGAAATTGAAGAGGGAGCTCGATTTGCAATAGACATGCGCTGGAAATCGCCGACAATATCCACTGAGCTGGTCGGGGTTCGCATAGGGCTGGTGAGTCGTTCGTGTGACAGAGACGCCATAGTGGGAATATCTGGACGATGCAAGGTCATGCAAATCTGGAGTCCCTGAGGGATGTCAATACTAATAGGTATGTTATTTAGGTGTTCCACTTACATCGACTACTTTACCTTGCAGCTCCGCCACGGCCCGCAGCGAGACATCATTGTCACAGTACTCAACAACTGCGGACAAGACACTGCCTTCGACACCCTCAGTATTTTCTTTGAAAGCAAAGAGATCACCCTGCTCCACAAGCAGCTCTTGCAAATATGTGACGAGCTGGACTCGGTCAAGGTGCTGCAGAGAAGGCGGGGCGAAGATTGCCATGGCTAGTTGGCCCTCATGCGCTGTAATCAAGCCCGAAGTGGGATCGACGACCTAATGCACAGAATTAGCGAATATATCAGCCTATCAAACAACAACGGCTTACTTGTGAGAATTCTCGTGGGTGAATATAATTGATGACCCAGTTTCGGTTACCGAGTTGGACATTCTCAATAAACAAGCATGCGTCTCGGATGTTTATAAAACGGACGTAAACTTTGTTGCCATGAGCCTGGAATTGTTTGCTACCTTTGAAGTGGAAGTTATGATGGCCTAGCGTCTACATAGAATAAGCTCCATACATACAAGACAATGCAATCGAGAAGTTCTTACTAAGACATATTGTTCAACATCAGACAGTTGAACATGGCCACCTTGCGATGTGGGTGCGACCATGAGGCACCGAGAAATACCGAGATCAGTGCTTAGCTCCGCATGAGCAAAGAGTTCGATAGTTCGCTTCTCTGCTGCAGGCTCTGTTGACCTGTCTACAACTAAGACGTCGCCTTGTGTACCGAGATATTTCATCTCTGGCTCGCTGCCTTGCGGATACAAAATAGTCGACGAAGGGGCGAAGCACGAAGCGGTGGGCGAGAGCTTCTGGCCAGCCTTGATGCCAGAACCGCTCAAAATCACAAACGGATCTCCAGGAACGTTAGCATCGCGAGGGTACAAGGGTTCACGACGTGGCAGATTCAATGAGTCGGGCGTTCCAAAGTTGAACCTGATTGGACCTGATTCTCGAACAACGCCTCCGATGGACTGAGGTGCCCTGAGAGATCTGGTAGATCCATCCTCGGGCGAGAAGGCCGTGAGGCGAGTATCAGGAGTGCCCTTAAATGAGTCTGCTACGCCGCTCGAGGAATGAGGGGACGTGGGGTTGAATACCCCGTCACGACTATGCGAATTTGCCATGTCGGTGATGATGTTTGAGTTTTCGATGAACGTCGAGCCAATACTCGCTGTCGTCGGATGTTGTATCGCAAGTCGAGAGGTAATCAACAAAACAACCTAGCGTCCCTGCTCCAGCAACAGGATTTGAGTAGCCTTTCCAGTCCTTGTGACGAGGAAAGTATGTAGAAGGTCGGGAGAAGAACACGCCGTGTCACAAGATTTTATGATTTTGGACTAAATCAGCGGTTCCAAGTGATTGACAACAAGCGGTTGGTATGGGGTATGCAAGGAAGAGAGACAGCGTCCAAGAGACTGGGCTTATTTTCGTGATATGGGATACCACGAAGATACCAGGAGAAGTGAATGTGCTTATTGGCTGGCAGGAACGATTGTTGGGAAACAAAAGTCGAATAGTCTTTTTTCAGGAACGCTCAGGAAGTGAAGATATCCTAAGGCTAGCTGTGTGAGTCTGTCTTTAGGAGTGTTGTCCTTGTTGGATGAATGGATGTCCTCGGGGGCCTACTTAAATGAGAGTTAGAGATAAGCTTTGAACACCATGGCGGAGATATTGGAAGCTTGGAGCACAAGTAAAGTAGGGGGAAAAAATTCACGAGAAGGCACGACTTGGAAGCTATGGTCACCGAACGTGACATGTATAGCTTGGAGCTTGGGGATCTATAGAAAATGAGGCATTGAATATGCATTTTATAGAGACTCAAAGCCACCGAAGTATTTCCCAATTGGGAAAGAAGTTCTTCCAGTATAAAGATGTCATAGGAGCCAAGAACGTGGCATATGTGGTCTAGTCCAGAACATTGGAACTTGGACCCATGAACTAGGTTTGGGTATAACTTCATACGAAGTCGGTGATGTGTGATGGGAAAAAAGAAAATTTGCAATAACATGATGGGTCGGTAATTAAAATGGAAAGAATGTGCTGACCCCTCAATCTCGAATAGCCAAACTACAGGAATGAAGATGCTAACAATGAATAAGACCGAGGCAAGAACGATATGTATAAATACTTTGCCGGCTGTGCAGTAGTGTAGCAGGAAGAGGAGATGGAATGTGAACAATGAACCAGTAGGGGAGGCGACTGGATAATGTCAGATAGGGACATGGTGGTCATATAGTCCGGTTATCTTGGGCCAGACCATATAGACATCAAGAACTAGCTGTTCATGTAGGAGACCAATGAAGAGTCCGACGTCATTGACGATGTTGGTGCTCAAAATTCGGCATGGGTCTGTTTCAAGATGTCGGATGCCATATTATCCAGGTCTTGCATTACTGCTACCGGAAGACACGACGTGCCATGAAGACGAGACATATGGTATCGATATGTGTCATTGGCGCCTTAACGCTGGCACATTGAACTGTCGGACACCGACAGCCGTAAGGTGAGGGACCAAGAATCGAAAATGCGATGCACAGCAGATGGGATGCGATGGAATAAAAACAGGCGAACTTACAAAGCTTGGGTCCTCCAACGCTGGCAAACTGTGCCGTTCAAAGTCATAGGTACCAACGAGTGTGAAGTGTGGTGATGTGAGGATGGGGGTGAAGATGTCAACGACAAAAGATCTCAGAGTGTTGGGTTGGAGAAGGAGAAAAAATTTGAACCTGCTCTGGTCTGAGAGTTCTTTTTTAAAAAGAAATTGGAAAAAAAAAACTGAAATTGGAAAGATTTCACGTTTTGGAAGGGAAGGAACGTTGTAGCATGCCTTCGTCCGGCCTGCCGACGACGTGCCTTCCTTGTATGGGTGAGCGGTTCAGAAATTGGTCTTGTAAAATTGAAGCGACTCAGTGACTTACGAAAGTAGTAGATATACTGAACTCACTCTTCTTGAAGAAATCAGCTGTTCGAAATTCAGAGCTTCTTAAATCAAGGCAATCTGTAGATGTCGCCGATTCTGTGAACTAGCCTTCTTTCAACAGGTGAGTGGTTCAAAATCGACAATCTTGTGGTCGTTGATGACCTGGTGGACTAGCTTCTTATCAGCAAGTGAACAGCTCCAAAATTTGGTTCAGTAGAATCGAGATGACTTGTGAAAGTCGACGATTTGTGAATATGTTTTCACCAGTTTTGTGGTTAGGAGCGGCATTTTCTTTCAACGTAGTGGTATGGTGTTGGTAAAGTGATGCAAAAGATGGTATCTTGTACATTTTACCGAGCTTTTTGGTTTGGCACGATGATGATTGAAGTGATGTGATGAAGCAGAGTAATTTTTGAAAATTCGGACCATCTTTTTTTTTATTGGAAGTGTTTAGTGTTATTATACCACACTTTTAAATCTTATGGTAAGCCTGTATGTATTGGAGTTTACGAAAAATGAGGTAACTAGCGGTGATAGAGGTGGTATATTGTGGTGGCAGAAGGAAAGTAGAATATAAGTAAGTAGTGAGAGTTGTGTATAGTTGTGAAACTGGTATGGCCAAAAAAAACTATTTGTGACCTTTCAAGCCTTTACTTCATCTTATTAATGATGAACCTTTTCAGTTGTCAAGTTTAAGAAGCATTTCATTAAGGAAGATGCTAACGGTTGTTACGTCTGAGAGAAACTTACAATGATGAGCGCTCTACTCAAAGCTGCGTTATCTAGTATGTGTTTGAAGTGATATGTCACTTTCACACGTTGCCAAGCTGCAAGATATCATTATTAGGAGATGTTGAATATCACGATTGAGTCAACCTCGTGGTTTCAGTCCAATATTGAGCATAACAGCCTTTTTGCATGGTCTTCTGGATTGTCCATGGCTTTACGTCTCAGCACCTAGTCAGAGTACTAAGTAGGCCCAAGGTGGGAAGCAGTTGAGGCAGACTTGGTTCTAAAGGTTCACCGGCACTTTCCTTGGAGAACAAGGTCAGACATATAATTAATGTGCAAACGGTCGAGATTGTTGGCTCATGAGGGCCCGCCCAAAGAAGTTCCCGTACATACATGGCTCAATAAACTGAGCTTGGAAGAGGCTGTCGATTTATAAGATCATATACATCGTAGACTTAGCAAGGTGCCCATTCGTCATTGCTAAGATAGACAAGTCAATGGCAGTCTTGTCGGATGCAAAGCAAGCCCAGTCTGGACAGTGGATAAGAGATTTGTGTGATCGCAACAAGTCCGCCTCACAATCTGTGACTTCTACAAATTGCACATTCGCTCACCTGTGGCGGAATCATATATTGAGTCTAGCACTTCTTCCAACACATACGACCATAGCTCTTAGAAAACTCGGCATCCCGTCCGCTCTGCCCTAGATAAACTGAGAAGCGCTGGATTAGTACTCAGATCGGTGACGGCTGGGGAATCCCCGGTGTTGTATGTTTTTGCACTCATTTTTTGGTGGTGGAGCTTGCTCGAATATCTCCCCTGGCTTTCTTTATCTTGAGTATTGTGTGGTTGGTGTCGAGACATTGTGTACGGATCCGTAAATGTAGACATACGCGGTGTGAACCAACCTTAGATCACTCGCTAGGGCACGTTGGTTTAGAGCTTCGGTACATATGATGACTTCTTGTTGCCCTTGGCTTAGATTCTGATTGCGAGGAGTACTTTCGCAATGAACGATCCCGACAAGCCAACAGCTCAAAAGCTCACAAGCATCATCCCATGACACCGAGATGCTGCAGGGGCACTCTCCAAGTCAGTTAGAAACAGTGGTGACAATCCTGCGTGTGTCAGAGGAGAATGTGTTTAGGAGGAGTTGCACGATAAGACATATCAAATACCATCTCTCGAGGGGTCATTGGAATCAGTAGTTGCCAAGATGTGCTGTTCAACGGCACGTGCCAAAGATGACCTGCAGTCCACTCCGCTGTGGGCATGTGGGTTTGTGGGGAGGAATCCGGCTCCGGGCAGCATAGAAGGCTTAACGAGCCGCTAAAACACATCTGCAGCTTGCCTCAACTTGCAGTTCTGGCTTCAAGCTCCATCTTATTATGTATGTTTCAAAAAAAGCTCCTTGATTGAACAGGCATCGCGTTTCTTCTTCCCATGGTACTCGCTTGAGACTGGAGGTTCTGGGACCGATAGAACGACCATTAGTATGATGACATGAGATTCACGACCAGGCGACTCCAATTCGATTACTGTTGCCTGACGAGAAGCCTATATTACTGCCCCGCCGCCTATTCGCATCTGGCTGCAGGCCAGCAACCACGCCCCGAGTCGATATGGGTCGAAGAGTGCAAACTTATGATGACTACGGCACAGCCGTTCAGCAGATTATCCTGTCCACGTCCGATGCCGACTTTCTCGATCAGCTCATTCCCGTTCTGAAAGATGCCGGCGTCACCAGCCGCACCTCCACACTTACCCAGTCGCTCACGCAGTACGCCGAAGATCGCGAGGCAGATATCGAGAGGATCGGCCTGACCAAGCACGAGGAGTTCTTGGCCTCTGTCAACCAGCTTCAAAATGTGCGCGAAGGCACCGTGTCGCTCACGGCCGAGATCCTCAAGCTCAACCAGTCGATACAATCTAGCACAGAGAAGTTAGCTGAGCAGAAGCAGGCGCTAGTCAACACAAGAGCAGTGCAGGAGAATATCCGTGATGTGTCCGATGCGCTCAAGGAGTCGCTCAAGATCCTGCACGCCGTCAATAACGCGCTGGAGCTTATCAAGAAAAAGCAGTACTACGGCGCACTGAAGAGTCTGGATGATACGCAGAATGAGTTCCTGATACCCATCCTGCAGAACAAGTACGCAAATCAACACAGGTTGGCCGACATTATCCAGAAGAGTATACCGGCAAGTCAGAAGAGCATATCAGAGGCAGTCATGTCGGATCTCAACACGTGGCTGTTCAGAATTCGAGAAACATCACAGTTCCTGGGCGAGGTCGCTTTCTGGCATACGGAGATGAGGCGGTCAAGACAGAGGGAGCGCGTGGAAAGTGACGAGTTCCTGGGCCATTTCAAACTCAACTCCGCCATTGAGCTTGTCTTTGACGAGAAGGAGGAGTTTGATGTTCTGGACAACGAAGAGCTCCAAGTAGATTTCACACCATTATTCGAAGCTCTGCATATTCATGACGCGCTTGGTCAGACGGATAGATTCCGCAGTGACTATGCAGCCACGCGAAGAAGACAGAAAGAACTGCTAATACCGAGTTCTGTCAGTCTGACCAGCGACGACGAGCAGTCGCTGAGCAGTTTGTTGGAAGGCATGGCTGGATTTGCAATCATTGAGAAAGCAACTATGAAACGGCTACCTCAGCTTCGAAGCAGCATTGACGTTGAGGAGCTTTGGGATTCAATGTGCTCATCCGCCATCTCTCTGACCTCGAAAGCGCTAGGGGAAGTAAACAACGCCGAGGTGCTTCTGAAAATCAAAGGCATGATCGCTCTCTTCATACAGACAATGGAAACCTGGGGTTATTCTGTATCAAGACTGGATGAGTTCTTGGTCGACTTGTTCGACCGGTATGCCGACCTCCTGAAACGTAGGTTCAGCGAAGACTTCCAGGAGATTGTCTCGACTGATGATTACATGCCAATGGCGATCAACTCTAGAGAAGAGTACGAGAAGGTCGTCAACGTTAGTTGGTTTGCACCCGAGAAGGATATCAGCGAGTTGACCTTCCCTTGCGTCTTACCTTTCTCACAAATGTACCCCCTGTGCTGTATTGACATCAGAAACTTTTTGAATCAATTTTACTTCTTCTCCGACGACCATTTTCAACACCCTACCAAAATTGATGAGACATTGCGAAAGGCAAGTCGAACACAGCCCGACCGCTATTGGACGTCCACTAACATGACAACAGTCCCTTGATATATTGTTGACTGAGAAAGTCTGCCAATCTCTTGTCGAGCGCCTTAGCTCCCAATATCTGGGTCAAATAGTACAGATCCTCATAAACCTGGAGCACTTCGAAACGGCTTGCACAGAATTGGAGCAGCTTCTTATTCGCGCCCGCTCCACCGCGTCCGCCGGCGGTCCGTTGACGCTGTCGGCCACCGAACAGTTCCGGGAGAACAAGAAGACAGCCGAAAAGCGCATTTTTGAGTTGGTCAATTCAAAGATTGATGACCTGGTGGAGACTGCTGAATACGAGTGGACATCGGCAACGCCGCCACAAGAGCCAAGCAATTACATGCAGACCTTGACGCGGTACCTCTCAAACATCATGAACTCCACGCTCCTCGGCCTCCCGCGCGAAATCAAGGAACTTATTTATTTCGACGCCCTGTCACACGCAGCCAACACGATTCTTGCCCTCCCTCTGTCGCCCGATGTCAAGAAGATCAACCCCAACGGTGTTGCCGCGCTCTCCACAGACGTCCAACATCTCACGGATTTCGTCGACGGGCTCGAGAACGGGTTTATGCTTAGAAGCAATCTCGACGAACTCGAGCAGACCGTTCTGTTACTGCAGAGTGATAACACGGACGAGTTCTTCGACGTCTCGATGAGAAACAAGAAGTATGGTCGTGTGGATGCTATGAATGGGCCCATCCTGCTGGAGAAGTATGTTGACAGTTTACTTATTTGTCATGGCCGCGTGGACTCACTGCTAATTGAATATGCAGACTTACATCGCAAATCTCGAGCTCCAATTCGGCTGCGGGACAGCGATTTGCGAACTTCTCTTCCAGGCTCCAGTTCAGTACGAAGTAATGACTCGTTGAGCTGCGAAATTCTGGTCCGGAAAGACCACACCGTCTTTCTACCCAGTATCCGCGACTGGCTAATGAGGAAGGAAGAGTTCGCAACTATATCACGGCGGCAGAGATAATGTTATCATGAGAAGCCAAATGTCATTTCGTCAATGTTGAAAGGAGGATACCCTTTGCAGAGCTGCCTACTGATGTGCTATTTGTACTGACCGCAATGGTCATTCATGTTTCAACTCAAAAGAAACCCCTAACGCCGAACCCTTCGTAATTGAGAAAGTTGCCATGAAGTGAAATGGAAAACCAAGCATCATAGACGACCTTTTCGGAGACAACTATACCAACTTATCTTGCTTCTAGCTGCGACCCGCCGCTGGTGGTAGGTGTGTCACTGAAGAGCCTCCCTCAATTGTCCAAGCGCCGACTCTTCCGAGTGGGTAAGGCCAGTATTAGATGAAGGTGGTTCAGGATAAGCGGACGCGGCCTGCTTCTGAGGCGTCTCTGGTGACGGACCCGTTACAGAAACGCCGTCATCCTACTGCGGCGGTTGCATCCCCGGATACGTGTACATATTATCCATCTCACCATACATACCGGGTGCCTGGCCATATGGCTGCTGGCCAGGCTGGACCTGGTTGTAGATGGGGGGCGGGTTGCGGTAATCCTGGTCGGGAGCACCCATGGCATGACCTCCCATGTCGTACCCGGTAGGCATGTGATTTGGCGGCGGCGCCATGTTATGCTGGCCACCGGGACCTAGGTTGGGTTGGGTAGAGCCCGGCACAGCGGCACCTCCTTGCACCGATTGTGATCCTGCGGGGTTTGCACGCTTTGCGTGGCTGGCCTCCTCGCGGGGTACGATATCGATGAGGAAATCAAACATGTCGCTCTTGGCGAGAGCGCTTGCAATGTCGGATCGTTGCAAGGTTCGGCGCTTGTTTTCTTCGGCGTGGATCCAGGCGCGCATAGTCAGCTCGGTGATGAAGATATCGCAGCCCTTGGCGAAGAGGATAGGCGCCTCGGCGGAAATCATCTTGACCTCGGGGTCTGCCTTCATGACCTTCTTGATTCGGGCGAGGGGCAGCTGGTGAAGCTTGTAGTCGTGCGTGTCAGACTCGAGATGGTTGATGGTCTGCTGCCAGTAGGTGGTCAAGATGTCTTTGTACTGCCCGTGCAGTCCTTGGTGTACGTTGGCCCATGGCCCAGTATAGAGCTCGGCGGGGGCGAAACCGGAGTTGGCAAGCTAGAAGGGCATGATGAGTAGGAATTCGCAAAGAGCAGAACCATGTGCCGGTATTATTAGAAAGACTTACTGCTGCGCTGGCGCCTAGAACAGAAAGTTAGCGACGTTGTACAGAACAGAGTCAAAAGCACGGCCACTTGGCCGCATTAGAGTTTCGATGCATGTGTACGTACCATAGTGGCCACCATGTGTCGTATCATAGACTGCATTCTGACTGCGCGATCCTTGCGGATGACTCGAAGATGATTGATTGTGGGGATCCATGTTTGCAGATTGGCTATGCGACGGATACTTGGAGGTTCTGCAGCAAACGGAGCGATTGGCAGAGATACTCGAGGCGGTGCGCGCTCCAAACACGGCAAGCTTTGGTCTGGTTTGGTTTGGGCCTCTCAGCTTTCAGGCTGACAAACAGACGGAGTGAACGAGAAAAGGCTTTCAGCGCAAAATGTGACTGATACACAGCGTCCGAACGTTGCAGAGTAAGACGGTTTTGCAGTAACACCAACAGAGCAGGTCTTGAGATCCTTTTGGTAAGCTTCTTGCTTCTTGGTCCTTGATCTGGCTTGTTTTTTTGTTTTTTGTTTACTTGAAGCTCACTTGCTCGGCTGCCTCGCGCGTTGCCAAATGATGTAACAAGGGAGAGGAGAGCTCGAGATAACTAACCTTAGCTGAGTGCTGCCCGCGATTGGCGTGGGTGATTGGCCAAAGCTCGAGGGGCGAGGGGACGAAGGACGAATCAACCGGGGCGGTGTGCGTGCAATACTCGCATCAAAAGCTGGCACAGTCTGGATGGGTTGGAAGACCAAGGTTCCTGTCGCGGTTTCCGGATCGCGGTGTCTCCACAAGAGGCTCAAACGTACACAAGCCAGTGGTTCGTCTGACTCGATGTAAACCTCTAGTTTAAATGTTCCGGCGATAGAGCTGATTGCTGGTTTCTGACTGGATGTGTTTTGGTTTGATGCGCAATGTGAGAGGTTACAGGTGCGGTTTTGAGCTGGTCGGCCAGTCGGGTTAAAGTCTGGTATGAAATCCGGGGAAGACTGGCGCGGGTAGTGCCGCCAGAGAGTGGTCTGTGTTGCTTCAAAGTCAAGAGTCGAGTCAGTTGTAACTCTCTTGCTTCAGATTCAAGTGACTGAGCGGAGTGCAGTACGGTACGGCACGGTATGGTACGGCACAGTACAAAATGCACCAACAATTTCTCCTCCCTAGGATGGGGCAGTGGGCAACAGTCAACGGCGATCTTTACGGAAGAATGACGAGGCTGAGTTCCAGTGGCAAAAAGAAAATGGATTCGCAAAAGACACTCGGCAAGGAACGACGACGTTTATTTGAGGGTTGGGTTTCAACTTCCCAAGAGTGTGGATGTGATTTGCCCAATGACGTGGGATCACCACTCTACAAGCTTAATACCAATATCTCATACTATCGGTGTAGGGCTGACGATGCATCTTTGCGTGTCCGTATGCCTTCACACCTCTTTGTGATTTCTTAACGTATGCATGCAACTGCCTGCCGCAACAGATGAATGCGCTGGCAATGTGGTTGGGCGTCAATGTCTCCTCGGCCTCGCGTTCCAAAATGACATGGGCCAGGTTCCCCGACACGGATTTGAAAACGACAACACATGCGCCATGAGTGACGCTGTCCATTTTTTTTTTTTTTTCCTCCCTCTTTCTCCCTTCCCCTCTGCGCCATCCACGTTCACTGTCAATTCTGAGGCTGTGGCGCTCTCGGAAAGCCAAAGTGGCAGGTGCTTCTGAGAAATGCTCTAACTTCAAACGGTCTTCTTTTGCTCCCTTTCCGTTGGCCTTTTCACCGGCCTTTTCACCGCCTGCTCCACTAATCCACCACTACAGGCAGACCCCATTTTCTGCCTGCTGGGTCTTAGGAAATTTTATTGCTGCAAATCTTCATATCTTACCCACCTACTCTACTCGCAGTTTACTCTGCCACATTTCGCAAACCGACTATGGCTACGGCGGTTGTCCTCAAAGAGAGCGACATTGAGAGGCTGCTGCAGGAAGCTGAAGCCAGGTTGTCTGCTAAGCAAGATGGCCACAACACCAAGAGCTTGACTGTGCCTGCAAAGCTGGATATACAGAAGCAAGACAAGGAGGCAATAACGGCCAGCACTTATCGGACCAAGTCAAACAACGCAGATGAACTCTCCGTGCGCCAACCTAAACTCAGACTGAGCAACAAAGCTTTTGCCGAGGTATGTGCATAATATTTCATCTCAATGGTCCCCCTCACCTACTTCATGCTCATGAAGACAAATAATCCCAATAAATGAAGCGGCAAATAACTCCCGTCATGGGTAATGTTGCTGCGACCTCCATGATCGATATTCATAGTTACACAGAAGCATATTCCTCACTTTTATTCGATAATCAAACCTTTTTTGCTGCAAAAGCTAACTTGCTCGTTCCAAAGACAACCAAACAAACTGCCAAGCAGTGGTTCGATCTCCCAAAAACAGACATGTACGTAAAGGAAACAACCTGCACCTCCGAAGGCTTTGGCTTTGGGAGAAGGTTTACGGGGAAGTGACTGACTGAAATATTTCAATACAGGACTCCAGAGATGATCAGGGATCTAAAGTTGCTCAAGATGCGCAGCACACTGAACAACAAGATCTTTTATAAGAAAGACAACAGGGCAGCCGTACCCGAGTTCAGTCATGTTGGAACTATCGTCGCCGGACCTACCGAGTTCTTCAGCGCGAGAATGACCAAGAAGGAGAGAAAACAGACTCTGCTCCACGAGGTCATGCAGACCGAGAAAGAGAACAAGAAGTTCAAGAGCAAGTACGGCGAGATCCAGAAAGCAAAGACAAGTGGCAAGAAAGCCCACTACAAGAAGATGACGCAAATGAGATATGGCAAGAAGTGAACTTGATGCTCTCACTGCCCACTTCCTACATGTCGAGGCAAACTCGCCTTGCTCGACCCACAATCAGCCTGGTAAGGCAGGATGGCAAGACGCACGAAGTGCACCTGCACAGTTTCCACACTGTTTGTGCCGGCTAATCGTTGCACTTCGCAATTGTTCTAGTTTTCGATCTGTTTTGAGAAATCGTCCAGCAGATCGGGAATGGCTATGTACACGGCGACCAGGAATCAGGTCATCTATGCTGAAGCATCAAGCTTGGCTATGACCCACCTTATGGCTCTTCGCAGAGACTGATTGACCATGTCTCAGTCCCATGAACACTACAATGTCATGCAAAGGAAGCTACGCCTGCTGAATGTTTCGTGTCCTATAAACGGAGTGAAACCGCTGCGTCGCGTCATGCAATGCGACATGCCGCCGCGGATATTATACAGCATAGTTGAACATGTCATTGCTTTTACCAAGCAATGACCGAAATAAATCAATTTACCAATAAATGAAAGGATTCAGCTTATGTACCCAAGCTTCTTCCTGTCTACATAGTATTTGCCCATGGTGATATTTACTTCCACGAGTGTCTTTCGCCAATGGACTCAACACTTGCTCGACTATGAAATAGTACATTATGTTACATTCATACACATCCGTACACAATGCAGATGCCCCTGCCTCCTACATATTGAGTTTCAGTAACTCTTCCAACCTATCATGATGACTGATGGGCACGTATCCTGACTCGCCGTCTTGCTCGTTCATCTGGCGGCGGCTCATCCTTAATTCGTGAAGCATTCGACATCGAAATGACCTTGAAAACTGACGTTACCACTGCTGGTGTGTTGTTGGACCACCTGCGCAAAAACAAGACAGCGATCATCTAGTGCCCAGGCGTTGTGACTGCCCTGTGTAAATGTTACTCACACGCAACCACTCGTGAAAGCAAGCCCTGGCAGTAACCTCTCCCAGCGAGCCTCATTCTCTCGGCCACAAGTGACGGAGGCAGTGCATGCAGGTCTCGTGCATGTAAAAACCATCCAGTACAAGACACTGACTGCGTTATGGTGTTATCGTATGACAGCATAACGGAAGGGCCCTAGTTGCTTGCTGAAGCAGGTGCCTGTTTCGCCCTTTCCATTGATTGAGCCTTTAGCGCTGCCAAATTCTCGTCAATGATAGCGAGTTCGGCATCGAGCTTCAGAATTTTCTCCTCTAGAAGTTTCTCATATTCTTTGTCCGAGAGCTTCTTCAGCGGGCTCCATTTGGACTCGAAAATACTCTTCCTCTCTTTGGATTCGCCGCTTGAGAACTTCTGAGATAGGTATGTAGTGCCACCTCCTAGTGCAGAAAAGAAGAGGACACCAGGTATAATATTGCTTGGGCCCCCTAGCTCCGTGTCAGTGTCCATTCGATCATGCTACGGGTCTGAGTGGGCTTACGAATCAAGCCTCCAACCATGCCGGACACACCACCAGCGGCTGCACTGGCCGAGACCTTGTCGATGGGCCTGAGGTTCTCCTCACCACCCCAGGCATGATGGAGTAGACTTCGCGAAGCTGTCCTGGTCAACGGACTGGCCGAAAAGACGTGCTCCTAGACAACATGCACCTACCTACGAAACTTGAACCAAGAGTGAACCACTGAAAACCGGCGAAAGCAGCGAACAAGGCAGGCGGGGCATTTCTCATGATACCAGAACCAAGACCAACAAAGCAGCCCACCACGCCTAAAAGAAAATAGCTCAGTATACATGTATCAGTTTGAGACAGTTCAACCACAACGAACCAGTCAGGGCGCCAGTCTGTAAAGACTTGGCGGCTATCTCGTAAAGCTCTGTTTTGGTGGGCATCTCATCGTGTATTTTAGGTTGAGTCGTGGTTGGAGATGGCCGCGCTGGTGGCGCTGGAGCGGCTGCCGCGGACATGGTGTACTGAGCGGACCAGTATACTTAGCTACGGTTAAGATTGAGATATCATGAACGCTCAGAGCGAATGTGTTGTGATGTGGGCACTGGGCAGCAGCGAGAACGAGATGGTACAACTCGGCTGGGCCAATAGAAGCCGAGCAGACTCGACGAAGTGAGTGGAAAAGAAGACCAAAGATACTATTAATAGGCCGAGACTAAGTGACCAGCTGGGGGAGGGATGATGAAAGTATGCTTTCTTGCACGTTCGTTCATCTCAAGTGTTGCAGCTCTCCCATGCTGCCGGGATTAAGATTAATAAAAGTTGCAGACGGGGCGGTTGAACCTTGCGCAGTAGGACGATCCAAGCGTTGCAGCTCGCTGGGCGGGCCGATGCCCAGTAAGGTTAAGAGAGCCAACCCGCTATTCAGGCTAGGCCCAATAGGCCATGGAACTGGGCGAGCCCCTCGGGCGAGCCCCTCGAGCCCTTTTTGTATTTTCCCACCTTTTTGGCACTTGGCATCGCACCTGCGCACTTGGGATAGTACGGCGAAAACGAAAAGCACATTTGAGACGCTCGAAACTTTTCAGATCCAGGTCCAGGTCCAAGTCCAGGTGCAGGTCCTGCCCGTCTCATTGCCCCTCTTGCACAAAGACAAGACATTTGAGGACGACTGAGGAAAAATCCCACATATCCCCTGTTCATGTATATCGGACTGAATTGAGTGAGTACACACTTGTGCTGTTGGTTGTTCTGCAGAGAGACAGACTACGATTACCGCTACAACTGCCACTTCCACCACCACTACCACTCTCTTGTCTCGTTTCTCTGACACCCTGAGTCCCCGAGTTCTGACCCCATTCTCCGCCCAGGCCAATAATTTATTGGATTCTGATTCTGCCGCACTCCATACTGTGTTGCATATTACCGCCTACCACAACCACCTAAGTTAAGTTAGGACCTCAAAAAAACTACTCGCCCCTCCCGACATCGAAGGACCACGCTTGGTTTTTCGACACCACACGACTTTCTACCTGCGCGCAGCGATCAATTTGACGTCGCGCGCAACTTATCAATACCGCAATCATGGGTAAGTCCCTCCACCAGACTTCTGTCACTCTGCCGTCCACCCACATCTTGCTGCAGTCTCAAATTGAGCCAGCATCTCAGATGGAAGGGAGCAAACGCTGCCGTGTGCCGAGACATCTCAGGTGATCCAAGGAAGAACACCATGCTAACTCTCACTCTCACTTGCCTGCAGCTCCCAAGAAGAAGGAGCAGAAGCAAACCATGTCCCTCGGGGCTTTCCTGCAGGATGACAACTACGGCGGCTCTTGGGCTGACGAAGTTGAGGAGGTTGTTGGTAAGTCCGGAAATCCCCGCAGCCATTGGCCGCCTTCTGCTTCCTTTCAGCTGCTAACCATCATTTGTAGGCTCCCAACCTCTCCCTGCCGCGCCTTTTGGAGGCGGTCGCGCGGGCGGCTCAGGATATTCTGGCTATGGCGACCGAGGCTTCGGCGGTGAGCGCAGTACGTTTCACTCTTTCCATCGGCCAGAGAGGCTGTGAAACTCCCATACTTCCACCGACATTGGCTTACCACCTTTTGCAGGCTACCCTTCGCGCGACTCCTTCCCCACGGAGCTCCCTACTAGGCCTCCGTACACCGCCCATCTTGGCAACCTCTCTTACGAAGCAACTCAAGAGGCCGTTACCGACTTCCTTGAGGGCTGTGACGTTACCAGTGTCAGAATCATCGAGGACAGGATTGAGCAGCGCCCCAAAGGCTTCGCCTATGCTGAGTTTAAGGACGTTGAAGGATTGAAGCAGGCATTGACCCTGGATGGACAGAGTTTCCAGGGACGCGGCATCAGAATCAAGATCGCCGATCCTCGTATGTTTACCAAGTCGTAAATTCCTTTTTTTTTTTTTTTTTTTTTTTTTTACCATCATGGCTGGTCACTAACCCGTCGCAGCCAAGGACCGTGACCGAGGCTTTGGAGGCGAGGGCTCTGCTCGCGACCTCTCCAGCTGGGATCGCAAGGGACCTCTTCCAGACCTGCCTCGCGAAGGAGGCCGCCGTGAATTTAGCGAACGTCGTGGCCCTCCTCGTGAACCTGCTGGCGACGACGGCCCTCGCCGCGACTTCAACTGGGAGCGCAGAGGACCTCTCTCACCCCTGCCTCAGGCCGAGGGCTCTGGATCTCGTGATGGCAGCCGGCCTGGCACCAACGATGGCAGACGCACCGATTCGTTCCGTGGCGAACGTGGCGAACGAAAAACCTCTCCAGCCACTTGGGGTGAGGGTCGATCGGAGGGCTCGCGACCTCCCCGTGAGTTCAGCGAAAGACCCGAGCGTCCTGAGCGCACCGAGCGGGCTCCCACTGCTGCTGATCTTGACAACAAGTGGCGCAGCAACATGCGACCTGACAGGTCGACCCCTGACCCTAGCGAGGCACCCTCGGCTGGCCCTGCTGCACCTGCTGGACGTCCAAAGCTGAACCTTGCTAAGCGTACTGTTTCGGAAGCTCCAGGTGTCACTTCGCCCCCTCCCACTGCAGGCGCTGACGCAAAGGCGAACCCATTCGGTGCCGCTCGTCCTATTGATACGGCCGCCAAGGAGCGCGAAATTGCCGAGAAGCAGGAGCAGGCGGCCAAAGAGAAGAAGGAAGCTGATGAGAAGGCCAAAGAAGACCGTCGCATTGCAAAGGAGAATGCTGCAAAGGAAGCTGAAGAGAAGGCTGCCGCCGCTGCTGAAGCTGAAAAGGAGAAGGAGAATGCCCCCGCGGCAGAGGCACCTGAGGCACCTGAGGCACCTGAGGCACCTGAGGCACCCGAGGCACCCGAGGCACCCGAGGCATCTGAAGCACCCGAGGAAGCCGAGGCACCCAAGGCAGCTGAAGATGCCGCATCTGGTGAGCAGAAGATTCCCACAAAGCCGAAAGAGCAAGCACAGAACCCCAAGTCCAGAGCCACAGAGGCTGGTAACTGGAGGTCCTCACCGTCGGGAGAGGGACGTGGCGGCCGTGGAGGCTACCAGAACGCTCCCCGAGGAGGACGTGGTGACTCTCGCGGTGGACGTGGCGATCGCGGAGGACGCGGAGCTCGCTTCGAAGGAGGCCGCGCCCCTCGCGCAAACGGCAACGCTCCAGCTGCTGCTGCGCAGCAAGAGGGCGCCCCAGCTACACCAACCACACCAGCCCTCGAGCAGTCGTCGGATCCTGACGGCTGGACCACTGTTCCCTCAAAGGGTCGACGCGCCCAAGGCGGCCGCGCATAGTTTGCCAGGCCCCTATGAGAGCGTGTGTACAAAAGATACCTTGCAGATTCTGCTTGCTCAGGTTTTGAATCCGGCGGAGGATTCTGTATGGGGAACCGACATGATACCCGTCACTGGACGAAATATGAACACTTCCTTCCGCCTCCCTCGCATCTCCTAGTCATGTGACGACCGTTTCCTTCTCTCAACGACTGTCACGCCCAAGAGAAAAACTCTACTTGCCCGCATAGATCTACACTAGGAACGCTTACTGATTTTTCGGTTGCTTACGAATGAGGAGGACTGGCAGATCGAATGGGTCTGGAACGTTTTTGATGCTGATGATGATGAAGAGTTGAAAACGGTGTGCTTTTTCGTGTGCACTTTCAAAAGTCATTGTCCATTGCAGGCGTTCTGGAATGGAGGCCTCTAAAATGAGATCTGAGTAAAGATCTTTGATACGACTTGACTTCTAGCTTTGTTCTATGATGCAAAGTAGAGCGGCAGAGGACAGAGACGAAAACAGCATCGTTATGGGATAGACTTTCGGTATAGGAAATACAGCATTGCTTGACATGAATGTTTAAAAATGTTCAAACTGACTCATGCTCTTGTGTCGTACATGTCTAGACATTGATATGCGTCGAACTGTTCTCCTAAGGTGGTGTCGACAAGTCGTCAATGGCGGAACGATGCTATCACATAACGTAGATGGTCTGAACTAGGAGCACAAGAAGTCGCAGATGTCTGGAGACGTTGTACGGGTCAAGGCAACGGCCGCACATTGAACAATACTGCAATGACCTATCCCAAGTCTTGTGGTAACTTGGGTGAATACGTCCCATCTCCAGGTCTATGTTCAGACAATCTTGTGTCAATTTCAAGCCGGTTCTCCTAAATGTATCCCTATATGTACCGACGTGCATTAAATTCCCCATGAACCAAAACTTGATCTCCCCGCAATCCTCCACACCTACGACTGGTTCAGGGTTATCTGTACCATGAGCCACACTACCCTCGCCCAGTGAGAATCCCTATGAGTGATTAGTGGTTCAGAGGTTCATTCCACTGCCGACATGTCTCGTATTCTGCCTGCCGTCCTTTCAGACGGTCGAAATTTTCTTTTTCAACAGACATGGCGACTAGCTAGCAAGGCCCGCGGCGAATGGCCTCTGTGGTTGGGAAGCTGTATAGCAGCAAAGACGAGGGGGCAGAGCAAAGATCTCACCGCGCGTGAGGACAGCTCAGCACATCGAGGGCAATGGGAGAAGAGCATACGTCGGGGAGAGACACGCGTGTGTGCGTGGACGGCTTGTGCCAGTACGTTATTGTATTTAAAAGCCGTTCGGGGTGGGATTAATAGAGACCCAACACTCGTCTAGACGACAACGCTTCCATATCGCTTGGGGACTATGCTAGGCGTCGTGGGATTACAACCGACACAGCTGTTCTGGATGGAAATCATACTTTTTTAAAACGTACCTGGACTCGAGCTTCAGTCGACACTATTTTCCCCTGTTGGAGGAAGCTTTTGCAAGATTTCTTCCCTACCCACCCCCCATTTTCCCGTTCCTTGCAACACTACCAGAAAAAGGACGGTAATTTCTCAGTCCTGTGAGCTATAGTCGATGGATCAACACAAAAAGTGATTATTAGGATGTCGAGCTTCTGGGAAAAAAGATTGACATCTGGGCCAGTGTATTTGTTCATCCAGATTGGTCATATTGACATGCTTAACTATAGTCTATCTAGCTACGTCTCGTCTCAGATCTATCATGATTCACCTTGCTCAAACCTTTCTAGATACCTTGACGACGCATGTCTCCTAGATCGAACCCAGTATCTACAAGAAAACTTCGAGGTTGATCTCCACTATGCTCACAGGATATCTCAAATCGAAATTCTCCAGCACAGTAGGGTGAAGGATACCAAATTCTCCTATCCGTGTTGCTTTACCATTGAGTCTGAGGTAGATAGCGGCAACGCGGCCCTCCTGTATAGCATGATTAGCTTCCTTCGCAGAATCTCAAGGACATTGGTGATCTTTTGGCTTACGAAGAATGTGTCCTCCTTAATTTCTTCCAACCAATATCCGTCGCGCGCAGTATGGTCTTCTGAAACCTTAAAGTCTAGGCTCTTGCTACTCTTTAATCCCTCCTCGGAAGTCAAGAAGCCTGTACCACACTGGTCAGAACACGTCGTGACGATAGGTGTTTGGGGTATTAGTGGGAGTCGGTTGGGGAAGACTCACCTTGGCGTAGCATCAACATAACTCTGTCGAGCAGACCGTGGACCTCCTCGAAACCGCTGGACTTGCCGTACCATGCAGCACTAAAGTGGCGCTCATTGCGGGCCTTACGCTCAACAGACTCGTCCTTGAAGACCTAATCGATTATTAGTCATCAAAACGTACAAGGAAGCGATTTCCTACTTACCACGTCTGAGGTCTCGAAGATCTTGATTGGAATGCTGTGCTTTTTCTGATGTTGGAGTTAGTAATGTAGCTAATATATGTTTTGGAGGTATGCTAGACAGAGTAGAAGCTGGTATAGAAAGCTGCTTACATTTTCTCGAATCGTCTTCAGGAGACCTGGCACCAATGAGGTTCTCACAATCTGATACTCAGCTGTCTTGGGGTTGGCGAGCTTGACTGCAGTCTTGCCATCATCTTTCCTATTGAGCCACGCAAAATTCTCGTCATGTGAACAGAGAATCAAGGGCATCACCTCGGACCTAACAAATTCATGTCAACATCTTCTTTTCCTCAAGCCGAACAGAAGATTTCTGGTAGTGGAGGAGCAACACATGGTGGGATTTGCGTGCGGATCAGATTTGACACTTACCAACCTGCCATGCCACATTCAAATCGAATAATATCAGCCAACTTGTTAATGGTCAGAGGTTGTCCTGTTGTGCTATTCACAGACATGCGCGGAAGTCGGTTGAACCCGAAGGCGATGCCAAGGTCCTCCATGATATCTAAGACTGGAGTTCAGCAAAGAGACTTCTGGAATTAGCAAAAGAGTACAAAAACTTACCGCATCTTTGGAGGATGTCAGCTCTGTTGGGGGGATAGAGACGTCCACAAAGCCCTTCTTGCTTGAGGGCTTAGCAGAAAAAGACATCTTTGACAGTAGCTGTGAGATGCTCTCCTCGGTTTCATGAATACCAAGACAGGCGTTAAGGTAATCGATCTCTACCTCCATGCTTCTTGCCGATAAGTTGGGCGTGATCCTCGACTGGTCACAATAATTAGTACTTTGTCATACCAGAGCGTTTCGGGGTATGCTAGAGGATTACCTTCTGATTATGCTCAGACACAATCTTGACTGGCTCGATGGCGTACTGGTCTCCACAATATACAGAGAACATGGTTACCTGCAACACCAAAAGTCAGTAACTGCTCCTTTCATAATAGTGTAGCTAGTTTGAAGAGGTACACAACGTATGTAAGTCAAAATCGTAGCACACGCTCCCACGATAGGTTGAGTAAGGAGGCCGGAATACATACCATCATGTTAAGAACTATGTCCAGTTTTGTCTCGTCTGTGGCGGTGCATTCGATCTGATGATCACATCAGTAAATAGTACATCACGGCATACTTCAGTAGACGTACGAAGACATTCGTGCTGTCGAGAGTGATCCTAAGGATGGTATATTAGCAAGACCATTCCACAGCAAAGAAATCAAACGAAGCATACTTGGAATGATCACCATTTATGATCGGCGGTAATGAGCATACGGTTCTATTGGCGTCGTAGATCACGGGGTATACTATTTGGCCCACATCGAATTAGTGATTTCTTTACACAGGCTGGTTCAGAGTGCGTTTGAGCCTTTTTGATGAGAACTGACCTGGCTTGTCCTTGATAATGTAAAGGTAGCGACCAAGATTCTTGTCCTTGTCGTAGAACTCCATCAATTGCTCGCCATTCATCTTCTTGGTTTGATTCAGGGGCGTGAACTCGATGTCCTTGGGCGGCAAGGCCTCATCTGTGGGGTAAGATTAGGTTTAGGACTTGTATGGAATGAATGGAGGCTTACAAGTGAAGGGGCCCTTGACAGTATCGTAGTCGTGGGTACCTGCAACATGTGGAATTAGCAATCACTTCTTCGAGGCTGTTGAATGACATCTGGGAGCTTACCAATAGCGACCAAAGTGCGACCTCTTGCGAGGTTCTGGTGAAGCTTGTCTTGTAAAGATATGAAGGACTCGTAAGTCTCCTTGGTGAATTTGACATTACGCAGGATAGCGCCTGCTACCAATGGACGGACTTGCTTGGTGTCTTCCTTGACGAGGATAGTTTCGAGGTTTCCGTCGGCGGGTTCGACCAGCCTGAAGTTCGGGGGGGACTGCTTGCCGCGGAAGATGTTGAGCATGACTGTTTCGAAGTCAGTAACCACTCCTTGGGTAGTAACAATGGCAAAGAGCCGGATTGCCTCTGATAGACAGTACATGCTCCTCCAGAGACGGGGCAGGAAGACGGGATCGGAAGGAGCTTACGCGCAATACCCTCGAAACACAACATATCATAGCGATTCGCGGGGATCTCAATTTTCAGTTGAGCTGGCTCCCGAACGCCGTCAACTATTGGTCTGTCGTCATTCTCGGTGTCCTCGTCCAGCTCAATACCAAACTCAAAGCAAAGCTCTTCGAACTCCTCGGTCGTGTACCTGTTCGGAGGCCGTGGTTAGCAGGGGAGGGCAGGGGGAGCGGGCTTGTGTGGTGGCAGGGACACTGGCGCACTTTTGACCAAGAGCCTCGACTACATAGCATGTCAGCATCTACTCTCCGCCTAGTTTCTCGGGGTTTGGAGGAAGCGGGTTACTAACAGAGCCTGCTTTTGTGCACTCCGACGGTGGGCATGGTGAATAACGATTGCCTCGAGGAAGTGGGATTCGGGGAGTCGGTGTGCCGTAGGGGATATAAATTATCGTCGAGCTGGAGGACCAAGACCCTGCCCGCCCTGAGTCACAGAAATTTGGCTGGTGTTTGGCGGGCAGCAAAGCTCAACCCCACGTTGAATGGGCGCGGCAATATGCGTCTAAAGGGGTCACTGTTTCGGGCACGGGCAACGGCATGTACATTGGGGATCCGTGGTGTTCTAAAGTCCTCACCAGCCACACCCGCCCCACCTCCAGGGCGATAGATATCCACTTGAGACGCATCATACAGTAACTTCCAATGTGGCTGGCTTCGAAGTCGGGCTCAGTCCAATGGATTGGTTTGGTAACTTGGTGGAGGCTTTGGAGGGGCAGGGGAGGGAGCCTTGACCTTCTCTGCAAAAGCATTCCCCGTTTTCCACAATCGACCTCACCAGGCCACCCCCCAAAAGAGAGATACCCCTCGATGACCTAATAAACAACGATACAGATAGACCCGAACCATCCAGCAGGAATATCTACATACGTAACATATTGTCCCTCGCTTGTTTCTTGTGGCGTCTGTCCCCTTTGGACTTCAAGCACGAGCACAAAGCACAAGTGCCAGTGCAGGCAACAAGTACAAAGTTACCAGCTTTGGCTTTCTCGCTGCACCCACACTAGTTGGGCCAAACAGCAGCCACACATACCTGTAACTACTTAAGGCGAGGCCGGGCAAGGCAAGGCACAAGCACAGCACAAGCACAAGGCGAGCCCAAACACAACTGACTGGTATGCGTTCAAAGTCAAGCGGGCCTTCAAGTTAAATCCTCTTGCATCACTCACCACGCGATCAGCAATCAATCACCACTCCTTCCACCCGACCACCTCTGACTATTCCCGCCAAAAAAACTCACCACGACAGCCACTCTAGGGCACCTATTCCAACCTGGTAGCCCATCATGGCTGACGCGCCCACTGCGAGCGACGAGCTCTACCCCATCGCCGTGCTCATTGACGAACTCAAGGTACGTGTGGGTCGGGCGGTGACCACCAGCGTCATGTCGGTATTCGGGAGCACTCCATGTCAATTAACTGTTTGCCTCATCCACAGCACGACGACGTCCTCCTTCGACTGAACGCCATTCACCGCCTCTCGACCATCGCCCTCGCCCTCGGCGCTGAGCGCACGCGCGAGGAGCTCATTCCTTTCCTTGACGGTTAGATAACCCCTACCTGTTCCTGGATTGATGCCGTCCGTCCCCTGCCTGCATCAACAACTAACCCCCATCCAGAGTCGGTCGAAGATGAAGATGAGGTCCTTGTCGCCCTCAGCGAGGAGCTTGGCAATTTTATCGAATACGTCGGCGGTCCCCAATGGGGTCACGTCCTCCTCTCCCCGCTCGAAAACCTCGCTGCCATCGAGGAGCCCGTAGTCAGAGACAAGGTTGGTCCTGCCTCCCCATCGCATCTGCCCATTCAATGTACCAGCCCGCCCCCTGCTCACAATCTCTAGGCCGTCGAGTCGCTTAACAAGATCTGCATCGAGCTGTCCTCTCAGCAAGTCGAGGAATACTTCATCCCCCTGACCACTCGTCTCTCGAAAGCCGATTGGTTCACATCCAAGGTGTCGGGTTGTGGCCTGTACACTGCCCCTTACTCGAAAGTCTCTCCCCAGGTCCAGGAGACCCTCCGACAACAGTTCGGTCTCTTGGTACATGACGAGACCCCCATGGTGCGCCGCCAGTCTGCCACGCATATGGCCAAGTTCGTGAAGGAGATGCCGGCAGCCGTCGTTGTTGAAGAGATGATACCCCTCTTCCAGCACCTCGCTCAGGACGACCAGGACAGCGTGCGGCTTCTCACAGTCGAGATTCTCATCTCAATTGCCGAGGTTGTACCCAAGGAGCAACAAGCCAGCCACGGAGTCCTGCTTACGACCCTGCGGAGCCTGATAGAGGACAAGAGCTGGAGGGTTAGATATATGATCGCCGACAGGTTCGAAAAGGTATGATAGGCCACCTCTTGCACACGTGTCTCATGTTTTCTGACGTACTGTACAGATCGCCAAGGCGGTGGACGAAGAGGTCGTCTCAAGGGATCTGGTTCCTGCATTTGTCAAGCTACTGAAGGACAATGAGGCCGAAGTGCGAACTGCGATTGCTGGTCAAATTCCTGGTTTCTGTGCTCTGGTCGACAGGACCACCCTTCTCAAGGACATCATGAGCAATGTTGAGGACCTGGTCTTGGACACATCTCAACACGTCCGTGCCGCTCTGGGTACCCAGATCAGTGGCCTCGCTCCCATTCTGGGCAAGCAAGAGTAAGTTGCACGACGATACTCGTTTAGCGTGGCTTAACGTTTCTGACCATCCAACTTAGGACTATCGACCATCTACTTCCCATGTTCCTCCAGATGCTCAAGGACGAATTCCCTGAAGTGCGCCTGCACATCATCTCAAAACTTGAGCTTGTCAACCAAGGTATGAACTCGTCGGCGATGCATTACTCTTTTGTCCCTTGCTGACATATCCAGTCATCGGTATCGACCTCTTATCTCAATCTCTGCTGCCTGCCATCACACAGCTCGCCGAGGACAAACAGTGGAGAGTCAGGCTTGCTATCATCGAGTACATTCCTTTGCTGGCCAGCCAATTGGGTGTCAAGTTCTTCGACGAGAAGCTCAGTGGGTTGTGCATGGGCTGGTTAGGTGACACCGTCTTCTCTATCAGAGAGGCCGCCACGCACAACCTAAAGAAGCTCACGGAAGTCTTCGGTGTCGAGTGGGCCAGTGAAGCCATCATTCCCAAGGTCATGGCCATGGGTTCGCACCCCAACTACCTGTACCGAATGACCACTGCCTTTGCTATCACAGTACGTGAACTTCCTCAAGTGACCATGCCTCAAAACTCGCTAACAAATTGACTCCTAGACACTGTCAACCGTTGTCAGCCTGGACGTTATCGACAAGTCGATTCTTCCCATGCTTGAGAAGCTTGTGGAGGACGACATTCCTAACATCCGGTTCAATGTCGCCAAGACATATGGTGCTCTGGTGGATACACTCAAGCGACTGCCCGAGTCTGGCACGATTTACGAGTTGGAGAAGGCCGGCTCAAAGGACCTGACAGCAGCACCGAAGTCTCTGGAGTTGATTACTTCGAGGATCTTGCCAAGTCTGGAGAAGCTGCAAAAGGACGACGATGTGGATGTCAGATACTTCGCAACGACGGCAGCAGCGCAAGCCCCGGGTGCAGGTGGAGAACCGATGAATACGTCGCCGTAAATGAGAGGGAGGGAATCCAATCATGCAATTGCCTGTCTCTAAACTTCGCGTTTTCTCAACTGCACGTAGATACAGAAGCATTGCGCCAACTCATGACAACAGCATCAAAAGAACTGCCCCTTAGAAAAGAACCGACAGCACAAAACGGATAAGGACTCGGCCTTTCTAGGACTTCTTAGAAATCGAGTCTCGTTCGCTAATGATTTACTGAGAGACAAATATTCATAGATCGAGCCAAGAGACGTCTCAAATGCGAGCATGGAAGACACTTGATCCTATGAACACTAGGAGCATGTATGATTAAAAGGGCAGCAGAAGTCATGAAAATAAAAGAAGCAACGATCTATAGAGGGCTTCCTTTGGCTGTGTCTATGCATGGAGGTGTGAAAAACAACATGTGCTGCTGATTATGGGTATCAAATGAGTATTGCGCTAACTTGTATGTCGTTTTCCAAATCGGTCATTTGCCAAACCGAAATCATTTGGGATTACCGTCCAACCTTTCGGAAGCAAACACTGCTGATGGTTTGTCCCTTGACTCCTCCGAAACTGAAACTCCTGTACTCGATCCGATGTTCCACCTCAAACCGGCCATGCACCTCACCCCCTTCGTCGGACTTCCCAGCAAACCACTTCTCCAGCTCGTCTTCCGTCCAGTTGCAACTCGTGATCAAAAACAGCCCGCCCTCTCTCACCAGGCCAAGCGCAGCGGCGCGGTATCCCTCGTTGATGCGCCGACCCAGACCATCCGTGGCGGACGACAGCGATATGGCATCAAACGTGCCCTTGTCCAGCACCACGTCCCAGCCCCGACTCTGGGCACCGGACAGGATGGCGGCGGCAGAGGCGCCGCGCGCCGACAGGATGTCATGCTGTGCGAACTCGACCGGCTCGCGGGACGGCGTGGGCTCGTCCTCGCCCTCGTCCTCGTCCTCGTCCTGGTCTCCTCCGAACCGCTCCTGTCTCGTGTCGTTGATCCGCCGCGCGAACTGCACGCTCTTCTCGCTGTAGTCCACGCCCAGCATGCGCCCGGCCCACCCTTCGTCCCTGAGCCCGAAGAGCAGCTCCCCGTTGCCCGTGCCCAGGTCCAGGAAGCTTGTCTGGCTCCTCGCGTGCCCGTGGTCTGCCTGTTCCTCCGTCGAGGAGAAGTGCTCGGATAGGAACTGCAGGACCTTGTCCTGGGCTCCCGAGTCGTCGAACCAGTTGGTGCCCGTGTCGGAGGGGTTGGAGGTGTGGTTCGATATCTCGCGCGTGTAGAGCTCGTCCCAGCTGCAAGAGTAATGGTCATTTGGTGAGAAGAGAGAATTTACACTAGTCGTTGGCGAGGGCGAGGGCGAGGGAAGCCAACCTTCCTTCCCGCCAATATGGCTACGAAGGAAAAGCAAGCGCGGTGGAAATGAATGAATGCGCCCAAAAAAAAAAAAGGGAGAAAAAAAAAAGGAAAGGGGGAAGGGGGAAGGGGGAAGGAGGAAGGGAGAGCTGGTTACACTTACTACTCCTTCGTTCCCAGCTCCGAGGGCTCGAGGTGGGTTGGATTCGCAATGTCCGTGATCTCGGCGGCCATCTTGTCGATTCAAAATAACACGGCGAAGGCTATTGCTTATAGATCCTCGATTAGTTGGCAAGAGAATGGCTCAGTCGGTATCATGCTTATTCGAGGTGTGTTTTCCTATAAATGCGACGGCATCTATAGTGGCCGCTTAAGATTGTTCGGAGGGGTAAACAACCTAAGCTCGCTGATTCATGGAGGGGCACATGGCAGACGGCAGAATTGTCCGCCTGCAAGGGACCCAGGCGGTGTAATGCTATAGACGTGCACTAATAATAAGGCCTGGTCCTGGTCCGCAGATATCTGGGTCATTCATTCTACTACTTAGCCTACAGTAACCTACCAATTCTTGTGTCCAGGTCATGGACAAACCAGCAGTGCATTCATCATGTTCGCAAATGTGCCAATGGACAACGACTAACCAATTTTCAATTCGAAGAGGGGTATAAGAATGCAACCTTTTCAGCTTCTTTTTCGTCGTTCATCATCGCTGTACCGCCTGGCCGCCCCACGCCATGCCATGGGTTCCATGCCCGTATGCGTTGACACCAGCTCTTCATTACCCATACCCATACGACTCGGCAACCATGCCGCGCTCTTGTGAGCATACTCAATCCATAAGCGGATTGGCTTCTTCGAGTTTTCTCATCAGATTGACGGTAAAGCATGCTTCAGGACTGGACAAGATTCCGTCCTGCCAGCTTGTCCCGATATTCGACCGCCCATAGTCTTCTCTGAATCATGCAGTAGACGCATATTACCACGGACATCATGTCCCTATCCAATCCAACTTATCCTAAGATGATTAATAGCGAGTAAGGGCGATATTTATCGGGTTCCAACAAGAAAGTACTCCCCCGTGGGGAGGAGCTACAAATTTGAGTGGTGTGGGCAACGGGACTTGCTCCGAGACTGGCTACTATCCAAGGTTCCATACGGGTGCCTTTACCAAGACTTGCCTCCCGCGCACTTCGACTGCCACGAAACCGGCAAAACGAACTTTGGTGGTATCCTTGGCTGGAACGGCTGGGGTTGCTGATGGGGCATCCATGTCAGTATTCGAAACGACGCTGCCTTTCCGGCTGCCTGGAGGCGGTACGCCACCCAGCATATTCAACATACCACTCTTAGGCTTATCTCGCTTTGACTTGTCACCATCTTGGCCACTGTCCTCTGCATCTTCGCTATCCGGTAAGGGAGGCAATCCTGCTTTCTCTAGCTCCATGAAATCTGCTTGTATTGTGTCGCCTGGCAACGGGTACGTCACGGCAACGTCACGTGATTCCAATGACAGATTGGCTGCGATTCCCACAGCAAGCTCGACAATCATGGCGACGCTACCTTCCACTCCCGCAGGTGGCGGTTCCACCAGGTGCTGGTAGAGATGCGCCGTCAGGTTGCCGGACACCAACGTTGTGAAGTCCACACGGTTGTCCTGACTCTCCTGGGACTGGAGGGCCTGTTGAAGTCCTTCTAACGTAGCCATCCGCCAGCTGACAACTTTGGATGTCAGAGCATCAAACTCCTCTTGGCTGGTCAAGGTATATGAGAATCTGCGAATATTTTGCTCAATATCCTTGAGATGCCGACTGAGTTCCATATCCAGTCCGGGATGAAAGCACTTGTTGAAAACCTCTTCCAGCACCCAACGGGCAATTACGGCACGCCCCACTGCTGTCATCTCTTGCTTTCCAGTCCTGAGTGCTTCTACGCTGACATATCTATCGATCCAGGATGGCAGTGACTTCCAGTCCTTGCGGATGTTGAAGGACAGGTTGTTGATGGCACCGTTCAATCGGTTGAAGCGAGTGGTATATTCACTGTCGTCAAGCGCGGTTCGAGACTGTGATATGCGCTGGTTGGCTACAGCATTTTGCAACTGCTCAACCTGGCTGGTCAGTTGTTCGATCTGAGCCTTGCCGTCGAAATAAAGTCTCTTGACGTTTTTGTACTTTGTCACTGAACGCGATGTTAGTTAGGGCCGGTGGATTTGCTTAGTCTGAGGAAACCCTACATAGATCCTTGAACTGCTTCTCGTCCGCTTCTCTTTCCCCTCCGGTTGACGGCTGTGGACTGTGCCGGCCGGTCTCAGTGCCACCATCGAACTGCTGCTGTTGCGCCTGCCTCTCGGGCACATTGCTCGCCCGGAACTCTCGATTGGGCTGCGCAGGCCCGGGGGTTGGTGGTAGTGACCCCATGTTGCTCATTGCTTGGCTGTGCCTGTAATTAGGGGGTGGTCCTGGAGGTGGTTCGATATTGCTTCCTCGCATCTTCGTGTCATCGCCTGATCTGCGGCTCGTAGGCCCTCCGGAGGGTGGTGCCATGGGGACAGGCTGTGCCAGGGACGGTAAAGGGGAAACGGGCTGCTGACTCTGCGGGACTGTAAGTTCCTGCTGCATGTGATTCACGGCGGGTGAGGCCTGGGTGGAGTGGACGTGTGAAGAGCGCTGATCCGAGTCAGTCACGGGGGATTCGTACGATTGCTGAGAGATGGTCTCTGGGTTCGAGTGCTGAGATGCAAGGTGCCCAGTATAGATTCTGGGTGGGTTGCCCTGCTGATAATGAGTTTGGGCCTGGGCCTGAGGGTGTGCGTACTGCTGATATTGGTCCTGAGGCTGAGCAGGGTCGACAACGACGACTTGTCCGTAGCGGTGCTGATGCTCGGCGTGAGCTTGCAATTGGGCTTGGGCCTGATGCTGCTGCTGATGTTGTTGTTGTTGCTGCTGCTGCTGCTGCTGGAATGCTAGACTGCCGGAGTTATAGGGCGGTGGCTCCGTGTCGGTAGCGGGTACCTGCCGTATAGTGTTCTGGTTTTGGTGGGGGTGGGGGCGGGGTGTTTCTGGGCCCGAACGGGATTGGGTCTGAGCCTGAGCTTGAGCTTGAGCCTGGGCTTGAGCTTGAGCCTGAGCCTGAGCTTGAGCCTGAGCCTGAGCTTGGGACTGAGACCGGGACTGGGACTGGGACGGGGACGGGGACGGGGACGGGGCCTGGGCTAGGGCCTGGGGATGGAGACTCTGTGCGCGAAGATCTGGGTTAGGTGAAGATGTCTCGGCGGAATAAGGTTCACTGGTTTCGCCTACGCCTTTGAGTGGTGAAGTCTGAGTGGATTGGCGCTGTTGCGGTGGCTGTTGCCAGTCGGGAATCTGTTGTTGCTCCAGTGACACGCTGGTCCTGATCGAGGGTGGAAAGGGATTGCTCACTCGCTTAGACGGCTTACGAGCAAGACCGGTAGGGTTGTCGTAGGGATTGCTTTGCTGGTGGTGATGGGAACCAGAAGAACAAGAACTCGAGGAAGTTGCGGCTCTGCTTGCGGAGGCTCCTTGAAGTATCTTCCTGATCAATTTGCGGGTGGACTGTTTTCCTTCCGTGGGGGCGGGTTGATTTGGACTTTGACTTTGACTTTGGCCTTGGCTCTGGCTCAAGGTGTGGTGGTGAGACTGAGACCCAATGGGATAGCCTGATTGCGCCTGCGGAATGAGGGGTGACGAGATAGTGTCAGGCAGGTTGTCGGCTGAGCTTGATGCGGGCCCAAATTGCTGTTGGGTCTGCAGTGGTGACGCCTGCGGGTAGCGTGTAGATTGTGACCGCGACACAGAATCAGCAAAGTCTTGATTGTGGCTCTTTGGCAACTGGTGTTGCTGCTGTCGCGAATTATTACTGTAAGCAACGGCACCGGCAGCTGAATTGGAGATGCTCCCAGTGGGGTTATGGTTTGACGTAACAATAGTAGTAGCACTACCAGGGTTAGCAGCATAGGCCTGGGCCACCTGGGGTAGACCCGGTTGCTGTTGAGGTGTCAGAGGCGGTTGCTGCTGGCCAAGAACCCGCGAATGGTGTTCCTGTGAGCGCTGGTGCTGCTGTTGCTGCTGCTGCTGCTGCTGCTGATGATGTGATTGAAGTAATTGTAGTTGTTGTTGTTGTTGTTGTTGTTGTTTGTTTTGCGCCTGCTGCTGGGCCGCCCTTGTCTCGGCGTGTTGAAAGGACTCGCTTGAGCTTAATGCAGCGGACGAGGCTGAATGGGGGGTAGTAGAAGCAGAGGCACCACCAGCTTGAGGCCCTGGGCCAACTCCAACTCCAGCGCCAGCGGATGAGCTTGAAGTTATCAGCGACGGCGGCGCATTTGCTTGCTGCTGCTGCTGTTGCTGCTCGACCAGGTTATGCTGGGAACGGTTGCTGAGCCTGCCAATCCGTCCGAAGGAGGGCATAGTTGTCTTATTACCCCTTTGTAGCTGGGGGGGCTGTTCCCTCCTTAGGCTCGTGCTGTGCTTGACACGCAACGAAACAAAAAAAGAACGCGTCCAGTCAATCCTCACCTAGGTTAGGTTGCTTGCTGTGTGCACAACTTCCAAGCTTGCAGCCCGGTGACCTGTGTGAGAAAAGATGGGACGGGATGATCTGGCCTTGCTCGGCTTATTCCCCAAAGATGCAAAGGCTGACGCTCTTTGGCGGGTTCAGAGTTGGCTATCCGGGAATATTGGGCCTGTTGCAGCACTATTGCAGGGGGCAAGCAGCATTTAGGGGGGGCTGTGCAAGCTGTGCTAAACCGAGCTGCTGCGCTGATGCTTTGCTTCCTCCTCTCCACACGAGGATTAGATTGGGATGCGATGGATTCGGTCTTTTGGTCGCAATAGCCCTTTGGAGCTGTTCAATGTTCCGGCGGCTGCGTCCGGCGTCAAGCGAGAAGTGAAGGGATCCCGTCACAAAGGCTAAGTAGAGGACAAAGAATAAGGTATCCAATTATAGAGACAGTTTCAACATCACCAGGCGCCCGTCAAAAATGATATCCAGCGCTCCAATGTCATTGAGTGAGACGTTTGCTTTTACAGCGCGGAAGACGAAATGAAAGAGTTGTAAGTTAAGTGGGAGAGAGTCAGATTACATCAAGCCCAAACAAATCGCGACAGGGCTGCAGAAGCTCATTAACCGATGGATTACCTTTCCCCTCCCATTTGCAAGATAACACGCCAATAAGGGTCCATCTAAAAGTTCCCAGCTGAGAAGGGACCTACATCCTCACCAAGCCGGCTTATTCTATCCAAAGCAAAGCAAAAGACTCGCGCCTTTCGGCCATGATTCCCTTATTTTTATTTTTATTTGGTCTGGTATGGAGACTGGAAAAGACCGCAACTCGGCGCAGACGGGGGTGTACTTAACCCTATTTGGCCGAACAAGAACCACCCACTTCATGACAAACTCCCCGAGGTTGTGTTGTTGCCAAAGGTTGTTGCCCATGATTCAACACGTTCCAGACACGGCGACTTTCAAAACGTTCGTATATGTGCAGAAATAGTGGATGTCCATGTGAGATGCAGGTGGCAATTCCATCATCTCGGACTATTGGCAGATATACTTGCGCATTTCTTCTGCAATGCATGTCCCGTATCACAGGAATTTCCTTTCCTGACAGGCTATTGACGTTTTCGACTCTGTTTCGGGCAGTGCTCTCTGCCACTAGATCGACGAGCGCAACTGGAGCTACCTCAGATACCTAGTTAAGCATATCTTCAAGCGAGTGTGTAGCAGTGCTCCATGTCAATTGACCAATGCAACCTCGAACATAACAGAAAGTTGCACGCAGCCCGGGGTCTTCTTATGTGAAACCGGTTGCGTGCAGTTGACTTTACTCAAGCCGCCCCCAAAGCAATAAGGTCGTGAGATGCTCCTCTCGTGGGGAACCAAGGTCGATGCAGGGAGTTGTAAAAGCTAATCCTTGTCTGAGTGGGACCCCTAGTTTTCTTGGTTCCTCGAGAGTCTATAAATAGACATCGCTAAGCTCTCACTTACACCGCAAAAAGTTAGAATATCCCTCTAGTTCTTACCGACTATTGCTAGTCCCAGCCCTGTTTTCTCAAAGACGTTGATACGCATCCGAGGGGCCGAGGAGGACGGTGGGGAACAAAGAAAAACACATATTCCACAGGCGGTAGACAAACAAGAAGTTTCATTGCCTTCCAGTAGACTGAAGTGCTGTCAGGTATTGCGGCATAGCGGGTTATCTCGACAAGATATCCCAATGCAACACTGCAGGTGAGCAGGCGGAGCAAGCTGGGTCGCATTGCAGCGAAGAAATAACCATGCATGAGAGGCACCAAAAGTGCTTCCGTGAAACTTGATTCAGTCGAGTGCCAATATCTCACAGTAGACCCTTTGAGGAAAGGCCTAGCTGCAAGCCGGTCGATCAGTGAACGAGAATCCAAAGGTCGGCCCGCATCCAGTCCGCTAGGTGAAGAGGTTGTCCGTTAGAGTAGTATACTACGACCATATGTAACCCAGCTCTGTTTGAATCTCGAGCTTCGACCTATCATGCATACTTAACACTTTCTTGGTCTGTATCAGCTGGAGCACTGCCACAACGTACAAGGCCTCACGTGAAGGTTTGAAACTCACGATACGTGTTGGAGTTATTTTTATTTTGATGAACAACATCAGTTGTACACGATATTGGGCTCTCATGTTGACCGCTATATGTCAGCTCCATGCTGACAATGTCGCATTGCAGTAGAGCTTTAGTAAATACTCACATGCCGAACAGCTGCAGCATTCACTGACATACTATCCATCCTCATCATCAGCAGCCGCAAGAGCTCCATGTCGTTTCACGTTGTCCCCGATCAAAACGCTCACCGCCTGTTGTCATCATGAATTTGATTACAATATCAGTCTTTTTCGGCCCCGTCAGGTTGTGTCTTTGCGTGCGCAAGGTATCGTTCCGGCCATTAGACTCTTCGTTTGTCGATGAAGTAGAAGAAACCTAGCATTCGAAATTGGTAGTTGGACGTTGTTGCCGGCCTCGAGTATCAGTGGGCTGCTTTGGTTTGGTGGCCAAGATAAGAAGCATATGACAGGAGTTAACGCTCAAGATATGACTGAGAATGAACAACAAAAAATACAGCACTGGCCATTCACCAATATTGCAATTTCCTTCGATTCTTGATGATCGCCCAAAACTCTGGTTTTTATCATTATTTTATTTATTTATTATTACGTGTATGCCGTATTGGCCTCTATGTGTCCGAATCATTTAGTCATAGTGACTACTATCAAAGTTGATAATAATGCCTTCCATGATTCGGTGACAAACTTTATTGGCAATGATGTCTCTTGAAATGTGAGTATGGAATGGCTATAGTCCCAGTTTCTTGTTTCTTCTATTATCTAGTTAAACTTTGCCAATGCCTTTTCATTGAGCAATATCTCCTTTGTGGCTGTTGCAAAGACCGTATGAATGCAAAGATCGAGTAGATCCTATCAGAATGAGTAACGAATCCAACACTGTATCACTTACAGTCGAGTTGGACCTGCTTGCATAAACCTCGTATCTGATTAAAACAATATCGTGGCATTGCCGTCTACTGAAGAACTCGGCGTAGCGGCTCGAAAGACTTGTTTGTACGGTCAAAATTATGAAGAGAAACTTCAGGATGCAAGACCCCGTGCCGAATCGACATGCACGCAAACATAAAAAGAACATGTCACGGATTTGAGTCCGCTGACTGGTGCAACCAGTGGTCACTTGCCACGTGTGTGTTTGATAACAAGCTTTTTCACCATGTTTGGCGTGAAAGTGCCGGTGAGCTGGAGGCAGTGCTGGATACACAACACTTATTGCAAATACTTATAGTCCATGGCTCTTGTTCATCCAAGACAAGGCCTCGTGGCCTAGAGGTCGCGTGTAACTGCGACTCTTCGGCCGTTGCAAGGTGCGTCGAGTAGCGATTGCTCTCTTCTTTTTATCGCGATAGAGGGCAACAACTTGGTCTCGAATATAAGTTTTACGAGACCTTAGGTTACTGCCGAAATGGAGGTGGAGGACAAAATCGCACCGGCACTTCGCAAATTGTGTGAGGATTCCAGCATTCATGGAAGCGAATTACGCGTATGTGACTAATTACAGCTAATGCTACAAGAAAGTGTATGGAGAGATTCTACCGATGCGGCACCAAGGGATTGTAGTCGACCAAAAGAAATCGGATGAAAGTGTGTGACAGGCGTATTTTCTGAATTGTCAAAACTCCAAGACGAAATTGGACATATTGACCGCTTTGGCAAACACATAACATCGGCTCGCTGCTGGAGGCGGTGGGTTACCAGCGGAGTAACACGCGGGTACGAAAAGGAGCAGCGGTCAACTGTCCCGAAAATGCAAGTAAGGTAGGTACAGTGTGTACATCTTCGGGGGTTTCCTACGAAACACAGGAAACGAAGTATGCAACGCTGTACTGGCTGTGCACCATTCTGTTCGAGTGCTTCCAACCATTAGAGACAACTGATTTGCAGAACGTAAGAATGACTTAACCCTAGCAGTTCTCGTGATGCCAGATTGGTACCAAGGAAGCCTCGTTGTCCGACATCTATCACCGTCCTCGATGCTTTGTGTGCGTGCAGTGGACGGATGTCGAGATGCCTTGCCGAAGGTTGCTGTCTAACATCTCGGTTGAGCATAAGACATGCGAAAACAAACGACAAGAAGTATCGCAATTTGCGAATTTCACTACATAATGGTTTCAAGATTTTCATCCAAGGATGATCTTATCCCAAAGAAGAAAATTCAAACAGCTACGATCTCGTGAGAATACCGAGGAACACTGTCGCGCATCTGACACGACATGTAAGGTAATAGTTGAGTATATTCGTATTTTAACCATTAGTACATGACTGTAGATTGCGGGACGTGTCACTCTGTGTAACCGGCACTAGTATCAAGGTAAGCAATGACTTGGGGGGTTTTCTATTATAACATCATTGACATTGGTTCGTACAAGAATCTCAAATAGTGGATATCGGTTATTCATAGTACAGAAATCTGGACTACATTGCGACCCAACTCGTTGCCAGTCACGTTACCAGTAATAGTAAAGGTTGAAGACTTACACGAAACTAGATAATGCTAGTAACATAACCGGAGATATATTGCATCATGTGTAACCTCGATTTGCCGCTGATGAGCAATCTGGGTCAGCCACCTCGCAATGCAGCTCGAAGATACTCGGACATCGGACTGGTTCGCAAGGTTTCTGTTCGTTGTGCTGTTAAGGGTCCTCAGGCAGGTACATCGGCAAGTTGCATTACTACCCTCAAGTGTCATTCGGGCCAAGCGCATTTGTGTATGGTCATTATTCTGATGAAGAGGTCGTTAGCAAGCTTTTTTGGTCACTCTGTTAAACCTGAAGAGTGGTTGTGATTAACAGAGATGCAGACTTTGGCGGTGAATAGATGCCAGTTGATTATATAAAGCCTGACGCTGGCGTCTTCCTAGGGTCCTATTTTCCTTCCATTCACACTCCTACACCACTGCGGTAACACACAACCTACAAAGCACGAACATTTCTTGGTCGATATTAAACCAAACATTCTTAAGCTCAACAACGAATTGGCTCTCCTACACCTCCCAACCTTATTTATCCACCATGTGCCACATACCTATCTGGACCTTCTTGCTTCCTCTGGTAGTATGTTTACCTCTTTTCATCCAGGAATCCAAGTACCCTGCTTCTTCTGAGGTGCTCCCCGTCGGACTGAAATGGATCGACCTGGCACAGTTCGATTGGGATGATTACGTGCTCTCCGGGATATCGCTGAACTGCGATAGAGAGTCAGTTGACCAGAAATATAACTGCGCATACAAATGTACGCCTAACGAGTCTAATTTCACGGCCATATGTAAGGGGGCTGACTAATTATAAATAGTCCATTGGGATGATCCCAACTACGATAACTCGATGGATTGCAGCTATAGTTTTCCTTGGGACGGCGTTACGCAAACTCAAGGCGATAACAACAGCTATCCGACGGGTTATCAGTCCTGTGGCGATTCTTGGCAGTTTAAATTCGAGGTGGTTCGTTATCTGTGGGATTTCAACATGACGATCAGTAAACTTCAGGATGATCCCAGGTAGGTACATCGACACATACTCATATGTTCGGGGGTCTACTGACACATGCAGCAAATTCGGTCGTTATAGTGCATGGTTCTTTGCATATCCGAATATCACATTGGAGAGAATGAGCCAATTGGATTTCCGCAGTTTAGTCTACTCAACAATAGATCCTGTTAAAGCTAAGATCCAAGGATTAGCGATGTGAGATGAGAGATGAGGGAGAAGAAATTTCACAGCAGTAGCTAGGCACAGGTTCTTGATAATACAGACACCCAGGCTCTAGCCTCAGAGGCAATAGTTCGCAGATGCCTGATGAACTGACAAATCTAATCCTGCTTTTTACCAAAGCAACGGGTTACGCGTGTGGTGGAGACGACCACGGGCGGCCAAGTAGAAGCATAGCAGGTATAGACAATATGTTTCAGAATTCGTCAAATTATTTTTTGCAAGCAGTAAAGCAAGCATTTCGCTTGCGGGAAGTGACCCCTAAATTCGACAGAATAGAATACGGACCATATAAGAGTAACTGGGCAATGGGAATTATCCTAACTGATTGTTTGTCGGGCTCGCACTCCGTTCCTCCCGGAACACTTTGCGTAGACTGTGGTCTTGGTGTTGCTTGATCATCGTATCTTTCTTCTTCCGTACTTCCTAAATTTGGCAGTCAATTCATCCGATGCAGAGCTCGGCTCTTATAATTGCCTCTTACCGACGGCTTGCTAGAAATGTTCCGGGTAATACAGGTGGCCGTTTCCTCGCCTGTCTCCGCTGTCGCAGCTCCTAAAACGGCAAGCCTAGACCTTATCACACAAGACCTTGGCAATAACAAATCAATCCAGACCAAGTGAACCTCTTCCGATCTCCGCATTGGATCTAAAGCATAGATTGTGAATGTAACATTCATTGTAACTTGCATCATTGACTTCTGTGCCTCAATAAGGCGCGGGTAAGTAAACTGTGCAAGCTTACAGTTGGAAATTGCCCGCCATGCACTCGCCGTGCCTCTTTCTCTTTTTGCTGTAGTATATGATACAAATTACTTTGTAGGTCGCAACTTCCATTCAAATCTCTTCGTACTATAGGTAGGCAGGCTTGTGTAGCTTGGTGGTAGAGAACTTCGTATACATACCTCAACCTGGGCGATCATATCTGATCTTCATTCCAAAACGGTAGTACCTCTTTCAACAGTCAGGCCACCTTTTTTAAACATCAGTTTCGGAGTGTTGAAAAAAAAATGTTAAGGCGACTGGCATGTTTGGTCTCCTTGGCCACACCAGCTATCTCTGCTATCTTGAGCCGCGTACAGCTTGGCAGCCATGTTGAGCTTCTTCACACTCCTCCAAACAACCAATTGATAATGCTCTCAATCGGACTGGCACTAGAGAATATCGAGCACTTGGAAGAAAGGCTGGTGGCAGTATCAACGCCGGGAAATCCCGAGTATGGGAGATACCTCGATAGAGGGGAAATGGAGGATTTCTTCTACCCTTCCCCCGAAGCTTACGGGACGGTCATCGCATGGTTGCAAAACGCCGGTGTCGAATACGTTTCGCAACAAGGAGCAAGTATTAATTTTGCTACCACGATTTCAAATGCAAATAAGCTGCTTGACACCAGGTTCGCGTATTATAATGTCGACGGTGTCCAGAAGCTCCGCACAAAACAATATTCTGTGCCGGGCGAGGTTACTCAATATATACACCTGATCCACCCTACAACATATTTCGGCAAGACGAGATCTCATAAGATGCCGGAAGATATGATCATGCAATCCAAAATTGCCGCGGCGCCATTCGAAACCAATATTAATGCGGCCACACATTGCTCTGCTCTTGTTACCCCTGATTGCTTCCGCAACGCATACGGCGTTGGCCACTACAAGCCCGACCCAGACAGCGGTAGTCGTGTGGCTTTCGGCAGTTTCCTAAATCAATCTGCACGACTGGATGATCTTCATCTTTATCAGAGCACTTATGGGATTCCTCTCTCGAACTTCTCTGTTGTGACTATCAATGGAGGTCTCGATCATCAAGATCCCAACGGCCACATCGGCGAAGCCAACCTCGACGCCCAGTTCGAGAATGCCATGTCGTACCCACTGCCTCAGATACAGTATATTACAGGAGGCAAACCGCCTTTCATTCCCAACCTGGATAAACCCACCGCAGACCACAACTCCAACGAGCCTTACCTGGAATACTACGAATATCTGCTCAACAGGACGAACGATGAGCTTCCACAAGTCATCTCAAACTCATATGGCGATGACGAACAGACTGTTCCTCCAGAATATGCCAAGCGCGTGTGCGACATGATTGGTCTGATGGGTCTGAGAGGCATCACGGTACTTTATTCCTCAGGTGACACGGGAACTGGCGCGTCTTGCCTTTCGAATGACGGCAAAAACCATACTGAATTTACGCCAGCTTTCCCTAGTACTTGTCCATGTGAGTATCTTGCAATGGCTTTGGTTAATGGTTTTTCGGTCTGATGCTGATTACTCTGATAGATACCACTTCTGTTGGTGGTACTCAATCATGGGGCCCTGAGATCGGCTGGAGAGCTAGCACTGGCGGTTTCAGCAACTATTTTCCTCGCGCATGGTACCAAGAGAACGCAGTGGAGGACTACCTCAAACATGGCATCAACTCCAAGGCCAAGGCATACTACGAAGCTGGAGGGTTCACCAATTTTTCTGGGAGAGCTTTCCCTGACATCTCTGCTCACTCTCTTCATCCTAAGTAAGGTTATACGGAGGCACCTCATTTGAGATCCGTGCATGTGGCTAATGTGTGCATAGCTACGCATTTTTCAGTCGAAATAGACAAGGCTCGACAGGCGGAACTTCTGCATCAGTGCCTATTGTTGCTGGTCTCATTGGTCTCTTGAATGACGTTCGACTTCGAGCAGGCAAACCGACCATGGGCTTCATCAACCCTTTCCGTGAGTAGATAACCTGTGACTTTAAACACTGCATTTCTGGCGCAACTCACATGTTGTCGCACATAGTCTACGGCATCATGACTAAGGGCGGCTCACTCATTGATGTGGCAACCGGAACAGCAACAGGCTGTGATGGTACGAACTCCCAAACCGGCGAAGTGCTTAAAGGTAGTGGAATTATCCCATATGCAAGTTGGAATAATACTGTTGGATGGGATCCAGTGACGGGATTGGGTATGCCAAACTTCGCAGACATGGCCAAGGCGGCCTTGTTGGTTGCTGATTGAATGTTCGGTGTATGATAATAGTATTGACATGCTAGGAATTGCTGTAAGACCAACGAAACAAAACTTTATGTATAATCAATATAGAATTGATTATATATTATTTGAAAATAAACAAAGTTTATTAATTCTGAATTACTTGTCTATGGTCATTAGTGACCTGTATCAAACGAGAGATGATTCGCTGTAGGAGATCTGATAATGAAGGCTGATCGACATAATTCCTATTCTCTTATCACACTCTCATATATCACCAGTTCGCCTGGTGCGAGGTGGGGGTACCACCGTTGAATCAATGCGACACCTATCCAAAATATATCCAAGGGGGTCGGGGGAATACAAAAACTGGAGATTCAATCAGAGATACAACGTACTTTGAATCACGGGCCACAACTGGAGTGACCGGGCAGCATTTCATCTTTAAACAGCAGCGTGTCAAGTGATCAGGTCGTGTCAACGAGCGCGGAACTCGCCACAGAGATTGGTGATGGAAGCTGTCTGAGCTGACGTTGACGAGGGTTGGATGGAGATTTGTAGAGATTGGCCGAAGATGGCAAGGACCCGCTGGCGCGATGCCGTCACCACTTTTTTCTGGCCATCTTCCAATCCGAGCACTGGCACGGCAATAAGACGGAATGGCGTGCTTCGACAGCCAGATATCGTGAAATGGACAATTGTGCTCTTTGGCTTCTCATGTCTATCCACTTTCGCTCAAAAGCTGTGCGCCAACCTGTTTCAGACGGCGAGGTATGCCTCATGTCAGATAGCATATCATGGCGAAGGAAGGTCAAGACAACTCGGTGGACGAACAGCACAAGAATGCATCTATCAGAATCGCGAAAACCATCTCGAAATTCTGTTTAGACAACTGGCTGGTGTTTGGGTTTGGTATCGCGACACTGCTCGCATATTTCTTTCCAAGTAAACACTTAGAACTGCTACTTGTTTGTGGGATGATTAGTGCTGACATGGTTCTATAGATGTCGCCGCTAAGGGAGGTGTCATCCGCTCGGAATACTCCATCTTGTACGGCGCGATTGCGTTGATTTTCTTCATCAACGGAATGCAACTATCGCCAGAAAAGTTGAAGCAACACATCACGAATTGGCGATTGCACATTATTGTCCAGGGAATCGGGTTTATCATAATCCCCATCCTGATGCTGAGTATGTATGTATGAAATACGAGAACGAACTGTGAGCTAATAAGATGTAGTCGTGATTCGCATAGTGATTGCTGCCAACGGATTGGAATCGGGCACCATTGACATCACGATGCTGGTTGGCATGGTCGTAGTGAGTGCCATTCCGACTACTATTGCGTCCAACGTGGTCATGACTCGAAATTCTGGAGGCGATGAAGCAGCGGCGATCATCGAGGTTGTTATTGGTAACGTTCTTGGACCTTTCATTGCTCCAGGTTTGATTTGTAAGTGGCATCAGAGAACTTAATGACTTGACCTCTTCACGTCAGTGTCACAGAGCGAATACAGTTCGCGAGGACTAGTTGAACAAACTAACAACCATCTCGCACTTAGACGCCTTTATTCCCTCAGGTACGGAATTCGACCAAGTAAGGCCGGCATCTCCATCGACTTTGGGACCGATGTATGCCAGTGTTATGAAACAGATTGGGCTGAGTGTTCTGATTCCTTTGGCTGTCGGGCAAGCTCTTCGCTGGACTTGGTCGAGACAGGTGGAATGGACGCTGAGGAGTTTACGCCTGGCCAAGATGTGCTCCCTATGTATGGTTTTGCTTGTCTGGTATGTGGGGGAAAGGGATTGGCATAAATCATGAAGCTAATCACCTTCTTTAGGGCAACGTTCTCGGGCGCTTTCAAAACTGGTGCCCTTTACGACTTGCCGAAGTCTTCAGTCATTTTCAATGTGTTGATGAACTTGGCTTTCTACATGGTATTCACGATTGTGTGCTATTTCGCAGCCTATCCTCCAGACTTTCTGTGTAAGTTGATTAATACCTGGTTTGCTGACTCCAAGTTTGGTATTCTTCTCCCTTCTATCATAAGACGCGCGATCACAATCAAGAAAATGCCGAGAGATCAGGTGGTCGCTGTTTGCCTTTGCGGAGCAGCAAAGACGCAAGCATTGGGTATCCCTCTTGCCGATGCGATGTGGGTTCAATCATCGGATCTGACGCGGTCCCTCATTCAGATACCAATACTTCTCTACACAATGGAGCAGGTGTTTACTGCCCAGTTTTTGACAATCTTGTTCCGCTGGTGGTTACGAAGAGACGCGAGTAGATCATCCGACGAAGAATCGGAAGATGCCAGGCACGCGCGAGGAGCTCAAACCAGCCCAGAAAGCACTCATGGCAGCGAGCGAGTTGTGGGTGGTGTCAAGCGTGGCCCGCAAACCAAGTCTGGTCAGAAAGTCGTAACGTAGCCATGAGATATGCAGCCTTCTTTGATTGCAACGATTTACTTAAAACTCATGCACCTGAATGATTATTCTGTTGATTGAACATGTCTAATAACCACACATGCTACAAGACAGATTAGTTTAAGTCACAGTATACACTTGCAAACTTGCAACTTACATAGTACGACGCTTAATTAAGCGGGATCAACGTGGGGGCGACAAGGCTAAGTGAGATAGCTCGGTTAGGTTAGTCTGAGTACTTGACATTAGTTTGGCATTTGTATATTGCAACACAGAGGCGTAACTCGCTCCATTGGATCTCGCCAGAGATGTAAATTAGACCATGATGAATTGGCTCTGTAATGGAAAGGACGCAACCACCTTGCACTCTGCATTGCGTGTTCTGCAATTGCGTTGGGGTTTGTCGAATACGGTTCAGAAGGCTGGGAGCTCAGCTGGAGACAGTTCCGTCATAGTGTCCCACCTCGACGCTCCGGGGTGGAATGATCAACTGCAAGTCTCAAGTTTCTAGGGGATTCTCCCGACAAACAACTTTCCACGCATTTCCCTCCACGTACAGTATTAAGGTCAATTGATGACAACAGGCTCCATGAGCCAGGCTTAACTGCCTTCTCAGATTTATTAATTTATATCACATCATATACATAGGCAATCCACAGTCCATCTACGTTGCACAGCCAAAATGAGTCCCGGCAGAGCACTGCGGGGCAGCTGCCATTGCGGCCGAAATCAGTACATCGTCCGAATTCCTGACAATTCAGCACGAGATGCACAGGTTCTCTTTGACACGAATGCTACTCAGAGTACGTATCTCAAGTTCTCTTAAGACAAAACCCCGGCCCCCGTCCTTGGACTGTTGTTGCTGTGGCCCGGAGCTTCGGGATCGTGGGTAGTCTACGAGTAGCTGCTTATACTAACGGAGATCATCTCTACAGGAATCGCCTCTGCTACACCCCTCTCAGCTTTCCTCCGCGTGCCTCTCACCTGGTATCACAGTCGGACCTACCCATTCTTTGAGGACGAGTCGAGATTGGCTATTCGACGCATTTACGCGCATCCATCCGAGGAGCACACACAAAGACACTTCTGTGGTTTTTGCGGCACTCCAATCTCGTACTTCACAGAACAACCCAGAAGCGAGGCAAACTTCATCCAGTTGACCCTCGGCAGCCTCCTGACAGAAGACTTGCATGATCTGGAAGAGTTGGGTCTGCTAGCTGAAGATGACCAAGGCGACATGATGGATATAACTCCAACAACACCCGGAGCAGGTAACGACTCGCAATTGACTGGGCGTGACTTCACTCATATCCCTTGGTTTGACAGCATGATGCAGGGAAGCCGTCTGAGCAACGTCCGTACCAGCCGAGGTGCTCGGGAAAGCCGGGACGGCACTGTGCATGTGGAATGGGAGATCACCGAATGGACTGGCGATGACAACGATGAATCATCCGAGTCTTCAGCTACGGGTAAGAGGAAGCGCGGAGCCACGGATCAGAACAACGCTTCTGCTCGAGCCAGCGCGCATTGATTCAAAGCATTGTGTCCTCTGCGATGGCTGAGAGGTCCGCAGAGCCGTACAACGCTCGCATAGGGCCTCGCCTGTAACATATCGACTGGCGTATAAGGTTCTTTGGCTCGGCATTTGTGATAGGGCGTTGTCGTTCATTTTTATGGAAGGCTTGGCGGGCAGGCAATTCCTACGGCAGCTAGGTATGGGACCACAATGATGTCAAAAACCCTGAGCATAATTCAGAGGAAAATTCTGCTGAAGGATGAAGACCCGTGTTTCCGGATTGACCTCGCATACATCGAGTAGAGAGGAGTTTGCAAGGCTGAGGTAAGCGCATAGTGCTTTCTGTGATTTATCGCCATGAGGCGGCGGGATATCGAGGCTTTAGATCTGCGCTGCATTCACGGCCGGCACTGCTAGCCGCTGCACATAGGAAAGCGCTTCCGCATATTATGTATAATACAGCGCATTATGGAAGAGTTGAGCTTCGACGTGCATTTTGTTGTGACATGTGGTCCAATTTACGGCCAATTCTCCGAAGCTTAACATGCAGGGACGGGTACCATCGAAGTTAAGGTACTACTACATGGAGCTCGCCAAATAGGTACATGTGCGCTGCACTCAGCCAAAATCGTCCCAAGTCGACAAGAAATTCGCAGTTGGCGAGACTAGCCAGGGACAGACAGCCATATTGTGTTCTTACGCCTGTAACGTGGAACAATTATCAGAACCAAGCATGGCCTCATCTAAACTCGCCATGGTTGCCGGTGTTAATATGGCAGACAGGCAGCATAGGCACAGCTGATCCGAATGTTCAGCCGCCAAGCTGCCCACCATGATTGAACGCTTTGATGGCGGGCGGTTTAAGAGACTTGTCACCAATCTAGGCCCCAGTCCGACACATGAGAATACGCCGCATGCATAGAAGCTTCATATTTGTAACTGCAGGCCCAGTCCCTGGTCGGTTTCACTCAAAGCAACACCGTCCCGAAACCAAGGTGCAATGGCAATCCTCCGAGATGAGGAAACACGAGGCACCAACTGACAAATCAGCACCAAGCCGAAGTTTTGGCGGGTCTTGACCATATCCAGCTTCAGGGTTTCGGAGAGGCGGGCCGTTACAAACTTGGATACAAGCACGTTGCTCGCTGCGGAGGAATTTGGGGGTACGACCATCGTTTGTCGTTCGCCAAGTTGCCCGTCTTTCTTGAGGCGGCCAATACTACCAGCTCCAATTACCCCGCCGCGGGGATCATCTGTCTTTCTTCAGTCTGGCGCATCACCAAGTTTGGAGAAATCAGCCATCGTGGCCAAAGTGCATCTCGGTCGTTACGGTCCGACGAGGGATAATTGGGAAAAGCGCTTGCGCGTAGATTGACGGATCAAAGATGGCCTGCTGTACAGGTATAAGATGATGCCTCTCCGCGCCAATCCCTTGACCGCAGACAGTTCTGTGTCCTTGGAAGCGGTATCTCTTGCCATCATCCCACCTGTTGATCTGCGTCTGAAGATTGTTGCCCCTAGGTCTTGGCGCTCACTCGAACCACTATATTTCGTATTTTCCCAGACGAGCCCAAACCATAAGACGGACGCTGGTCACGCCGAAATAGCCTAGATAACCCAGTGCTGTCGTGCTCAGTCACTTATCAAGCGAGGTCACCATGTCTCTCCCATCGGATTTCCAGTGGGGGTTCGCTACCGCTTCGTGAGTGATGCCCCATTCTTTTTCTATATCCCAACCACCAGGGCCCGCCTATTCTGAGTGAATTGCGGAAGCTGACCTGCGGGTTTCCTATTTCAGCTACCAGATCGAAGGAGCCACCGAACAAGACGGACGAGGTCCGTCTATCTGGGATACATTCTGCGCTACTGATGGAAAGATTGCCCATAGCGCAGACGGCAAAACTGCGTGTGACTCTTACAACAGAACTGCGGATGATATCAAACTGCTCAAAGACCTTGGCGCCAAAGTCTACCGTTTCTCACTTGCATGGTCCCGTATCATCCCCTTGGGTGGCCGTAATGACCCAGTCAACCAGAAAGGGCTTGATCATTATGTGAAGTTTGTGGATGACTTGCTCGACGCTGGTATCACCCCTTTCATCACGCTATACCACTGGGATGCTCCGGATGAGCTTGACAAACGATACGGAGGTCTTCTCAACAGGACCGAGTTCCCTCTGGATTTCGAGAACTACGCTCGGATTGTCTTCAAGGCTATACCGAAATGCAAGAATTGGATCACCTTCAATGAGCCATGGTGCAGCTCAATCCTTGGGTACAGCACAGGCTATTTCGCTCCTGGCCACACCTCTGACCGAACAAAGTCCCCAGTTGGGGACAGTGCAAGGGAACCTTGGATTGTTGGCCACAACCTACTTGTTGCACACGGCAGAGCTGTCAAAGTATACCGAGATGAGTTCAAGCCAACCAACGGTGGGCAAATCGGCATCACTTTGAACGGCGACTACACATACCCTTGGGACCCTGAGGACCCTGAAGATGTCGAGGCCGCAAATCGAAAGATTGAGTTCGCTATCTCCTGGTTCGCCGATCCTATCTACTTTGGCAAATACCCTGACTCCATGCTCAAGCAGCTTGGTGACCGCTTGCCGACATTCACGGATGAAGAGAAGGCTTTAGTCCAAGGATCGAACGATTTCTACGGCATGAATCACTACACTGCGGACTATGTTAAGCACAAGTCTGGCACTCCGGCAGAGGACGATTTCCTTGGAAATCTCGAGACCACTGCTTTTGCCAAAAATGGCGACTGTATTGGTGACGAAACACAGTCCTTCTGGCTGCGGCCCAACCCTGAAGGCTTCCGTGCCCTTATCAACTGGTTGAGCAAACGATATGGTTACCCAACAATCTATGTTACCGAGAACGGTACTAGTATCAAGGGTGAAAACGACCTGGGGTTCCCGGAGATCCTGGAAGATGATTTCCGTGTCCGTTACTTCAAAGATTACGCCAATGCTTTGGCAAAGGCCGTTTCAGAAGATGGATGTGATGTCAAGGGCTACATGGCCTGGTCTTTGATGGACAACTTTGAGTGGGCTGAAGGATACGAGACCCGATTCGGCTGCACCTATGTTAACTACGAAGTTGGTCAAGTCAGGACTGCAAAGAAGAGCGGCAATGAGATGGCAGGTCTATTCAAGGGATTGATTAAATCCGAGTAAGCAAATGAGTGCGTTGCATGCAATGTTAGCGACGGCCGCTTGTAGGATAATCATCTATGTAGTTCTTATATATTCATCAATCAGAAGTCGAAGCAACACCTTGCCCCGTGAAATTGCACAGTTTACCTGCTAGCGAGATGTTGGCCGGGACAAGAATTTGGTCCAGCTCCGAACTGTTGAACTCATGTCAGCATCTTTTAATCCGTACCACCTCTCAGCAAGAAAGTAATTCTTCTTATCTGCAATATCTCCAGCGAACCACCTGTCTGGTTTGAAACCACGAGCATCTTCGCCTCAGTACTCTGGAAACGCAATGTGGGTTTCACTGAATTAAAATCCATCCATTCGTTTGTGGGGGTTTTATAATCTACTCTACCCACAGTTGTAACTTAAGCGCCGGAAAGTCAAACAACGGCTAGGCTGACTTATCAGGCATTAGGAGTTTCGCAGTCTGTTTTTGTTGGAAGTGACATAGGATGTTGGGTACTGTTGCCGCGAGCATATCCATACTCGCATATATGATTGATTGGCTTCTGCCCTATGTGCTGGCAAATATTGAGTATTCACGACGAAATAAGTATATAACCCTAAGTCTACGTTATCGTTTACTTTTGTGAGGTTAATGAAAATGTAGCATTCACCGCAAATTCAAAATCATCCGTCACTTTAACGGATTGTTGCCTCCTCAAATGCCAATGCACTCCATATGGGCAACTCTCTGTTTAAATGGTGCCGTTCTGAAGCGGAAAGAAGTCCAACTACATCTGCGAAGACCCATAGGAGTAGACAGGTCTCCAAGCACATTAGTCGAATTGAAGAGGGTACTCAGCAGGGCTGCTGGGTATGCATCAGCCTTCTTGTGGCGACTACTTTATGGGGACAAGTAGACCAAAAAAGACCTGCAGCCATTGAATGTCCGATTCAACAAGGAGAGGTTCACGATAGGGTCAAGCTCCCACTTACCAAAGTTGCAAAAAAAGAATTTCCAAAAGGTCATTGGTCTTCTATTTTTCTCGATGGAAATTTCTGAGACTAACTCACACATATAGAGGGACTTCAAGCTTTCAGATTCGTCCTTGATTCTTGAGTTGCCGATAATTGCATCTGAAGCGCATACGCTTAAATTTATTGGTTACAATCTCAATTGATGCATACGTGGGCACTCGGCTTGTAATATTTATCAGATGGAAATTAAGTCGGGCGTGAATGACAAGTGGCCCAGCTATACTCTGACGATAGATGCCAATGTATCGACTATACAACTGACCGACCTCAGCCCACACATGCAGTCCAAGTACACTGCATTGAGCTTTTGTTGGGAAAGCCAAGAGGAACATCTCACTTCGGTCAAGGAGACATTGCCGCGCCTCGAAGTTGGTAGCAAAATCTCAAACCTACTGAAAGTTTTGAGAGATGCCGTCAAGGTCACAATTAGTTTGGGTTCGAGCTTGATTTCGATCGACTCCATTTGCATTATTCAAACCGACGAAACTCACTGGGGCCGAGAGGCTGCCTGTATGAGAACAATATACGCACAGTCTCTGGCCACCATCATTGTCGGCTCAGCGAACTTATGTAACGAGGGCTTCTTGGAAAGAAACGACAACAATTCATCCATGTCGCCAAGGTCTGTGTCTATGATCAGGCGACTGAGATACTTGCGAGGGTTTAATACGACTGGGGCCATCATAAGGGAGGCTCTCAATCCCACGAGAATGCACGTACGCAGTGGATGGACTTAGTCGATGCTAGAGGCTGAATACTGCAGGAATGTCTATTATTAGGATACTATATGGATTTTACGTCTGGAGAAGTCTAACGAGGGTGCTTTTCTAGCTGAGCTTGTGAGTGTGGCTAAGCACTATATGAGCTGCTCTACGAGCTACTATCAGTTTTTGAAGAGTGGTTTTATATTGTTCAAGAATATTGCTCGTGGATACTTACAGTCAAAACTGACAAATTGGTAGCACATGGTATAGCCAGAAATATATCAGTTTATTCTTCTGCACAACGGTGTGCAGCTGGTCTTTGGATATCGCCAGATTGGAAACGTATTCTAGCGAGGGGAATCTTGTGGCAGAGAAATAGTGACTCTCCTATTTCATCATTTTCAGACATATATATTCACCAACCTTCTCCTGGGTGTCGATGGAAGGAGAACCCGTCCATTACAATCCGACATCATTCAGCGAGTGTACTGACCCATCTGGAGTCATTGATGTGGATATGGATTATCGTACTAATGACATCCTTGGCCGTTTAGATAGTGCAGTTTTGTGAATGCATGGGCCGTTGGTATCCGTGAAACTCAAGTGGAGCGTAACAAATGATACGACGATTTCAAAGCCGCTATCGTGATGGGTCACACATCTGAAAGTTACCATCACGGTTGTCGAACGGACTGATCAGTCGAGGCGGTCCGATTATCTGAAGGCCGTTTCATTGCTATCAGATGCAAGGTCTCGGGTAATGCGCCTGAGGTGAGGTTTGAAGGCGCAGAATTCTATTTGTTGCTAATCGTATACTAAGTGCTTGGTTATATGGTAAGACCCTCGGAAAGGACCAATATAGACTGAAGCTCGTCGCTAATGGCTTTCTGAAGACAGATAAAGCAACTGGCCAGCACTCTGCGTCACCCAAAAGCTCAATGTGCCACGCCGAGTGCTTGATCCATACACACTCATCGCAATTTCCTGGCATTGAGCGTCTTGGATTGTACACGTCAACCCAATGGAATCCGGACGTCGCACGTTCATACGAGGACATCTGTATGTATTAAGCCAAACACACGCCACCACTAGATGAGTCTAATAACTACATAGATTGATGAAATACTACTCTCTATTTAGAAAAGCTTTAAAAAAAATTTCTTCTCCCCGAACCAAAGGCTTGGATGTGGAACTAGCTGTCTAAGTTTTCATTAAATCATGCTCAAGCAAATTCCATCCGCAATGGTCGAGTCACGGGCTCACTTGCCATCTAAAGCCTAGGCACCATTTGCACCACCACCTATCTTGCGCTGATGCACATTGAGGGCATGGTTCTCAAGAGTGGTGCGAGCCTCCAGAGCAACGAGCTTGCCATCAACCGGCTTGAGCTCCAGGATGGTGACCTCCTTGCCCTTGACTTCGGTGTTCGAGGGATCGTTCTTAAGCACTCGCGTGTTGATAGCTTCGAAAATAACAGTGCGGCTGCCATCCTCTTTACCAATATCATAAGCCACAGAAACCTCCCGGTGCAATTTGGCAAGCCTATCGACCCGCTTGATAAGGCCCTGCAGAACCTGACCGACAGGAGTAGGGTCATTGGAATTGGTCACGAAAACGGTCTCGTTGTTGAAAAACTCACGGACCGGCTTCGAAGGCTTTCCGAGAGCATCCCAGGAAGGAAGGAGCTCCTTGAGGAAAACTAGGCCGGGAGAGGCGCTGCTAGGGATGCTCTCATAAGAACCAATGTGCACGCTGGTGGTGGCCATTGTGAAGATATATATATATAAGTATAGAAATGTGGGTTGTACTTGTTTTGTGGAGATGGAGATAAATGCAGTTGACCAGTAGTTGATGAGATAAATGATGTGATTTGGACTGTCTTGGGTTGTCAGAGTGATGTGAGGCTTCTTATACGGATGTCCTCGATCGGCTTTTCCGATCCTTTATCTACGCAGCGTGAACCTCTCCATTTCCGGGGCGACGCTGATATTCATGCATGGCATAGCTCAGCTCTCTATCTCTACGAGGAGCTCTTGGCGGAGTGTTCACATGCTGATGTCTGCGAGTGCAGAAACGCTTGAGCTCCTCAAAGGTAGGGCGCTGTAAACGCGGGAATGGCATGATTTACACCACATGTGGAGCACATTTGCTTGTTCCAGAATGATTTCCTGCATTGTGCCAGAAACACGCATTGGTTCTTAGACCAAGCACGTGCCGGGAAATGTTTGCATTTCAGGAAGTTGACACGGGATGGCCCCCTTGCTTGGGCGACAGTTTGGGGAATGTGCAAGCTGCCTTTCATGTGAAGTGGCAGGCAAACCCGGGCCCAATGCATTACATAAGCGGGGAGGGCCCAAGCGCTACTGTGGGTGTCGGTCGGTGTGGGTGTGGGTGTGGGTGACGTTGCCTAAAGCTCTCTCCATGGGCTTGGAGCTTGACGGGCCAGCATCCGCATCCACATCCGCTTCCAACTGTACCTGGACTACAGCTGCAGCCTGTGAATCTGACGCACCTCTCTATTAATCGTTCACATTCAAGTCTTGGTTGCCAAGCACAGTCGATATTACAACATCTCAAGCCATATTGTAAAATGAGGTGACCAGCAATGGACGCCCCTCATCCTACGGCAGGATGGGAGAAAGTCGGAGATCGCTTCTACCGCAAGACCCAGCTTTACACGGCAGTCTTCGACCGGGATCTCGATTTGAACAATTACATTGTTGCCGGAGCCCCTTATGGAGGCGCCGTAGGTATGATAATTCTCTCATACTCTTTCTTTCATTCCCCCTCCGTCTCTATTTCTTGGCTTATAGAGTTTGCCTGCCATCAACATATCTCACGGCCCAGGTGGGTGTCTGCCCAAGGTGTCATGCTGGGACCCAAATCAAGCGCATGCATGCTGCGGCCTTGCGTTATTCACATGCTCTTACAGGACATGGGACTGTGACGAGTAGACGGCGCCACTTGTTGCAACAAATCACACTTTCTATTCGCATGTACTGATCGTGGTACAGCAATCTACCGGGATGAAACTAAACTACAAACGCTCAGGGCAGCTGCAAAGTCATCAAAGCCGAGCATCGACATCTATAGCTGTGCAGGCAAGCTCCTGAAGAGCATCGCCTGGGACAAAGGCTCTATCAAAGGCTTAGGGTGGTCAGAAGACGAAAAACTTCTCGTCGTTAGTTATGACGGAACTGTTCGCTGCTATTATGACCTCCAAGGCGATTTTACTCAATTTTCTCTTGGACGTGAAGCAGAAGATTTTGGTGTCCACTCATGCAAATTCTATGATACTGGCATGGTCGCGTTGCTTTCCAACAATGCCCTCATTGCCGTTTCCTCCTATGACGAGCCCCGACCAAAGCAACTGGCTACACCGCCTGAAGGAGAGGTCCACGCATGGACTCTGGTATCTCCAAGTTTTACTCTCTCGCGGTCCGTCGAAGTGTTCTTGAGTATCAACCAGACAATCTATGTCATAGATGCTACAGATTGCGAAGACCGGTTCCTCGATATTGGACCTTTCACGCATATCAGTGTCTCCCCCAATGGCAAGTTTGCAGCATTATATGCTGCTGATGGAAGAGCGCACGTCATCACCGCAGATTTCCAGAGCCGATTAAGTGAGCACGACTCCAAATCGAAGATCCCGCCCAAATATTTGCACTGGTGTGGCAATGATGCTGTTGTTATTGCATGGGATGACGAAGTCAACGTTGTTGGGCCTAACAATGCTGTGGCCCACTACTTCTACGACGGAAAAGTACACGTACTGGTTGGTAAGATAAAGGTTTCATATCAGCGTGAGAGAGCCGCAGATTGACACCTTGTCCAGATCACGATGGCGTTAGACTCATTACCAATGACGTGTGCGACTTTTTGCAAAGGGTTCCGGACGTCACCGACGAAGTTTTCCGATTTGGCACTGAGTCGCCGGCCTCGATCCTTTTGGACGCTGTCGAACAGCTCGAGAACCAGTCTCCAAAGGCTGACGACAACATCCAGCTCATACGGGCAAATCTGGTCGAGGCAGTAGACACCTGTGTGGCTGCTGCTGGACATGAATTCAACGTTCACTGGCAGAAACAGTTGTTGAAGGCTGCATCTTTCGGCAAGTCAGTCCTGGATATTTACAACAGTGATGACTTCGTCGACATGTGTGAGACGCTCCGTGTTCTCAATGCCATACGATACTACGAGGTTGGCCTGCCATTGTCTTACGAGCAATACCAGCGACTTACGCCTGAAGGGCTCTTACAAAGATTAATCAATCGCCACGAATACCTTTTAGCCCTTAAGGTGGCCGGCTATCTTCGACTGCCAACTGATCGTATATATGTTCACTGGGCATCTGCCAAGGTTCGTACTGGATCCGAAGATGACGAGGTGATATGCCGTGTGGTGGTAGAGAAGCTCTCTGGAAAGCCCGGTATTTCATTTGAAGCCATTGCTAGGGCGGCCTACGATGAGGGGCGTGGTCGCTTAGCCACCGAACTCCTGAACCACGAACCACGTGCCGGTCGACAAGTACCACTGCTCCTGAGCATGGAGGAAGACGAGATAGCACTTGATAAAGCCATTGAAAGTGGAGACTCGGACCTTATTTTTTTCGTGTTATTACAGCTCAAGAAGAAGCTACCGCTAGCCGCTTTCTTCCGCGTCATCAATGCTCGTCCTGCCGCCACAGCTCTTGTCGAGTCTTCTGCGGCACGAGAAGATGATAATGCCCTGCTCAAGGACCTCTACTACCAAGACGATCGGAGAATAGATGGGGCTGGTGTTTTCATACGAGAAGCTCTACGTCAACCTGATGCTCGTACAGCAGGAGATAAACTGGCTCTCGCGGCTAAGCTGTTATCAGACTCGCGAGAAAACGCCTTTGAGCTGCAATCCCTGAAGGAGGCAGCAACCCTACTCCGCATGCAGGAAGCATTCGATAGAGATTTCTCTGACAGCTTCACTGGCCTGAGCGTGAATGAGACACTGTTCAAGCTGATCCGTTTGGGTTATCATAACAAAGCCAAGAAGATCCAGAGCGAGTTTAAAGTGCCAGAGAAGGTTGCTTGGTGGATCAGGTAAGCCAAAAGAAAGGAAAACCCCCTTCCCCCCCATATCGCGCTAGCTGTGGTAATAGATCTGACACATACCACAGACTCAGAGCACTTGTCGCCAAACGTGACTGGAACGAGATCGAGGAGATTTCCAAAACGAGGAAGAGCCCCATCGGGTGGGAGGTAAGTTGTGCACGGCCAATTTTTATTTCAATTCCATGAATCCCTAACAAAATCACGTGTGCAGCCCTTCTTCAATACTATCCTCCAAGCGGGCAACCCTCGCCTTGCATCCGTCTTCATACCGAAGTGCCAAAACCTCGAACCAGGTGCCACGGTTCCCATGTACGAGAAATGCGGCATGCGTATCAAAGCTGCGGAAGAAGCAGTTAAAACGAAAGACTCAGAGGCATGGTTGCGTCTCCTAGAGGCGGCGGGGAAGAACACCACAGAGGGCAGGGATATTGAGAGGTTGGGTGCTGCTGTGTTCAAGAAATAATGGTAAATGATACATGCGGCCAGTTTTAAATCATAACAATAATTCAATCAACAAAGACTTTCTTTTGCCAATTGGTTTGATCATAATCATGAGTCTTCGTAGTTTAACTATGTTTGTGCATCAATCAGTTCGTTAGATGCTCCGCTGCCTATTTGGCTCCGTCCCTCCTCCCTTCTCTCTAATCCCTACTATACAATGAGACTATACTATAAAAAGACACAGTCCGCTTGATCGTGCCCCGTGTCCGGTATGTTAAATGCCGCATCATGGTTCAGGATCTCCTGTAGATAGTGCATTTCGCCGTGCCGGACAACGGACCTACTTCATTTCTAAACCACTCACCCCATTATCGCCTAGAGGCGGTGTGGGCAACGGAATATCATCCGTCTCTTGTACTGCTTTATGAAGCCCATTACTCGGCACATCAACATTGTTAGAGCCGTCCGGTTTCACGGCATTCGTCGTGGAAGCAGCAGGGCCGCCGCCGCCGCCACCGCCAAAAATTCCCTTGCCTATTTCCAGGCCGACAACACCATCCCTGAGCTTTGCGAAGTTGGAAGCAAAAGCCCCAGGGGTATCGGCACTGGCACTCTTCTTTAAGGCGGCGTGAGAGTTTCTTGTAGTGTCCGGCGTAAGAGCTTCATGTGCCGTTTCAACACCCATCAAGACGCTTGTTGATGCCTTGAGCGCGGGTGTCGATGACTGCGCTGGCAGTGGGCTCCTACTCCTACTGCTAGGTGCCGGGCTCGTCGAAACGTTTGCGCTGTAGTTGTGGACACGATCGCCACGTGCAGCGGCAGCGTCGAGGTACTCGTTCATCTCTGCGTCTGTGCGGCCAAAGACGCCCGCCCACCAGCGGATCTCGCCCAGGTTTGGGAAGATTAGACGCTCGCGACCGGATTGGCGGTCATCGATCGTAGGGTCGTACTCAGGATTCGTAAACTCCTGCTTGCGAGAAAGAAAATAGTCCCAAACGCTTCGCGTGCGTTCGGCCGCATGCGCATCCTTCCGGGCCTTCTCGGAATTCCACAAGAATGTTCCGTACTGTGCAGAATAAAGGTGGTAAAGTAACCGGCGGAGGAAGCGCTCGTTGAATTCAAAACGAGTGGGGTGCTGCCGTAGAAGCTGATAGGTGGCATCCAGATACTGGTGAAAGACAGGTGATATCTCGTTAGGCCGGGTTGCCTCGCCTTCGCCACGCTTTATTTGCGAAGGGTCATCTGGTGGTGATGAAAGGTCATCGGAGTCTGCGTTGTCGTCTTTGTGTGCATTTTTCTTGTTGAAGAAACGGGTTGCACTGGCGAAGGCCTTCTCCAGCGCCTCGCCTGCTCGGCCATCCGACTCGCCGGGTTGGAGGGTGCTTCCCGCCATTGCGTCCTTCTCTACTGTGAACCATTTTTCGTGGTTCAAGAGGCCACCGCGTGTACCGAACATATGCCCGAATGACATCCAGTCCTTCTCGGCAAGAATGATGAAACCATCTATCGTGCGGTAGAAAGGATCAAGCATGATCTGGGACAGCGCAGACAGTTGACTAGTTCGGTCCCAACCATCCGAGCAGTGTATCAGAACGTGAGAGTGCCGTATACCAACCTGCCGAGCAATCAAGGCTGAGCCATCCAACACACCAGTAATATGCTTGAGCCAGGCACTCTTCTGGAGAAGATCTCGGTTTGGTGGCAAACGACTAATATCGCCATCCTTGATCGCTTCTATTACTGTGTTGAGAGACTCGCGCATGACGTGGATATTGTCAATATTGAGGTAGGCCTTTTTGGCGAAGTTGTAGTAGTCCATATTCTCCGACCCCTTGCCCATGGCTTGCATGACTACAGCATTGATCGTCGGGCGGGCGTCGACAATAAGATTGCTTTGCTGTGCGCCAAATATGACTCGCTTGCCGGTCTTTGCGTCGTAGTTCGGATCACCAGCTGCAATGAGATCATCTTCGAGTTGTGCCGTCGCAAAAGTCACGGCATCTAGACTAGATTCTCGTATGTCGACTTGGCTGGAGGCTGGACTGGGCTCCGTGGTTTCCGGGGCTGGAACGTCAAGGCCGTTAAACTCGACAGTGGCTGAAGCAGAGAAGCTTGCGCTCACGATTCTCTCGTCTTGTGGGCTGCGGTTTCCCCTTAGACCAACGCATGGTTGTGAGCTTCTCGTGATAGAACAGTTGTTGAGAGAGTGCAAATATGTCAGGACGGGAATGCGCTGTCGCGAGCGGTATGGACCAGCGTGTTTGATGACGTTGTCGGAGATGGACGAGGGCACTACCAGCAACCCCGGGTATGTCGGAGAGAAGGCGTAGTCCTTGTTGATGGTGGATATTCTCCAGCCTCTGTCTTGGGACTTGCTGCTGATGCCTTGCCTCCTGAACTCTGCCTTGGGATCGTACAGCTCCCAGCCATTGAATGGCTTCTCCTGCTTGAGCGGCTGATAGCTGAAGGCGTACAGCTTCTCTATTGACCCCAGGCGACATGTGCGGTTCCGAATAAACTCGAAAGCTTCGCGTGCGCTTGTATCATCCTTGAAGTGGATGCTCATAAATGTGAAGTCGCGACCTCGTATACGTATGGTAGAGGGCCTTCCAGACGTCGGGGGCGAAGGTCGAAAGTTGCAGTAGTTGAGGATAGGATATGCGATGTAGAGTTCTCGGTTCTTTGGGGCGTTTGGTGGTAACTTGGCATCCGAGGGAGGGACATTTGGCATCACAAATACTATGTGGTGCTCCGATAGATGCAGGTCACCTTTATGGACCTCGCCCCCGCGAATGGCTTCAACATCGGGTATCTAGCGATTCGGTTAGCAGGGTGGTCGGGGTCGGCCCCGGGGGAAGAACGCATGTCTAAGCACATGCACTCATCCGTGTGAGGGAGAAGGCAAGAAGAGGAATGGATACCTTTTTGACCTGCATCTTCGAAGAGTTTTGGTCTGAACTGCACAAGCACTTCTGCGCACGGAAAGGAGCGTGTAATGTCTTAAAGCGACCTGCATGGGCAAAGGATGTGCCGGGGCTGTCAGGAGGGCAGCTCTGAATTGTGGGAAAGGACAACACTGCTGGGTGATGAAATGGGTTGCGTTCTAAGCGTGAGACTGGGCTGGACTGCAAAAGATTCAATCAAAAGCCTGGAGAAGCCAGTCTAGTACTGATTGCCGGTGCAAAAAGTCACACATGCTCGACATTCAAGTCTGATTTGCTGTTTTGGAGACACTTGGAAATCACAAGCCTACCACGCCACGAAGGTAGCCACGAAGACAGCCACGAAGGTAGCTGCTGGCCGTGGTCATGACCATCACTGGAGGTGCAGCTACATAACAAGTTCCTGAGGTTAACAAGTTGCTCGCAGCATCTAGCCAGGCGGCGGGGCAGTCGGCATCAGAAACAGATGCAAGAAGCCTTGGCCATTGGATTTGAATGCAGTGCGAGGCTGATGTATCGGTTAGTCCGGTGATGCATGGGGAGGGAACAAGAGCTCAGGTGAGTGAGCTGCTGTAATATTTCCTCTGAGGCGAATGCCCCGACGTCACACTGTAACTTAGTGAGTGCATCTACCACTCTCGCTGGAGAGTAGCACCCATCCCGTACTGTAAATGCACAACTGGGGGAGGGGGGGGGGGGCAAGACGCTCCAAGTGATGCCTGTCCGTGTGCCAAGATTTGCTCGTCATATCGACAATCGACAATCGATAAGCGATAAGCGATAAGCGATAAGCGAGCGAGTGGGGATGTCCTTGCTAAAGCCTGTTTAAGTGAATAAGCTGCAGTTATATGAATAGGTGCGGGGCCAGTTTCTCCTAAGCCGTACTATTACCTTCTCGGTGCGGGCCCACTCAATCATTCCTATTCCTATTCCCATTCTAATTCTATCCCACACAACCCTAGATTTCTGGTGAGAAATTCTGGTGCAGTCCAATCAGCGCTCAGCAAATCCACTCCACCACAATACTTTTCGTGACCTCTTTTGCGACTCCTGCCTCCAGGCCGTTCACGACAACCATCACCCAACGAGCAAAGACACCTGATCGACTTCCCGCCAGTCAATCAACAACTACCGTCAAAATGGCTGTCCCCGGTACTCAGATGTAAGCCCAATATTGGTCATTTTCCCCCGCCCCCGGTTGGATTTGCATTTGGATTTGCGTGTGCTGGGCTGCAACGGCAATGACCATGTGCTGACCTTGTCCTTTCTTCTCCAGCTCCAAGCGCAGAAAGTTCGTCGCCGATGGTGTTTTCTACGCCGAGCTGAACGAGTTCTTCCAGCGCGAGCTCGCTGAGGAGGGTTACTCTGGCGTCGAGGTCCGCGTCACACCCACCGTCACCGACATCATCATCCGCGCCACCCACACCCAGGAGGTTCTCGGTGAGCAGGGTCGCCGCATCCGCGAGCTCACCTCCCTCATCCAGAAGCGATTCAAGTTCCCCGAGAACAGCGTCTCCCTCTACGCCGCCAAGGTCCAGAACCGTGGTCTCTCCGCCGTCGCTCAGTGCGAGTCCCTCCGATACAAGCTTCTCAACGGTCTCGCCGTCCGTCGTGCCTGCTATGGTGTCCTCCGCTTCATCATGGAGTCCGGCGCCAAGGGTTGCGAGGTCGTCGTCTCCGGTAAGCTCCGTGCTGCCCGTGCCAAGTCCATGAAGTTCACCGACGGTTTCATGATCCACTCTGGTCAGCCCGCCCGCGACTTCATCGACCACGCCACCCGCCACGTCCTGCTCCGCCAGGGTGTCTTGGGTATCAAGGTCAAGATCATGCGCGGCTCCGACCCCGAGGGCAAGGCCGGTCCCCAGAAGACTCTCCCTGACGCCGTCACCATCATCGAGCCCAAGGAGGAGCAGAGCGTCATCCAGCCCATGTCCCAGGACTACGGTGCCAAGGCCGCCCAGATGCAGGCTCAGGCTGAGGCCCAGCGTGCTGCTGAGGAGGGCGAGGGTGCCGAGGCCGAGGCCGCCCCCGCCGCCGAGGAGCAATAGGATTGAGGCAATCGGTGTTGGGTTCCCTCAGTTTACTTCCGACATCCGGCTCTCACGATCCGGAAAAGAAGAAGAAGATGGCATAATGATGACAGCATGTGGAAGGTACGATCAGGCGTTTTATCTTTGCAATGCTAAGGAATGGCAAATTTCGGTAGTCACATTGTGAATACAGATGATTCACTAAACTTACCACGTCTTCCGAGTGAAACAAATGCAAGGGACGTGTGAAGCCGAAGATGCGTGATTATAGAATCGAGCGACGCTGAATCTAACAAGACTGGCCACCACCACGAGTATCCCATCCCTTTTGAAGGGGGTTATTTAGTTTTTGGAATTTGCAAAAGTTAGCGAACGTAGCACGAGCGCGGCATAGCTCTCGGCATTCATGCTTAGATGCAGATGGCTGCACTCCCCATGTGATTGGGCCACGCTCCGTGTCCCCCCCTCTTTGATAGTGTTCGATTTCATTCTTCCATGAATCTCCCACGTGCAGTTCTTAATCGAACCCTGGGATTGGCCTTCTAGACTGTCCAGCTTCTCTTCAACACCACGGACTCGGACCGTGCGCGCAGAGAGGGTGAGAATTGTCAGTTTCATTCAAGTTTCTCCTGGGCCCGCTTGCACTGTATCACAACGATGGAGAGAGGGTTCAAGGAGCACTGCCGCTCTCATAATCTCCCTCGCGCTCGAATGCCACATGAAGCAAATCTGGTATCACGCGAGCATTCTTCCCACCTACATACACAAACGGCGGCGAGTCTATCCTCTGTACCAGAGGATGTCTGGGCGTAGTGTGATGTTGGCCATGGGCACACGCACGTCCCGTGCGACGGATTCTGCTGCAGAAGAACTCATCGGCCAGGCCTGAACTCAAAGGGGATGATGCTCAACAAAGCAAGCACACTGGGAAAGGAACACCGAGAAATGCCACGATAAAGTCGTGTGCCCAGCAGGAGGTCGTCGAACGAACCTATTTCCCCAATTCTCACCAGATCGTGGCGTTGTTCCAGTATGAAATGGTCGAACCATTTGAAGCACCGTCGTTTCTTTTTCGTCTATCAAGAACATAAGGCAACTTGCCTGTGGGTCCATCAGCATAAAGAAACACCCAGTTATCTAGCCTGCCAATACCAGGTTTCTGGGTATCTGCTGTGTCCCCTCTTTACAATGTATCGTACACTACATGGCTTTTTATAAGCATGGCTCGAAAGACATCATGCTATGCCAAAATAGATCGATCAATAGAGGTAGCTCGCTACCGCTGTCATGCCAAAAATTTCTTTCGTAATCCCTGAACGCCGTATGCGATGAGAAGATGATTCCAATCCCCATGCCCCTAAAAGTTCCCAGCTCTATACTCCTGTCATGTAAACCGCGCCAAGCCCTTCTCGTTCAATCGTGTGGTAGTCTTCAATCAAAAGTTCCCAGCCTCCCTTTTCATGACAGGTAGTCGAAGATAAATTTACAGTGTGTGTTGATGATGTGTTTGTTGGTGGTGGAGCTCAGAGTGTGCGAGCTTGATTGTTCGGTACTCACCGCTCAGCAGCTTTTGAGGACTGCAGCTCGATCGAGTTGCCACGAGATTTCTTGGCATGCCCATTGCCATTCGTCGTCGCGTTGTCGGCATCGCTGTCATCTGCCAGGTCTGTCAGACCAAAACCAGCCTCCTCGTCATATCCACGCATCAAGCCTTCTCTGTCGTTAGTACTCCCAACACTGTAGCGTGGGTCCATGCTCCGTCTCGCAGACATGCTCAACCGTGTTTGTACACTCGAGATCATGTCTGTGCCTCCCACATCCCTGCCGCGGCGCGCAAGCATCTTGTCGCCATTAGGGTCAGCGCGTGAGAGGTTGAGCAGATAGACACCAGTAAAAGTGACGAGGAACCCGCAGAGAAGGGATAGTGTGTTGACGGGATCGTTCGTGTTGAAGCCCGAGAAGAGGATGAACGAGGCGCATAGGGTGGCCGTCGTGAAGGTAACGTAGTACAAGGGGTTGACACTGTTGTAAGGTGGTTAGACTGGGAGACTCGCTTTGCAACACGCAAGCATTGCGGAAAGGGGAGAGGACACATACATCTGGGTAGAGAAGGTGGCCAGAGCTTTGTTGAAGTAGTTCATCTGAACGAGTATGCAGACAAGGCATAGGATCATGAAGACGTATGTGGAGGCGTGAACGAACTGGTTGTTGCCCGCAAAGGTAAGCTTGACAGCGATACCGAATGCCTTGACAGACATGACAGACACGGAGCCGACGGTCGAGCAGATGGAGAGGTAGATCAAGGGGTTTTTCTTTCCGTGGATTGGTGCAATCCTGTAAATCATGACTGTCGCGAACACGACGACAACGAAACAGTAGAGAAGGTAGCCTGTAGCGACAGTTAGTTGAGCAATGACAATATGACCAATGCCTGGCTAAGAGACGACTCACCAGGCGCAAGAGCATATTCCAGGATCTGGTCAATGGTTTCGATCTCCTCGTCGGGCGGCGCGTGAAGAACAATAACGATGGCGCCGATGAGACAGATGGCGCAACCCAACCTGCCCAGTGTTCCAAGCTCTTCTTTCAAGAAATATGACCCCAGCACAGCTCCTATCAAGACGCTGAGGGCACCCAGAGGCGTGACCAGAATAGCTGGCGCAAATGCGTAGGCGGCAAAGTTGCAGACCTCACCAGCAACCACTAAGATGAATGTCAGTCAGTCCACCGTTGTGTTGTGCCGCAAAGGGTGCCAAAAGCGGATCTCACAGCTCAGAATTCCTATCCACCACAAGGGGTTGCGAAGATATACGAAGCCATCGCCCTCAAACCCATGCCTTTCGCCAGCTTGCAGTAGACCCTATTTATCCATGTCAGCTGGCCATCTTGATTTGAGGCGCAATTCGGAACACGTGGAGGATGGAGGTCCTATCGAGGAAGACGGTCTCGTCGGACTATTGGATCGTACCTTTTTCGTTATTACGAAACTTGTGCCTGCAGACAAAAGACTGTCAGTTTGTTCCACCAGATTAGGGACAACTCTCGGATGACTCCCCCGAGCCTGTGGACGCAACGTACCTATAGCCAAACTAGATGACATGGCCAAAGCCAGTCCGATGTATCTGTAGACAGCCGCGTTAGTGTGTGATGCCAGCCATTTTGAGGTAACGGTCCGGTCTGGGCAGGGCGACAAGAAAGGCAAGCACGGAACATACTTTTCCTCGAGCATCATTTCGGTGAGTATGCGCCTGTGCCGGCTTTGTTTGTAGTTAGACAAGAGGGCTTCTAATCAGTCCCTTAGGTGTCTTTGTGGTTCAAGCCGCTCGCGCCTGGCGAAGGGCAGTCGCAGTTACACGAGCAAATGCTTGTCTGTACCAGAGAGACGAGTCGCGTCCGGTGCGCTGCTTCGTATCCAGTGCCGAAAGGACAGCTGGAGATTATGGATCTGGTCTTGGTCAAAGTAGACGTCTGGACTGAAATCCGGCGACTTGGGTTCGTCTTGGTTGTTTGGTTGGGATGCGCGCGCTAAGCGAGAGAATGGCGCAGTGCGATATCTGGTCAGGTGCAGAGAGGAGTATCGGATCGAATGGCCCCCCCAGTCCGGGTGTTGTTGAGTCGCAACAATGAAAGTGAGCTTTGAAGGGGTGTATAATGGCTCAAAGGTAACTCAGAAGGCCGGCGGGGTTGTTGCTTTGCTTTGCGTTGCTCCGGTTCGGTTCGCGACCAAACTCCGGCGGGATTGTGTAGATGTGTCCTCGTGGTCAAATCCAAAGATGGTGGACTGGAGTGTGTTTCTGTTTCTGTCTCTGTTTCGTGGACAGATGGGTTGGGTTCTGGGGCGGGACGTGCGTCAAGGTGAGGGAAAGGGCAAGGCAAGGTACGGAGTGAGTTTGGAGTGCGAGAAGAGCTGTACGGTATGTGCCCCGTATCGTCTGTGATTGGGGACCGGCAACCGTATTGTAGGTTAGTACTTTAATTTACTGCGGTGGTGCAGATAATACTCCCCCGTAAGGCAAAGTCGTAAATAAATAAAAATAAACCCCCAAATAAAGACTTGAAGACAAGACAGACGTAACAACCGCTATTGGCGTCAGGCATAGCGTAGTTTAAGTTAGGTGAGTTTTTGCTTTCTTTCACTAACGTCGTTTTTCAAGGTTCAGAGCCCGTCAGGACTGTCCCCACTCCCCCCAAGTTGAGCTAGTCTTACCCCTGGCTCCAGTAACACTGGGCACGGATTTGCATTTCGATGGGTTTGAACGCTCCAGACCAGACTTTCCAATGCCAAGCCCACATGTTGTAATAGCAGAAAACGGGCGTGGCCAGCCCAGGGCAGGTTACATATCAATCCCATCTGTCACTATGTATGCGTGCAAATCATAAAGAGGGGCTGTAGAGACCATCAGCTGTGCGATGCAGTATCTTCCCGCAAACCAAACCAAATCAAATCAAGTCAAGTCAAAGTCAAGGCTGCAACTCTTGACATACAGCACAGTACATAGTACAGAGCACCCCTGTGAAGTGACAAGGGCAACGTACCATGTATGATGTACGTAGCGGCAGCGCCGCCAAGCCTGTCCTGAGCGAGCTCCGGGGACACTGCGTCACCTACCAGTTCAGTTAGCACCTGGCATATGAGAACAAAGGACACGATGAAAGGCACCTCCAAGTCCGTTCGGATCAAAGGCCTTCACAAGACAAACCAATCCGAGGGCGCTTCAATTCGTTCTGTCCTCCACGGCAATCAAAGTGCGTCTTCTGAACCGTGGCCTGATGAGACCGTGGTTTTCCAAGCGCTGAAACAATTCACCTACTGTAGCCGATCCCGCTTCTGAAACTTCTTCGAACCCTGGGCGCTAGCCAAGGATTGAGTGTCTGCATCTGCGCTGCACTGCACAGCCTCGCGGCCCTCCTCGGTTGAGATCAAAAAGGATCGCCATTGCTCGTGACGGTCCCTGTTACGTGCTTGAGGGTAACGAGTAGCTTTGTGACCGGAAGTTTGAAGATTGCGCTAAGCAGGACGGCTCGACTCAAAAGAAAAGGAAAATGCAAGGGCTTGAAGGGCTAAGCTTGAATTTCTTGTCCCTATCTCCCGTAAAATTTTGCAATCTTCTTTACCTTTTCCTATCGCTGATCCGCCAGTAGGAATGAACAGGACACATCCATACTTCAACATTGCCCCGTTGCGCATCAAACGACTAAGACTTCGAATCCAGGCCCTAAAGAATGGCGCCAAATCCTCACAACCACGTCGTCAGATACCAATTATATCTTAGCCTATTGCTATATCCACAGTTCGGCAGTGCAAGCCTTGTTCGTATTCAAAGCTGACGTGTAGTCCAAGATTTTGGCATAGCTCGGTTGTCCCAAAATTGCTGACGACGACTGGGTGGGCTGTTCCGCTCCAGAACAGTAGGCCATCATAGCTTTCTCTCTTGTTTGTCTTTGTGAAAAGCTTGGGATGAATCGCCATCCCCAACCATCGGTGCTGCCTTCGATGGAAATCGATCTCCGATGGCTGTAAGTGTTGTGTGGAGGTCGCCATGAGTTCTACGGTAAACTTGGACCCAAGCGGAAATGATTACTGTTCACGAAAGCAGCAGCTATACGAACACAAGTTTCCATTGTTTGCCATTGTACTGTACCGTCTTCTGTCTCTGACACCTGAATTATCTGATATACGCCCCTTTTGCAGATGTGTCCTCGTCCGGCCCGTCGGAGTACCGTCACAACTTTTCCCACTCTTCGGAACTTGCAAACTGATCGTGTACCTCAATCCAGGATAAGCTGGGCGTATCTATAAAAGCTTGGCATATCTTATTTTAGCATATACTCACTCCTTGCTTTCTCGTGGCCATCCCGTCAACCCTCAATCTCTTCCAACTTATCCATAACCATATACGGTACTCGTTCGTGAAAGTAAACTTATTACATACTGGCAGGTCCACCCTGACTCATTTGAATACCCTCAGAGGTCCCCATGCCCTAAATTCATTCTTTCCAACATAGTACGTTAAAAAGCGTGGGTTTTTCAACTAAGCCATCACCTTGGCGCAGTGGAAGCGGTACGATCCTTTGCCTCCTAACACAATTATGATCCTCATTCTAACTTATAAATAGCGTCGGGCTCATACGCTACAAGCGACCCGAAGGTCTCAAGATCGAAACTTGAAGGTGATACACCAATTTTTTTTTTCTTTTCTTTTTGTGACATTTTTCGCTCCTTTCTTCGGTCTCAATGCCATCATATCGTGATTTGTTGTCTTGCAAGTCGTGCTGTTTTGTCCTCTGCTTATTCGACAGCATGGATGACGATATTTATCTTCCGACGAGGCCAGAACATACGTGCACAACATAGCTTCAAGTCTTCGTGGGTTGGCACATTAGGGACCGCTCCTCCATGCTGTATTTGATCAGGGCGAAATGGAGATAGGAAAAATAACGAAGGTCGTGAAGAAGTCCTACAGAATGACGGTGCTCTGATCATTGACTATCTAGGCCATCAATACTATACCGTTAACGATACACCGTTATTCGATATGGTGGAATCCTAGGGTAGTCGTTCGGATTACTTCGCGCTTCCCACTAGAGAAGCCCTCGTGTATTTCGCCATTTCCCTCCAACAGCACCTATGTACAGTCATGGTTGTAAGTCTTATGCTGAAACCATCATTCTCCACAACGTATCCATGACCATACCAGTCAGGTCTGTGGAAGACCGGAAAACTAGAAGCTTATCCACGTGTGTTGGTCAGGGTTTATTGTCAGCCATACATATGTAGCCAGCAGGAACACAACCCCGAATACGATGCTGCCTGATGGGATCGCTATCCATTTCCAACAAACATGGATGTGCCTTTCGTATCAAAAGCCTCGCCTCTCACTGTCAGTTTGGATCGGTCACACATAGCCTTGCTTACAACCTCGGAGAATTTGGACATCAGCCACTCTAGAGCATCATGCCGTTGACTACCTCTAGATTACTATTAACCTAGACTAGCGCAGATCCTCAGGCATTAGCAACCCTGTCGTTTCTGGACTTGCGATAGCTCGGCTGCTGTCACTTTATTTTCGGGTGGGAACAATTGAGCATAAGTTAATCTATGATACTAGGACCTGACTACAATGTTAATGCATCGGACTTTACACGTTCATTCAGCTAACGTTCTTCAACAAACTCGAGCATTGGTGAGGTGTTGAAATTCCTTTGGTGAAACTTCGATGGCCCATTTGGAAAGCTGTATGGAATATGTACTGCGATGATAATCTGAAGGACATCCACCATTCCATTCAATCATTTTTGCTGTCTTTGAACTTTTGCTCAGATCTTGTAATTATATTTGGTTTTCTCTTCTCTTCTTCTACCACGTTTCGCTCACTACACTCCGTCATCTGACCAGATATGTTCAATTTTGTTAACAGGGACTTTGTGACAAGATTCTGTATTTGAGGTGATGGTCACAAGCTCACTATTCTTGAAACTTGAACTCAACACCATGACTGATCAGTAGCCACAGCAGAGTTCCCATAGAAATAGAACTTGCGGACCTTCGCCACTCCTGTTGTTGGTTTTGATCGGTACAGGATATCATATCTGCATCGTCGCACTATTGTGTCTCACTAACCTAAAAGGGCGTAACACCCATTGCCCCATATCCTGATTGAGGAGGATACCTTCTGTTGCTGGTTTATGCTTTGTTGGTTCGTCACCACTATACCCAGCATATTTTTGCAGTTTGACATTCTCGCCTCGAAAGTGCCCGTACCTTGTGAATACTGTCCTCCGTGGTATACACGGAACATTGCAGGCCTCATCAGGACATCTGATGGAACGCTCCCACTCGCGGACTAGATGCAAAAGTGCGATTCTCTGGCCCCGACTTGTTTTAGAAGATCCATCAACCAGAAATGTAGCGTAATTATAACTAATTTCGGATCTTGGCATGGTCATATGGCGATAGGACTTGAAGTTGGGTATATGTCTTAGGCAATGCTAGTAAAATAACTGAGAATCTAGATTATTATTAAAATGTGCCAACTTAGGTCAAACTTCACTGCATGGCGGACGAGAGACCCTTTTCTTCTTCTTCTTTTCTTCTCGCTTAGACATAGGTAACTTCGTGGTTATCGTATTTGGTTCGTTGGTTTCGTGAGGTTCATGCCTGGCAGGCAGAATACAATAATGCTGATCTCGAAACCGCAATAGAGCAGACCCTTGTGTTTTCGAAATGTGTTGGGAGAGAAAAGGGCTTCCAGCACTTCGATGGCGACAATGTAAAAAGCCTAGGCCTCAACACGACAGTGTCTATCTGTGTGAAGTAGAAGGGATTGCAGTCGCAGGTTAGCAGTGAGCCGGTTACATTTTACAATCACAGTATCTTTCATGTTCATCTGACGATCCCTGGCATTGGATTCTGTGGCTCTGATCCGCGAACAGCACAGTGTGTCGACGTGCAAATGCTTACTTACTTTGAACTATTACAAAAACCGATGGATAAATACTTGTTTCGCCACGTCACGGAGATCTTCGGCATCAAGGACGCTGGGGGGGGGGCGAGGCAAGAAGACTGAAATACTGCAAGACCATGGCAAGGCAGACATACATGATTGTTTGTTATTGATATGAATAGCCAGGCTGCATATTTTGGACTGGTCCTTGGAGTTAACATTCAATGGTTGTGAATGGTTAATTAAACTCTAGAAAGCTCGAACCGATTGACACCCTTGTATTGGTTCAATGACGATGGGCATTGTAAGAAAGGCAGAGACAGTTCGGTCTGATCTTTCATGGTTGTAGGTGGAGGATGGCGTTGCTTTGAAAGCACATTTTCCAAGTGGTACTTGCCTACAAACTTATGGGGTCGGCCGACGTTGCCTGCAGACACGCGTTGCTCGTTCACGATCCGTCTAGGGATAGGACAGAGGTGAAAACTGGACATGGAAGCGTGAAACACAAGCAAATGCAAAGAGGATTTGATAATAGATGTAATGCAAAATATTATGTACCTTTGATATCGTCAACAATATGTATGTCCACACACTCGTGAATGATTCCAAAAAGCGTCTTGCTTTCTGATCGTTCTTCAACAGCGTTCCCCGAAGATGGTTTCCATACCCAATGTTCTACATTACATTCATTGCCCTTGTGACTAACCTTTCTACCTGGCGGTTTAGATGGGCACCACAAATTCAGGCTTTCTATGCTTGGCCCAATCCGAGACTAGGAAATGTCAAGCAACACGAAACGCCGGTGACCAACACTTTAAGATGTCAAGCATCCAAAGGTTTCCAAGTCCAGCCGCCTCCGGTGGCATACCCCGAATCGAAGGACCTTGGGAAGCAAATCTTGTCGAGGTGTTGCGAGGGAAGATCAGGTCATGCCACGTCGAGAGATGAGTCGATGAGCCAAACTCTGATATTTCTATGGGCTAGCCCATCCACCGGCAACATCGACCCACTCAGCCAAGCAAGAGCCTTCCTTGCCTTCGACATCAACAATGTCGGTATCACAGCGGCATCGGCAGCCAACACCGTTCTCCTTCTCCGGGTCCCACTGGTCCCAGTACTCGTCTTCCTCCTGACGCTTCTTGTAATCGGTTGTGGTCTTTTCCAAGAACGGATCACGAGGAAGCTGACGGGCTGGAGCGTTGGCGGGGCAGTGCTGAATAGTGGTGTGCCGGTACCCGAAATCTCGGAAGTAGTGAATATCCTTGACTCCAAGGAGGGCGCCGGCAGCCAGCGAGTGGATTGGAGCATCACCCCACTGGTCCAGAATTAGTATCATACCGTACAGATGCAAGAGAAGAAACACATAGAACTTACTCGCTCCATCCAGAAACCACCGCTTCGGTCTACCATCTGGAAGAAATCCTCGTATTCCTTGCTGCGGAACCAGCTGAGCTTCGCAATTTCGAAGTTGGACCAGAAATGGCACATATTATATTTTTCACCTTCCATAGCTTCAGGGTCGATCTCGGGCAGGCTGTTGGCACCAGGGTCGCTGCGAAGGATCTCTTCGGGCAACGGTGGCTTGTAGTTGGGATCGTCTTCAGGCTTTGACACCTTTGGTTTCTCCAAAGGCTCGACAAACATCTCCCAGAGACCCTGAGACGTAATGTTGTTGAGACGCTTGTAAGCAGAGGCATAACGGAAGATGTTGGGCACAGTTTCCTTCAATTCCTTGACGGCAATGGTGAAACCATAAGTCTTGTTGCTCTCAATCATCTTCAGGAAGGGGTCGTAGGTGATATCGCAGAAGTACTTGATCTCGGGCTCCAAGCGCCAGTACCATTCGTACTTGGCGAGGAGAGGGTGCTTGTAGAAGAATCCAGAGTAGAAGCGGCACATGGAATGGTAAGACTCGAGACCACCGTACATGACAGCGGCGTCTCCCTGCTTGGCAATGCCTTCTTTGGCGATCTTGGGATCTATCCATTCAGGGTATCCCCACATCTCAGGACCGACTTTGCCAAACTCGACCTCTCCCGAAGTGTAGTTCTTGACAACATCCTTAAAGGTCTGGTTGAATTCGCCATCGTTGAGGAAAACGTATGGGTAGTGGTACCAGCGGTTGAAATGTCGCTCGATGGACTTGACAGACTGGATTACACCATCGAGTTCCTTGTTTCGGGCAAGTACCACAAAGGCACCATTGGCTCGCGGCTTACTTGTGTCGGGCTCGAGACATCCGGTGACGAATACCTTGTCGTGTTCCTCGCTAATTTTTCTGCGGAAGGCCATGTGTCAGCGAGGTACAGGCGAGACAGGAAAGCGCAATGGCCACGATACATACCTAATAGCCGGCGGCGCACCAGCGGGCATCAATATCCTGCCCGGTGAGCTGGGATGTCTGACGAACAGGACCAGAATCAAGATAAGGACGATGCACGGGAAGAGGACAACTACTCCCAGAGGCACCGAGATGCTGGAATTGCCTTTTAATCGGAGAGGCCTCTTCAAGAATGCCAAAGGCGATGCAAGGCCTTTCGATTTGGATTTGCCCTTTTCATCGCTTGTCGGTAGTTGTGATGTTACAGACGGCACGCGCTTGTAGGCGCGCCGAAAGAGATCCATGGTCATGGATCTTTGCCAGCGATGTGCTGTCGTTAATCCAGGTTGACCCCTATTTTTATTTTATCTTCTCGATGTCGATGTGACCGACGGCAAGAGAAATGCTCCTTGCCCACTTGCTATCTCTGTATGCCAACCGTAGTATTGGTACAGGATAGAATGCAGTGGGGTGGCGGCAAGGGAAATGGAGCCCCTCGATGAGGCGGAGGTGGTGCGAAAAGATTTGAGGCAGTCGGACGTACAAACTGCGCAAATCTAATCTGCTCGCCGGTGGTTTGCAATTGGAAGAGAAAAAAAAAACCCCGTGCAGATGCTGTATGATGGAAAGCTGATGGAGGCGCAGATAACGCGTCAGAAACTTGGCATCTGTTTCAACGGGGGATCTGGCCAATTGGACCCGATCGCTCTTTTAGTTGTACGTTAATTGATGTCGCCTGAACCCGAACCCGAACCCAGCGACCAGCAATGAAGAATGATTCAGGAAGGATGATGGGAGCAGAGCTGCCGGCAAAGCTCAGAGAGTCTGGTAATGCCAGAAGGGAAATATTTCAAAATAAAATACAATACGAGCAGTTGCAGCTGGGGGACCAGGGAGGACAAGATTTTGGCCGCACCAAGCTGTACACAGGTGTGACCGTGACCTTGCGCCAGCGAGATTAACTTACTCAGGCCCTGTCAGCGGCTCGCCATTGGATCCCGAACTACCTCATGGCGTTCCCCTTCCCCTAACCTACGCAGAAAAGGAGGTGTGGTTAGCTTCGTTCGGCCGCATCAACCTTCTGCCGACCCCTTTGCTGAATCCTGCGTCGCAGGTAACTTACTCCGTACGGCGTACGTACGGGACATACAGCTGACAGTACATACATGGGCACAGCATGCCAGATTTAGAAGTCTGGAGAAAGGCGCTGAAGTCTCGAAGCTTTTAGTGGGCAGCGATACATACAAGGCTCAGCCCTTCAGACACGAAAGTTAACGACCAACCTAGCTACCTACTTGGGCATGTCAGCATGATCGCATCCACCTGTTGAGCAAATATGACATTGCATGCACACTGCGAAAATACGATTTACCCAAGCGTTAATTGAGTGCTTATCAATTCTGCCTGTACTACATCACATGGCAGGTCTCCACCATCAAACAAGTTGGAGCCAACCTTACGGAGTAGATGGCGGGGGGGTTGTACACGTCTAACCTAGACTACAAGTAATTGTGTTGAAGAAGTGCGCTAAAGAAATGCGACCGGGTACCAGTAGACCTCTTTGCCAGCCAACCACTTAAACCACCACCCCTTCATGTTGAGATCCAATTGTCAAGACCAGTTGCCATCATGGTAATTTGAAAGAAATCGTTGTCCAGTCAATTAGAAGAGTTTCAGCTGCTGACAACTTCCTTAGGGAGCATTACTACATAGATCAGCATGCGGTTTGTTCCTGTCCTGATGCACCCAGACATATTAGCAGAGCGATCCCTCGAACGCTACAACATCCTCAAAAGGCTTGGTTGCAGCCGCGCATTCTCGTAACACGGCATGCCGCATGAGAGCTATACTATCTTCTTTCACTGCGCAGATCACGAATACTCAAACCCCCTTTCTTCTCCTTCCCCCCCTTTTCCTTTTTTTTTTTTTTTTTTTTTTTTTGACAATCATATTGACTTATTTGCTTCGAGAGCCCTCATAGACTTCCCACCAGGTACTGATGAACCCGCTCTGCATTCCGCCGTTATCGTTCTTCTCACTTTTCCAGTAGGTCGAAGGCTAATACATCAACCCCAACATACCTACCTTCCAACTACCCAGACTCTCTTGGTGGTTGTTCATCACATTCAGATCCTTTTTTCTTTCTTTCGTAGCACCTATTCTGAGGCCCACCGCATCAGGCAGGCCGGCAAGGTGCAGCTATCTCCCGTCTGGGTTGGCCCGTTGTGGAGTACTTCATACTCAATCGATTAGGGCTTAATGATCAATAAATATATACACCCACAGCAATAATATATCGCATCGCCTATATGGTGAACCAGCAGCACTAGTGGTTTAGTGGTAAAATCCATCGTTGCCATCGATGGGCCCCGCGTTCGATTCGCGGCTAGTGCATCATCATCTACTTATCTTTTTGTCGTTGTTGTATGTTCGTATGAAGTGTCATGGCCACCCATCATGCAGGACGGCGGCATCCCTTTTGCTTCCCTGTCCCTCCAGCCCAATCCATACTTCTTTTGAAAGTAACTTAGGCTGCATGAAAGAAACTTCGGATGTTGGTTGATCCGCTCTTCCAAATGTGTTCTTCATCGACCTTTCTTTGTGTGACACCTTACAATTCGGAGTCATTTTCTGCCCTCTCTAGCGTGTCTACAGAGCCAATATTGCCTATCAGAGACAATTATCTCTTTGTGACTGGTTCACGGTACTCCCAAAGACTCACCGACTCATCTTAAAGAACTAAATACCAACTCTGAATGATCAAGTATATTGGCGAGTTGTACGAGCCAGTTAGTTCTCCTTGTCCACCTTTTACGATCAAAGTATCAAAACTGAGAAGGCAGAAAAGGCAACGGCAATAAGATGGTACTCAAGCGGCGTACACTTCAGACCTGCTTTGGGTACGTCTTGTCACTGTCGTACAGCTTATAATCAGTATCTGGGCACATAGGTCTGCTTCTTGGAGGTGTTATAGTCACTTATGTGAGCTGACGTGATATTTTCTGGTCCCAGGCGGCTATGAGTGAATTGGCAAGTATTCTCGCTATCTTCTTCATCCCCGAGACTATTCACCGCAAGCGGTGTGTCTTCGCTCCCAAAGATAAGCAAATTCGGGAGACTTACAGTTCACTCAACACACTTGAGCTGCTGTCACTATTTCGAAACCTAAATACCTTGCTCATATCGGTTGCCTCTTGCTCAATTGTGTGGAACATGTACTCGTTCCTCGTTCCCATGGTATATGTCATCAATCTAAGGTTTGGCCTTATGACACCGTTGCAGTCAGGTCTATTCGACCTTGGTCCGGGATCTGGATAATTTCTTGGCGCCTTCTTCAGGCGCAGGCGAGTGAATCACACTGTTGAAAGCTGAATTCACAAGCGAAACGGTCATCGAAATCTCGAAGATAAACCACGCAGCGCGGTGTCATGGATGGGAATTACTGCGCCTGTATGCATGTTGACTTATGGCTGGTGCTTGGAGTGTGATAAAGGTGGTATCCCCGTGATCATTATTGTAATGTTCGCGCATGGCTTCTGTCCAATAATGGTATTCTCAGGTGAGTGTTTATTCCCATTGCGCAGCAATTAAAGACCTTGCTAATTGACGTACATGTCATGTCATCACGGTCAGCCGAGATAACATATTATTTTATAAGATAAACATTTGGGGCAGTGGAAGCGAAGCCCTACTTCCTGCGATTGAGCAAATCGGTATCGGCACTTTTAGGACCGTTTCGGCTAGGTTTGTAGATAGAGCAGTAAGCAAATTTCGGGATTATCTTCTACCTTTCAACATGTCTAGGCCGTATACTGCCTGATAAATGATCATGCTCTTCATGAATGTTTCAAAACACCCCCGAATACTCCCAGATTCATAATGAATAAGTCATTACTGACTCTAAATGCTGTAGTGTGGTAGCAAACTCCTCGTCATACATGACAAAGTACCATTCGCGCATAAGGGCATGTAATGTATGTATATTCAATAAATAAGATACGATATTCATACGTTTGCCTAAGGTCCTTAACTAGCCTAGATAAGCCGCTTTATAATTACATCCGGTAGCTAAAGGCAGTGCTGTGAAGCAATCATGCACAATGACTAGTCACATCATCTGAGCGTAGTATGGCACAAATCCACGTATAACCTAGCCCTCCCCATCCTGATCTTGTTGTCTCCAATCAATCTCCCTTCTAAACCCCTTATCTACTACACGGTATGGTAATCTAGCTCCTGACTGGTGGGCTTACGCCATGAAAATGACTGTGCCGCAGGAGATTTGGAATGACCTCCGCGCCAACACGGTCTGGTGCAAGCCCAAAGCCGGAGGTCAGACCCACATTCCTACTCCGGTAATAAACATCAAAGCTTCTCATCTCGGAGTTGGGGTTGTGACCTTTAGACCCGGATTTTGTGCTTGGTGAAGCCGAAAAGCCGTCTGGATATGACTCACTGGCCGGCGCTGTTTACGTGAATAAATAGCTGAGTGTGTTCTGCCAATTTGTTGGGCTTATATATTCGGACAACACTACAAACAACACACTCGTACATCCACCTTACCATTCTTAGCCAATTGCGGAACTTCGCTGATAAAAATCAATCCATCACTTTCAAAAGACCGCAGATACATCATGACATTCAACAGAATAGCGGTCTATGGCCACAGAGGCTGGGTCAGCTCGGCCGTTGTCGAAGCTCTCGCAGCTTCTGGTGCGCCTGTCCGGGTTCTTTACCGGCCTGGCTCAGACGTCTCATCCCTTCCGACCACATCGAATCTGACCAAAGTGAAAGTAGATTTAGAAGACATACCTGCTGTAATAGCGGCACTCCAAGATATCGACATCGTGATGTAAGCCGCATTCCAGGACCTCTTCTCTTTCTCATATTCTATATGGTCTATTGATACGCAATCCATAGCGGCCTCCTTGGTCAGAAAGGGGTGCCCTTACAGCATGCATTGGTAAAGGCTATCCCAAATACCAATGTCAAGCTCTTCGTGCCGTCCGACTTGTCAATTCGGAATGATGAGCAGGGTATGCGCGTCGATGTCAATAAAGTCAAGGACGACGTGGAGAAGGCGGCTCAGAAGGCCGGTATACCGACCACTGTTATCCTGCCTGCCTGCTTCGCCGAGTCTTCTCTAGCTACAGGGTAGGTATTCGAGCCTGAGACCGTATATTTCATACTGATACTGGAGTGTCCGTTGCCAGACTGCTGGGTGTCGATGTTACCGGGAACAGAATCATCTACACTGGTGATAGTGCCCATCAAGAATTAAACGCCTGGTAGGTCAGCAGAACATGGAGCAAGGCGCGTTTTCAAGACTAGAGAACTGACTTTGTCCCCCACAGCACGAGAAGTTATGTTGCAGCCGCATATGCATCAATCTTCGCCAGCACGCCTGTTTCTCAGTTGCTCAATCGACAAATTGGGCTCTCAGAGGTGCGTGCTACTGGAGTAGAGATTCATGCTGCTCTTCGAAGGAAGCACGGCGAACCACCCCAGATCATTACCCATACACTGGAGCAAGTCGATCTTGAGATTGAGACACGTGCTGCGGCTGGATCGCCATTAGCGCTGGCATATTACTGCCGCAAGTCCTGGGCAACTGGCCGACTTGTATCGGGCATCGGTAAGGACATTTGGGAGGTGCAGGGTTTCTGTAAGGCTACCTTGGATGATTTGATTGTCAAGGGAAAGCTTGGTTCCTACAGAGAAATCCCATCAGAGGCGTTAAACGCAATCAACGCTACGTTTCAATAAGTGCTGCAAGATCACTGAATGGAGTAATGACCATATTCAAAAACTTGGACGGTTCTTTTTGTCATTTGTATCTGCAGGGTGTCATACTTGTGATGGAAGAAACACAAATTAATGACAATTTCTTTCTCTATTGAATGATAAATGCTTCACTACACAGCCGGTAATTCATAAGTGGGAATGTACTTCGACTATTATGTTTCTGGGTGTTTTATTTGGGGACAGCGATATCATCCTCCCATTGGTCAGTCACAGCACCATGACTAGCATCTCCAACCAGGCGTGCGTATTTCGCTAGCACGCCTCTCCTAACGCGAGGGGCTGGCGGCTTCCAAGCCTTCCTACGCTCATCGAGCTCCGCATCATCGACGTTCGTGATATCGATTCGGTTCCTCACCGCGTCGATGGTGATCGTATCACCATCCTTGACTAGTGCAATTGGGCCACCACGAGCTGCTTCTGGTGTGACGTGCCCGACGATAAAGCCGTGACTGGCTCCGCTGTATCGACCGTCAGTCACCAACGCAATATTGCTCAAGCCAGCTCCCATGATTGCAGCAGAAGCCTTCAACTGCTCTGGCATACCTGGGCCACCACGAGGCCCCTCATACCGAACGATAAGCACTAGATTTCCCCCGCGGGGGATCTCACCACGAGTCAATGCAGCATTCAGCTCGTGTTCTGCATTAAACACTCGTGCTTCACCTGTAAAGCTCAAACCTTCTTTACCAGTGATTTTTGCTACAGCCCCTTCAGGTGCAAAGTTGCCCCGGAGGATGCGGATGTGACCAGACTCCTTGATAGGGTCAGATAAGGGACGAATAAGCTTCTGGTCTGGCGGTAAACTTGGCCAGTCTGCAACATTCTCAGCCAAAGTTTTGCCGGTGACAGTTGGAATGTCTCCATTGATGAGGCCAGCAGCAATGAGCATCTTCAGAACCGAAGGTGTTCCGCCAATCTTATAAAGGTCTTCCATGTAGTACTTTCCACTTGGCGCTAGGTCCGCCAAGAAGGGCGTCTTGTCGCTCACTCTCTGAACATCGTCGATGGTCAGAGGCACTTCCGCTGTGTTGGCCATGGCTAAAAAATGCAGCACACCATTCGTCGACCCACCGAGGATCATGGTAATCACCAAAGCATTCTCGAACGATTCTTTGGTGATAAGATCTCGTGGGCGGATGTCCCTAGCCATGGTCGTCTTGATCACCTCGCCGGCACGTTCGCACTCACGTGCTTTCTCGGGTGAGAGTGCCGGATAGGAAGATGAGCCCGGTAACGTCAGTCCCATCGCCTCGATAGCAGTGGCCATAGTATTTGCGGTATACATTCCACCACATGCACCTGCCCCGGGACAAGCATGACGTTCAATGTCTGACATGACATCGCTCGGTGTACGGCCCTCGCTACCAGGGTTGGTCTTTGCGTTCAACCGCCCATAAGCATAAGCGCCAGATGCTTCATAGCAAGTACTGATGTTAATCTCCTTTTCCAAGAGGTTTGAGTTGCCTTTGCGGATCGTGCCACCGTAGATCATGATAAATGGCCGATTATGGCGTGCAGCGGCCATCACGACGCCAGGCATGTTCTTGTCACAACCTGGGATGGAAATATTCGCATCGTGGTGTTGAGCACAAGTGACAGTCTCAATACTATCGGCAATGAGGTCACGGGACTGTAATGAGAAGCGCATCCCTGGCCGCTGATTAGCATAACACCGGTATATAAACATTGACTTCGCATGCTCGAACATCAGCGTTGTAGGGGATATGGGAGAAAGAATTTCTACCTTCGCCTCCCATAGTGATGGCATCCGATACACCAACCGCGTTGTACTGCCATGCCAACATATCCTGCTTCTCGATGGACTTCTTCACAATCTTTCCGAAGTCGAGCACTTTTCATCAGTCAGCTTGGTCCGCACATGTCACTTTAGTAATATCACTTTGGTAATATCACTTTGGTAATATCACTTACAATGAGTGTTGCAAGGATTCCCTTCCCACCAAACCGTGGCGACACCAATTTGAGGGGCCTTCTTCATCATTTTCTCATTCGGCACGCCTGCTCCATAGAGCATAGCCTGTACTATTTAGTGCTAAGATTTCCACATGTGCTTTTATAGCCTGCTCGTTAACGTGGAATAATTTACCTGAGCTCCAGGAAAATCATGCTCTCTAGTGATCATATGCGACCATCTATTCAGGGCGTCGCCGGGTGGAAGGCACTTGAATTGGATGTACTGGGGGTCAGACTTTGGATCGACCGACCCGGTACCCTGGTCCTCGCGAATGTCACTCATGATGATAGCCTTAATCACTTCCGAGTCGTTCCAATAGTTCGTTATTGCCGGGCTTTATAGAGGGACGCTGCGGGGTAGCTGCCAGCAACGAGGATGCAATTGTAACAGGGGTAAACTTGGGAGCCAACAATTTTCAAAGTAGGATTGCATGCGAAATGCAAACTGAGCAGATAGGTCTTGATAAAATTTTGCCAAGTCAGAAATGCTCGACCAAGTATGGAGGGCATGTTTTTTCTGTCGTCCAATCCTTCCGAGTCTAATTGTGATGACCGATAGTCGGTCGTGGAGATCTAATGGAGGGGGACCGTATCTAAGTACCACTGTGGATCCGTGACTTCAACTCCGCATGAATACGGCAGTTTACGGCGACCATCACCTCATAGAGGGAAAGGAAGTGGAGTTTTTGGGACATCAATGTGTAATTACAGTATGACGATTGTGTTCTGCTCGACAACCCGGGGAATCGTGATGGCATTTTCCAGATAATGTGGAGTTATATCTTTGATGGAAACAAATTGACTATAAATAGCATGTGCGAAGCCCCACAGGAGTATATCATGTGCTCATGGACCCTGGTAACTGATGTTTGCTGTTTGTGAACATCATTGCTTGAGATCGTGAATCGTTACTGCCCCCACATAGAACACTTTAAGCACCTGAAGCAATTTGTTTGGCTGGTTGGATTTCAGCGCAAAAGTAGCATGGGACTTGGCAAGTGCTGTATAACAGGGTTTCTTTGATATTCAACTCTCTTGAGCTCATTCCTAATGTACATCGGTCTTGATACCTAAACATCTTAGGTCAAAGTCATCGTCAATCATGGGAGCGGAAACAAGGAAACCATCTCATCTCATCGTGCATCCCAAATCTGTCGCTCCAGAATCCCCGATGACTGAGACGCAGTAATACATTTCTGCATCGCTGCACCGTCAGTGGTGCTCTGAGGCTCTTCATTCAGCGACAAACTTTTTTCCTCCTTCCCATTGAACTCCGTGCAGCACGAGATCTGCTGAGACAGAAAAAAATAATTTAGAAAAAGAAAACGGCTGGAAACAAATCGGGTTGTCAAATGAAGTCAAAAGAAGTGAAGCAAGAGCCGGGAGCCTCGGATGGTCTGACCTGAAACACCCTCGTTAATGCAATCGAGGCTGGAACATTCTCTGGTATTTCAAATGTATGAAAGCTATGTGTTTGCACACATAACCCTATACTCTTTTGTTTTTGCAAGACAGACTGCCTCAATGGTAGCAAAGGAGCAGAAAGTCTGCTCCAATACTCAATTTCAATCAATTGTCGACATTTGAGGTTTTAAGCACTAGCCATGACGCCAACACTTCTCTCTTCTTCAAGCCGCCTGACCATTTCACGTTCTTTAGGGCTACGCGGATTCGCATCGATTCCAAGAATTGCGCTGATACGTGTCTTGTCCTGCTTTTCGTAGACCAAATCGCGGTCGTTGGGGCTGACCATGGGTGAGATGGGGGTGTGGATACCAGCGCTGAGAATGTTGGCCTTCCAAGCCTGCTCCAGGACGATCGGGCTTGTACCAACACCATAGTCGTTGGCAATTGCATTCCAGAAGGAAGATCGGTGAGCTGAGTAGATTGACTGCAGTCGGGGAATGTCTACATGAGTAGAGGGCGGCGGCAGGCCACAATCAAGTCGTAGTGGAGCGCTATGAATAACAGGAGATGGATGCGGAAACGGCGAGGGACCCAAAGATCTCGCAGTGTCAGGAATCGGTGTTGGATAGCCGAGACTTGGAGACATGGCGGCAGTTGTCAGGTTCATGGCAGCCGGCTTAGGTAGGATTGCAGGCAAACGCGGCGAAGTATTCATGTTGGCCATAATGCTTGGAAGATGGACTGGTCCTGGAGAACCCGGACCATAACTCCCAGCACTTCCGGGAGGGGTGCTGTCTCGTGAAGAGCACTCATGAACAGGGGATGGAACAATGGCAGGTAAAATTGGTGACTGGCCTGAAGAAGAACCGGAAGAACACGAAGTGGTGCGCTTGCGGCGGTTACTTCCGTGGCTTAGTTGATGATAATGTAAGCGACAAGCAAGCTCAGTTTTCTTCAGATGAGCAGCGATGTGCTTGTATGGCATTTTCTGCAGGCGAGTCTGAAGTAGGTAGACTTCCTATATCTCTCGGTTAGTCACACATTTTCGCATATTTGTGGCGGAAGCTCGATTCCAACAGACACCGCCGACTACTGACCTCATCTTCGCTCCAAGCCCTGCCTCCACCAGTAGATGCAAGCTTCCTGTTCTTTGATATGCCATAGTCATGGCGGTCGAGCGCGTCGCTGTTAGGAGTATAAGGTGTTGTGAGATGGGAGGTGAGCTGCATGGGGGGCGACATGTTGGCTTGCAGAAATCTTCAAAAGTTGAAGCGATTTTGAGACGGTGCGGCCGAAGAATCGAAATTGTAAAGTTGTTCTTATAACGGAAGCAGTCCTAGCTGCTGAAGAATCGAAGTTATCGAATAAAATGTAATATAATTTTGGAAAAAGGTATCAGACGGCTGTCGTGAAATCTCAGAGTTTCTGACCAATGTCTTTCGGAATCGGACTGAGCGAAGAGTCGATGAGCTTTTACTACGGAAAGAGGCACATATGAAACGATATCGAAATCCGAGACGAATGTTGGACTGTATTGCAGACCAGATCACACCGATGAAGAATATAATTTGTTTTCCAAAAAGAGCGTAAGCAGCCAAGCCAGTTGGGCAATGAAAAGAGCGTGGTCGCTAGCTGCGAAAGAAAAGGAAAAGAAGAGGCCGCAACAACGTCGTGATCGTGCAGAGTATAATCTGTGTGTGGAAGAAGGAACAAACAAGAGCGAAGAATGAGGGGACTGCAGCTAGTAATAATGCATTTGCTGCTTCACCATATTTCGGCAAAGACGTATGTATCCAGGCACACGATCAACCAGGACCAGGATCAAGGGTGAGCAATGGATGCAGGGCCTTGCACACACCGCAACAAGTGGCCTTGTTACAAGCCTTCCCAGCGACCACAAAGACGACATGAGGTGACCGTGACAGGGGTCAGAAGCATAATCTTGGCATGATCCGCTTGGCTGCCATCCATAGTACCACCTAAAACAGTATATCCTAGCCATATCGAGTTCGGGTTGAGAAGGACGTGCGCACATGCAATTCGGGAACACCGTTCCTTAACCCTTTCCAGCCTATCGGCTAAGAACTCAATGGGCATAGAATGGAGAACGCATCCAAAGGGATCCGAGATGAGCAAAGCAATCGCTTGACTGTAAGATGCTGCACCCTGGTACCTCTATCTCAGTAACAAACTCTTGTTGATTAGCGAAATCTGAGACACTACCCACAGACTTGGAAGAAGAAGAGAACTGCTAGAAGCACAAATTCATGACGTGATACACAAGGCTCAACGGCAGCTTATGGTAAAGCCGTAACAGACACGGCATGGACCCCGCAGATGGTGATTGTCAAGACAAGACTGGAAACATGTATCTCTCATCTGTCGTTATTTTTGTTCTCATCCTGTGTTTGTTCTATGTAGCATCGCCTGGTAGTAGTGGCACCAGGGTGTTTCGTTCGATGGTAGGTCCCAATAGCGGCCATTGTCATGTCCCAGACGCGAATTCTGAGTTAGGAGATCCCAGCTGAGAATGTTTTCGCTTTGCGAATACGCGTGTCGTCCTCTATGTAAAGAACGCAACGGGGTTCTCGCAGGGGATGCTGGTAGTTTGGTGTCGCGACACACAATCTGATGTTGACCGACTGCTCAGATAATGTCGACTGCCGCGTGACCTCACAACCCACGGCACCAGCTGTAGAGGCAAGAGTATCATGGGAGTCTCGCATGCGAAGGAACGTTGGGAAGAGGGTCTGTGTTTGGTGTTTTATGATGGGGGGATTATTGTAAGGACGTTGCTTCAACGTGTTACAGAGCCGCGCTTATGGATGTCACAGGGGTTGTTATTGGATCTTTGAACAAGGTTGGCCCACTGACCCCAGTTCTCCGGCCCATCGGTTCAGCGGCTCTGCAGCAACAAGATTTAGGCCTGAAGCAGTCCTTGGCAGCCTAGAGCTGGCACCCCTGTCCCGTGTGTGTCCCCTGTCAGCTTTGTTCGAGGGGATCTCGAGTTGTCAACATTCCCTCGAACCCATCCAAGCCCACATGCTATATTGAACGTCGCGGACTTGGACGTTGCGCTATGTTGGCCTGTCAATTGGAAGCGCTACTGGTTAGTAGGTGGAGCTTGAGTGTGCCGATGTTACTGCGTACTGTCTACCGAGGTGGTCTACCGAGGTCATCCTTCGAGATTGGAGAGACGGCGGGTACGACGTCCCACTACGATGGTTTGATATCTCTGTTTTTCAAAACAAGCTCAGCGTACATGTTTCAACCATTGAGGCTCAAAACTAACAACTACACCGATTTGTGCTTACTCCACAGTTGCAACAAACACCTCTGTAACGGTATTGACAAGTTCCACCGATCTGTCTTGATCTAGTACACACTACGCACAATAGTTAATGGTTTCTGTTCCTCGTGTCAGTCAACGATAATAATATCTACTATATGCGTATCTTTTGGCAAGGATTCTTGGCATAGGTTCATCTCATACCTTCGTCGCTCACCTCCGTTTGTGTCCTATCACTAAGCGGCTATGGAGTTCTTGACAGCAATTCTTCCCACTTGGCATGAGAAGTTAATGCGAAAAGCCCAGTTGAACCAAGAACATCTGAACTGCTCCAGCCAGTAATCATGCATCGTGCCCCTTCCACACTTGAGGGCCACGAAACTCGCCAGAAGCTTAGGACTGAGAGTCAACCTCAGCTGGGTATCACGCCTTACCCGATATGCGCGTAATTTACATCAGACCATCTCGCATTGCCCACAGAAGAAGAGTTTGTGAACCTGTTTTAACATATGGAGATCATCTTGGATTGACAGCTAGAATCTCGAGCGCTTTATCAAACAAAATCGTCAATGGGACGACGGCACCTAAAGACTTTCCTTGCTAGGAGGGGATGAGAATAGATATGTATTATCGGCTATGCCGTATCATCCATTCATCATGAGTCTAGGGCTTTTTATCTAACCTTACATGGCCCTCATAGTGAGTTTTATTGAAATCAAAACCAGGGATGCTGGACAATTCCACGACTAACAAAATTTTTGTCGATGGTGAAGAAACGTTGATGAACCACGGCCGTTACACTTGCCACGTCATTCTTTGCTTCTGCACTAATCCCGCGGCGAGTCGCTTCATTGAGCTTCACATATATGACTTACTTTTCAAAGCACTCATATTGTAGAATTATCTGATGCCATAAACGTCTAAATATACGCTATTGGAATCTTCAAGTCCTTCTGAATACGAAAGTATATGGCTCCAAAGAAGCCAGTCAGAAAACCCGGGGCTTTCAGTACTGTCGGCTTTTTCTCTCCGAAGGCAGTATGGGGTAAGCATTTCCGCCATCAGGCATCATGAAGACATCGATTCCCCGCACTATCTGCGACAGCCGTTCTCTTCCACGGGTAGGGCCCAACATGATTTCTGCGATGTTATTGCCACCAACCAGGTTCTGCGAATAAGGCAAGTAATCGTGGCAGTCGATCATCGGAAGCCCCAGACGCCGGGTCGCTTTAGGTGAACAAGGAGCGTGTGCGCTCTTCTTAATCTGGTCAGGGTGTTTGGATTGTCGGTATCTCACCTAACGCCAATTGTAGTCGTTCATGAAATGTGGTGTGAAGGAGGTGTCTCCGTTGCTCGCCTGACCATATAAGTCACCCTTACGTGTTGAATAGCCAACAGGGATTTGTGGCCAGCATCCGTTGTTCGTCTGATTTATTCTCACATCTTTCGCGAGCCTTCTTTGATTTCCGGTGGGGTTCTCTGCGATCATTTGACGGTACGATGACTATACACTCTAACTATGCCCAGACAATCAATTTAACATTGCAAACTTAAATAACAGTCTTGTCAGTATCTTTGGACTGCTCAATCAACTGAGTAATCAGGAAGCCTTCTAAGTGCTATAGCTGCGCCGGCCGTCCATATCATGCGGAAAGTACAAGACTGCTCCAACCAGCAGTTTCATCGCCAATGTTCCATAAATTGGGATATTCAGTTGTTGTTGTGTGCAACCGTGTAATGTCCAAGTTCCAGGCCTATTGAGCTGCGATGACAGCCCGGAGCCAGTGCGGCTTTGGCTTGCAGGTTGTCAGGCAGGCAAGTGATAACCGAGAATGCCAAAGGACCCCCGCCCTAAACTTTAAAACCGTAGAGACCCACACAGCCCTCCCCAGGCTTAATCCCTGCCACATCCGCAGAGCCGCTATTCTAAAACCTCTTTCCGACAGTCTCAGACCTGTACGGTTTCATTGGTGATGCTCAAAACCCGGCCTCATTTTTTACTTCAGCATGAACGTCTCTGTTTTGGACATCGATATCTGGTCTAGCATCTACTCGGCGCATTAAGCAAGGAGTTATGATCTTCGATGACAGCGTATGGGCAGTTATCGACGATTCCCAGCATGGGAAAAGATCAGACGACAGCGGCACACCGAAGTTGAGGCCGAACGGCCAGATATCTCTACACCCGATAGCTTCATTGGATTCAAGTATGATCGAACGTTAGGTAAAAGTATACGTATGCTTGAAAGAATGAGTGTAAATCGTATCGTATTACCACCCGTTGCACACATGCTTCGGTCACGGACTTGATCCTTGATCGCCGACCATGATAGGCCGCGGCGCTTATGGCAGATATTATGAACCCAACCTCCACAAAGACCAGTTATATTGCAGTGACGGCAACTATCTCATCCGATCAACCTATACTAAATTTGACATGCCTCTTTCGGCTTCATTTCCGTGCTCCTGTTTCGCTCCTTAGTTTTTTTGTCGAATTGTTTGGTTTCACGACCCGTCGAAACATGGCGCTTTCCATCGCGACTTTTGTTCAATGAGGTATGTTTCCGCCGTGATGGCAGGGTGCGCCGGGCTCGGCTTGATTCCGAATGGGTTTGTTTCAAGGGCTGGGGTTGTCGCTCAGATCAGCCAAGCGTAAGAAACCCCCGGCACGTAATGACTGCTAGCTTTTCGATGTTGTTTTCGAGTTATCCAAAACGACGACGTGCTGAGGCTGTTACTTGGACTATGCCTATCGGGAGCTAATTATATACGCGATAAACTTTTGCTCTGTGCCAAGTGCCAGCGGAGATTGTGCTATCCATCCTCTGCCTCCTCGAACAGTATCGACTAGTTCGGATATTCTCTGCGTTTTTGTAGAGCGTTTTCATTTCGCCGCTTGAGCATGTCATAAGTATGTTGTTCCAATAGCTACAGAATGGGGTTTATTTATTTATTTGTTTTCTTTTTGGCAACTTGTAACGTCATTCTAATCTTCTTCTCGGTGTTTTCCCGCCCAATCTTAGTAAAGCCGTCTTACCTGGCTATAATAAGCAGCGGCCAAACGCCAAAGCGTATAGCGCATCAAGATATAAAGAACTCAAAAAGAACTTCTTTATTTTACTCAGCCTTGCTCTGATAAGCTCACGAAACCACTAGACCAGAATTTTATAGGCATCACGTCAACCTCTTCTTAAATATATGGAGCAGTCATACAGCGTCTCAGCATTGCTGGAGCTATATTTTTCAAGTTTGTGGGTGGAATGAGATGAGATATCATCTCTAACATGCCTGCATGTTTTCAAGGCCCACAGGGTTAGGTCGTTCTTAGAGCAACTTGCGGAGTTGTTGATAATCGCCCAGTCATAACATGGCACAAGTATAGACAGATTATTATACAGATGGCCGTCTATTATGCATAAGGGGACATAGCAAAGAATGAAGAATACTGACATACAAATTTATTGAGCCCAGGGTATACAGCAGCATTAAGAATATGTCGTGAATAAGATCTATTAGCTCTTACATAGGCACAAGACATATTCTATTGATAAACCGGCTGTCAATCCTCAAGCATATCGTACAGACAACATAAACTGTGCATAGAACATTTAGACGCTACACAAACCTTGTGATGTGGGCAAACATAACCAACATTTTGACCGTTGAAGACAACAGTGGTGTGCGTCACTGCTAATACTATATTGATTTCCCTTGACGAATCGAGACGCTACTAGTCAAATTATTGAATGTTATCATAAAGCATTTTAACATGAAATAAGCAAACAAAGCTATAGTATGATTTATTCGAAGGTCAGCTGAAGACCTCACTCGCTAAGGCATCTCAAGAAGGATCTAGGAGACCAATAATTGCCGCCACGTGCCTATGACAGAAATAGTGGTGCAAATCGATGTGCGTTTTCGAATTATAACTGTATAGCCAGGAGTATCAGAAGCTGTGATCATATATTGTTAAATTGTACCGATGCAGTTTGCTGCTATCAAGTACCAGATGTAGTTGAGGCTGCATTGTGCATGGTGTCAGCCGAACGCTGCATACCGCGGGCCTGAGTGTCGCAAAGAGTACTGCAAAATCAAGTAGCGGGTACCTAGCAGGGGTCACGATGCTTGGTAGTGGGTCAGATAGCAACCTGCAAGCAGTAAATTTCTAGTACCAATAATCGGTGTAATCTTACCATGTTCAATATTTGCTCCTTGTGTACCGTGTTATTCAGATCCGAGTGCAATGTATTGATTCTTGCACAGTTGAATGATGTGGGATTAGTGTTCTTGCTAGAATGGAAGATAGAATGCCGACAAGCAGTAGTAGAAGACACTTTTAGTACATATACACCTGGACGATCAAGTCAGTTGATCGCTATTCGAAAAGCAAATTTGAGCACAACATTGAGAGTTATACAGGATGAGCACACTGCCTTGATAAATATATCTTTGGCGGTCGTTATGAAAATTAATATGGCTTAGGCCGTCAAGGAGAGTTATAAGCGACGTGCTAATAGTCATGACATCTTCATGGCCTTTGTTCAACCATCGCCCTCAAACCTAGCATTCTCCCTAAGTTGTACTGTAATTTTGAACTCTGCGCTTTGAGGAGTAGGAGCCTAGTGGTGAGTTGAACCAGTCCGGTTAGGTACTTGTCGGCTATGGCTACAGCTATTCTCACTTTGTGGTGGAACCGTGCACCAATAGTTTCAAGCCGTCACTCATATGTAGTGGTTTCGTTCCCGCGATCCGATAATCCCTATCACGTACAGTGCGCATGTCGAGCGAGCGAGTAATAATAATAATCAGTTCAACATACGTTCGACATATTCAGCATACAGTCCTTAACATGTCCTCCACAGTGGCAGTATTCGCTTGGATGCTCTCTGAATGTCATCACCTAAAAATGCATGCTCAATATTGGAACTGTGTCCTGAGTGAGTGGCTTCAACCTAGACTAACTAACCTAGTCCAAATTCTGGTACGCTAATTTCACAAGTCACGCAAGCAGTCTTGGAAGCTCAGATCTAGGAAGAATCCGTCAATAGGATTGGCTTCTGCTGTTGGTCCTCATTAGTTGGTGCTCGGGTGTGGCTGTGGGCACCTGTCCGGGCTGCAAGGTAAATCAAGTCACTTGCAGGCTGGTGCCAGGCTGCAAAGTACAGGGTTGGCAGGAGCCAAAAGTGTGCAGACTCGGGCAGACAGCGACAGAAAAGGTACTTCTCGACGCCCACACCCCCCTACCACAACTTCTTTCACCTCTCTTCTCCCACCTTGCGCTTGTTGGAACCCACACCCGAGAAAAAAAGCGTGAGGGTCGCTCCCTGAACCAGTGCCAAAACATCGACCAGCCCGAGATACTTTCATCCCAAGTACATCCAGGGCCATCGACAACAACCCGAGTGCTAGCTCATTTGGTTCGTCCATCGATCAACTGCAAAGATCCACCAGAGCTACTATCACGGTCACTCTGCGCATTTGACAAACATCGTCGCTTTGCATTGCCTTCGATACTCGGAAGCGTCGAGTTCGTCGAGTGGCAGAGAAGAGAATTGTGCGCGCGTCGTTCCTTCATCCCACTATCGCTATCGCGGCTTGTCGTGCGCCGACTCAGCCGTCTTTGGTGGCAGGTTTTTGCCCACATCCAATTGCACATTGCACCCGCATATTGGAACAAGTGTCAGTTATCAGGTAGAGAGAGCTACTGCTCCAGGTATGTGGAAAAGATTTGATAGCTACAAACCCCAACGATCACGTTTTAAAAGCCCCAGCCTGTGTCCTCTTTTCAATTATCTCGTATACACACGGCACGTCGCTTTTAAGCAAACACATCCGTCCATCGCACTCGTCATTTTCACCCGCAGCTTTGGTGATTACACACCATAATATCGCCTCTGTTGTCATTCAAGTCGTCTGTCATCCGTCAACATCCGGGTCAATCTTGTTTCTTGAGCTACTGTACCTGTTGGCTACCTCACCGGGGGTCGCGGCTGGTCTTGCGAAACACAGTTTCGACGTCCGCCCCTCCTTTCCCCTCCCTCCCCACTGGGTAAGGAATACATCAGCACCAGTTCCCTCCTCGGAGTACCTTCGTCGCGTCGTTCCCTGCGAATTTGAATGAATACATACTCCCATTATCGTTGCGTTCGGCATCCCATTGCACCCTAGACCCGTCCTGTACCATCTACTTCTTCTCATTCATCGACTTAGAACTTCGCCCACGGGCCAGCCCTGGTCACTGAATGCACGTATGTTCTAACACATCTGACAGTTTTTCTTTCAGCCTTGTCGGAATTGGGGAGCGCGTCAAAACTCGGCATCTCCTTCGCGTCCCGTGTGCGACACTTTTGTGTGCATTCGTGAAATATTGAATACCCGTCTTATCACGGCTAGCTGGGTGCACCTTTTCAACTAAAATAAACCAAACAAGCATCTGAACCGTTGTAAGTAACTGCTTTTTCTTATTCGACACCTCTTCCTCGATCCAAGGCACGAAGCGCATCACATCATTCATTCTCGAGGCCTATGAGTTGCATATCAGGATTAGACTATCTCAGCGCTTGCGCGGACATGAGATGCAGCGCTGCGGCAGTTTCTTGTCCACAAGAGACAAATCTTGGGGCATCGATCGCTCAAGCTATACAGTTGGTCTCGTCATAACGCCCTTTTACCTACCGCAATGAAGTTGATCTTGCTGTTTTGCGTGTTGGGGTCTATGTTTTCGTCACCATGGTCGCGTTTCGTGCCCGGCGATACCAAATTCGCCCCCGTTTACCGACCATCTGTCCTAGCCACATCATTTCTGCAAACTACCAACAACATCTCGTGCCCATTCAAAAGAGTTATCGGGTCTCCCAAACAATCTTTTACCAAGTTCCGATCTGATTAACACTCTCCATTCCGCACATGTCGGGCCGTGGTCCAAAGTTTATTCAAGTATCGCGTGCTAACACTAGTCCAGACAATGCAGCAGTGGCAGGTCGGCCCTGTGCCGGAGTACATGTACTCCAACACCCAAGCCCCTCAGCATGCAAATGACTTGCAGTAAGTACCCAATTTCCTCGTACTGGTTACTACTTGCCCACACATCCTACCCGATCTATTTCATCTCCACTTAGATTGTTGCCCACGAGTCTTCCCGAGTACACCCCAGTCTACTCGCGATACCAGTACAGAGACCATACAGCCGCAGTAGTCCTGCCGTTAGTATAATCTGAACGATAATGCCAAGAGGTGATACGTCCCTCATGTAGATATCCATCGGAAGTGTTTCTCTTGTCGGCTTGGTTACGCAGATAATGGCACGGCTCCCGCCATGAAGCGGCGGCGCCTGGAGAATGCTCCAAATAACCTGCGAGACCGTTCCTTGCCGAGAATACTTGTTTCCATCTGAGAAGTATTGTTTGCTATAGAGAGCATATGTTTGGTGGTACTGGTCTGCCATGAAAGTGTCATGGGGAAATCGAGACCTCGGGTACTCGTCGTGTTCGGTTTGTTCGACCATGGTCGATATTACTTTGCGCAATGCAAGGTTATACTTCGTAGTATTGACTGGCAAATGCTAATTGATACACACAGTGCTTCTCATCCCTATCAACCAACCGACATGCAGCGTCGTCCTGACTTTACCGGCTATGCTCAACCGCCCAACCCTGCTGCACAACATCAACCACATGCCCAGCATCAGCAGCACCATCCGCAACATCAGCCACATCAGCAGCACCAGCAGCATCAACAACATCCGGCTCACCCTCAGCACCAGCAACTCCCCCACGTCCAGCATGCTCCTCATCCCCAGCATGCCCAGCATGCCCAGCACCCCCAGCACCATCAGCCTCAACCACAACAGCACCACAGTACTCCGGTGCAAGCTCCAATGACCATCCCTCAAGCTGCAACTGCACCTCCACAACAACAACAGTCCACACCAACGCCTGCTCCAGCTCAGGGGCCCCGCGGACGCAAGAGGACCCATCAGCAGGTTCAACAGCATCAACAACAAGCTGTTCAGCAACAACACCCACAAGTACCACACCAGCCGCAGTCTCACGCAACACACCAGCAGCCTACGCCACAACAGCATCATCAACAACTACATCAACAACAGCATCAGCAGCATCAGCAGCAGCAACAACAACAACAGCAGCAGCAGCAGCAGCAAGCTCATCCGGTGCAGGTCCAGCAAGTCCACCAGCAACCACCACCCCAACAGCCACAGCAGCATGCTCAAGTACCGACTGCTGCCCCAGCACCTCAAGCCCAGCAAACACCGGTCCCGGCGGCTGCACCTCTGCCTGTTGCTCCAGTGGCGACAACGCCCGCGCCACCTCCGGCACCTGTCGCTGCTCCACCACCACAGGCAGCACCTGCAGTACCGTCAGCCCCCGCACCAGCCCAGGAAGCCGGTGCGACTCCTGCGCCGCCTCCTGCAAAGAAGAGCCGTACAAACACCCCATGGACACCCGCTGAGGAACAGCGACTCAAGCAGATGAGAGATGCAGGGAATAGCTGGGCTGAAATTGCGAAAACCTTCCCAACAAGAACAGAAGGAAGTGTCAAGAAACACTGGTATAAGGACATGCACTACGCTGAATTCGCTGAAGATGAGGTATGTCTTGAGTCCAATTCTGACGAGCCTATAATGTGACTTTGATGTTTGAACTAACACGTCTTTAGAGCCAGGCTCTCCTGACTGCCATCAAGGAATATGAAAATAACAAGTGGAAGACTATTGGACAAAAAGTCGGCAAGCCTGCAAAGGCCTGTGAGCAGTATGCCAAGGAGCACTTCCCTGACCTTTTTCCTAATTCCAAAGGTCGCTGAGAGCGTTAAGATATGACCATGATCAGCTAGTACCTGCCGCGGGTTTCGCTTAGGGTTCATTTAGTGCTCCTGGTGTTGACGAGTACATCACTGCGGGACGAGTTTCATATCGAACTTCTTTGGGAAAGTAGGGGGCGCAGTAAGATTTTGTTTCGATGCATACTTTTCATACCCCTAATCGCGTTCTTTTTGAGATGTGTAGAAAAGTAGTTTAAACAGGGAAATTTGGTATCTTTTGGAACTTAACCGGCGCCATGCGCATTGGCTTGGCTAGGCTATGAATGGAAGGCTCGTCCAATCATTGTGCAAAGACTATTTTTTTTATGACATAAACGGAATGGCAATGTTACAAGAGACACTATATCACACTGTCTGAAGCGGTCCAAATGGCGTCTACGACCTCATGTTAGACTTGCCTATTCATCGCCCAAGGTATCGTCTTGGTTCGTTGTACTATTATTCATGATGAAATGCCAAGCAGTGTCGTTTAAGTAGATGACTTGGAGTAGGCTACGCCTTTGTGCAGTGAGTGATCAACATACTGTCTAGCCATTTGAACACAGTGATATATAGGAACCCCTTGAGGGAAATATCCCGACCGTCGTCGCATTACAAGCCCTTTTTCTGGTCTAGAACTGACTTGGTGCTACTCTCAGGACGCATGAGGTCCGGTCTGAGCCACACAGCAAAAGAATGCCATGTCAGCGCAGGTAAGAGGAGAGACGCAGTGGTTAGCAACCCAGCTCGACTGAATCCTCCTTCCTGCTCTTCCGAAAAGCCGAGCCCATGCCACCCTAGTATGCCGACCAGGGCCACCTCTCCTGCGGTAAGCGTTTTAAAGACGAGATCCCGCTTCTCGTAGACAGCCCTTGACTCCGGGACCACCATGAGGATCGGCACCGTGAGTGCCAAGACCAACCCAGCGTAAATCTGCCATAGTACGGCGGCGCTGGCGGGGACGGTCGTCGTTTTACCCGTCGTTGATTGAGGCAGCATGTAAGAGAGACACCATAATGGGTAGCGGAGGAAGACCAGTGAACCTGAGATGTTGAGAAAGGCTTCCGTCAGAAGACCAATTTGGAATATGCGTGTCATGGCGCGTTTGGGTACAGATGCTGCTATTCAGTGTGCGCTCGTCAAAGGAAGAGGATGCAGGGGCAGCGGCCGATTGAGGCTGACTATCTATGTGTCAAATTGTGGAAGCTATATATCAATGACGTCGTGACTGGAGGAAAACCTTGGAGAGGATATTAGAACGTGGGATAGTAAACTGTTTCAGTCGGTTTTGTAGCATTTGAGTGACGAATTGACAGAATGACTTTGAAAGTACAAGATTCATAGTGTCTGGGTCATTTGCAATTAGTCTAGTCTAAGCTTGGGAACTGATCACTCGGGGAGCTGATCACCATGGGGGCTCGCGTCACCTGGGTGTCACCTAGGAGTCGCCACAGCCGTTGGCTCTGTACCAGCAACGGTGCACATTGCGGGACAAGGCAGATCCAGACCCGCGTAAGACGCCCCAAGGGATGTAGTTAAGTCGCTTCATTATGAATTATGCTGTTGCGCTTGGGCAAACAAAGGCTACTGGATCATTTCTTAAGTGTCAACCACACTGCGGTCCCTAAGACTATGGAACGCATTGGACTTACGATTCATTTCAGAAGGAGAAGATGAATGGTGAAATCCGTGTAGATTGACTTTCTGTATTTTGAGTGCCATTTGAGAGTGAAGCTGGATTTCTTATATATATTATCCACATTGGATATTACGACACTACTATGAACTAGAAAGGATATAAATCTTGCCGGTGTGTATTCCATTCAGAATCTTGAGTATCTTACCTAGGTTAGTAAATTAGGGGAAATGGAACTTACTGGGGGGGGGAGGGATGTACTTAGCGTACATTATCTTTCTTCTAACGCAAAGCCTCCCGTCTTAAGTGCAGCCCATGACTTTAGGTTAGTGAAGTTTCACCGCCCGCCGAAAGTAATTTCCGCAGTTGGTTACACTAGCAACAGCGTACAGAAACCCAGACACCCCGCGGTACACTGGACCTACTTATGGGACCGTACTGTATTGCAGTGGCAGAAAAAAAAAGAATTGATTGCCCCTCCATTTTTTTATCGGGCCTCAAGACAGCGAGTGGATAGAAATCCCACTGCAGTTGCGACAACGTCTGTCATCCAGCACACAACGACCTCAAGAATCGCAAATCATGTCGAAGCGAACGGCTGAAACTGATAATGGTGACACGCCCATGAAGGGCGGCGACCGCCCCGAGCCCATGGATGTAGACGTCGACAATAACATGGGCGAGTTTGAGGATGAATTTGAGGATGAGTTCGAGAGCGAAGACGAGATCCTGGAGGCTGGCGTCGATGGTAGACCAGATGCAGAGCGAGAAGCCGAAGAACGCGCAGGTAAGTAGGAATGAAAAGAAACGACAAGAAAAGAAGAAGAGGAAGAAGAAAAAACACTTCAGGGTGCCGCAACTGGGATGACAGGCACTGACTGCGACAACAGCCGGTGCAATGGACGTGGACAACGGCACATTTATCGTCGGTCGAAACAAGCTAGAGGCAGGCCAGCATCTTGCACCCGATTCAAGTGTGTATGAGATGCTGCACAGCCTAAGCACGCCGTGGCCCTGTCTTTCATTCGATATCCTCCGCGACGGCCTCGGTGACAAGCGCGAGAAAGTCTACCCTGCCACCATGTACACCGTTGCTGGTACGCAAGCCGAGGCTGGCAAGGAAAAGGAGAACCAGTTGATGGTCATGAAGTTCAGTGGACTGAGCCGGACTCAAAAGTTCGACGACGACTCGGATTCGGACTCGGATGACGATGAGGCTGAAGACGCAGACCCCATTCTCGAGTCCAAGTCGATACCAATCACCTCAACGACAAACCGAATACGTGCCCACCAAATGCCGTCGCAGGACGGCTCCACACCCAAGACCTTCACAGCTACCATGACCGAGTCGGCACAGGTTCTCATCCACGACATTACACCGCATCTCGAGTCCTTTGACAACCCCGGCACAGTCATCACACCACAGCAAAACAAGCCTCTTTCCACCATCCGCGCACACAAGTCGGAAGGTTATGCGCTTGATTGGTCCCCTCTGGTCCCCGGTGGAAAGCTGTTGACCGGAGACAACGATGGTCTCATCTACGTAACTACACGCACCGACGGTGGTGGCTGGGTCACGGATACGCGTGCATTCCAAGGCCATACCAGCAGTGTCGAGGAAATCCAATGGAGTCCCTCGGAGGCATCCGTCTTTGCATCGGCATCCAGTGACGGTACTGTGAGGGTTTGGGATGTGCGGAGCAAGAGCAGAAAGCCCGCCGTCACCGTGCCTGTGAGCAAGACCGATGTCAATGTCATGTCTTGGTCCCATCTGACCAGCCACCTTCTGGCAACTGGAGATGATAACGGTGTGTGGGGCGTATGGGATCTGCGGCAATGGAAGGGTGGTGATAGCAAGCCATCGCCAATTGCAAGCTTCGGCTACCACAAGGAGCAGATCACGAGCATTGAATGGCATCCGACCGATGACAGTATGGTTGCAGTGGCATCAGGCGACAACAAGGTCACCCTGTGGGATCTGTCAGTCGAGTTAGACGATGAGGAAAGCAAGGATACCGCAGGCGTACAGGACATGCCGCCTCAATTACTGTTCGAGCACATTGTAGAGCATGCCAAGGAAGTGCACTGGCACCCTCAGATTCCGGGTACCTTGGTTACCACCGGAACTGAGTTCAGTGTTTTCAGGCCAATCCCTGTGGTGTATGGCGTAGCTACAAAATAAGGAAGACAGATATCACACACGACCACAACAGGAAACCCGCAGATGGACATGCGTCTAGTATCTATGTAGGATGCCATCTCTCGCTGACCTCAGAACGTTATATCTCATGTTTGATCATGATTTGATATATTTTACCGTCCACGCTGGTTTTGCCTTTTCTCGACTTTCACGTACATGCATGTGCTGCCCTCGTGTACTTAAGCCTACCTAATCTTCGACAGGTTGGCAGCATACCAAAAACGGTTGGCTCACGTTGCGCTGCGCTATCTCGATCTATCTCGTGATCTCTCTTCTGTGCTTCTCGCCTCATACAACAACAACAACAAGTCATGAGTAGCGGCCGGGCCTGGTCCAATCGATTCGACCACTAAAGCGGGAATAGCCATTGATTATCGCTAGTTGAAGACATTTCGTAAGCGCGGTAGGCGCCGTCTACACATTATAGTCACTGGGTTTGTGGAATTTTGGTTCGGAGGCTGGTGGACAATTCAATCTGTTTTGAAAAGCCAAGGCTTTTTTTGTTTTGTTTTGTTCGGTTTTGTCTTGTTTCTTTGATGAGTCCTCAAATCCTAGCAAGAAAACATCATGGCTATAACGAGTACCCAAGTGGTTCCGTTAGAAGTAGCTAACCTAGGTTAGAAGGTGTAGATGAGCTGGTTTATACCCCCTTACTAACATTAGTTAAGTAGCCGTCTTCGTGGAATTGAAATGTCCTTTTCTGTCTTAAGAAACAGCATAGCTAAAGATTTACTAATTCGCTTACTGTCGCAATAGGAGCGCATACGTGATAGACTTGGGCAGAAGAAGAGGTAAAATAAAATAGTAAAATAAAATAGTAAAATAAAATAGTAAAATAAAATAGTAAAATAAAATAGTAAAATAAAATAGTAAAATAAAATAGTAAAATAAAATAGTAAAATAAAATAGTAAAATAAAATAGTAAAATAAAATAGTAAAATAAAATAGTAAAATAAAATAGTAAAATAAAATAGTAAAATAAAATAGTAAAATAAAATAGTAAAATAAAAATAAAAGTTACGTAGGGCATTACCCCTCGTTAGTTTATAGGCCTTGAAATATCCTGGCGCAGCTATCTGCCGAGCTGTTACTTAACTTATGTATGTACGGATTACTTTCCTTCGTGTTACACTTGGTCTAGACTGATTAAAGGTCTGGCGCTAGTACCTGATTAAGAAAAGCGCAGCCGGAAACACAGACACGAGGCCCTATGTAGTTACATACATCTTAACTTAGTAGTTCGCGAGTTTGTACAGTACTCAGCAAAATAAGGTAAGGAAGATACAAGACAAGAAAGAGAGCCCACTGATCAGCAGCCCGCTGAAGGGAAGCTAAGCCACTTCCAGCGTCACCCTTTCCCATGGCAACGGGGTCCTGATCTTGAGTCTTGAGCGGCCACCTCGCACCCAAATCATCATAAGCGATAACTAGTCAGTCGCTTGTTGCTTGCTTCGGCATCAGCATCTATCTCCTCGTTCTGCCGACCCGTCTTCGATGCTCTGTTCATTCGCTGCAGATCCATCGTCGATATCCACCGCGACGTCCATCGTTTACCGAACCGTAACTACCACGACCGCGACACTCGCTTCCTCGTCCATCTGCAACACCCGTCACCACCGGACTCACCATATTCTCGGGCGTCGCAATTACTGTGCGACCGGTGCTGATCCGACTTTGCTTTGACCATTGATTTCTTCCTTTGCGAAGGACTGCACTATAACTGCAAGATGGGCGGCTTTGGGGATTTCACCACAATTTGCGAGACGGCTCCTTTGCCGCTATGCGCCAATGTTGGACCCATCACCTCCATCGCGAGCGGCGTCGGTATCGAGCCCGACTGTTTCGCCCGCAACATTGAGGTCGCCAACACCATCATCTTTCAGGGCGCGTCGAGTTTCATGCACATCATCGCTCTGGTCATGACCGTCGTCATGATCCTGCACATTCGCGGCAAGTTCACAGCCGTCGGCCGCAAGGAGATCCTCGCCTTCTTCTACTTCTACATGCTCCTAAGCTTCTTCTCGCTCTGCGTAGATGCCGGTGTGGTTCCACCAGGCTCCGTGCCTTATCCGTACTTTGTCGCCGTCCAGTCCGGCCTCACCTCCTCGCTGATTACCTGTCTCCTGATCAATGGGTTTGTGGGGTTCCAGCTGTACGAGGACGGCACACCGTTGTCCGTTTGGCTACTTCGAGTCTGTTCATTCGCGGCATTCGTCATCTCGTTCCTCGTTTCTCTCGCTACCTTCAAGTCGTGGGCCGGACTTGGTCCCACCAACACGATCGGCTTGTTTGTGGTGCTCTACCTCTTGAATGGCATTCAGCTAGTGATCTACTTTTCCCTCCAAATACTCCTCGTCACGAGAACACTTCAGGACCGATGGCCATTGGGAGACATTGCCCTTGGTGTCATCTTCTTTGTCATTGGCCAAGTCATGCTGTACGCAGTGAGCAACACCATTTGCGAAGCCACTAGCCATTATATCGATGGTCTTTTGATTGCGACCACCTGCAACTTGTTGACTGTCATGATGGTCTACAAGGTACGTTCGATGCTGACATCTCTGCGACCTTGGTTTAGTGCTAATCTATTTGTCAAGTACTGGGATTCCATTACGAAGGAAGACTTAGAGTTTTCAGTCGGCACGCGGCTCAACAACTGGGAAGTCAAGGAGCTGTTGCCCGAGGACGACCGACGGACTACCGTTTATGCCGACGAGCCGAGTCCTTACGCTCGTTCCAGTGCCTACGACCGTGGCTACTCGCCTAACAGCAATAATAGGATGTCCAGGTACTAGGTAATGGGCACCCATGAGTGCACGGCGATTACTATGCAATTTATGTAGACATTCATACATGTTGGGCATTGGAAGCATGGCAATTGTAACAGACATCTTACACACGGGGGCTACACTGCATTGGCAAGGGGTTCGAGGCGTTCGTTTTATGTTTCAAGGGGGGTAGTTGAATAGCTTTTTTATGCCAAATATCAAATTCCGACAGGCGCACATTTGACATACCGTCTGATGGTGGTTTTATAGGTCGTGGACGTCTCCGTGGTAAATTGATGCAAAATGAAGAGAGGAAGAAAACGGCCAAGTCGATCATAGATTAATCCTCCCGGAATCGAGTAGGTGAACCGGCCCCACCTCAACCCTCAACTCCGGAGGCCTTAACGCGACCATGAAATCTATCAACCAGACCCCCAGCGCGTCATTCTTTGCTTTAGCCAAAAGCTCTCCGGAGAAACGAATACCAGTGATAACAATCGTGTATGCACCACGATACGCAGCTCTCCAGACTCGCGATGCCTGACAAGATCACCTCCAAAAACCTCGGTTACGACAAGACCCTCCCACCGTTTCTTGCGCGCCTGCACGGCCAGCAGACCTCAAACTCAGAGTTTGCCGATCCCATACTCGCTGCCCGCCGGAGAGCGGCCAAAGTACGCAGCGCGAGTGAAGAGGCTGAAGATGCACCGGTCGTGGTAGACGAGGACGGGAACGTGGTGCAGATGACAGCTGGCCAGCTCGACGAAGATGGTGGACAGGGTGATGCAGCTCAGAATGAGGGGCCCGAGGATGGCGAGCCCAAGGGAATCAACGATCAAGAGGGAAATCAAGCTCCTGAAAGGGAAAAGGTCGCTGGTATAGGCGCAACCAAGAAACGCAAGGTCGGAAAGCTCATCGGCGGAGATGACGAGGACGAAGATAAAGCATCGGACGCAGCCATTGCGAAAGCCGTTAATGCGACGAAGAAGCTGGCGGGCGGAACCTCAAAGAGAGAACAGAAGATGCCTGCCAGCAAGCCTAGCGAGAAGGGAAACAAGAAGAAGGCGAAGAAGATTAAGCTCAGCTTTGGTGACGATGAGAGCTGAGACTGCCGCCAGCATCCTGCCATGACACCTTCTGAGCACAAATCCCGGCAACCGGTGTCCTCCCCCAACCAAGTTGTATAGCCCAGGGTTGGCATCAAAGACTAGGTTACTCTGCTTCTGCGAAGATTACCTCGATTGGTCCCTGTAAGTCATTAAGAAACTCTTCAGAGTGTCATGGTAAGAGTAATGCTAATCCAAATCCTAAGACTGTGGCTTATAAATATCCCTTAAGACACTGCTAAAGCGAATGCTAAACCCGAATAATGGGCCATAACACCGCGGGATCAAGTGAGCAGAACTGACGGTAGAAGCTTCGATATATGCCTTCTAGGATGCAATGTCTCCTTCGGTTGCCTCAAGGCCGAGGACTATTGTTCTTTGAAATGCCCGAAAACGCCTGAGATAAGCCTAATAGCCACGACAGTGACCGGGCGGTGCTGTGATGAAGTCTCCCACGCCAAAACGTTGATGGTGAGCCAGGCGCGAACTCCGGTCTGCAGTTTCGACCTTGTTGATATGGCTTTCGAGTTCGCGAAAGTCAAAACTTTGTGTAAGAACATGAGAAGCAGAACCAGACCACTCTGGTCTCATGCCAGAGCAGTCTACAAGGGCTCAAGCTATCAAAACATCATCTTTTATGTTCTCATTTCTTTTAATTCTTTTTATTTTAATTTAATTCTTTTCAATATTCTTTATTGCCTAGAATCCTCATTTCATTTCAAGGGTCAGTCTTGATGAATGCATGAACATCTATCCGAGTCCGTCAATCGTTCAATCTGATTTCTTCTACTCTTCGTGTGCCAGTTTATTCTTGGCGAATCCCTGTACATTACCTCCAATTGCTAGCATATCCGGATCTTCCTCGCCGCCCGAAGTCCAGTCAGTGACAGAAGCTCCTATCGGCGGTGCAACTCCTCTTCTGACCAAAGCCACAACCTCTGGACCACCATGAGGGCTGCCCCACCTGTCACTTTCCCATTGCTCATACACATCCCACCACCACTGATGGGTTACGCCGTCCCGACCTTTGTAACCTGCCATACCGTTCGCACCGATACGCGATGCCCATGGCTTATCAACGATATAGTGCAGCGTTACGACTTCTTCGTCGCGCCAGATATTTTCGTGCCAGTATCTCATGGTCTTCAGGGCATTATACTGCCAACCCAACGCTCGCCATTTGTCTCGATAATAATGCGCGAGGAAGTCCTGATCAGGGAATTTGAAGGTGGAAAGCAGAGGAGTTGTGTTGAACTCGGCCAGCATATCATCCCATAACTCTTGGGACGGTCGGAATAGAAACATACCCCCGTTCAGGAGGGTGTGCGTCCTTGGGCTCTCGGGACCAGGTTGTGTCGGCTCCGTAAGAGCTTGGGGATGCGTAACTGAAGTATACGCACAATTTTCCCGGCGCCAATCCTCAGGCGCCCAGGCATCACCATCTCTGTTACACACGCACGAGTGGTTCGCCCCAAGCCCACCTTCGGGAATGTGGCTTATCCTATCAAACACCGAGTCTGCATTGCGAAAGACAGCCATGTCGGCATCCAGATAACAGACGACATCGTATCCGACGAGCTCAAAAACTCGCAACTTTGTCCATGTGTCAGCGAAGCGCTCCGCTATCAACGTGATCTTTGCGTCCTTGGGTGGTAGTAGAACATCACACAGACGCAGTATGATGTTACTCTCGGCCGACTCAAACCTCAGCGCTTGGAGAGCATGTTCCGCAAGGTTTGGCGTGTACAACACAACCAATGGATATTGGCTGCCGTGCTTCTTCAATGTATGTGCCAAGATCACCACACCAGCAAGATAGCTGGCACGTGTGATCAGGGTGGCATACGCGCACTTCCTAGCTTGTCCGTTGGCTGTCATGGGGGTAAAGTTTGCTTGATGGTGAAATAGCTTGCAAAAAAAATAAAAAAAAATGGCCTGATTGTCTACTAGTCGTTTGTCACCTGTTGTTACGAGTTATGCACATCGTACTTGGTAATACTTCTTACGAAAGCGTATGGGCAAAACGCGCCAGCCCAAGTCAATAACGTCATGAGTCCACCCACCCGGCGAGTACCTTTTGGTATCAGCATGACTTCATGACTTCGTCGTAGTATGCTGCTGCTGCAGCAACCGTAATTTGCGGGCGTTCTTGGACCAATTTTATACGTTCCTCCTGTGGAATACCCCACGAATATCTACCCACCTTGGGCTGCCCCATGTTGCCAATTATCTAGGTCAATACAAAAACGTGCGCTTCTGTTTGCTCGTCTACAACTAAAGTTCGGGATATCCCTGTCTCGTGCCAACGTAGCAAGCTGATTCAGGAACGTAGTCAAAGTCAATTACAAGCTAACTAATGCATGCATAGAGATCTCGTGACATACTCTCAACCGCACCAAATGCAGTACGTATAGCAAATAACACCATAAATAGTGCCTAGCAGTGTTACAAATATTGTCACTAACCAAGAGAATTTTTTATGAACGTTGCCAGTAGTTGTAAAAGACGGATAGTAGGATTTCAATGCTCGCTTAGTTATTCATGTACGTCGTGATGACGACCGTATGTCTACATACTCCTAAAAATATAATTCATTTTACGAGCTTTCGGGAAAGCGCTCCCAATCCCCAAGCACCACCTCCCCACATTGCGCTTTACGCCTGAACCTTGACACCGTTAGTGTAACCATTTGTGTGACCATTGGTGTTTGGCGCCAAGGCAGCCTTGACCTTCTCGAGCAGAGAGGCATCGCCGTTGCTGTGGCCGTTGGTGGCCCCGTTGACAAGCTTGCTTCCAGGTGGGAAGTCCGCCGCCTGGGCAGCCTCCTCGACAGTCTGACCATTATCGGTGTAACCAGTATCGCTGCTGTCGACATACGCCTCGAGACCTGCCCCCTGGCGGGGGTACGTTTTGCAAATGCGCTTGTGCTCGTGGAGAGCGTCTCTGAGCTCGTCCTCGGTCGCGTCGTTGACGAACTTGCAGCTTCCTAGGGGGTTGGGCACGGCCAGACGTAGCAGACCGTCTCGAGTCTTGAGAATGGCTTGTGTACCCTGCTCGAGGACTTCGTCGTCGAACTGAGGGTGGTCTATGGTGAGACCGGCTCGAGAGAACAGAGTGAGGAGTCTCTTGTGTTCCTGCTCGGACAGAAGACCTCTCTGTTTAGCAAGTGTCGCGGTGTATGCCATGTCGATGGAGATGGCATGGCCGTGTCGTAAAGGTGTGTCGGGGACGAGCTCGTGGAGAGGGGACCAGGTGTGGCCATACGCAATCACTCTGTCAAGTCCAATCTCATGGAGGTTGGGCGACTCCAGCTTCAACATCTCGAAAATACCCTCGCGATTGATCTGAGTTGAACGTTAGCACGGCACTGGTGGGATAGTTTGCAGAAATTGCTTACGATATCAGCAGCCTTGCGGACCTCATCTGGAGCACCATCCGCTCTGCCAAACTTGCAGTCGATCAATTGCTCGCAGAACTTGTCCAAGAGGTCGAACACCTCAAGGTGAGAGCAAGAAGAGATCTTGATCAGCTCAGCGAAGCCGTTTCGTACTTGTGCAACGGGAAGTGTTCGCAGGAATGTGAAATCCAAGAAGGTGTGCATTGGAGCGTGGTAGGCACCCAGGCGGTTCTTGTATCGGCCGTAGTTGACGGCGACCTTGATACTGACGCTGGCGTCGATCAGGCCAATGACTGTGGTGGGAACGCGGATGAAGTTAGTGTTACGTCTGTAAGACGCGCAAGCATAGCCAGCCACATCGGTAACTAGACCACCTCCGACGACCAATACTGGCTCCTGTGTGGAGAGTTAACATAATACAAGTTTCCTATATCAGCAGGAGAAGAGTGACTGTACCTTTCGGATGATGCCAAACTCTGTCATGGAGTCGCAGATCTCCAAGAAAGTGTCAATGGTCTTTGCCTTCTCGCCAATGGAAGTCTGGTGGACCTTCAAATCAAGGTTGTAGTGACTGAAGTACTTCTCCATCTTCTTTCCATACACGTTGAAGACATTCTTGTCAGTGACAGCAAGAACACGGCCCCATTTTTTGTAGCAGTCTGCTAGGTTGGAGTTTGCAACATCGAAGACTCCATCGATGAAGGTGAAGTCGTACTCGATCTTCTCATAGCCCTCGACATGGAAGCCAGTCTTGGTCTCTGAAACGGTTGCCTGGAGGTCAGACATCTTGAATCGTCTTAACTTGGTGTTTGCAATGTTGGATACTGTGTAAGAAGAAGAAGACAATGAAGAACAGAATCTTGTTTCAAGAGTTATGGGAAACGTGGGAAACTTTAAATCTACCATTTCTCCTCCTCCAGCTGGATTAGGAATTCTCCGTTTCCCATGTACGGTTCTTCATTTTGCATACACGCGTCATCATCTCGTGGGGTGTCTGGGGTGACCAGCCTAGATTCTTCGTCTCCGTCTTGCCGTATGTCGAAAGGGGACGTAGTGAAAACATCACAAGCTGAGCCTGCCCAGCGCTTATTCTCAAGCTCGGCTGGTCGTGAGGGTTGATCGTACTCGAATCAGATAAAACTACAAATCCAGGTGGTCCCTGATCGGCACTTGTTTGCATGCACGGAAACTTAGCCTCCAAGATAGCCATGGTCTAGTCCATCTAATATGGTCGATCTCGCCGTGCTAACAGCCACTAGGGCGATTTAGACCGAGCATAGGGTTCCATCGATCTGAAATATAGTCCGCGTTACTACAAGTAACACCCGTAGCACATTACTTAACCGACACTGTTGATTGGCGGGATGGTGTCCGCGTCACAAATAACTCGGCTAACTCGTCGTGTCGTCACTATAAGTCAATGACACCAAGATACATGGAACATAAACGTATGGTGGTGACACATGACATTTCTTTAGAGCCGCGCACGGAAACTACCGAAGTCAATTGCAGCCCGATCCCTACTAGGTATGCAACGGTAGACAGCAACGGTTCCTGACAGATCAAGGGAACGAAATTCAACAGAACACGGTTAAGCACAGTTCTTCCGGCCGCGTCGCACCAGAAACCTCAGATCAAATCATTACTAAGTTACAACTCTGAACATGGCGAACGAAGTTCACAAAGACTTCAAGGGCGAGGCCTATCAACCTCAAGAAGAGATTTATGTATGTATTTGACGGCTGCCTTGCTCGACTGAGGTAATTGAGTGCTGAAATACAGGTTTGACAGTTCAATGATGGTCGCGAGATAGCTCTGTTGCACTTCGTCTACAAACATCCAAACCTTGAACAGATGCGTGGCAACCCGCAAAAAGTCCTCGAAGCCATTGACGAATATGGCAGAACAAAGAAATACCTCATGAACATTGGCGAGTATAAATCCAAGACAGTAGTCGACTTGATTTCCGAAGTGAAGCCTCAGACGATGGTCGAAGTCGGTGCCTACGTTGGTTATTCTGCCATCGCATTTGCAGCGGCAGTGAAGAAGGCCGGCGGCAGGAAGTACTACAGTCTGGAGCACAACCCCGAGTTTGGAGCCGTAACATCTTCACTCGTAGATCTGGCCGGACTTGGAGACATTGTTACAGTCGTCATCGGCTCAAGCTCCGATTCAATCAGACGGCTACACAAGGAAGGCGCGGTCAAGAAGATCGACCTGCTCTTCCTTGACCACCTGAAGCCTATGTACACACCGGATCTGAAACTTTGCGAAGAACTTGGACTTGTCGGACCTGGATCGGTATACGCAGCAGATAATGGTTTGTCTTGGTATCCTATCCAAACTGCAATTGTTCGCTAAATCTTCCCAGTCGTGAAACCAGGAAACCCTCCTTATCTCGAATATGTCAGAAGCACCCCGGAGCAGAAACGAAAGCGATTCGAGTCTGCTAGCAAGGATGAACCAAGAGGAAACCCAGACCTCGTTTACAAGAGCGAGTTTGTGGAAGGATGGGAGCCCAGTGGCGTGCCGGTAAGACAGTGGCTGTTCCTCGGTTGTTGAAGACTGTACTAACACAGGTAGGATGCTTTGGAAGTTACGAAATGTTTGGAGGCATAGAATCACATATTCAATTCGGCTGGCGACTAGATTGCGGATTTATAGCCGAGGGGTCGTATTGAAGACGTATAGGCTCGTTGTAAACAATAACCTGGGACCCTTTGGGCTTAAAAATGCAATGTGTTGATCAAGACGATGAATTGAAACCGAACGCCATCATTACTCCCTCCATATATCGTGGATACATATGCAACTTACACAAGGCTATAAATGCTATACTCGCAACCAATGGTCTCTGTCTTGATTTAATTCTGGTTTCAATCGGTGTAAGATTTGAGTATATGGTATGTGTGGGGTCGATCAAAACACCAATTCCGGCATGTGGAATATCATGAGATTCGACTAAGGTTAGGAATCTGATCTCGGTTCGGCAATTTGACCCGATCGAGTTCCATGTTCTCGAGATCTCCTCCACCTGGGATTAGACAGTTACTCCGCAAATCTTGTAATATGGACATCAAACTCTAGTTTAGATTTCTCCAGAAATCCACTCCTTGTTCTCGGACCGGTTGGCTTGTCGCCGTCATTATTACGGTTCCTTCTCTGCAGGTGGGGCTAATGATTCATGAGCCAAAGAAAGCAACACTGCGGCTTAGATCGGCGAGAATACGCGAGCCGCCCCGTGAAAGCGATATACAGAAGATCTAAGCATAAAGTTTCAAGCTTCACATACAGAGTTTATTCACGTATTGCAGCGCTTGCACGGAGTTGGTGATTTTGTTGTCTCTTGCAGTTTTACCTCATCATCGACTCACTAGACTATCACCACTTACGCCGTTAGTTACGCACGCTACATGCTTATGCAAAAGCCACGATGCGTCGCACAGTGTTCTCTGACACCATCAGGTCATTTGGCCTTGTCATTACCAGCATATTCTTGCTTCCATTGTCTCTTGCATTAACGTCGTTTGCCATCTTGATGAGGCGATGGTCGTCTCATACTCGAAAGCAACAGCCTGTACCTCTGGACCCGCGTCACAAACGGAATATATTGGTCACTGGGGTTGGCATGGCCAAAGGCTTGACTCTTGCTCGAGCATTCCATCTCAGCGGCCATAATGTGACTGGGGCGGACTTTGAGGGAAACGGCATTTTATGCTCTGGAAAGTACTCCAAGAGTCTTTGTGGCTTCCGACCTATGAACAGACCAGACTCTGAGAACGCCACAAGGAGCTACATACAACAGCTTCTCACTATTGTCAGAGACAATCACATTGATCTCTGGGTCTCCTGCTCAGGCGTTGCTAGTGCGTTGGAAGACGCCAAGGCAAAGGAGCTGATTGAGCGGAAGACATCGTGCAAATGTATCCAGCTTGGAGTCCAAGATACGGCAACACTGCACGAAAAGGATCAATTCATGAGTGAAGCAGCAAGGTTGGGATTGCCTGTTCCCGTGACGCATCACCTTAGTTCCTACGATGAAGCTATTGATCATCTTTCGCATTCGCAATCTGCACACCCAGAACGAAAGTTCATTCTCAAGACAGTCGGCATGGATGATGCCAATCGTGGAAACATGACTGTTCTTCCGCTTGATACTATGGAAAAGACCAAGACCTATATGTCTCGCTTGCCTATCACGCCAGAGAATACATGGATTCTGCAAGAGTTTATCCCTGGTGGTGAGGAATACTGCACCCATGCTCTAATTGTCCGTGGGCAAGTCAAGGTCTTCGTGGCATGCCCAAGTGCTGAGCTATTGATGCACTACGAAGCTCTGCCGCCAAGTTCTGCGTTGTCAAGAGCAATGCTTGCTTTCACGCGCGAATACGTGTACCGGTCAGAAAGCTCGGAACAGTTCACTGGCCACCTGAGTTTCGATTTCATGGTCAAGGATAGTGTTGTAGATGAGAAAAGCTTCGAACGATCCATCTACGCGATTGAGTGCAACCCTCGGGCACACACGGCTGTTGTACTATTTGCCCAGGAAGGCCCAGAAATGGCATCCATGGTGCAGGCTTACTTGTCAACTCTTGACGTGGGCCATGTCTCGTATGCGGAAGTTGTGAAAAAGAATGGCTTAAAGGAAGATGAGATAGTGTATCCGCCAAATGCTCCTATATCACGCTATTGGATCGGCCATGATCTCTTCAGTCTGGTTGTCCAGCCAACTTTTGATTGGACTTCGGGACAGATTACGCTTCACGAATTAAGTCGTTGTTTTTTACAATTCATCAACCATGCGCTCACCTGGAAAGAAGGGACTTTCGAGACTTGGGATCCGTTACCAGCATTGGCGCTCTATCATGTGTACTGGCCATTGACAATACTTTCGGCTTGGTGGAGTGGGCATCAATGGAGCCGGGTCAACGTTAGCACCACGAAAATGTTTGCGTGTTAATCCTGCCTGGTATCACAGTTAGTATATATATATATATACATAATCATACTATTCATAATACGAAACTAATTATCATCACTTTCTGACTGCAATTGGACATACTAGTGGCTACAGCGCGTTCAGGTACGTTGATATTTATTTTCTATCTTGCTGAGGCTCTATAATGTGCTTAATTGTCTACTGGTTGCACAATTGACCCTTCACGACCCTGGTTGAGATTATTCAGACTCGTCATATCATCGTCGCTTAGATCGAACCCGAAAATATCAGCATTGCTATTGATGCGTGATGGAGTATCACTCTTCGGGAGTGGAATGAAACCTCTCTGAAGAGACCATCGAATCAGGATTTGAGAGTTCGAGACACCGTGCTTCTCAGCAAGCTTCTTAAGAGTCGGTTCGTCTGCCTTTTTATTTCGTACCAATGGGCAATAGGCCTCTACCGCGATGCTGTGCTTCACGCAGTATTCCACGTTTGCTCGCTGCTGGCACCATGGATGCAACTGGAATTTGTCAGTGAGCAGAGTTCCAAATTGATTTCCAACCCAACTCACCTCGATTTGGTTGACATGAGGAGGCCAGATCTTAGCGTACTGCTTCAATTCCTCGATATGCTCAATGCTGAAGTTGCTAACACCGATACTTTTCGCTTTGCCATCTTGGTACAGCTTCTCGAGAGCTAACCACATTTCTTTCCGCTTCTCGGTCCCGCTGTTCGGGCTGTGAATGAGGTAGAGATCAGCATAGTGCTCGACGGCGTCAAGCTTTTCTATGCTTTCGACACATTGTTGGTAACTTTTGTCTACAGAACCAGCGGCCTCGAGGATCTTGGATGTGACGAAGATCTCTTTGCGAGCCAGTCCAGACCTTTCAAGGGCCTCTCCGACTTGGGACTCATTGGCGTAGTATTGTGCAGTGTCGATGTGTCTATACCCGCATTGTAATGCAGTAAGGCATGATTGCACGCACACCTCAGGAGGCGACTTGTAGACGCCAAACCCGAGATGGGGGATCTTGCTGTCGTTCTGGAGCGTCACCTCATCTAAAATTGATCTTGGTGCGGCCATCTTTTGGGATAACCGAAACATTTCCCAGGTCCAAATGCCGATGTTTGCCTTAAAGATCCATTGAGTACTGTAGTTTGCGTACAATTCCATTCCCCACTGTATTCCATACAATTGTTACATTACTATATGCGAGTAAAAATATATGCATTTAGTCAGGAATTGTTGCTTGGCAGCTATGATGGTCACCAATGCACTGGCTTATCCATCGCGTGGCCAAGTGCAGGCGTGTGGCTTAGACGATGACCTCACGATGCTCCGTACATAAAGTCTCGCATGCCAAAGTCACCAGCACGTGGTCATTTGACATAGAATTGACACATGGGAATTGAAAGGAAAACACGCGATTCTTTGCCTGGGCAGATCGCTGCCAGGTACCCATCATCATCGATTGGCAAAGATGGGTCGAGACTATACTTTATAGATCGATCCACTGGAACTATCTCAATGTGCATGGTAGTGCCGTGTAGCATCATAAGCTAGTCTAGTCGAGCAACCTGGTAATTTGTACCACTATGTTTGTTGCCATCCTGCAAGTCTGCGGGGAACGAATTTAGCCATTAGATTGTACCGTATCTTATGGTTTTCTAAGAAGAAACTGTAAATTGCACATGAGCCGTCGGTTATCATTACCGACCGCCTAACGGCAGCTATTGAACCATAATTGTGACAAAGTATGAACACCAAACACTTTAGCGATAGCTGGCCATACAAGCAGAAAGAAGCACTGATGTATGTTGAGCAGACTCTCAGGAGCGCCATGGATCTCAAAGGACTTAATTACTTTACCTGTACTTTGGGACAATCCGCTTTATGGCAGCAGCAACAGCAGTCAAAAGGAATTAAATCGGCCTTTACGACTGTACTTGAAGTGGTCGATGAGCAGGCCAAGGACCTTCCAGAATCACCTGCGCTCGGCTTTGCAGATTTTTCTTCCAAGGGCCAATCTCATGGTGAGTTAACTTATTTATCACTGACGGCATTTTTATATGATACTGACGAATCTACAGAGACACCGTATGTAACATTCGAACAACTAAGCGAACTCTCTAAATCAGCCGCGTGCGTCTTGACGAAGATTGTTGGTTCAGCTACCGCGACCGTTGGATTGATAAGCACCAGCGATCTCAACTTTGTGTTGACATGGCTTGGTCTGATGCGCCTGGGACACACTGTGTTCCTTCTTGCGTGAGTCTAAATAGATTTGATCAGTTGGAACCACGACTGACATCAAGTAGACCGCAGTTAGAAACTGCTGCGCTCAAGCATTTATGCGAAGGCTCAGGGGTGAAAAATATTTTACTCGGTGGAAGTCAACAGCAGAAGGCATTACAGCCTATTGAAGGTGTTTCGTTCGAAAAGATTCCAGACTATAACCATGGCGAAGTAAATATAAACCTAGCAACATACCTGGATGTTTCGACCTCTGATGCTGCTTACTTGCGCCATACCTCGGGCACATCGACAGGCATGCCCAAGCCAATTGTTCAAAGGCATTGGGGCGCTGTTGGTGTCTGTCCACGGTTGACTGGAAACGAGGATAAAGCTACTTTCACGACTACGCCCCTCTATCATGGCGGCTTGGCGGACTGCTTCCGAGCCTGGACGGCCGGAGCAATGATATGGTTTTTCCCTGAAGGGGTTGTTCCGGTTACAGAGACCAATATCATCAAAGCCATACACTATGCCCATAAGCAGAGCCCTCCCAATGTAGCAGTGGCATACTTCACGAGCGTGCCATATGTTCTGCAAAGTCTTGCCGGAGATCGAGAAGGATTGAAATTGCTCCAAACGATGGAGCTTGTCGGAGTCGGAGGCGCGGCTCTCGCTGCTTCGGTAGGCGATGAACTCGTGGGAAAGGGCGTTCGCCTAGTGTCCCGAATGGGGAGCGCCGAATGCGGCTTTTTGATGTCCTCACACCGAGATTACGACACAGATAAGGAATGGCAGTATCTTCGACCTGTTGTTGATGAGCGACTTCTATCTTTTGAACCTCGAGACGGGGGTCTGTTCGAGCTTGTCGCTAAGAAAGGCTGGCCCCTTCGAGCAAAGCAGAACCGGCAGGACGGCTCCTATGCGACCTCAGACCTGTTCCAACCACATGGCCATATACCGAATGCTTGGCGCTACCATAGCAGGTCTGATGCCCAGATAACTTTGGTGAATGGTAAGAAATTCGACCCTGCTCCGCTCGAAAGCTTAATAGTTGCTTCTGTCAAGCAACTGGAAGACATGTTTGTATTTGGTACTGGCAAGGATTTTGCAGGTGCCCTCTTGTTCCCTAAAGACGAAAGACTATCCGACAAGAAGCTCTTGGAAGCTGCGTGGCCAGTGATTGAGCAAGCGAATACAAACTCACAGAGTCATGCTCGTCTAGCAAGGTCGACCCTAGTCGTAGTTTCCAAGAAGGGGGGCGATCCAGCGCTTGAGAAGAGCAGTAAAGGAACTGTTATGAGACGCCAAGCTGAAGAGAGGTATGCGGACTTGATCGAGTCCGTTTACAACCCTTCAGGTGATGAAACCCTTATTCAAGAACATTTGAAGTACGATGAGCTTCAATGTATCATAATCGAAAAGTTTGCTCAGGTGCTTGACAGGGAGATCAATCCGGCCGAAGACTTATTCAGACAGGGCGTTGACTCCATCGCTTGCATACAAGTGCGCAAATTGATTGCGGCAAGTCTTCTGCCACCAGGTTCTGGCTCTCTGCCCCTCAACGTCATATACGAGCAAGGGACAGTTGAGAATCTGTCAATCTACATTCAGAACCTACGTCAAGGTGGCAAAGAGGTAGCAACACTATCGAATGGTCACGTTATAGACTCAGATCTCAAACTCATGTCCAATTTCGCTCGGAAACATGGAAATTTCAGCTCCGTGCCCGTGGCACCAGCAAAAACAACGAAACAAAACCATACTGTCACGCTTACCGGAGCAACGGGCGCACTAGGCGCACATATTCTGCACTCCCTCCGTGAAGACACCAGCATTCAGCGAGTCTATTGTCTTATACGAGCGCAGACACCCGTTGCTGCGCATGAGCGAGTATCAAAAGGACTCTGGAAGCGAGGACTGCAAGGCCTGCAGGATTTGAAATCGTACCCAGATTTTGATAACAAGATCGTGTGCCTTCCGTGCAACCTGTTCGATAAAGGGCTCGGACTCTCGGATGAAGACGGCAAGCGCATCAGCCACGAGTCGGCGCTCGTCATCCATGCTGCATGGACAGTAAACTTCAGTCTTCAATTGGGTTCCTTTGAAGATCATCTGGAAGGGCTGCATCATTTACTCCAGTTTGCACTATCTTCTGGGTCGCATTTCGTTTTCGTAAGCTCAACAGCTTCTGTTGGTGCTTCACGTGAAGAGCGCATACCGGAGGAGAAGTCCATCAATTCCTCGGACGCGTCTCCTTTGGGATATTCGAGGTCAAAGTGGGTAGCGGAGCAGATTTGCGCTGCTGCAGGTGAGCGTTGCAATGCGATGGAGCATGAGATGGGATATGTTGCTCGTCCCAAAATCTCGATTATCAGAGTGGGCCAGCTATGCGGGAACGCAGCTGGCGTCTGGAATGCCAGTGAAGCATATCCACTTATGCTATCAACCGCCAAGATCACCGGCAGCTTGCCGGACTTACGAGATGAAGGCCTCAATTGGTTGCCTGTCGATCAAGCTGCTACTGCAGTCCTTGAGATAGCGTCGGGTGTTGGTCGTCACGCGATAAAAGCCGATGGTGTATCGGTATATCACACCTTAAACCCGCACAAGCAACCAAGATGGCATGAGATGCTTGACTGGCTCAAGACGGATGAAGACCATACGCCGTTCGAGGTGGTTCCGCCTTCCGCATGGCTTAGCCGTTTGGAGGAAGCTGTGGACGGTCAAGCTGCAGAACATGCCTCACAAACGTTATTGGGATTTTGGCAGAGGAGATATCGAGCCCAACCCAGTGATGAAAATGAAGGCACCGGTGATGGCATGACCCGGAAGCCTACCTTTGAGACGAGCAAGACCTCAGGTGTATCAGTGAGCATGGCCAAGATACAGCCACTCAGTCAAGATCAAGTGTTGAGGATGTGGGATTGGATATGTAACAATGTCGGTTTTGACACGAAGGAGTAGCAAGGCTGACAAAGGAGCATGGGACGCGCCAACAGCTTCTGTCAATTAGCTACATACCCCAGCTTTGACAAGGACTAGCTACTATAGTATATAGTCCTGTGGAAACATTGAGGAGGTAGTTTACATGCTTTGTACTACATACAGCAGGTTAGGCCAAAGCGGCGGTCATTCGGCTCGACTCGACTCGGAGAATAACCTGCAGCATGGAGTTGTTAGCGGAGCTGATCCCAGCGCATAGAACCGCATCGAATTCGGATTCCTCGTTAAATGACAAGATCTGCGGGTGGAGCTGGCATGTGCCTTCGGGTAGTGCCGCTTGCCGGATTTAGTAACTTGAGACACTCACACACACACACTCACACACTGACAAAACGTCATACATTGAGCACCACAGCAGCTACTGCACCCCGGATGAGCCCCCCTTTCAGAACCGCCAAAATCGGTTACTTCAATCTCTCCAGAGTCCGAGAACAAAACCACTTTGACCTTTCAACTTATGTACCACAGTAGTCTAACTTAGGTCGAGATGCTCGCTCACACCCACCCCACATCAGTGATCTTTACCTACAATCCATCTCCTAAGATCGCTTCTCTGCTCGACTAGAGATTAGTCCATACCGATATCCGTTCTCCTTCTCGTTAGAGTTTAAGTAGAATCAATAACCGTCGTTACATAACATTCTTGGCATTACCCCCACTAGACAAGGCAGCGAATTGCTCACGATCCTCGGCAAATTAGCCCTCACGGCGCTCATTCGCATTTTCGCATTGGCCCTCGGGTTCTGTGGCCGCCCATTATTCCCGAATTACACGAGCTCCCCGTATATTTCTCGGCATCAACCACAAACCAACCCAAATTAGAGCAGTGCAGAGCAGTCTAACAGACCGTCCCGAGTGAGGGGCACCGTCGCCGATACGACGAACCCGAAAAACAAGGTTGTTGCGACGCCATGACAGTGAACCAGTGAAAGCCCGAGATCCCACGCGCCGTATCAGCGTGTTTTGCGCAAATAGGGGACACAGGATCGCGGAAAGGAAATATCTGCACGACCGGCTAGACGGCTAGCAGTTGGAACTCGGCATAATGCAACATGTCTACAGCTGTGCTGACCAACAATACGCCAAACGGCGCGCAAGACGATGATCAGGGCCTTGCCTCCGGATCTCGCAGCGGACCTGCGCCGGCTGGTGCCTCTCTTTCCCAGAATATCGAAAATGGGCCCTCACATTCACCGACTACGACGCCCTCAGCCGGGCAAGGTAAGCCGCTGCGCACTCCCGTATTTCCATATCACCTCTAGCAGCACTGCCCCAATGCAGGAAGGCCATACCTTGTACAGTGGCTATTCTTGCAGTCGGTTTCATCTTATATGATGTGATACCTTCTAGAAGAACTTTGGGGCCTGTCGCGAGCTCTTGCATAATGTGTAGTCTGTTGGGGATCTTCTGGATCCATGCCTATGTATATATCAACGCTAATCAACCATAGTCGCAACAGGCAGCACTAATCAGTCACTGCTCCCCAGTGCCCTCAAAAAGGCGCCTGTGAAGCTGTCGCGCAAAGAGACAGCTGGCAAGGAAATCAAAGATGCGAAGAACCGACCAAGCCAAGCGACACCAGTAGAGCCAGCGATCGATCCTTTGTCTCATGTGCGTCATTTTCAACCAATATGGCATGTTCAAGGAGGACACTTCACTAAGAGACTCATAGCATATCTTTGTGAGAACGAACACCGATCGTTCTATTCCCTTGCATCTTCGTGGGCCTGGCAAACCCGAGAGCCCTCTCCATGAACCCCTTCCACGATCTAGTTCCGATCTTGTGGCGAAACAAACGGCACCACAGTCCGAACAGCCCAAGGACAAGAAAAAAGCCGGGTCTTTCCTGAGCCGATTCAGTATGATCGGCAATAAGAAAAAGGGAGAATATATCGACGACGATGTCTCTGAAATAAGCGATATGCGCACTGAGGGTGCCAACGCCATTGCCTTCTCTTCGGATGTTGCCGGTGGTGGTTATATACCTCACCATAAGGAACCTCCCCGGTACATCAAGGTTCGGGCACACAATAAGAAGGTCAAGGAGTTCAACCGGACATTTCTGGCCCAAGAATTGGCTGGCACTAAAGTAAGTAATCACAGCTGGATCCTAAAAAATGTGAGCTCAATAGAATATGCACGACAAGCTGGTGCCGCGGCAACACTGCGACGGTGTACCAATGTCTTTTTGGCTGCTAAATGTGAGCACAATGTCACTAACTGGGCTCTCAGGCGCCAAATATTGATCGTGATGCGAAAGCGGCCATCAATGGAGCGCCTGTCCAGCCTACCAGAGGATTTGGGCACAAGGACCTCAACACTGGTGGTCCTATCTGGGCGACTGAATTCAGCAGGGATGGCAGGTTCTTGGCAACTGCTGGGCGCGACACAGTTGTGCGAATTTGGGCCGTGATTGCGACTCCAGAAGACCGAAAGGCTTTCGAGGAAGAATCTGTCACCACGGATGGAGGCGCAGGTGCCCGCTTGAGCGCCCCTGTCTTCCGAACAAAACCGATCCGAGAGTTTACAGGCCACGATGGTGAGGTGTTGGATTTGAGTTGGAGCAAGAATAACTTCCTGTTGTCGTCGTCCATGGATAAAACTGTCCGTCTATGGCATCTAAGTCGGAACGAATGTCTATGCACATTCAAGCACAAAGACTTTGTTACTTCAATTGCTTTCCATCCGCGGGATGACCGCTTCTTCCTCGCAGGGTCGCTTGACTCCATTTTGAGGCTTTGGAGCATTCCAGACAAGTCTGTAGCCTACTCAAGCCAAATCCCCGACCTTATCACAGCCGTCGCGTTTTCTCCAGACGGGAAGACAAGCATCGCTGGCTGTCTGAATGGCTTATGCACATTCTATGAAACAGAAGAATTGAAATTCGAGACACAGATGCATGTCCGGTCGTCGAGAGGCAAGAACGCCAAAGGGAGCAAGATCACCGGCATTCAAACCATTGCCTCCCCGCCCGGACACCCTGATGGCGAGGTGAAGGTTCTGGTAACATCCAATGATTCTCGCGTACGCATTTACAATCTCCGCGATAAGGCTCTGGAATTGAAGTTTAAAGGGCACGAGAATACCAGCAATCAAATTCGGGCAAGTTTCAGCGATGACGGCAACTATGTAATTTGTGGCAGTGAAGACAAGAAAGCCTTCGTATGGTCAACTGGGCCGTCACAGTCTGACAACAAAGACAAGCGGCCTTGCGAACATTTCGAGGCACACTCCACAATAGTCACTCAAGCGATATTTGCCCCAACTACTACCCGTCAGCTTCTCCAGGCATCACTAGATCCGCTCTTTACGCTCTGCAACCCCCCGCCAGTCACGCTACTCAGCAGGGAAGAGGCCAGCATGAGCCAGACTACACTGGGCCAAGACGTTGTCCCAGAGAAATTGCCACAAATCAAAAAGCCGGAAGAAACACCTGCGTTTATAGCTCGGTCGAAGCACCTTGATGGCAATATCATTGTGACAACGGATCATTCTGGCATTCTCAAAGTCTTTCGTCAAGACTGTGCCTTTGCGAAAAGAAGGCATGAGAACTGGGAGACAGGGTCAACTTTCTCGCGGAAAATTGGTAGAGACGGCTATCTTGGCAGAACAGGAAGTGTTGTGACGCGGACCAGTGCAGGTAGCCGAGAACCACGCTCGCGACGTGGTTCGGTATCACAAGCCCCCTCTGGACTCGGGATAGGGACTCCACAGCTCAACTCGGAGCGGATCATGTCGTGGCGGCAAGGCGTTGAAGGCACACCATCGCGGCCAAACTCAATTGCGATAGCGACTCCTGCCAGAAGCGAAAGGTCGATAAGTCCCGCGAAGGCAAGGACCTCATTCATACCGAGCGCTACCAATCTAGCCTCGGAAGCCAGACGACAGCCCTACGCAAGCTCTTTAGCGTCACCACCACTTCAGCCCACCAGTCCAGCCTTGAGTGTGACGTCGGCTGACAATGACCGCCTCACTACACAGGAAAGGGATAGGGCAAGACAACCACCCCCACCGAGCTTCACTTTTAGAAGTATGGACGAAGATGTGGATAGTGGGCTACGTCTCGATCCTGCCGGGGCTAGCTATTCTTTCTGGAATCTGAACCGATGGCGAGGTTTGGGGAATCCCCTCAAAGGAGGGAGTAGCAGTGGTCCAAGTTCGGGGAGTCTTGATAAAGTACATGGGCGGACGAACAGTGAGAACCCAGTGACGACACCGTTTGCTCCCGATTTTGATGACACGCGCCGTAAAAGCTTAGGTTCTCGCATAATACGGTCTGATACTAGCAGTCCTGATAAACTTGATCAGGCCGCGAGAAGGAGGAGTGTGCCGGCCAATAACAACCACTTGGCTTTGCCTGGTCGACGTCCTGATTACGACCGCCAGGAGAGCGGTCTCAGCACGTTGACGAGCGAGGGTCCCAGCGGCGCAAGCGACTTTGACGATGACTTGCGATGCACAAAGTGTGGTGGCCGTGAATTCAAAGCCAAGAACGTTAGTGGACAGCAAAGATTCCTTTGCTCATCATGCGGACGGATGCTTGATGCTTAGGGGCGTCATGGGTACTTGACGCGAGAAATTTAAAGTGACCAAAGATGGGTTGCATAATCCCCGTTGCTGAGGCATTCGACGCTGTGCATAGGCACGTGAATTAAAACATCGGGGTACGGGGGGCTTAGTTATAACGATGATGATACCACTTCTTATACCCTCTGTGCTCGCAGCACATGCATAATTGAATCTGTCTAGAATGAAACTCGTGGCATACTCATGTCTCTCGGACTTGAAAGACAGACAAGTAGGCGTCTCCTAAATCCAACTTGGACGTCTTCTGAATAAAGTTACAAACCACACATTCGGTGCCTTGATTACCAATCCTCATCCATGATAGCTTTTGCCACGTCGTTATCCTGCTTCTCGTCCGTCTGCCCACTGCCTCTGGCGAGCTCTTTCGCAATATCTTCTATTTCCGCCTTGAGTTTTGGTGGATTGGCAGCACGGATCTCCTCGTACTCTTCGCCGTCCTTGACAACTGATTGCACGGAGGAACGTTAGCTCTGCATTCGATTCGTCTGTGTTGAGCATCATTCATAGGATGCCAGCAAGATAGGCTTTAAACTGGCGTCTTCCTATACAAAAGGGTTCGGGGAATAAACGTTTTACATATTTTGCATCACTCACACAGAAACGTAGGTATACTGGTGATGCGATACCGCTGGGCTACCTCGGGTATCTCATCAATATCAACCTTCGCAAAGGCGACCTTCCCGGGAGAGGCATGTGCGGTTGCGTGCTGGGAAAAGATTGGGGCCATCGCCTTACAAGGCCCGCACCATGAGGCGTGGAAGTCGACTACGGTATACGTATGTGAGGAGAGCAGAGCATTGTACTCGTCGACACTGTGAATTGTGTGGATTTGTTCTACAGCCTGCGCCATTACGATGACGAGTAACAGCGAGGCTATTGCGGTTCCAAGAACAGGCACAGTATAAGCTCCAGAAAGGGTCCGTTGGTGTGCTTTCTTTCGTACCGAATGATATAGTAGTTGTGTGACACATCTTATATCAGCCCCAACAAGCAGCAAATGCATGCTGAGAATTGGTAAGCAGCCCTCTATCGCGTCATTGCGGGGTCAGTCAGCTATACTGCCATAGGGGGTTTAGACTATCCGATTAGCGATACTATTGCGATCAACTATCTGTGCTGCACCTTGCAGGCTGCTTGTGCGACGAACGATGTTTGTGTCTCTGCCAGCTGTGCAGGGCCCATAAATCCGGGAGAGCTGGTGGCTGCTGCCTGCACATGCACCACAATGCATGCACATCTGATGATCTCGGTCGCATTGATCATGCAAGGGAAGCCGCGGCTATCGCCCAACTGCTTGTCCACACTTGCCGCGTCTTATCACCAGCCCTGGTATCTTAAGACCTCAGTTATTGCCACCATGGACGGTGTGACCTCTTCCAACGGTTCCAAAAGCCAACAGTGCAGGACCTCTACTTGATTGATCCACGCGGATATATGAGTTTTTGAGCATTTCTACACTACTCTTCAGGCAGCAGGTCCAGTATCTAGGCCAACACTTCCAACTTGCACAAGACCTCAGGTCTCGACTAGACGGTCGAGTTTGACCTTGTGGAAGTTCTAGATGGCGGTTATCGTCAGCAAAGACGCTTTTAATAGGCCAAACTATGGTCCCTTGCAGCTTGACATCACCTTCTACGCGCGATCTTAACAGCGATCGACCATCTAACCCACAGCAGCAGCAAAACATAGTTCGGTTAGGGTGCATCACCAACAATATGCTTGCCATATGACAACAATTGAATCCAACTTGACAGTCACAGGATACGTCACAGTCCCACCAGCAATAGCATATGGGAACCTTCTGGCGCTTATGATTCCTCACAATCCATGTTCAACATGGTGGCCGCCGTCTTTGGTGTGGACCGGTGGCTTTTGGACCCCACAGCAAACTCGTAGTGTGGTCTAAATATAAGCCAATGAGAACTCGCCTCTATACCGAAAACGGGAGTTGTCTCTCCCGACATGACTGCGGACGACATCCTTCATGACGGGGCTGTAATGGCACGAAAACTGGGCTCTTGGTTTCAGAGAGCATCGAGGAACTACGGTCAGTTGTCGACCAGCCTGCATGCTAGTACTTCATGTCTCACGAGTACCCGGCAGCCAGTAGATTGGACGCCTCACATCCCGCTCGCCTGGGCCCGGTGTTTCTATTTGTTCTTAACGACATGATCGTCCATTGCTCTCCAAGAGAAGGCTTCGTGTCGTGAAATGGCAGATATTCCAGTTCCGACCACACATATACCGGAATAAGTTGTGCTGGCTAGGCTCTAATACGAAGGGGTTACAGCAGCCAATATATGCCAATTGTCGGCTATGACCATTCCGCTCAAGTCAGTACCAGCAAATATCCTGATAAATGCTGCCCACACAACCGGCCATAGGTGCCTGAGACTCTTTGCCGCTCCTGTTTCCAACGCTAAGCCTGCAGTCAGCGCTTGGAGTAAGGCTTCAAGACGAACACATCCTTTCAAGCACGAAATTTCCGCTGCTGGTTTTCCCGTGACTATTTTCAACCTTACCCTGGCCTTGTTGCATGTTTCACTTCTCGCCGAAACTTTGTCAAGTTGCTGTCCAACACTGGGCCATGGCACGAATGACTGGGCGAGGAGGCCTTGAATGGACAGACTAGTCAACTATGCTTCAGCAACTTACGCGCCTCCTATATCTTGTCCTCGTAAGATATCTCGGCCAGCATTCTGCTCAACACTATCGCCAATAGCACGCGACTGCCTAGCGCTTTGGGGAGAAAGTTGTCGCCCTTGGGGCCGTAGTTGGGCTGGTCATGTTCCGTTACGCACGACGTGATGGGTTACTGACGTCCCAGGGCTAGATCAGGTACTCCGCTCTGCAGTCTGTGCACCTGCTATAAAGTTTACCGGCGGAGAAGTCGGACTGGGAGGGAAATATGCTTCTCCAAGCCCAATAACAGTCAAGCAGTGTGTCGACTTTAACATCTCTTCGATATCATCAGTCTAGGTTGGGTAACTCATCATGGCAAACCACTTATCTTTTTTCTTTGGAGTTGAGCTAGAGTTGCTAATCGGGAGCCGGTCTAAAACCCACAAGACGTGGAAGTCACTTGCTGCCGAGGTCAGTACGAAGCTGAGGAAGGCTGGCCTCGCCAACCACGTCAATGAAGGAAACGACAAGGCTATAGAGCATTACGAAGAATGGTCTATTGTCCAAGAGGTCACCGTACCCTCGCAGCCTGGAAAAAATCTTTGTAAGCCACATACAAGCCCTTTTTTTCGTGGTTTAATTGTGTTGATCATGGTCGTAGGGGGTATCGAGCTCGTTTCTCCTATTTTGGACTTGTCAACCCCATGGGAAGCGCACTTGTCGCTGATATTCAAGACGCTCAAATCGTCTTTTACCATTTCGAGCTCTCCGAATACTTCCACCCATGTCCACCTATCAACCTCACCTGCACTACCGCCAGGCTATCTCAACGCAATAGCCAAATCCATCTTGTACTTTGAGCCAGCCATGGATTTGCTGCTACCGTCCACACGAGCTTCTTCGTACTGGTGTCAATCAAACAGGATTAACCCAGTAATGAAATCACTCTCTCTCCCACAGTGCTTTGAGCATCTAGACTACTGCAGCGATGTTCACGATGTAGCACGCGCCATGTGCTCATTCTCAGCACAATCCGCATACGGAAGGGCCAATGGATACACCGAAGACTTTGTTCACGGCGTCTATAAATGGGACTTTTCGGGCATGGTCGATCCTTCGTCATGCCTCTCGACGAACCTTGCGCCCAACGGGACGCTCGAATATCGACAGTGCCCTGGCAGTAGCAGCTCGGAGGAAGCCCGCACATGGATCATGCTAGCTCTAAGCTTTACGGCCGGCTCCATGGACAGTGCCGGTTTGCTCGACCCTGAAACACCCGTCCGCATGGAAGACCTCTGGTGGACGGTCAGCTCCGGACTCCAGACCTTGGGCATGGCAGACGGCGACATAAGGGGCATCGAGAAGCTCTTCTCTGGAACGAAGAAGTCCAGAGGAGGCCGGCAGTAGACAGCAAAAACCCGTATCAGACGAATCAGGAGTGCTACCGGGACTGAATGTCAACCAGGTAGATTGAATTATTGACGAATTATTTCCGTGGAAAGCTTGCATGTGAGGTGTAGTTTTTACATGGTGAAAGAACGAAGTATATGTATATGTATCCAAGCAGTTCTCGTCCGAGCTAGAAGTATCATGTCTTGCTTCAGTATTAGGTGGCCGTGGTTGTGGATTCACCCATTGCATGTCGGGTATAGATGACCAACGGGCGTGTCTGATTGGGTACCGAGGATATGACCGTTTCGGCAAAAGAATGCTGACATAAGCCCCCACCATTAGTGCATCCTTCCTCATTTGCGCAAGCATCTTTCGGAGACGATAGCGAATTTGGCGGGGGCGGATCGGCCGCTGCGGATGTCCCAGCCCAACGTACGGGTCAGTAGACATCTGCGAGGTAGGCCGACAAATGCAGTCGAAAGCGCCCGGAGATTCAAGCAGGCATCCGCTTGGCACGAGTAATACCAGATCGCCATGAGAGGCAACATTTGATGTGTCCATCCAGGTAGGGCTGCCTCCCAACTGTCACGTTCAAAACCCGCACTCCCAGCACCAAGCAGTCTAAGTCCTGTAACCTACTCTTGTACCCCGCGACAGGGCAGGGCCTAAAGAACTAGAAGTATTTTTGGGCACCACCCGCTTTCTACGATCATTCCATTCACTCATTTATTCATTCCTTCATTCATTCACTCATGAGACGTCGCTAGAGAACCCCGTCGAAAAACTATACGCTCCGGGTTCTCATTATTATCCACATCTCCCTCCAGCAGGTAGCGCACAACAAAACCTGCGATGCAGCTGGTCAAGTCAAAATCGGCAGCGCGCCTTGATGCGTCTATAGGCGACGGCAGCCAAAGCGTCACATTGATGCCGATCGAGCCCGAGGACATGTGGCATGCGAACAACCTCATCTCCGCGGAAGACGTCATCAGGGCGCATGCGGTACGGAAAGTCACCACCGAGTCGAAGACGGGCAGCACCCAGTCCGAGCGAGTACACACCGACCTGGTCATCCGGGTGACGTCGACCTTCTTCGACACGGCCGCCTCGCAATTACACGTCTCGGGCACCGTCATCGTCGAGAACAGCTTCGTCAGCCTCGGCCAGTATCACACCCTCGATCTCGAGCTCAACCGACCCTTCACATTATGGAAGTCGCACGGCTGGGACTCGGTCGCGCAGGAGACCCTCCAGGAGGCGCTGAAGCAGGACAAGGAAGGCGCCGTCGCAGCGGTGGTTATGCAAGAGGGCGTCGCGAATATCTGCCTCATCACCGAGTACCGAACGATCCTGAAACAGCGAGTGGAAAGCACCATACCGAAGAAGCGCTCCGCCAGCTCAGACCAGAGCAGCGGTATGAAACGGTTCTACGATAAGACGCTGGGCACGCTGTTGCGAAGTATTGATTTTAGTGTCCCGCGCCCCCTACTACTGGCCAGCCCCGGCTTTGTTGCCGGCGACTTCAAGAAGTTCATCCAGGACGAGGGTACGCGCAAGGGAGACAAGGCCATGATGGCCCTTGCCAAGGAAGCAACCGTCGTCCACTCGAGCTCCGGCCATCTTCACAGCTTGAATGAGATTCTCAAGAGCCCCGAAGTTCTGGCCACAATGAAGGATATGAAATTCTCAAAAGAGACACGGACAATGGATGAGTTATTCGACAGGCTCAGGAAAGACGACGGTCGAGCCTGGTATGGTGTGTCGACGGTGGAAAAGGCAGTCAACGAAGGTGCGGTAGGGAGAGGCGGCGGTGTTTTACTCGTCAACAATTCGCTGTTTCGCAGTCTAGACATTGCGACGAGGAGGAGGTATGTTGCCATGGTGGACAAGGTCAGAGAAGATGGTGGCGATGCCCGCATCCTGAGCAGTGATCATGAAAGCGGTCAACGTCTCGATGCTTTGGGAGGCATCGCTGCAATCTTGACCTACCCCATTCATGACTTGGACGAAGATGACGGGGGGAGTGTCCCAGGAGAAGAAGCGTCTGAAGAAATGATCATATGACCTGGCCTTCCGACATTGGAACCCAATTCCGATAAAAAAGAACTAAAAAGGGGAAAAAAAAATAAAAAAAAATAAAATAAAAAGAACAAGAAGAAGAGGAAGTCACTGGCTTTACAACGAAACAATTAGCTGAACCCTTGCCGAAACGATTCACTGGGCTGTAATTTGTCCTTACAACCACCACTCAATGGTTCAATTCTGAGGGTAGGATTAAGGTAATATTCTACTCGATTAATAATCTCTCAGCGATACCCGGAGGCGTCTGTAGGTTGTGCACAGTAGATGAAGTACGGGCCCATCGGACTTTGCAGAGGGCGGGAATAACGCCGAACCCGCGGCCCGCAATATATCGACTGAAGTGAGTAGTGTTACAGGCTGCTTGTTTGGAAGGAGTTTGCAAAATGTTTGGTTTCGGCCTCTTCGAGGCTCGCTCAGTTACATGCCGATAATGGCCCACGTCCGTCGGAACAGTTGTTATAGATGACATCACCAAAGTTTGTGCGATATGTGTGATATGTGTGATACGGGGCTGGACTATCGAGAGTGGATTCGTAAACACCGTCGTAACTCCGCCGCCACGTCTGTTTTGAGGGGTCGAACTTTATAAGCAGATCACATAATTAGTCTTCAGGAATATATATTGAGGTCGGTTGTCCTGGCACAAATCTCTAGTCTAAGAACATGGCCGCTTAATTTCGTTTGCATCAATAAGCTATAATCCATTACATACGGGTATGTTCCTATAAATGATCCCAATGCCTATCCGTACCTCAAGATTATTCTGCAACACGGGTGAATCTCTAGCGCTTAGCCTGGGCCAAACGCCGAAGAGTTGCTTCCACCACGTAGCGCAGAACAGTTATTGGAAGCGCACCCAGGTGCTCTTCGCTCGCGTTTTCCCGTCGAGTCATTCTACGTATTCTAACAATCCAATTCGTGAGATAGTTACCATGGCGTCGACTTACAACATCAACTCAACCGCGAAGCTCAACAGTGGATATGAGATCCCCCTGCTGGGCTTCGGTGTAAGTGAATGACATCATCCAGTCGAAAAGCAGCCGCTGACATCCGACCTAGGTCTACCAAACGTAAGCAGTAGATATTGGCATTCGTGCCGTTTGTGGTTTGCTAACAATACCGGCAGCCCGCCCGACGAGACCAAAAAGGCTTCCCTTGAGGCGTTGAAGGCTGGTTACCGTCACATCGACTCTGCAGTGGTCTACGGCAATGAGGCCGGCGTCGGTGCTGCAATCAAAGAGAGCGGGATTCCGCGTTCTGAAGTCTACTTCACAACCAAGATTCCTCAGATGCCGCATAGACCCCTGGATTACGACCAGGCCAAGGCCCAGATCGACAAGAGCCTGAAAACTGCAGGGGTGGATTACTTCGATCTATACTTGATCCATGCACCCTTTGGAGGTTCCGCCAAGCGCAAGGGTGTCTGGAAAGCTCTGGTGGAGGCTGTCGAGGAGGGCAAGGTCCGCAGCATCGGGATCAGCAACTACGGCGTCGACCATCTGGACGAGCTGGAGAAGCACATCAAGGAATTGGAAGAGGAGCGCGGCGGAAAGGGCAAGGGCGGCGTGATTTCCGTGGCACAACACGAAGTCCACCCGTGGTGTGCACGCAGCGACATCGCCGAGTGGTGCGCCAAGCGAAATATCGTCCTGGAGGCCTATTGTCCTGTCGTGCGAGGGCAGCGGTTTGATGAGCCTGCCCTCAAGAAGCTCTCCGAGAAGTACGGCAAGACACCAGCGCAGATCCTCATCCGGTGGAGCCTGCAAAAGGGCTATGTCCCTCTGCCGAAGAGCGTGACACCCAAGCGTATCGTCGAGAACGCAGAGATCTACGATTTTGACTTGACCAAGGCCGAAGTGGACGAGCTGGAATCGACTGGGTATGAGCCTATTGCTTGGGACCCAACGACATCGGGTTTGGACAATTAGATACAAGTTGATAATCGTTTTTCGACTTCAAGCAGCAATCCTGACCCCCTTGCGTCGTTCTTGTCGGGAAGCCGAGTTCTTACCAGATGCATTGACATGAATTGTTCGCCCACTCAACAGGATAGCTACTCTCTTGATGCGAACTCTTCGCCTGTGAGTGATGACGATGTCCTGCATCCCTCGACAACCCATACACAAGATCCTGGCGTTCCTTATGCAGGCCGGTGGTTGTCCCCAGTAAGTAGATGCATGATGATATAATGACATAGGGGCAGTCGTCGACACGTACGGTGCAGTCTGGACAAGATTGTGATCTAGTCTAATTAGATGGACGTTTGCCTCCAAACATGGTCCGTTATGAGTACACTTGAACACTTTACGATCTGAGCGGAAGAGGTACCAACTACCGCCGGGATTTGTTATGAAGCTGAAGAAACCAACCCGATGACAGAGTTCAATCGCCCTGGAGGTAGTTCGACGCCATGCCACAGAGTGCCTAACGTGACCAGCGTGGTGCTCTGTAGTCCCCTCAGGTTAGGTCCTTTTGTTGGTCACACCATGCTCTCCACTTCCCCGCAAAACTTTTGCCTTCCAGAGCGATCTCCCCACGTCACCAGTGCTCGTTCGAAAGTTTATTGATAGCTTGTGCATTAGGTCTAGGTCACATAGGGATGCCAAGACCGTCTGGAAGTCCCTGTGCGTTCGGGCAAAGGCGAGTCTGTAAACGCGCGATTGCTTTTGTGCCCTCATGTCAGTGTTTTCCCGTGACATTGTCTGCCTCGTATATATGTGTTGGAATGCGTCGCTGCACAGAACATGTACATATTACTCCTGACGAACACCAGCATATGTAGGGCACCGCTCGAGATACCCAGCACGACCAGTGCTGTAATCTTGCGTCATTAATTTTACTTTTTCCTCCTCTTCTTCTTCTCTTCTTCTTTTCTTCTTCTTCTTGTTTTCTTCTGAAGATAACCAAAATGGCCAAACCAGTGGTTGATAAAGTCGCCGACGGTGATACCGTGCAGCTGCCCCAGGACTCCATGAGGAAGATGTCGACCACCGCAGAAGCCATGGACATTCTCGCCGACGCCCAAAAGGCTACACTTGTCGAACACGAGATGGGCCTTCTACAGAGTCTCAAGGTGTATCGCAAAGGGGCTCTCTGGTCTTTGGCACTGTCGACAGCGATTATTATGGAAGGATTCGACCTGATCTTGATAAATAGTCTTTTTGGTTTTCCCTCATTCCAGAGAAAATTTGGTGTTCTTCAACCGGACGGGACTTATGACTTGACTGCCGCGTGGCAAACCGGACTTGCCAACGGTGTCCTGGTGGGACAGATCGTGGGTCTGTTCATCAACGGCATCGTGGCTGACAGATATGGGTACCGGAAGACCATGGCCACGGCGCTGGTGGGCGTGGTGGCTTTCATCTTCATCATTTTCTTTGCTCCCAACATTCAGACGCTTTTGGTCGGAGAGATTCTAATTGGGATCCCATTCGGCATTTTCCAGGCCACCGCCTGTACGTATGCCTCAGAGGTTTGTCCCACTCAGCTTCGAGCATATTTGACGACATATATCAATCTATGCTGGGTGATCGGACAGATCATCGCATCGGGTGTTCTCAAAGCATTGGTCGACAAGACTGACGAATGGGGTTACCGGATCCCGTTTGCCCTACAGTGGATTTGGCCGGTCCCGATTCTCATTGCAGTCGCTCTTGCTCCTGAATCGCCTTGGTGGCTTGCTCGACATGGTCGTATACAGGATGCGAGGAAGTCGGTGGTCCGCCTGACCAACACAAGCGCCCACCCGAACTTCAATGTGGACCACGCTGTCGCGATGATGGTGTATACCGACAACGTGGAGAAGGCAGTGTCAGCAGGTACCCACTATACCGACTGCTTCAAAGGGACCGACTTACGCCGCACCGAAATTGTCTGCGGCGCCTGGGCATGTCAGGTCCTCTGCGGTTCGGCGTTTTCAGGGTACTCGAGCTATTTCTTCCAGCAAGCCGGTCTCGACGCCAGCGACTCGTTCAGCTTAACCCTTGGGCAGTACTGCATTGGCGCTGTCGGCGTTTTCACATCCTGGTTTCTCATGGGATGGTTCGGCCGTCGTACTTTGTATCTTTACGGGTTGGCAGCCATGGCAGTGTTTCTTGCAATAATCGGATTTGTCGGTCTCGCCGGAAGATCAAACACGGGTGCGCAGTGGTCGATCGGCGCGATGATTTTGATCTTCACGTTCGTCTATGACAGCACTGTCGGCCCAATCTGCTACGCCGTGGTGTCGGAGATACCATCTACCCGCCTCAAGACCAAATCGGTGGCCCTGGCGAGAAATTCGTACAACATTACAGGGATTGTCAACAATATCATCACGCCCAGGATGCTCAATCCTACGGCATGGAATTGGGGAGCAAAGTCCGGGTTCTTCTGGGCAGGCTCGTGCGTCCTGTGCTTCGTTTGGGCATACTTCCGTCTTCCTGAACCAAAGGGCCGTACGTACTCCGAACTTGACATCCTCTTCGAGACAAAAATATCGGCAAGGAAATTCAAATCGGCCGCCGTGGATGGCTTCAGCGGAAATGGCCGAGAGCATCGAGATACCAGTCCGCTCGGTAAAGTCGAAGGTGTCGAGGCCGAGAAGATCTCGTAGTTATTCCATAGAATATTTGACATATTCCGTGTCATATCGAGGAATGGCTTTTCAAGAAAAGTGAAGAATAGAAAGTTAAATCCATGTTTATTCGACATAGAAATGGTTGAATAAATGTAGCTGCGCAAGTGGCAGAAACGGCCTTTGTCATAAAGGACCCAAAGCTTTAATTACTCTTGCGGCCAAAAGCCTGCCCCCAATAACATGTAATATTTACTCCACATCCATCATTCGCTTATCGCAGGTCTCTGAGCATCAAAGTTTCACTCGAGACCGTTATCCCGCCGATCCTCGTCCGTCCTCCCGGGATGACCAAGAACGGGTGCTCGTAGTGTTTCAGGTCCCGAATCAGGTCTAATACCGCGTCCGAGAAACATCCGGACGGAGCCTGCAGATGTATTCTGCTTCTCAGTACGGGCGTTGCCTCAGAACGGACAGCTCATTCTCGAATTTGCGACGGCGCGTTCGCCACTGTCGGCGACGCCTGCCAGAATTGAGTTCGATCAAATCAGAATGGTAAGACTGAAGGAAATGAAGCTGATGCTGATAGAGGCGATGCTAATAGCAGAAACCTCGGCCATGAGGAGGCCTCTCCCGGTCGTGCTCCTCCTGAGAGAGTGAGAGAGATTGCGTGATCGTAAAGAGCGTGTCCATGTGTGAAGATTGAGCGACTCTGAGAGCTCTCTTCGTAACACTAAACGGTATTACCGAAATATCACCAACGCGAATCCCACACTCTAGCACTTACGCCAACGTTATAGTTTGTGCTTAATTATCAGTACATGTGAAGAATACCACACATGTGTTGATGCGCTTAAGCAAACACCACAACCTAACCTATGCAGGTAATGTAGAGATTCAATGACTGGAGCGAACTTTAGGTACCGAGCCATGACTTCTCATCATCATTCAATTCCATGGCATTGCAATGTCGAATCTCAATACAAATGTTTCGGCAGGTCCCACTCTTGATATGCGTATCCAGGTACCTTGAATGAGGACGAGTACTACGGAAACTGCCCGATTGGAGCTTTGAATAGACAGTACAGCAAATTCCACTGTCATCCAGCCTCCGTATTGATTGAACAGCAAGTGATTTTTAATCCGCCTGTGGTGGCTACCAGAATGGTGGAAGGTGGTCAGCGCCCCTCACTTAGATGTCACACCGAAAGGATAGCAAGGCCCATAAAGTATATTACTGGGTGCTCACAGACCACCAACTGCACCATGCATCATCCCACGAGCTCGGGAAGTAACAAGAAGTGAGCTACATTCAGTTTATCCGCTGGTGGAGTTAAAGAGTTATGGTGGCTTGCAAATGTGGGCCTTAAGGATTGCCTTGGTTGGTTTTCGTATCACGAGCAATCATACCTTTCTGCGCGGAGTATCTGTTCTCCCCTGGATGCCCGGCGCAATTCGATTGCAGCAGCAAGCCACCCCGGGTGCGAAGAGGTGGAAGGGTAGTTAATGCTGGCGATGGACCCAGTCCGAGAGCCGACAAACTATGTCGATTATGGGCAGTTTCCGGAGTCAAAGCGGGCCGTCAAGTTTTCTCGTTCCCTATACAGTAGTACGGCGGCCACATTATGTCCCTGTGGATTTCAAACAGGGACCCACTTGGCAACTGAAAGTTACGCCGAATGGGGCAAACCAAGGGCCGATGGGTTGTTGAATACTAATGCTCCGATCAGGGCATCATACTTTGTAAACAAGCATTGAAGAATGGTTTAATTCAGTATATAATGGGAGGCAAATCCAGTACGTTCTTGGAGCATCCAGCAGCAGATCCAGCGCACAGAAAATTCCTAGTACCAATTCAACTTCTAACTCGACCGCCATGTCTCACAATATTCTCATTACCGGTGGTTCTGGCTACCTTGGTGGCGACCTTCTCGCCCGTCTAAAGACCACAAACTTGCCCTCGTACGGCAAGCTGTTCGCGCTAGTCCGAACAGATGAGCAGGCACAGAAGGTAAAGCAGCACTACGGTGCGGAACCTCTGCAATTTGACGCCTACGACGAGGCCGCAGTGCAAAGGGGGGTGATTGACAACGACATCTCGGTTGTCTTCCACCTCATCGACGCTCTGAACTTCACCTCCCAAGTTTTCTTCATAAAGGCGCTTGGAGAGGTGAAGAAACGCACCGGTCGTGACGTACATTTCCTCCATGTGGGTTCACTTTCCACCGGCCTCGAAGATCCAGGCCAAGTAGCTTTTCAGACTGACCTGCTGCAGACAACCGGCGCGAAGCTCTTCTCGTCGCATGCGGGGGCGCCCACGGACCAGCCACTGTACGACTCGGATACAAATCTTTATAAGATCCAGAAGGGGCAGAAGTCGCATATCCCCCTCGTGAATGTTGTGGGTATACACTCGTCCTCAACTGGGGTTTATCCGACTAATGTGGTCTAAATGACCAGGCTGTGCAAACCAACAATACTGTCATCGAGCAATCAGAAGCTCTCGGTGTCAACTCTTACATTTTTGCCCCATGCATCGTCTGTAAGTCGGCCCACATGATCCAAGTTCGGCCAAGGAATTATCTCATTGACGGGTACCACATGCAGACGGAGAGAGTGCCGGCTTCGGCAATGCCATCTCCATCCAGACCGTGGCTATCGTCAAGGCCGCGAAGGCAGCCCGGCGCGTGTACAGGACAGACGAAGGCAGACCGGTACGAGACCAAAGCTCCCGTCGAAGCCACACCAATACCTGATTACTGACCACTCGACTAGACTTGGCCGGTGTGCCACATCAACGACAACACCACGCTCTACATCGCCATCCTAGAGGCCATCCTCTCCGGGTCCAGCCCCGATCACGGTCGAAATGGCTATTACCTGGCCGCCTCTGGATCCGTGGCGTGGGACGACCTCTACGACGCCTTCTCCGCTACGCTGACCAAGCGCGGCGTGGTCGAGGACGCGAGGGTCGAGCTGGCAGATGAGTCGGCCATCAGCAAGATGGCTCAAGGGCTGGGCTACCCACCCGAGCTGGTCGCCTTTGCGCTGGGAGGAAAGTGCACGTTTGTCGCCAAGCACGGGGAGAAGGTGGGTTGGAAGCCAGAATACCCACCTGAGCATATTTTGGAAGATGCGGAACGGGAGGTTGACGTAATTCTGGCCAACATCTAACCAGAGACGTAATCATGCACGGTCGCGGCTCTGCGCAATGTTATGTTCTTTTGCGGCGAGCAGGTATGAAAGGGCATACAGTCATTGTAGCTCAAAATTCAATGTTCCTAGACGATCTCAGTGCCCATTTGGTGAATCCGGAAGGACCACAATTCATTGCCGGACGTTTTCTTGCGTTTTCCCCAGTCAGAGCACGCAATGTGAGCTGGAAAAGAGTTAGAATTTAGAAAGGGTATCATTCCTCATTATGCTTGCTCGGACCGTGACTTGCCGGAAAGAGCAGAGCGAACCTTCTAAACGCCGAACCAATGCGCGAGACAGATGTACAACTGCCCTAGTATTCACCACCGTCGCCACCCCCGTCGTCTCCTTCGTCGTCGTCGCCATTTTCAAAGTACTGCTCGGCGTCGTAATCTCCACCATCCTCGTCTTCCTCGAAGTCGTCGTCTGGGTCCTCCAACTCACCCTCCTCGTCTTCCTCTTCATCGGCTGCATCCTCGTTCTCCCCGCCCATGGCCGCTTCCTCTATACGGCGTCTACGCTCCTCGTCGGTCTCTGGCCGCTTGCGCATACCGTCGTCATCCTCGTCATCGGGAAGGTTGTCGGCAGCCACGGACTTGCGCTTGGTCGCTTTGGCCAAGGCGTCCTTGGCGGGCCCACCGTCCTTGCCGTCCAATGTTGGCCATAGTTCCTCGGGGAACAGGTCGTGATTCCAGTCACGTCCTCTCAGATAGGGCATGGGGCGGGTTTCGGAGACGAACTGGTGGGTGAACATGGGCACAGCGGTGAAAGGGTCGATGGTGGCCCGGCTGTTGATGCCATAGCGCTCGTTGACCTGCTCCTGGCCGTAGGTCTTGGCGATGGGATCGGATATACTGGCGCCGACAGCCTCGGTGGCGAGGTGCTTATGTGTGTAGAGAGGTGAGTTGTGGAAGTCGCGACGGAACTTGACGAAGTATCGCACGGACCGGCTCTCGGAGGGGGTGAGAGGAAAGCTGGCGGCCAGGGGAGGTCGGTAGGTCTTTGGATAGGTCTCCTGGGGTTGGTTCGAGACTGTGGTCGGGTCGTAGTCCCACGGAAGGCCGGACGCTCCTCCTTTGCCGCCTCGAGCACCACCTCGGCCGCCTCTCCCTCCGCCTCTACCTCCGCCTCGTGATGCCATTGGGCACTATGACATGCGATGTGAAGTGCGCAGGGACTGGTTCAAGGCACAGCAGAGCAACGTTTCGGGTCGAGACTGAGGGTGCAAAAGATGGCGCGCAGAGAGATGACCAAGTTTGGGATGATTCACATGCCGGGGGGAGGGAGATGTCGCAAAGTTTCCCGGGGCGGGCGGAACACTTTTTTCAGCGGGGCACACAAGAAACAGCGGCGCAATTCCGGGCGCGGGACCCCCTAGCAGAGAGCACTAAAATGTACACGTACATACCCCGCGATTTATCAAAAGAGTGCTCCCAGGCGGCAGACCACTCTGGGTAACCCAACCTTGGGTGAGATTTATCTAAGGTTAGGTTACTGCACTGTACCTAAGCTAATGTGCTGTAGGTTAGAGTAACTTAAGTAGTCCTTGTTGACCAACCTACGGTTGGCAGGCAGCTCCCTGACGCAGCTCCCCGACGCAGCTCCCGCGCTCCGATCCTCCCACGTTTGTGACTATATTATACTAAAGCTACCACATACATAGGTACTGTGCTGTAAGCAAGTCTCTGTCCATTGATCCTGCTCCTGATCCCTCGTGCAATACCACTCGGCTGCCAAACGCCCACAACCCATGTCGAGAGTTGCCGTCAAGATGAACGATACCGTTCCAATCACAGGCGTGGATGCTCTGGACCAGCATCTTGACCAGCTCGTCGCAGATCCCACCCTGCCATCTCAGGTGAAGCTCTTTGACGATGTCACACTTCAACTGACAGGTACGTCTTCTCTTGCACTGTAGACAGATGTTCCAGGTCATCCATTCCCACCACTAACCCCACGTATGCAACTAGATGTCAACATCCTGCCGCTCATCCCGCGACTCCTCCCCAAGATCACCGAGATACTCAAACAATACCAACAAGACCCTGCTATCATCTGCGAGCTGGCCATCAAGCTGCTTGGTCCCCTCACTTTCACCCAAGTCATGTCGCTGGCTTCCGAAGATGCCATCCTACAAGCCCTTCGATCTCCCGCCCCTTCGGCAAACCTCCTCGCCATGGCTGTACTCGACAAGGCCTCCAAAACTCCTGGCGAAGCAGCTATACTCGCCACCATGAAGAACACCATCCTCGGTTTCGTCACACAATGGCTCAGCGCCCCCCAGGTCGAGGTCGGCGAGAGAGGCTCCAGGGTGCTGGGCAACCTGCTCGACGTCGACTGCACTACACGGCCCGAGCACGGAGTATCTCTGAACGGCCAAGAGATCGTCACCCGGAAACCTCCCGGCCAGGGCCTGATGTGGCGGAGGGTCTTCCAAGACAGAGATATCTACGGCACCATCCTCTCTCTGTCTGGCGCCGGGCCTCACCACGACGCAGAAGGCGGCCAGAGCAGCCACCAGCTCACCCTCGCGCAGGGCCGTCTCTTCAGGGTCGTGCCGCGCCTGGCTGCGCTCAACTTGGGTGCCGTCACCAGAACCGAGTTCCCGGACCTAAATCAGCGTGTTTCCCATGTTGAGACCGACGAGGGTCTGCTCCAGTTCACAGCCCTACGAATGATTGATAAGGATGACCTCCTCATGCACTTGACCCTGGTTGATTTCTTCGAGACTCTGGTCAGCATCCAGCGCGTTACCCCTTTCTCCACGTATAAGATGGAGACTCTCAAGAAACTCCTGCTGGATGCAACCGGAAATGATGCTGCGGTGAAGGACGCAATCCTAACCCTGCCCGACCGTACGGTGCCAGAAGAAGCTGGAGATTTGCGCACGTTTATTGGCAGTCTCCTCCGGCCATGATGGACCGCAGAGCTCAAGAAATGCACAAGCACATTTGGTAGGGTACACCAGCTCTCATCCAGCTCGAAATACAGAACGTCCGGACACGGGGCGATGATATCTGAAAACATGACGATGATGCAGGTGAGCAGTCCCTGTTTTTCGTTCAACTGCATCCATTCTTATCTGATACCAGTTCAGCGTAGCCTGAGACGTTGTCATGACCACCAACCTGAACACGCCGCGAAAGCTTACAAATGAGCAGTGGTGGATGGTATGGAGTGATGGCGCGGGAATACAAGGCCGTACCTAGTCTAGTCTAAGGTGTATTGGACTGGCCAATGACTTGCACGTTCACCCAATCTGAGGCCCATCCTGGGGCATTTGCTTATTATTATATAAATACCAAGTACTTAATACTGAAGGTGGCTATATTGAACAAAAACTATATTGCTTGTCAAAGTGATGCAGCCAACTGTTCGCTGTTTCCATGAATGGAAAGTAAATACTCAGAATGCTATATAAGAGAAAAAGAAAAGAAAAAGGAAGGGGGGGAAAAAAAGGAGGAAAAAAGAAAAGGAAAAGAAACGAAGAAAAGGAACTGCCTCATGGTACTGATACGTATCCACCCACAAAAGAAAACTGAACGACAGGCAACGGAACATATGCCCAACTATTGAAACACTCTGCAACCGGAATCCCTAGAAATAGCTCCTCATGGCGTCTTGGTAACCAGGACCACCCTTGAGGTCCTTCTCGAAATTGCCTAGAACATCGAGGAACTGGATGATGTGCTTCATGCCCAGCGGCTCGCCACGGTTCACGGCCAGAGCCTGGGCGGTGCGGATCGTGTTCTTGATCTGCCGGCCATTCAAGTCATGACGAGCCAGGGTATTATAGTCCTCCTCGGTGAAGCTCGTGATCGGTATCTCCTGCAGACTGCGTACGCGCTCGACGAAGATCTTGAAGATGGCCTTCTTCGCCTTGGTGTCGAGTTCGTCGTATCGTAGTGCGATGTGGATACGGGACTGGAAGGCGTCGTCGAACGTCTACGGGAAATTGAGTCAGCCATGACAGTCCATAACTGCGGAGATTTACAGGAGAAGGTTTGGAAGGCCCGCCCTTTGGAAGACGTATTAGTGCTCACCTCGACGCGGTTCGTAGTTAGGAAAAGGATGCCCTGATAGTACTCCAACTGTCGTAGAAATATGCTGACAAGGGCATTGCGATGGATATCGTGCATATTTCGCTTCTCAAGGAACACATCCGCCTCGTCCAATAGTAGGATGGCGCCCCACGCATGGCATATATCAAGGACTCTCTGCAATTCGCCCTCCAGCAGTCGCGAGTCCGTGCCGAGATCTCCAGCAGAGACGTTGTATAGCGGGCATTTGAGCAACTCGCTGATTCCTTCGGCCGTCAAAGTCTTGCCAGTTCCGGGCGGGCCGTGGAGCACGAAGACCAAGCCCTTGCCCTTGCCCTGGATGACATCGTCGATGCTCTCAGCGGCATGGTACTTGTGTGACTCGACGAGCGCTCTTACTATGTCCTTCGTCTTTGGTTCAAGCACAAGCGAGTCATAGGCCGAGTCGTTCCATGAGATTTCCTTGACACCGCTCACAGACAGCTCGAGCCAAAGCTTTTCGGCGAACGCAAAGCCCAGCACGACGGGTGAAGCGATGAGGTATTCCTCTTCCCCAAAGTCCCGGGTAACTGCGTTCTTATCGTCGTTTTCGTCGCTGGTCTCACCCGTGTTCAACGTATCGTCATCTCTACCCGAAAGGCCTTCTAACGAATCTTTGTCGTTGCTGGTGAGATCGTCCTTCGAGATGCGTACCATGCTAACATTCCCATCTTTGTCTTTGATGGCCTTTGTAACGTACTTGGCCCGGTCTTCGTCGTCGATCAGAGCCTTGCCGCCATCGGCGGCCTCGTCATCAGAGTCAGAGCCGCAACAGCCGCCTTCTTCATCGCTGTCGTCGAAATCTTCTAGAAGATCGTGATCTTTGGGGCGCACAAGGGAGACCTAAGATCTGAGCACAATGAAGTAACATTGAATATAGGTCGAGAGGACTTACGGGATAGTTTGGATTGGTGCGACGATGTGTGCTTGGATCAACCATGATTCGGCCGTTGATGTTGACTTTGATGACCGCCTTCTTCTTTTTGTAGTATGCGAGGCCTTTATGGCTTTTGTAATGAGAGCCGGCAAGACTCACAAACTTCTTTCCGCGCTCGATGAGGTCCTTGCGTACTTGGGCTTCGTTGCTGTGATATTTGAGCGGGTAGCAGTTCAGACTGGTGATTTTCCGAGCGCCTCGGAAGTCTGAGATCTCTTCGGCCATACTGCCATATCCAAATTGCTTGCCATCGTACTCAAAATACTGAACATATGTTAGCTTATTCACTCAACAACCGAAGCGCATAATAAAGGGCTGATTACCTTGCCTTCCACGTAGAAAAAGTCTCCCTTGAGCATACTAGAGTGCTTGTTGGCCATCTCCACCTTGAACATTCGAGGTTCATCAGCGCAACCATAAGTGGTAGTGTAGGCAAGAGTGTTGGGCTTCCACAGAGCCCAACATAGATCAAACGTAATGAGACCATTCTCGAGCAGAGGATATAAGCTGTGCATGAGTCAGTGAGACGCAACGAGACAAATCGTGATCCCTCTTGTATTTACCTCTTTTTGACCTGAGCATAGTCTTCATCAAGATACTTTATGAGGATGCGGAGATGGCGACGTTTTTGATCAATCCACTTTTGTATCTTCTTTCGCTCCTTCTTGTCCTTACCTTCGGGTTCAAGGTCCTTCAGATTAGTCATGTGCTCGCGAAGGTCCTCAAGATAACTTCAGTAAAGTGTTAGCAAGGTTCATGTAAGAGTATCAGGAATTATGTGGACTGACAGGAAAAGCATGTTGGGGTCCAGCTTGGGGGTATCTTCAACCAATGTGAGACCTTTTGTGGTGCCTATAATATCGCGCAAGGCTTCGCGGAGCTGCTTGCTCTTGATGTCGACCACCGTGGCTTTGTACTTGCCCTCCCAGTCAAAAGTACGGCGTACATGGAACAAATATTCGTTATAGCGTGAATTCGTGCTGGTCTGCGCCGTGTCCTGGAGCTTGAAGTTGTGAATCGTTGAGTCCCAGACCTGATCAACACGCTTATACTCCAACCGAGGCTGGCCCTTCTTAACTCCCCCTTCAGCTTTAGTGTTGGGGTTCCTGCGAAGCCCCAACGAATTTTCTTCGTCGGCATCTTCATCGCCCAAACTGCTACCATTTGAATTCCTTCTTGTGGTGCTGTCAAGGCGGCCGCTTCTATGTGTGTTTAAAGTGTTGCGAGCTTTGTAGTTATCGTTGCGTGGGGATCCGAGGTTTTGGCCTACGCCCAGGCAATTGTTGAGATTGCCCAAAGAAACTGCTTGTATAGCATTTGCATTTAGGCCAACTGGGTTACTGAACTGCAAAGCTGGGTTGCCGGATAAGTACGGGTTTCCTAATGGTACACCACCCAGACTTCCCAAGCCGAGGCCGACGGTTTGATTGCGCATCAGCTCCTGGACTTGACGCGTGACAAGCTGGAGTTGCTGTTGTAGAAGGCCAACATCCTTGTCCGTCTTATCTTTTTTATCTTTAACAGCATTAGTCGTGTTGTGCGTCTCGGCGTCAGAGTCATCAGTGTCCGTATTGGTCTCTGCAGACTTGGTCCGCTTCTTGCCAGGCTTGCCCAGCTTTTTTGCTTTCCCTTTGCGTGGACTAGATCGAGATTTCACATCCCTCAAGTCTGAGCCTGACTCTGATAGTTCCTCAGATGACGACTCGCAGTTCGACTCCTCACTGCTTGTTGACTTATCATCGATGATCAAAACCTTCCTGCCCTTTTTTGACTTGGATTTGCACTTCTTGCCCGAAGACTTGGAGTTGCTTGTCTTCTTCCCATCCGAATCCTTAGTAGCCTTACTTTTTTTCTTCTTCTCCGCAGCGGGTGAAGAGGAACCAGAAGACTCAGCAGTCGGAACTTTAGCATCATCGGTGTTCTTGGCGATACCACTCTTCCGAAGCGCAGCAAGATCGCCAAGAAGGTCTTGATCGGGAGATGCCAGGTCCCTAATGATGGTTGATGCCATGATATCCGTGGCGATAACAGTCAATCTATGGAAAAGGAGGGAAGAGAGGTGAAGTTGTGGGGAACCAATGAGTTGAGGGTGTCAGCGCAACCTCAACTTTAGTGCTGTGGCGTGGGACAAACGTTGCTGACACGAACTCAAGACTAACATAATGCATTAGTAGAGCTCTTCGATCAGAGTGATCTCGACGTGTGAAGACTTAACTTCCACAGCAATGGAAGATTACTTGATATAAATGACGAAGTTTTGCTTTGTTTGACATCGCGTCTGCATTGCTTACTTTTTAAATTTAAAAAAAAAAATTTCTTACTTGACCAAAGTAAGAAATGTGCTTGCTTACCGAAAACCACTGGTTGACCCTTCGACTTTGAGAATGCGGCCGTAAAGGGAGCCTCAACAACCACAGCCTATTCGCAATGTCTTTTGCTCAGAAATGACTGGTCAGCAATCAGCTACCCACTGTCACAATTAGAAATAAGAACAATGAATTGCTGAAATCCGGTGGATGATTTATAATGTTGATGGAGACCTCTCTGACATGGTACAAGATAACGTGAGTGATTTCGGATATGCCAGTACTGATGCCTTGAAGCGACTGTGCCAATTCTTGTGTCCACTGTTTGTCTAGCGAGGCAATTTCATCCAAGAAGTGTGGGAGTGCAGGTGTGAGATACCGATGGCGACTGGCCATACCCCGCAGTCCAGGGACGGGATTACATGAGTGTTTCAACCGGTGAAGGAAGTATTAGGATAACAGAAATTTGTCGGATGTTGAGGTAAAGAATATTACATACCTTTGGTGCTTGTTGCAGTATGATGAGAAAGAACAATAGCTGGTCCTAAACTTTTTTTTGGCCCTTTCCCCCTTGTTTAAAAGGCGAAGATCGTAGACCCTGGTTACGGATACAAAAGCTGGGAGTTCCGCTCGACTTTCTGATCGTTTGGCCCTTGGAAAAGCAGGGTCTCAACGAATTATATGCGTTCGGTGTGAATGATGTGGCGGCGGATTCTGCAGGCAGGTAAGGCTAACTCGAAGCAATATGTATCATCTTAACCCCAAGCAAAATCTCAAGGTTCATGCATGAGTGTTACCGGAGCTCGATGACAGCAGGCATTGCCTGCAGCCTGATAATAGACGTTGCAATGTATACGTGTTAAGTCACTAAAATAAGCCTGTGAAAGACAAGTCTCCATTTTTGTACTTAGACGAGATGTCTGAAGCCATGTACTATTTGCTTGTGCACATTCCCCATCTTCCACTAACGTTAGTATAATTCCCACCATCCAGTCATGCCGGAGTTGCTTGGAGCTTTGATAATTGAGCGCAACAGCAGTAGCGAATCAGACGGATTTCCGCTAGACCCATTCTCCATAAAGGGCTAGTTAGATAGAATAATACCCTTTCTAACCCAGGTGGTGAGCTTTGTGATGCCCTAACAATCGATTTCAATATACTTTCATGGCATGACATGTCTTACCGGGATACATTGTGACCCAACTTCTATGCATAGGCCCGTTGGTTAAATTGCGTTTCTGTCTAATCTGGTTATGGTGTTGAAGTTTACACCTTTCTTGGTTGCGGTTGCGGTTGTGATAATTTTATTGAGAGGCATTCATATTTCTCGTTCCAGATGTCGGTGGGCACAAGGCTGAGGAGTCTCTTCGGCAACAAATTGTCCCATGAAAGAGACGGACTAAGGATGGCCGATAGGAAAATGTTGGTTCTCAAAGTTGATTGAAGGGATACTGGGGTGCAGGTTTGACAGGCTTCCTTCTGGAGATGGGATCGACCGGCAACCAGCACCCGGGGTTGTAACGCAGCTTTTTGCAGCATCCTATATACGAAGAGCCGCTTCCACACAGGGATTGCAGGTGTGCCAGTGTTACGAGTTCGTCCTGTCAACCACCATTCAGCTAAAATTCTGTGAGTTAAGCACGGCTACCTGCAGCCTAACAGCTCAAGTTGCACATTCTTCGATGATCTCAAGGTCTAGGTAGGTATTTGGCGAAATTGCTCTGTAGGTACGTAGCTACAGCCCCACTCGCGGCAGGGGCCCGCAACTTGGCCCAAGATATTTGCGAAAGCATCAACCAATAATGCAGTCAGCCTTGAATAATCATGATCAATTGGATCCGAGGTGTTGGCGAACCGACATATTTTCTTTACTGGAGTTTAATGATCAAGTGATGCGAAATGAGTTGAATGGTGCTGAACTGAGTTCAATCATGAGTGTACAACATCTGTTCGACTCAAGACGATGCATGCTCTCAGCTGCAAAGTGTCACCTGTCGAGTCTTCTGGGGTATTAAATAACCAACGAAGCTCTCCCATGCCGTGAACAGACTGTTTTGGATACTATGCACCGTGTCGTGCATGATAAGCGCCTTGCGTACTCGGTACTTTCACTTGGAAGGCAGACAAAACGAACCTATCATACGAAGCCCGCCTCACTAACAAAGTCGGTCAAGACGTGCATAAACAACGAGCTCCCACGTCCGGCGCCGGGACACGGGAAGTTGCACACTAACACAGCCAGAGAGCGGGATCTGGAACGTTGAGGAACTCATTACGATACGATCCAGGTGAGATGCATCCGACCTGGAGTACACGGCATTGTCGGAGCACCAGCGTAGTTGATCACACCAGACGTCCTCTCCAGTACTCTCCAAGTTTAAGAGGGAGCCTGCCTAATCACGCCCAGACGGCAAAAATCGCTATCATGGTTTAGTGTAAGGCCTGGCAGAACGAGGTCAGGAAGCAAGTCGCAGAATATTCGCTGCTCATGGAAGATGATAGACGTGAATCTGAGGAGAAACTGATATTTTGAAAACGCCACGAAGTCTTGCGCTACTGTAATTTCCCCGTGCCTTCAATTTCGATAAACTGAGACTCACACATATATAAGCTAGCAACAGCGATGCAACATCACGGCAGCCCATATTATTTTCTCCATAATTCTACAAATCTGTTTCAGCCAGAGGTCTACATAGTCTATAGGTCGTAACGGCAAACGATGAAACAAATGCGAGGAAAAGATCGCCAGGAACATGGAAGGTTTCGTCTAACCTGAAGAATTGGTTTGGATGATACGCTATCAAGATGTGGTGAGTAATCACTCATTTTGCAATAGCGCCATAACTGAGCCGCTACCCCGGCCAGCCTGGCACCCTGGAGCTTGAGCTTCGATAGCTCCCCACTGACAATACCAAGTAACCTAGTTATCCACCGTAGCTGTTAAGTTAGTAGCGATTGCATTAGGAATACGTCATGCCATTGCGCCAGCACCCGACTAAGTAATTTTTGATCCAAGCTATGAACCTCACAAGCTAAAACAGGTTATGGGATACGCGGAGTTGATGCAAAGTGGGGTGCAACGAGCTTGCAACTGAGTTTACGAGACGAAAAGGGCCATTGCGATTGAAGTAGATTTCTTCCCGCACATTTCACAGGTTTCCCCCACCGTGTTATCTACCGTACAGTACTCAGAGCTGTAGATCACGCTCAATTGGCGTGAACCATTCGTCAAGAGGCTGCTTGTTGTAGACCGACAATCGCGACCTGCTTGAAGAACGCGCCGACGTGACTGCGCCTCGTCGACAAAACCCCGTACTCGAGACCCAAGCACAGCTAGATATCGGTATATACCGCACAGGGCCCGAAAGATGGCACGAGGAAACGGTAGCAGGTTCAGCTTTGCGCGATTGCTTGGTTGGAACCGACATCCGCACCATGAGGGCAACTGGAGTAGTCTTCATGAGTCTCGCCGAAGATGTGAGCATCCTATAGCCCTTGACAACTGCCCCTACCAATGTATTAATCGGTTATTGAAGTATTGCCAATTCACGGGGACTCTCACATCGAATCTGCTATTCCTGCCGCCGAAGTCACCAAAGTCGCATTGCGTTTGCGCTATCTGATAGAAGAGAGTGTTCCATGCGAGCTAGAGGAAGACCAGATTACCCGTCCCCACAGCAAGGTCATCACCAAGAACGTTGTGCGGGCTGCAAAAGAGGCAGGTGGTGCTGAGTACAAGGCATGTGTGGTCTATTGTCTTCTCGTTGTAAAACGTTGGTTCAAGCACCAGGGTATTGTCGAGTTATGGGACGCCGACCTGCACGATCTCCGGGCTACGGCTTGCGAGGTGATTGCGAAGCAGATGTAAGTGCTTATTTTGGACAACTGGCGTGTGTTTAACTACGCGCGTGCTAACCCCTGGTCAGAATCGAAGCTGAGGAGGACATGGGCTACCTCATGCACTCTGTTCTCTTGAAGCGCTACTCCATTGTTGTTGACGAAGAGGACACACCACCTGTTAATGTCATCGAGAAAGCTGTCGACCTCCACGCGCTTCGCGTCATTGGCGCATCAGGCTACCAGGTAATGCTTCCCGTGGTTGTGCTAAGTGATGTGTTCTGACGAAGCAATGCAGAGATGTATCAGCTACCTCTGGAAGGGATGGCTAGTCCAAGATGAGGACGACCCTGCTAGTTTTGTTGATTATAAGGGTCGAGACGATACGCGACTTTGGCCTCATCTTGACCCCGATCGTATGCGAGCACCAATGCACCAAAATGCAGCCCAGTTAATCATTTCTGTCATATACTTGGCCTTGTACACTGGTGCTATCAACACCATCAACCCTAGTGGTGATCTCGATTTTGTTGAGATTCTACTCTACATCTTCACTTGTGGCTTCATATTTGACGAGGTCACGAAATTCTGGAAAGCCGGCTATCACATTATTGGATTCTGGAATGTCTTCAATGGTTGCCTCTATTCGCTCCTGATAGTCTCTTTCGTCATGCGCATCGTTGCATTCAGCCATCCGTGGGGTGATGGAGGAGACAGCGATTCGAGACAGCATTTCAATCAACTGAGCTACAGCTTTCTTGCATTCGCTGCTCCTCTGTTCTGGGCACGCTTGTTGCTCTACCTCGATACGTTCAGGTTCTTTGGGGCTATGCTTGTAGTACTCAAGGTCATGATGAAGGAATCCGTCATTTTCTTTGCATTGCTAATTGTCCTCATTATCGGATTTCTACAGGCTTTCATCGGTCTAGATTTTGCAGACGATATGGCAGCTGATGATTCACTTTTCATCATCCAGGCTATGGCCAACGCAATCATGCAAAGTCCCGATTTCAGTGGCTTCGAACGGTTCAGTCCGCCTTTCGGGATTATTTTATACTATCTCTTTACATTTGTCGTCATGGTAATTCTCCTCAATATCCTCATTGCTCTTTACAACAGCGCCTATGAGGATATCTACGAGAACTCAGACGATGAATTTCTCGCCCTCTTTTCGCAGAAGACGATGCAGTTCGTTCGGGCACCTGATGAGAATGTATACATTGCGCCGTTCAATCTGATCGAAGCATTTCTTCTCGTCTTACCTTTTGAATGGTGGATGCCGAAACAGCAATACGAACGTCTAAACGATATCGTTATGGCTATTATTTACTCGCCTATCTTGCTCATCGCCGCTATCTTTGAGGTGCAGACTGCCAAGGACATCCGCCAGAATCGCTCGAGGGGCGACGAAGATGATGACACTGTCGAGGAATGGGAGCAGATGTCCAACCAAGTGGACTTCGAAGGCGAGGGCTGGACCAAGAAGGTAGCTGAAAGCAAAGCCAACGTCGAGGAAGAGCCAGCTGTTCTTGAAGTTCAAAAGCTGAGAGAAGAAGTTAACAAACTAAAAGAGTTATTGGAGGGTGTGGCCAAGGCTTTAGAGAAGAAAGAGAATGGTGAAAGCCTGATTTGAAACGGTCGGTAGATTCTAGCCTTTCTATCATTGAACCCGCGATAAGGGCTGTCCGGCGCGGAAGGCAGCCGTTATTTAGTGATGAAAGGCACTGAAATTGTATCAGTCAAGTACACGATCAGGAGAATCGTGGTTTACGGTAAGGTGGTGTGGAATTGACAATTTGGAGCCCGGTCCTGGAGTTAGTAGTGGTACGTCAAAAATATTTTAACATTATGTTGCCCCATTAGTCAACGTGCATATTTTACTGCTGGCTTGCGCTTATGTTCCATCCCCTCAAGGCATCATGAAATCTTCGGGCAACAGTTGGGTAGAACTTAGGGAAGCTTCGAACGGATGATGACCGTTCAACACGACTCTTCGTGAAATTTGCACACAGAGACAAGCCTTCCCTGCCGTTGCAGCAAAAGTGGTAGGCGAAGATGAACGCCGTCTCAATACGGATAGAATCACAACGCAATTGGTTATTTGAAGCTGTGGCAAGGACATTGGAGTCAATAATCCCCAGGGGCACGATATCTCCCGTTTATTCATTTTCAAATTGAATATCAGCAATAGGCGGCTGTCGATATACGTCGTCCATGATGGCGAGGAAACAATTTAGACGACCGGTGAGGTCTAGCAAGTGGGCGAGACCCCTCACAGAGCCCCCTTTGTATACCTGAGAGCGAATCTAGAGCCCTCAAACCCCAATCAAGACATTGCCAACGTTGAGGAAGTCACAGGTGTGTACTGATTTTGCCAGAAGTAGGCACAGATGCATTAAAATTACTCTCCTGCCGGACGAGAAACTCTCCAATGAGCACTGAGGTCAAACTCCTCTTGTACAAATATACCGCAACCACTAATACTACGTCGCATATCGTAACCCTCCGAACACAATGTACGAAATGAGTGAAGAGCATCAACGTTCGAGAATGCTGTAGAATAGTATCGTTACTTAAGCCATGAAGTTCTTCTTAGGCGGCTGGACAACACCACCACCACCACGCATTTCCAAGGGGTTGACCTGCGACAATTATTGAGTATTCTCGGATGTTCGGCACGTTTCACCAATGATATGGATGCAGCTGTCTTAGGTCATCATATTCCTATGTCAATCCTACTCAGTTACAGCCGAGGACTAGCGGTTTCGTTATTGTGCTCCTGGTAAAGTTACGAGTATTGCTAAGCTTTTGGCTTTACGCTATAATCATCTCAAGTTTGGCCCGAAGCACATTGGATAACGGTGCTGCTAATCTTCATTCGTGTAGCTTTTCGGGTGTCGCGGTTTTTATGGCGTTGATAGTTCCTATAGTAATGCCAAATAGTGGTCTGCTTGAAGGCGCCGATCCTCCGGATCCGTAATTTCGCCCAACGTATCCAATGGCCCTTGAAATTCCCAAGCGAGCACAAGCCCAATACATGCAGGGAGAACTCATGGTCGAGCAAGAATCAATAATCTGTGCTAATTCACTCATCGGGCAGTATGGAGTAACTTTGTAAACAAAGCCTAAGGTTGTCTCGAAATCCAGCTGATGAAGTTGGTGCTGGCGCCTGGGGTTAGGGCGTGCGGGGACAAGTGAATCCCCAACTCATCCCCAACTCTTGGCTGAGGATCGTCTGCATCATGATCCTCCCAGGTTAGCGCATCAAGTATTCTAGTCGCCGGCCATTGATGATGCAACACCAAGATCCTTGCTCGATTTGCCGGATGGCACCAAGTTCGCGTTGACATCAGACGGCTTCAACTCATCGTTGTCTTGAATGCTCTACAGAACATGGTGGTTGTCAGAGATAAAGCGCTTCGTTTTCGCAGCTTCTAGGTATACTTGGCGTTGTCTTTACTCAAATTATGTCCTGGTGCCGGTACTCGGTCGGGAATTCATGATATGATGCTGGTACTGGTACTCTGCACTACAAGTACCCCCGGTAGCCGTTTGGCGCCGTTTCCCCAGCTCCATCCTGGACTCTAGCTCGTTTCCCCAAAGCTATATGGGGACAAACGGACATTTTCAACATTTGCAATAGCGACAGCCAGTCAGTCATAAGCCTAACCTAGGCGAGTGCTTATTGAACAAGGGGTTGTTCATACTGGGATATGCAAATGATGCTACAGCAGAACTCCTATGGCACAAAATGGTAGAATGCGGCTGGTCACGATGGCTCTCGTGGCTGAATGCAGGCCTATTCCAGGGCTTCGTATCCTCCGCACTGCTCTGAACTCCTACTTGACTCGTAGGGTGTTTGGTTGGATGCATCCATTTCCCCGGGCAAGGTTCTTACTCGCCAGATTCGTTTGTCCACTACTTTCACGCACTACTTTGCCTAGTCTCAAGAGAGGTTGTCGCCAACACGGTGTATCGTCCCAATCAAGACCCTGGTAACCACCAGAAAGGCTTACCAGGAGAAGCATATCGTTTACTAGATGTGATCGTCAACTGATGAGCAATACCCCGCACAAGTTGACATCGATAAGACATGGGTCCAAGGTCTGCATGTTGACTAGTGTGGGCAAGGTTAGGATTTCTTAAAAGACACATGCGGTCCTTGATCATCTCTCTTGACAGGCTCTCATCCTTCGTGCTCGAGTGATTTTAAGCCAGCTTGGATTCTTGTAGACTCGCACGCAAAGATGGCCAGTAATCAGGCCACTACTGGTGCCTTTGATGGCACCGGTGACTACAACGAGCACAATTCGAACATGCATCCGCCTCACCACGGTATGTCCGCTGGCAAATACTTAGCAACTCGTGTGAGCACATTGAAGCCCGTGATGGCAAAAGCACCCAACCCGATCAAATTGCTCCGAATGCTAGACCGCCATCACTGGGGATTCTTCCTCGTGGCTTTCTTTGCCTGGGTAAGGAAATCTCGTGTACTTGAACAGGCTAACGATGAAACTAATCATACTGCAACAGACTTGGGACGCGTTCGACTTTTTTACCGTTTCCTTGACAGTCAGTAGTCTCGCGGCGACTTTCAAAGCAAGCAAACCGGACATCACCAATACCGACATCACATGGGGAATCACGCTTGTACGTCACCCAGACTTGACCATATTTCAATGTCACTGTTGCTAATGCAAGCCATTAGGTGCTGATGTTCCGATCTGTTGGCTCCATTATTTTCGGTGTCGCAGCGGATCGTTATGGGCGCAAGTGGCCATTTATTATCAACAATATTTTGTTCATTGTGTTGGAACTTGTAAGTGTTGTCACATTAGTTGTAAATACCAAGAATACCAAGAATACCAAGCTTTCGCGGCTGCTTCTTGGATTTTGGGTGCATCGTCTGCCTGAAAAGGCTCGGGAGCCAAGGCGGCCATAGGGCCTTGGCTGCAGGCCAGCCCGCCTGGGCAAGCACCACTATCTCATCCAAACTCATGTGGAGAAATCAATGAGACAAAATCCGTACAGCAATTCACTAACACGCGGGTTAGGGCACTGGTTTCTGTAATACTTACGAGCAGTTCCTAGCGTGTCGCGCACTGTTTGGCATTGCTATGGGTGGCTTATATGGCAATGCGGCAGCAACTGCTTTAGAAGATCTCCCCGTTGAGACACGTGGATTGATGAGTGGTATCCTACAGCAAGGCTATGCTTTTGGCTATCTGCTCGCCGCCGCTTTCGCACGCGGCCTTGTTAACACTACTCCTCACGCATGGCGGCCTTTATTCTGGTTCGGTGCCTGCCCGCCCATACTCATCATCATTTGGCGATTGTGTCTTGGCGAGACCAACACCTATATGCACCACCAAGAGTTGCGCCAGACTGAAGGAGGGAGTATCGGGAAAACCTTCCTTGCAGAAGGCAAGATCGCCATCAAACGTCATTGGCTTCTACTTACTTACCTCGTCTTGTTGATGGCTGGGTTCAACTTTATGTCTCACGGTTCTCAAGATCTGTACCCGACAATGCTTCAAAACCAATTCAACTTCACCGCAGACGAGGTTACAGTCACTCAGTAAGTACAGCTCCCCTTCTGTATCCCTTCATTGTAACATATGAGCATCTACAAAAAGGCACCCTTATTGATGCAGTCCCGCAGAGTCGTTGCCAACCTTGGCGCAATTCTTGGTGGTACAGTGGTTGGCTTTTCCTCGCAGATTTTTGGTCGCCGCATCAGCATCATAGTGATGTGCATTATCGGTGGGGCCTTACTCTATCCATACACCTTTGTATCGAATCACGGCATCATTGCTGCCGCCTTCTTCCAGCAGTTTTGCGTTCAGGGCGCATGGGGTGTCATTCCTATCCATCTGATGGAGTTGTCACCTGGAGCTTTCAGGACCTTCGTCGTCGGTACTAGTTATCAGTTGGGTAATTTGGTCTCCTCAGCCAGTTCAACTATTGAATCAACTATTGGCGAGCGATTTCCTCTGCCTCCAAAGGGCGAGACTAAGCGCTACAACTACGGCAAGGTTATCTGTATCTTCATGGGCTGTGTCTACGCGTATGTGATCCTATTGACCTTCATTGGTCCGGAGCATTTGAGTCGCTCTTTCGATGCAGCTCTGGATGCCGATCTGGAAGAAGCAACTGTGGCGACCACGCATCGGCACGGCAAGCCGCATGCCGAGCACGACGAAGAGAAAGGTACAGCCTAGAATCTTGGCCACAAGATGGTTCACATTACAGTAACATAGGTAGCCACAGCAGTGGCATGCCTCCAGAACGTTACGTATCTTCGAATAAGAGCCATGACTGAGAGGCTGGACGAAAGAACACCCAAGATTTGCGGAGATTGTAGGCGCATGTGATATTAAGATGGTCACAGAAATGATTCGATATCCACAAATATTGAACCGTATTACTTGGCTCTTCAAGCCTTACATCACCGTCTATCAAATTAACACGTCTTATGCTGCTCAAATCTGTGCATTCCCTTTTGCGGCGACGATCCAAAAAGCGGTTATCAAATTGCGCTCCACGTGGAGGGGGTAAGCGATTCTGGGGCTTACAATGGACTAGTCTAGGGCCGTAGAAGGATACCTGTCATAACTTGTAGAATGCCAAGCATAACTGATCATGTCGTCTATGCTTCATCCAAATACTGCCGAGCAACATCACATCCCTGACGGTGATGTCGGAGAAAGTTCGAGGAAGGTACGGAACTAGCGGGGCACGAGCTGTGTTAAAGGCCACAAGGATCGCATGACAGTATTGTCGCTAGATACGATAATCCAGATTATGGATCGGCATTGTCCGAAAAGGGGTAAAGGGGCACTAATAGTTGTCAGATTCAGGCACAAGGTTCTTGGCGTTGGTCAGGACGAGGGAAAAGCCATGGTAGATGTCGATGTCAGTGGTGGTGGAACTTGCGGAGGTAATGTAATGACGGCATTGGCCCCGGAGAGACTTTCGAGTATCAATTGATTGTGACCAACATGAGCCTAGTATTCGGAGTTGTTGCGAAAAGCACGGCTAAGACAGAGGGAGCTACATGATGATTAAAAAGATTTTTCTATAAAAAATAAAAAACAAACTCGCAGGGATCCATCACAAAACGTAGGTAGGGCGGGTTTTGGTGAGTTTATTATTTTATTATTATATACGCCGTGGGACTCGAGATCCCTCGGTACCTCTACGAATAAAGCCGTACGGCAAACCTTGCCCTAATGGCTGGAAGAAACCCGTACGCTTCGTGTACTACATGCCCTCGTGGCGACTTCGCTACGTTCACGACAATGCTACGTCAGTTCTCACCTAATCAACGGATTTCCCCTGAAAAGACTATTCCTCCTTCTTGTATACTAACCTAACCGAATGTAATAGCCACTTAGCTAACAGCCTTGCTTGTACCGGGACCTTCGTCGCTTCCGCGAGGTCGCGGCGAGTGTCTAGCCTTTGGCGAGTTACCTTTGGTGACGGAGCAGGATATTCTGAAGGCGAATACTTCATGCGCGAATGGTATATCAAACGAATGCTGCCTGGTTGCTTGGATCCGGACCAATATGAAGTCGGCTAACCAATCATGTACAAAATCCACAATCGTTGCGTTAACAAAACGCGAGTGGGAAGAGTGATACTCGCAGCCGACAGCGCACGTTTGCATACTATGGGGTGGGCGCGGGTGTATGATAGGAGTATTGGACGTTGATTGGCTTGCTTGTCTGATTATGTATTATGGAAAAGAAATCCATGAAGTAATACTTAATTTATATGCTGAGATAAGACGGAAGAACTTTCTTACCTATATCAATGCAAGACATAGAAAGAGCTTAGATAGACTCAACAAGACTGATCCTTGGACTGTCGCGGAAACTGAACCTTTCATTGAACTTCCAAAAGAGCTCGATGGAGACAACAGAAGGAGAAAGGAGTTTATATTAGTAAGTTGAATTGTTGATCGAGGAACACAACCCGAGTATTCTCATACTTTTTGCAGTACAGAAGCAGTCGAATATCGAGTATAATTCCAAGCAAAATTGTCGATAGAATACCAACCCAAGTCAACCGAATATGTAACAATAGTAGCTGTATTAAGTGTCAGATTACTCCCTGTGTAGTAAAGGGAGTTACGTGTGGAATATCAAGACAATGGCGTTTTCTGTACAAGACAGCTCATGGTTTCTTTGAAAAGTCCTTGTTATTAACGCTGTTAGCTTATTGCGGAGTTTCTTTGTACAAATTACTAGATTGATCATAATACAAAACTGTGTGCTAACGATTGCTCCTGATGGACGAGAATTGCGAAAACTGAAGCTTTAAATAAACACCTATCTATTGCACGACGACATTTCTAGAATATTGAAGACCATTGAAACACGAAGTGCTACCGACAACCATGGTCAAGAACTGCGCTTGTCCACACCACTTATGTTCCGCATGGGCGATGGAAGACGACACAAGTGGGCTGTGCCAACCATGCTCAAACGCCGACATTCGTGGAAAGACTCATCCGACCTACCGAGGGTGTATGTGCACATGCCCTTGCAAACTAGAAAGAGCAGATGGCGCAATGCAGTGTGAGGATTGTATTTGTGCGAATAAGGACAACAGAAAGCGGCATCGGCTACATTTCACTCCTCAACGAGGATCATTTGGGCGAGACACCTAATAATATGGATCTATCATGTGTAAATGAAGTATTGATATGGTGGATGTCGCCTGGATGGAAAATATTCACAGGGGATTATATTGCTATACTATTGACAATGATCGTATTGAGAGTATGTATGTGTGAGGATGGAGGACATGCTAAATGCGAATTACATGAAGAAAGAGAAAAGAAAAGAATACATTGGAGATATTGAGAGGAGTCTTGGTTCAAAGATATCGTGCTGTGTACCATTTCATTTATTTCCTATGAGATATCCAACTGACAAAGCAAAACCCACAGACATCTGCTCTGGAATTCACGCCATAAGTCCGTGTCCAAACCAACCTGAAACTACTTGTATGCGTCAAAGATCATTGAGAAATATTCCCACCGCAGCCAAACTCGTCACTAGCAAAATACTCACGGCCAAACACGACGTCGGCTTGGGAAACAGGTATGGTGGGACTATATGGTTTGGAACAAAGTTAGGAGTCTGCTTATCATCTGAGCAGATGGAAAGCCTTCAGTACCACCACGAATTGAAAGCTCGCTGTTCTTATCGTTTAAATACCCGATGTCCATATCTTGGTTACGGCTTGCCATATGCATGATAACGATAAGATAGGCCACACCAAATGACCAGTGTCGAATTCAGGAGCCTTGGAAATATTAATGTTCTTGGCATGGACAAAGGCATTGTTGTAGGAGAAGTATTGCCTTTTATGGCTTGTTGCAGTGGAATCTTTCTTGAAACAGCCGTCAGCAGGCCCTGAAGCGACAGCTTGATTCTCGTTGTCGAACATCTCATCGAAGTCAGGCTCATTATTGATATCACCAAATACCCCGTTTCTCCATATCTTTTGATGCAGCGCAATCATTGCACGGGTTTAGGTATTTTTCCTGGTGTAAGAAATGTTTTTCGGGCTTTTCATGGCCGTATTTTCTGTAATCGAAGAGCATTTCAACTTTTGTTGATCTCCGTGTGGTCATCGCCTTAGCACTACGTTACCCTCGTTATGGAGATTGACGTATAATATCTAGGGAACTATTCCAGGAATTTGTATTGTTGACAGTCACGGCTTTTCCTCATGCCCGCCTTTCTGCTCCGCTCCCCGATCTTGAAAACAAAAATTGTTACAATGCATCAAAAGGATATCTGCAGATATATCAAACATGAGGTTGCTAGAGGGATAGAACTCTTGGATAGGAAAGTCATCGTCGATCCATGGACAAACTGCTTCTTCGCCGGGCTGCTTGACCTTGCTCTCTGCCTCAGCTTCCTTAGCGGCCTTCTTTACTCGGTATTGCTGTGATCTGTCGACCTTGTGATATTGTAGGCATGATTTCGCAATGACACCAGCACGTCTAGCACGTATCAACTAACGTTATGACTCATATTCCAAGCAGTAAATACACTCGATGGTGCGTTGCTGAGCCTTCATTGGTTCGTCTTCTATATCGCTTGCATCCGAATCCGTTTCAATGTCCGCCATAACAGTTGGTTATGTTGTTTCGCTTCGCATTTGGTTCTCTGGTCCCAGAGCCTTACTTGGTGTAATGTCTTTTTTAGTAGATTGGCTTGAAGACAACGGTATGTTCTCGTAATATGCAAGAAGTTCATCCATTTGAACAACCCCGTCATTGTTGACGTCCAACTCAGTAACCTGGAACCCTCCAAATGTCCATTCAAGTGGAGAGTGAGCATGTCTGAAGGTACACATGAGGGGTGTGCTAGTCGTAGTGTCAGACATGATAGTCTTAGAAGAATCGTGACTTTGGGGTTTAGTTGTCGACTCTTGGTATTTGCTAACAAAGATGCCACTTGATAGGCGCCACCAGTTAGCCGCTCTCCTCCGTAGCTGGTACACAATGGGCTTCATTTGTGGTACCGAACGGAGTGATGTGTATGCTTTGTGTATCCATCGTCTCTGAGGATAAGAGATTGCGACTGTATCGGCGCAACAAAAGTACTTTAGGCGTTGCTGGCGCAGCTGATCCGGACTGAGATGGCTGGTCTCAGCGCATTCTGTTAAATGCACCATGGTATCCGAAAGAAGAAACTGAGTATCTTCCGCATTAGCCATATTACGGAAAGTGTAGCCAGAGATAACTCAATGGCAAATTAGCGACTGGTATAGGCAGGACTTTTTATGATAGGTCCAGAAATGGAGACCGGCGAAATTTATACATGGGCGTGTGCAAAAAAGGTGGGCCAAGCTCTTCTTATATCAGAAAAGTATATGCTAGTATTATCCTAGCTAGAGCCACCTTGCAGCCTGGCCCCAAGGAAGGCAATTTGAGACATTTCAGATATATGGGACAAATATTGTGATATTTGGAGAATGATTAGCAAGACGTATTCTCTTGATATGGCTAAGGGTACGTGATTATCAAGGTTGGTACAAGGCACAGTCATGCCTACGAGCTTATAGGCTGCCATGAAAAGCCTACGAGCTGCTTACCTTGAAAGACGATTTTACAGTAGAACAATAATAATATGCCACCTTAAATTAAAAAGCCTTGTCTCAATTATGACAATGCAATACTTATGCCTAATGACAGGCGAATTCCAACGTTGATGTATCAAAGCTACGCCTGATGCCTTGAGTTCGCCTTTAACGCCTTGCTCTGACGTCATCGCTCGTGATTATTGAAGAAGAGTTTGTTCTTCATTTATTCTGCTTCTGCTTCTTGTAAGTATGTTCGCGGTCCGCCGGATCGGTTTTGGGCACGTCAGGCAACTGACTAGCTGTTGCTTCAGCCTCAGCTTTCTGCTCTTGTACGGCCTTGTTCTGCTCAGAGGAGGCGGCTGTGCTAAGCGGAAAGTAGCGACTGGAAAAAAGGATGTGGTTAGACTCAGCTGCATGGACGGGTTGGGGTGATAATTATTTGGGTGAGCTCACGGCAGCGTGGAGTTGTACGAGCGGACGTCCTTGTCCTCAAAGGTAACGAAGACCACTTTGTCAAGTTTCTTGCCATCGTCGCCATCTAGGAATTTTTGGACGGTTTCGCAAGCAGCTATGGACGCGTCGAGACTGGGGTAGCCGTAGATCCCTGTGCTAATGGCACTGAAAGCGATCGTCTTTAGACCGTGCTGAACAGCCAACTGTAAGCTTGATCTGTAGCACCCTTGCAACTCGGAGTGGCTCTTTTCGGGTCGGAGGTCGTCAAATATGGGGCCCACCGCATGGATGACTTTCCTACAGGGCAGATTATAGGCATCGGTGATCTTGGCCGAGCCAGTCACACATCCATTGAGCGTGCGGCACTCGGCGACGAGTTGGGGACCAGCAGCACGGTGAATGGCGCCATCGACCCCGCCGCCACCAAGGAGGGAGCTGTTTGCGGCGTTGACAATGGCGTCAACGGCCAGTACTGTGATATCGCCTCTAATCAGCGCGACACGGTCGTTATGGGCAGGAGTGGCGCCTTCAACTGGCGGCGTTGCAGCTGGGAGGAGCTTCTTCAGCTTGTAGAGCAGGCTCAAAGATGGGATGTCCGATGCTACCACAGGAGGCATCTTGAGGAAGATTCAGGCTGCGTGAGACGAGGATCAAGATTTATTCGGGCTGACGTTTCGCTGACACAATGTCTGGCAGGGTGTTTGTCGTGTTGAAGGCGGGGCGATGTAGTTGGTCGTACCTCAAGGCTGAGCACTAACCTTAGAGTGGTACCAACCTTCATTTTGGAGCATACTAACCTAACCTTAGGTTATGTAGTTACAGTATACTGTGCAGTAGCGCCTATTGATTGTCATGCAAGGGCTTAGCTCACGTCCCATCTTCGAAACTGCAGTAATATTACTTTAGATGACCCGCATACATGTGTGTTCGTATCATACATATAGCCAAGGTTACCTGAGTTGAGGTATGTAGTGAGCGGTAATTGAGGGTTCTTCAGGGTGCCTAGCTTGAGGAAGTGGTTTTGTCGTTGCACACCCACAGTGCTGTGCGACCCAGATGTTCTAAGCATCACATTCAAGACTCTCAGCTCAAAAGGTAACGCAACCGCCAACCACTCCAGTATGTATTATTATTACCTGCTTATTGGGCTCGTTCTGGCGACTTAAACTTTGTAGACGACTTTCGGTCGTGCCACAGGGGTTGCTCTTTCTCGATTTCTATCACTACAATTGCTGTTGCCATGGTGCTCAAAATTCCCAGGTTGTTCGTTTCATTTATGATTTAGTCGAAGCTTATCGTGGTGTCATCCCATTACTGCACCACGTTACAGAACAGGCGCAAACCCAACCTTTGTATTGCTTGACCGAAACAGGCAACAAGCACATATCTAGAAATTAATTTTGTTTAAAATCCGGTTCCTGCTGATTCCATTGTAGTGATTTTCAATAAGACCATGTGAAGGCCTTCCATGATTGAATGTAGGATGAACTTGCGCATTTGTTTTAGTCGGAGGTCTTGAGGTTAACTATTTAGAGGGAAAGAACTCGACATCCTTTCAGCGTCGTACTGAAGTCCAAATGGGCGGAATGGCGTAGCAGTAAAAGCCGTAGCTGTTCTTTGAGGTAGCTCCCTAGGTAAAATATCTTTGAGATTTTCCGTACGCTGGGTTCAATCCCCAGCTTAGCCTTTATGCCTTTTTGAGCATCTTCTTCTTTTTTTCTTTTCGTTTTTGGATTATTATGCAAGATGTCTCTCCTCCAGAACGCGGTGCTTCTACCGCATGAAATAAGAGGCCGGATATGGGCTCAAGCTTGGATGAATGCGTTTGGCTTTAGGTCGTATTGAAGCATTCCATTCACTTCCATTCTGGGAAATCAACATTCCTCTGGGTAGTCTTTTGGTTCTGTTTACATCTGATCCAAGCTAAAAGCGAGAACCTCCAAGGAGGAAATTATTTTCCTTTCCCAACGCTCCCTTTCTTTTCTTGTTGTGCTGAAGTTGGATTTTCTCCCTCGCGGACGAAGTCAGACATAGCCATGTTTCCTTGGCGTCGACGTAAGCAGACTGCACCATGGCGGCGAAACCAGAAGCAAATTCCCCTCCAACGATCGCCATGGGCTCGTGAGTTCTGGCCTTCTGCTATTCCTTACTGGAGCATATGGGGCGGCTCCCTACATTCCTTCCTACGGCCGATGGATCCCGAGTTATGGCCAAGTCAGATGGCCGACGTTAGATCTGGGCCTTACGGAATGCAATTGCCCCAACCAGATAACGCGTGGCTAGACCGATTATTTGTATCGGAAGAACTACAAGTTAACTTGACACATGGAGTGCGGACATGGCAAGTACCTGTCCTTCAAACTCGGCCTGAACCGTACTTGGAAAACGACCGGATCCCTCGAAACGATGCAGATGCTGGCTGGGAGAAATATCATAAAGCAAGAATCGATATAGACGAGTCGACGTGGTTAGATTGCTTCAGCAGAAACAGGTGGCTCGATATGAAATTGGATTGCACAGCGGATATCGTTGAACCCTCTCCCGGATTGGGACAACACTGGAACAACTGGTGGACTGTAGACAATGACGTTATTTGGAGGGCCCTTGGTGTGTCGATTGAAATTGCAAACAGAATTCTACTGCAGCTGCTGAAGGATAGAAGTACTTGGTTTGTCAACCCCCGCATCTCCTTTGTACTCCTCGCAGGAACGTAGAGACCAGCGCTCACCCCTTTCCCCTTAAAATAATAATAGGCTCGATGCGCTACTATTTCAGCCTGTTGAGTTTTGGCGCAACCGTGACGCGCATATTAAAAACTTACACAAGCAAGATTCCTGTTTCGACCCTTGGATCCTCGAGCAGAAAACAGACTCGAATATGTGTCAGACCACAGAAAAGCTCACCGAACAGCTTGAGAGATACCTCGCTTACCATCTATGGGGCTTTTTTGATGAAGATAGAAAAGTCATGGGGTTTGGCGCTACTTATGCTTGGTGGTTGAAAACGCATAGAGGTGGCCATGACCACTATCCTGTTACCATGAGCGCGGTATCAGTTGGCTATCTTCGTGCATTGTGTTCAGGCAGACTGTCCATCTCGGAAAAATCAAATGTGCAGGTAGCTTTGGCAGCTACGGTAAGTTACCCACGTGATGAGCATGTCATATTTACTTACAGTTCGAACAGATACTACATGAGCTAATTGTAGGCCTGTATATTCTAAAAGTTCTCAACCTACCGTCCGAACTAATTTCGAGTAACAGCATGCTCTTTGGAATGGACGGGCTATGGCAGAATTCGGCCAAAAGGTATTAGAACCGGTAAGTTGGCGCAAGGACTTATTGTTTACATGTTTCTGATGACTATGAAGTACATGTACCCGGAGATAGTGAAAGAGTTAGGTCAATCTTTCGAGAATCACTGTGTCGGAGGTTTAATGGATATCAACGCGGACGATGCTGGTGTATACAGGTTTAACGGCAGAACCTTGACTTTGACAATGGCCGAATGGCCCAGTCGCTATTGGACCAGCCAAAGCGATTTACCTACGGAGTTGCTTGGAATCCCAGAGCTCTATTCAAATGTTTTTCTCATTCCAACAACCTGGAGTTCGGCCTTTGCTACCAATTTCTTCTGGGACCATGTAGTGCCAGACTTCAACGGTGGCAGCCAAGCGATCCGAGCGCCAAGAATCTTCCGAGCTGAGCAGTCTCACACGTGGCATTCGTTCGGGGGGAAAGACTTTCCTGCCAAACGCATGCGACTTCCTGCCCTTGACTGGTATAGTAGCACGTGGGAACACTTACATCGGGAGTGGCAGCACCGAAGGCGGACATGGGATGAATTTCGACTTTGGTATCAAGAGGAGTACGAAGCATGGGCTGTGACTCCTTGGAGCTCTGTGCTATGTCGAATAATTTTAGAGTGTTTTGTTGAGGCACATAACAAAAGAGACCTCCCCAGATGTGTTGATCTGGCAAGGCAATTTGTCAGCCTCGAGACATTCTATCTAACAACACTCCAACAAGGAATCCACTATCCCCTTCCATGGATATTCATCTCGCTTGGACATCTGATGCAAACAACAATTCCAAAAATGGCAATGGACCATGTTACAGTCATCCCTCTACGTAATGGCTTGCGACTGTATCCAGATCGCAGTTGGGGAAGAGGGGGGAGGGGGCGACCAATTTGGTTAGATACGACAGATTGTGATGCTCACCAAACTGAGGGTGTCAAGGATCCGATGTTCAACCCCAGGCAAACCGATGCGAAGGTAGATGTGCTCGATCCTGCTACTATTTATCCCACAATCTGCTTCAGAGAAATCACGATAGAAAAGAGCAACTGGCAAAACTCAATACAAGAATGGAAGAAATGGAAACAAATAGTAGGTGCTGTCCGATTCCATCCACTACATGTCACAGCACTCTTGAAAAACCTTCGAACCAGCTTGAAGGAGCAACTACTAATATCTATGCTATAGTGGGATGCGGAACTGAATTTACACCCCATGCCTAAGGCTTGGGAAGAAGCTATTCTTTGTCTGTCAAACACATTACTAGCTGTCCTTAATAAAAGGAAAGACATCTCAAATTACGCACCCAATCAATGGATCGACTTCGACTTTCAAGTACCGTACTATGATAACGATCGGAATTGGATGCAGCATGTACAAGGCTCCCTCCAACCCGAAGAACGTTTGGTCAACCCTCCGGCAAGTCCAACAAACATAGCGACGCGTGACTTCTACAGGAGTGGTGTGTTTCCAGAACCTACCGACCCTCCATCAGGTCCGTATTATAAGAGGAGAACACCTGCCAGCAAATCCGCAACGAAGAGAAGGAAAGTAATGCCTGTAATGGAGGGAACACCCCATATCAAATACTATACAATTGGCGATGTTGGTAATCGCCTTCATTCAGGTCCATCCACGTGGGTTGTTGAACCAGATGGCAACTCTGGGTTTGATGTGTATGACATAACAGGTGGGTTGCTGGAACATACACGCTTTCTGGATTGGTATCTTTTCTAACGAGTTCTGTAGATTCTTGTCACAGGCGCGGATACAGAACAGGCCAGGACATCCGAGCGATGTTGCTCCATGTGGGAGTGTATGGCGCTTCATTGAGAACGAACGGAAACAAATACACCAGCACGGTAAAGCCATGGTTACAATCACTGGTACAGCGTGATCCCGCGTTCCATGACCTGTTAGGGTCAAGAGTAAGTCAAGACGCTGAAGCGATTCGTGCAGCACTCGGTAGCTACATCCATCCTCTTGGCAAACTCTTGATGCCTAGGCGACAAGAGGAGATTGCGGAATATGATGGGGAGGATGGCATGCCGTTCTGGGTCACAATAGGCGATACTGTCTACAATCTGACAAGTAAGTTCACAAAATGCTGCTTGTTCAAGTTGTAGTCTGCTCGAAGGATCATGACATATTTCTTGCCTAAAAGTACTGCTCGACAGCTCTAGCGAGTACGTTGAAATATATCGATCACGAGCTGACTGTTTCGGGCAGATTTCGATGCTTCGAAAAGGGATCTCGATACACTTCGTCATCTCGCTCAGCCATCAAAATATAAAGCAAATATGGACCTAACGAACAACGCCAGGATGATGGAGAAGTTGAACCCGTATAGGTGTGCCTTCGTGCAGAAACGTCCCGTGAAGTTCCTGCCCACCCTTCGCACTTTCACTAAGGACAGTCTGAGGCAATCAGACAATCCCTTGTGCGGCTGTTATACCAGTATTGGAGGCTACGTTTACAATCTGAAAGGTTGGTCTCTAAATCACACGTCGTAAGAGGCAAGTAACATCTGACATATAGTAAGACTACATCGACCTGCACCCTGGCGGTCGTGAAATTATTACCAAATACCTCGGAAGAGAGGCGACAGACTTTACCGACTGGCATGACTTGGGTATAATGGAACATTACGAGCATCTGCGTGTTGGTCGTCTAGTACCTGATATTGCTCCCGACACAGTTGAGAAACATCAAGTTGTCATCCACAACTGGGTGTTTGACTTTTCTGGTCTGGCTCCAGACCAGTCCAAAGATGAGGCCGATCATTGGATATATGCGAACGTTAACAAGCTTGGAGGAACAGATGCTTCGAAGGCTATCGAAACATACGATGACGAGGGAGATGCTTTAGAACGTCTGTATAGGCAGAAAGATCGTATTGTAGGAAAGGTCCCCGAGAAGCGGGACCTTCCAGATATTCCGCGTGGCGAAGTGAAGAAGCATAATGATTCTGACGGCTTCAGGCAAGCTTGGGTGGTTTTCGACGGGCTGGTCTACAATGTCACCAGTAAGCGCACCATGGCTGACGGCTACATAGTCTGTGTTGCCAGAGGCATCATTCGCTAATGTTTATTATTTTCTTCTACCAGTGATCATGCTTCATGGTCAATCGTTCTATGCGCACGAGATCCCGAGGATATGGGCAGGCGCCGAGATCAAAGATGCAGCACTTTCCGCGTGGCTCAAGCAGGATTACTCGCACCTGGTAATCGGAAATCTTGTCGAAGGACCTGCCTGGCCAGAGCCAACTCCGGTCGACGATGCAGAAGTGGAAAGAAAGAGGCGCACAGCAGAGCTTGAGAAATATCGACGTTACGATAACATTCCGGATGATAAGATTGTGCCAGCGGATATCCGAAAATGGATACAGACGATGCATCCGACCCCTGAGCAAGTACACGACAAAATAGCAGAGCGGCGCGGAGAATTTGAGGACAAGACTCCCCAGTATGATGCTGCTGAAGGTCTGAACCGCCTTGCTATGCTTCAAGTTGATGAGGGCATCGGTCTTAGCGCGGAGCATGAAGGTGGCAAGAGAAAGCGTGGTAGTGCTTCCGGACATTCTCAGGAGCCGCGCCCACGCAAGATTCGATCGCTGCCGACCAAGTTTGGGTCGCCTGTCAATGCGAACCTCTGGTCATCTCATCCCGGACCGACGGGAAATTTCCACACACCTGCGTAATGCTCATCTATGACAGTTTCTACAGTTGGTATAGAACACTGTTTTGGTGAAGGATAGGTCTGATGCACTGAAAGGAAGAGCCTAAATCTACTCGAGCACAGGATAGCAAATGCGGTGCTCGCATGAGCGTGGGATCGCAAGTATAACGCTCTAGGCGTGAAATGACAGTATAGGTACTGTCTAGTAGTATATAGAATTCTAAAGTCCACACAAGAGAATATCGTTGTGCAGAAGATGGGCATGCTGTGATGGTTTTGGGGGGGGGGGGGGGGGGGGGGGGGTTCCACTTACAGTAGTTGATCAGGCTGATACTGAGTTCGATCTGCTCTCGTCGACATCATATTCCTTTGTGGTAAGTTAAACATAAATAAAAGATTTGAATATAAAAATAACATAAGAATAACAATACAAGCAGAAAGGGAAAAGCGTAATGACGTCGGGTCTCCAGCGTAAACCTGGTGGAATGTGTCTAATCGACATTGCAATAAGTATGTTGCGGTAATCTGTAGTTTAGTCTCGTCTGAACGTGCCAAAATCCCAACGCACCCTCACAAGGGACTTAACTAACAGCCACCACTATTACCTAACCTAACCTTAGGGAGTCCCGTCCAGACGACAGGGCGAACGTTAACTGGGCTGCGTACTTGCAGTAGCACCCCGCCAGTGTGGGGATCCCGATTCCCAAGACGTGAATTGGTCTAAGGTCGGTCTAACCTTAGCGCCAACGTCCGACGCGACAGAATCTTTCCAAACTCGCCATCGCCTTTTCACGAACATAACCGTAGAGTTCTGGAAACAACTGCTCGCAATGCTCATTGGGGTGCCAGCTACGATCCCCCGCAAGATTTAACCTCGTGCGTATATACCACTATGCAAACGTAGATTCGGTGTCATGTCGCAATCGGCTATTTCACTCCTTACACATTCTCGCAATGTCTTCGAGCACAGTCGCGAGACGACAACTCCAGAGGAGATTTCAGAGAAGTCATCCATCAAAGCCGCCCATCTCGCCGAAGCGGCTTGCTCTGGCAAGCAATGCTAGCAAACATCATTTTATCAATGTGGGGAATGGTGAGACAAGCGAGATACAGGCAGCTGAACACCGGAGACGCAAGATACTCTATGTGAAGCATCAACCTATACCCCATATGGATCGCTTTTTGCAATTTGGACACTCGTCAGTCGGTCGTGTTATTATCGACTTGTCAACCATTCTGCGTACCTTCAAGCGGTACGTCAAAACCGCTCGCATGTTTCCCTACAGAGCGGTGGGCTTGCCAAGCGCAAAATCCACCGAAAACAAAATTGCGTATATTGCTAGAGGTACGCGCTTGTTGAAGGGTGTTCTTGTCGCTGTATTGCAAGTGAGGGCTGGCCATTTTGCGAAATTTAAACGTGACCAGCTGGCTTCCCAGTTCAGCGGCAAAACCACCGGAAGAAGCCACAAAAACCGCAAGCCGCAGCTATGGACTGTTTTCACAGATAAACTCTCGCCTTTGCTACGACGACCAAATGGCCTCAGTCACATTCACAGCCACCTACATACCTGGCTTGAGGCGGGTATTATATCTGCGAAGAGCCCAAGAGGCGACGTGGTTCCGCTATGCAAGGTTCTGGGCCATCCAGAGTACCGCGCTTTAAGGGATTCAACATACATGTCATTGCCCATAGCACTAACGCAAGCAGCCGAGGGTATCATAGTAGAACTAAGCATGGAGAGGGCACAGCGCCAAGCCGCTATGACTGAGACATGCCTTCTCGACATGAATGCTCGCGCGCTCATAGTAACCTTGAGTCGCTTCAGACGAGAGGACGCGAGCAAGGAGAATGTATGCGCCAGGTTGCCCCTATTCGATCAATACCTGACACAAGTAGTACGGCAACAGGAGCTAGGCGTTTATGTTTCTGGTAATCATGCGACGCCCGTCCTTGTGAAAGAAACTCAGGAGAAATTGCAAAAGATTTGGAGCTCCCTGAATCCATGGGAGCAACAAGACAGAAACTTCGAGGAGGCATACGAGAAGCAAGTCAACAAATTGCCGCTGCGATTGGCGGAGCACGAGAAATGGCTGGAGCAAGAGAAACTTCGGCAGCGAAAGGAATTTCGGGAGCTACAGAGACTTAAGTTGAAAGAGAAAAAGAAACGTCGGGAGGAAAGAAAACTTCGGGAGCAAGAGAAACTTCGGGAGCAAGAGAAACTTCGGGAGCGAGAGAAACTTCGGGAGCGACTGTCGCAAACCATCAAGACTCGGCGAAAGAAGGACTGGCCCCAGAATAATAATCGGATGCAAAGCTTAGGTAAGCGGGTTCTCACTGGGAATAGAATTGGTTGGTTTTGATCCAACCTGAGATATTGAATTTGGCATCTGTAAGATTTGACGTGCTCCTATGTGTATATCAGAGCAAACCAGCCAGGAGTGACTTAAATATAAAATGAAACAAAACGCCATCGACTGCCATGGAACCAGACATGAGTGATTCGCTTGCTGTCGATAATCAAGTTGGTTTCTGAATAGGATTTCCGATGATAGCACTGCCATAACCCCATTTATGTCTTACAAAGCCTGTTGGCAGATGCAATGCGATGGACTTTATAGATGGCCCGTGCGCTGCCTAACGCCTATCATGACGGGAGTCGGCCTTTTAGACTCCTCCTACCTGCTTGTACGATTATACAGTGCGTACACCCACTTGGTTACCTACCTGGATTCAGGTATGCAGCGGCTAACATGTAGCCTTCTGATATCTAGGTAGCCCAACTTCGTCGCCAGTTTCTATCTTTGTGCATTCTATCCTTACACTCCAGAAGCGGCAGTGATACAATTGATTCGGCAAGATCTGGACTACTAAACGGTCTAGCTAGTTATTTAAGCTAGAATTCTGTCAAAGGTCTGCTTCTCAATTTATCTAGAGCCGAGAGGACGAAGTGTCGAATTTACTAAAAGCTGTGGTCGTATGTGGATGTGACTGTTGCAAACTACACTTGTGACGCCCGCCTATCACGCCCGATTTGTCTCCTAGCATCCGAGTAAATTGGATGCTGCGCCAAGTCTTGTGTCTGCCATCTGAGAAAGGTGCCTACGAAGCATGGTTATCTACCGTATTGATCTCCGTCACATACTTCCCAAGTATATAGCGCTGGTGGCCGAGCATTTGCCGGGGCTCTATGATGTAAATACGGAATCACTTTTGTGGAGCTTCACGGCCAGACGGACACTTGAAGGGTCCCGAGGATGGGTTTCCTAGGTGCATGACCTACATAGCAACCGGACTTAAGAGTACCCTTTGCAACTGGCATTTCACAGTGACGAGGCATGTGCTTGTAACCGATCTTGCATTTTCTGCAGCATTACAAGAGGACTTACAGTAAGTCCGCATGCGACTGCATGACAGCCAAAGCTATGGCACGCTAACGCAACCTGCTTATGCACATCTTAAAACCCCCCGTAGTCACAGTACCGGCCACTTCATTGGATGATGTAAGCATTTGACCGCAGTCTACTATTCGAACCCCAAATACCACTCAACAACTGTTGCCCATGAAAGTGATGCGCTGCGAGGGTCTCAAGCCGGTGGTAACGAAAAGAAGGAAATTTAGCATATATGCGGCGTAAAGTCTGCCTGGTCCCTGTGTCCTCCGTTCTTCAATTGTCTTGATCACAAAACTGCACGAGGGATGGTATAAGCAAGTTGCAGCATACGGGCGTTTCTAAGTCGCAAATATGTGCGATCTCCACCATAACGCTATCATAACCGAATCCTGGCTCTCATGACTTGCCATTTTCTAGAGGGTTCTGAATCGACATGCCATGCTCCACAGCACGTGCTAGAGCCAACTCTATTCTATGTTATCGCCTACAAATAACATTAAACGCCGAAGTGGTCCACTGGTTAGCACCTTATCTTGACTTTCTGATGATCAGCAGCCAGTCAGTAACCCCATCCTGAAATATCAACTAATGCTCTTAGCGTGTGGTAACTCACTCCATTAGACGTCATCAATACAAGGCAGCAAATAGGTCCATTCCGTAAAAGCCGCTCTCACAATAGTATAAAGACGAAGAGCATTGCGATCATGATTCCGCTGCCAGTTCCAGAGCACGTATTGCTAAATCAATTGATATTGTCTTCGATATTCTTCAAACTCTAACTACCGACCTAAATCTCAAAATGGCAAGCCTTAAGTTCCAAGGATGGCTCGGCAAGACACCCGAAAGCGTTAAGGGCAAGATGGAGTGGGGTGATTACGAGCCCAAGAAGTGGACTGAGGACGACGTTGACATTGAGATTTCGCACTGCGGTATTTGCGGAAGCGACTTGCACATGTTGAAGTCTGGATGGGGAGAGACACCGTACCGTAAGTCGATCACCACAGAGTTTCGTAGATTAGATCACGGTTCTAACACCTTCCAGCCTGCGTTGTCGGTCATGAGATCGTCGGCAAGGCTGTCCGTGTGGGAAAGAACGTCAAGCACGTGAAGCAGGGTGACCGCGTCGGTGTCGGTGCTCAAGCTCGCTCGTGTTTGAAGCCTGACTGTGATGACTGCTCAGTCGGCTTGGAGAACCACTGTGCCAATGAGCAGATCAACACATACGGATCGATATACCCCAACGACGAGGGCAAGTCGTATGGTGGTTACGCTGACTATAACCGTACAAATGGCCACTTCGTCATTCCCATTCCAGAGGGTTTGGATTCTGCGGACGCAGCACCCATGCTCTGTGGTGGTATCACGGTGTTCTCACCGCTCCACCAGAATGGCTGTGGACCTGGGAAGACGATCGGTATCGTTGGTGTTGGTGGTCTAGGACACTTCGGTGTTTTGTTCGCCAAAGCTCTCGGTGCCGACAAGGTTGTCGGTATCTCGAGAAAGGCCGAAAAGAAAGACTCTGTGCTTGAGCTTGGCGCTGACGAGTACATCGCGACCGACGATGATAAGGACTGGGTAAAGAAGAATAGGAGATCTCTCGATCTCATTGTCTGCACCGTTTCCAGCGACAAGATGCCTCTGGAGAGCTACCTGATGTTGCTGAAGACGAAGGGTACATTCATTCAGGTTGGGTAAGTCGAAATCAAAACTGGAAATTTTTTACAAGTATAGGTACTAACATTCATAGTGCCCCCGATGGTGGTGCCCTGCCAAACATCAATGCCTTCACCCTTCTTGCCAATGGAATCAAGGTTGGTGGTAGCGCAATCGGTGCTCCTAGCGAGATAAAGGAAATGCTCCAGCTTGCTGTCGACAAGAAGGTCAAGCCTTGGGTACAAAAGCGAAATTTAAAGGATGCCAATCAAGCTATTGTTGACATGACGGACGGTAAGGCCCGATACAGATACGTGTTGGTCAACGAGAACTACGGCAAGCATTAGTTCTTTGTTCCATGAAATATCAGATATGTTGGCATTAGGAAAACTTTAGAGCAGGTGTTTGGATATGATGAATACTCACGATTAAAGAGTGCATTTGATGAACGATATTAGAGACCTTACATGCAACCATGGTCCGAGACTTCGTTCACAAGAATTAACAGATGTGTACAGCTTGACGACCACGCATCCTTGGGTTTGTGATGGATTGACAAAAATTGTAAAACAACGTTTGAGAGATAATGTTACAACACATTCTGCGACACGGCTGTGATACAATGCCGTTTGCACTCACCCTCACGCCTCTAGCATCCAGTTAGGTTAGGAAAGACCAAAATTCCTGAATTTCGATCATATTCCACAGCTCGGACCTGACAATTGCGGTCCTTTATCCCCCCCCCCCCCCCCCCCCCCCCCAAATAATTCGCCGTAAGATCTATAAGAATTACAATTCTTGACAACAGAATCTAGTGAGAATATAGAAAATGCTATCCGAAATGCTATAAGCAGATTGTTGCGCCCAGGCGAGAATCAATCTTCAGGACCTTGATTCGGGGAACAAGTACGGAGCAGTATGCAGAAATATGCAATTAACGAGGCTGCGTGCAGATTAGTGGCGCGAGGACTTTAGCTGCCATTGTCTCCATTAAAAATCTCAAAGGTCACTGATCATCGCCACCATGTTCACAATCAATCCAGCAACCATTGCATCTTCATAACGGCTGAGGATCTGGCGATGACTGCGAATCAATAGCTCGGAGATATTGGAAATTTCTGCAAGATGGCGGAAGGACTTTCATCAAACTGGAAAAGGCTGCAGGCTACAATCAAAACGGAATCATCCACAACAGCCAACCCATCTACCAAGAGGAAGGCCGACACTCCTGCTCCAACTCAGTCTAAGCGTCAAAAGTCTGAGAAAGCGAAAGCTCCTTCACACGCCAATCCACATCAAACATCCCGTAGTGACAGCAAGCCGCGGGGAGGTGCCATGGGCGTATCTCAATCGTCAGCTGTCGCGAAAGGATCCTCATCGACGGTAAATCCTTCACTGGCGTTATGGGCAAAAGATTACGACATCTCAGCCGAGTCCTTAGCTGAGGCATACGGACTGGGCATCAAACGCAATGCTCTAGTGGTCTCAGAAAAACCTCGCGTTAACGAGGGTCTCGCTCCTGGTGTGGAGATTGGAAAGTACGTCGCAATGGACTGCGAGATGGTCGGTGTTGGACCCGATGGCCACGATTCCGTCCTCGCTCGTGTCAGCTTGGTGGATTTCAATGGACGACAAGTCTACGATTCCTTTGTGCGTCCAAGGGAGCGCGTCACAGACTGGAGAACGAAAATAACCGGCATAACGCCAAAACACATGGCGACGGCCCGCGACTTCGACGCAGTCCAGCAAGAAATCGCGGATTTAATCAAAGGCCGCATTCTTGTGGGACACGATATACGCCACGATCTTGCAGTGTTGATGCTTACTCATCCAATAACGCACATACGAGACACTGCTCGGTTTTCCGGCTTCAGACAATACGGACATGGGCCAAAACCGGCATTGCGGGTACTGGCGAAAGAACTTCTCAATCTTGAGATTCAGACCGGGCACCATTCTAGCATCGAGGACGCCAAGGTTGCCATGCTACTCTTTCGGAAGAAGAAGCCAGAGTTTGACATGGAACACGCCAACAAGTTTGAAAGAGCGGAAGGGGCTGGACGCTCAAAATCAAAACCGAAATCCGGCAAAAAGAAGCGCTGAATTTGATACCCACAAACAATCATGAAAGCTACCAGTGCCGAGCCGACGGAAGGATGGGAAAAACTGGAGATACGGTGTAAACATCTAGTCTAGGCCAATGCGCACAAAGTATCAAGCTAATTGCTTCAGCGCGTGGCGAGAAAAATCCGCAAGAGTAGCCTTGTGTTACTCTAAATTGTTAACCGAGTCATGGAGCATTCAGGATTATCTCGCTTTGACTTTGAAAGTTCTGTATTTCGGACACACGCCAAGACTCGCTACCATTGGTCCAGGCCTCACATGCCCCTTCGTTTCCGTCCTTGCGTCTCAATTCCGCTTGACCTCAGCTCGGCAAGACCATTATCTTCGCATTGACAAAACGAACCTCAATTGATGTGCAAGCATTTGATTCCAGTGGACACACTATTATGCTGCTTTAAGTAGCTATGTCCTCCTTTAGAACACAAATTTTGTACCACTGGCAAGTGATCGAGGAAACCAGCTGGTCGATCTATTCCGCATACCACTCACCTTGCTACAATGTTACCCGCTTGATCTTTATGGCAACCACTGGAAGGTGCGCCAACCTGTGCGCTGTTTGACCATCTCTTCAGATGAACGCCGAACACTTACTCGTTCATGCGCCGTTGCCTGTCGCACAGACACTAGTACCCCGGAATCCTTCCGCTAGACCATATATATCAAGGCCAGTCACCACGCTAAGATATCATGTCAACGTTTTCGGCCGTGTTCGTGGCTGACGATCTTTTGGCCATGGGTCTGCAGAAGTACTGGGTTTGTTCAATTGTACGGCGAAACCTCGAGGGGGAATGATGATTGGCCATAATTGATGCTATCACTTCTGACTAGCGACCTGTTGAGGCCGGCATGTCCAGTACATATGTAGTAACGATCAATCCGGCAGGCCGCTAGTAGAATATAGTTTGTTAAGAAGGGATGATCCTCTCCGGTTTGGCACCATGCCACATGTTTTCAGGGATTCGTGCTCACACGTACCTAGTCATCATATAACCTTAAACCTCCACAGCTTTAAAGGCTGGAAGACCTGGTCACCCAGCACACACGAGTCTACGCTCCTCCAGATCCTGCGCTGCGCTTTCACCAAGCCAGGCCCAATGACTGGAACATCGTATTCATGATGGAGGACAAAAGTGCGACGGTGATCGCTATCCTCGTCGTTTTCTTCGTTCTGAGTTATGTGGCCGTGGGTCTACGAACTTTTACACGACTCCGTGTAAACCAGGCCTTCGGAGTTGATGATGTTATGATTATTGTTAACCTGGTAAATATTGTATATACTTGTCTGTCTACCAAGTGTTAATCATAGAACAGGCTGCCTTCACAGCCTACCTGGCCGCCCAAATTGAAGGATGGAGACACGGCCTAGGGCACCACGAAAGCCAATTGACATCCAGTGACAGAAGTATCGCCTTGATGGTCAGTATCAACCCCAGATGTAGAAATAATACTACTGTGCTGACAGAATATAGTGGTGGTACGTGTGCTTCCTGCTGTACATTGTCAATGTTTGTCTCTTCAAGATAGCCGTTGGGCTATTTCTACAACGTATAGCAGTTGAAAAGTTTCACATTTGGACTTTGCGTCTCATCATGGTCGGTGTACCAGTCTGCGGCACGGCTTACTTCTTTATGTGCATGTTCCAATGCCATCCTCCGTCTGCGTGGTGGCTGGACTCGCCTCGGGCCCTCGGCAAGTGCTGGGACGACAAAATCGTATTTGGAATGGACCTCGCAGCATCTATTGTCAACTGCAGCGGTGACTGGGTTCTTGGGATTCTGCCAATCTTCATGGTCAAGTCTCTGCAGATGCAGCGACGCAGCAAGGTTCTCGTTGGGTGCCTACTGAGCTTTGCTGCGGTTGGGAGTACAGCAACTGTCATAAGAATCTTCTACTTAAAAGGACTGCTTCGAGGAGATGATTTTCTCTGTGAGCCGATACCTAGGAGATATATATATTGCGTCTACTGACTCAGATGGTAGTCTTTTCCACCGAAGTGGCCTACCTCAGCACGATCGAGTGCGGAATAGGCATCACCGCAGTCTCCCTGGGCACGCTGAAGCCGCTCGTGGAACGATGGCGTGGTACCATGACCATGTCATCGAATTCGAATGGACCAAGTTGGTCACTCCAGAACCGGGCCAACCCCCGAAGGAGTTATGTTAGAGCTGATGGAAGCGATCGGGCCCCGACTCCAAAATCAAGACTGGGAAGTATTTTCCACATTTCCAAATCGGAACATTCAGCGTCGAACACTGTTTCAAGTGTGAGCTACGCAGATCAGGATGTAGCGCCAATTCCAGCAGCTACGAGCGCACATGACGACAGCAACGACAACACCGCCGAGGCAAGGCAGTCGGATCGTCCAAGAAATACTCTGATGCTTTCGGTTCCTCTACCGCCACCTGCAGTATTGCCAAGCGCAGTGTTTGTGAGTCGAACAAGTAACGCTTTAGAATCCTCGAGCTAACTATGGCTAGCTCGACAACTCCAGTAGCATAGACGTGGGCACTCCAAGAATTCCTAGATTCGCACCACTACCTTCTCTACTCTCGATATTCAACCCCTCAAAGCGCAAGTCTATGGCTTCGTTTAGGTCGAATGCTAATGCGTCACCGAGTCCCAACTCTGCCAAATTCGAATTCTTCAGCCGCCTTCGTACAAGCGGGCCTGCAGGCAATGGAAGTCAGATACAGCTTAGTCCGGTTTGAAAACGATACGACGGATGTAAGACAAGAGTTGGCGAATATCAAGAGGCGCGAGTAGAGTCGCCACCATGAACATAAATCGTCTGTTTCGGTCTTCATTGATGCTCAAGCCACAGGCCGAGACTGTCCTTATGAAAAGAGCATGCAATCGAACTGTCCCACGACTCGGATGGACTGGAGGGGAGCTTCGGACCGATGCATTTCAGTGTCGACAACACAGTGGCTGGGTGAGATATGTCGACTGGCTATATTATACAGAGACTAATGTCAGTCCAGGCAAATACTTGAGAACTGTGGCATGGCTCCAAGCAGGAGTCACGAGCATGAGCGATGTGCAGCCTTTTACGCAGATCAGATCATACAGGGGTAAATCATCAAAACTACGACTCTCCAATTCTGACCAACACAAAGACTTAGATGGTAACTCCCACCCAAATCCTGGCGGGTAGTATATTACAGAGCCTGGGTGGTCCAGGTTGGCGGGGAAGACAACCATCGATGTTGCTTTACCTTAGTACGAATATTATGATGAGCAAATGCAGTATTTGGTGCCTAAACCACCCAGATTGTGACAACAAAAGCGTCCGATCAAGAAACTTGGATGATTTACAATATATAAGTTATTGTGTGCGTATATTGGGGAAGAGGTGGAGTACCCACAAGTATCGTGATCAATGACACAATACCGAGAGGAGTAGCTGCTACGCTCAACCTTATTATGGGCCAGCTCGTATGTGTGCGGTTCAACCTTACCCCATGTGCGTGAAATTTAGGAAGCTCCGCTGGCTTGTGCTACCGCATCGCGACTGCTTTGGGTAGTTCTCCTCCCCAAATCTCACCCCATTATGACGATCATTCTGGGGGGGAGCTCCCCACAAGTCGCGTGGTTATATTCGCCACATTCTCATATATCAGCCAAAGAGCTCGACCCAACGGAATCGTGGTGTTAAGAGAGAAAGCTACATGGATAATTTCTCACCCACTGAACCTACCCAAGTCAGTATCAACTATACAAGCTATCAATATGTCTTCCAACGACAACAACAACAACAGCAATAATAACAACAACCATAATTTCCTCGCCACTCTGAGGGATACCTTCACGCCCAACGATAAGCGCAAGCCACCCCAAGGCTCGAAGGAGCTGGAGCCCAAGCCCAGGCCCAGGAGGGAGTCAGATTTGAGCACGACTTCCAGTTCCTCGGCCACCACCACGGGCACAGAGATGCACCGCGACGCGACCGGAGTCGGGAGCCACTTCCTCGACGGCCTCACGCCGGGACGACAGAGGCGACGCCGAAGCAGCATCCTGGAAGCGCTCGGTGGACTAGGCGGTGGTGCTCCTCGGGAGCGACGAGACAGTGCCGGTAGCAGTCTGGGCGGCGAAAAGCGCGACGGGAAAGGTAATACGGAGAAAAATACCGATAAATATGACATGTACGTCCGGCTCTGAGGCGCGGCGAGTCGAATGGTAAGAGAGTCAAGCTTTGTGCTGATGAAGGCAGTTTCAACTAACTGATATTCGAGTATCAAACACGGTGTCGGTGTGATATATGTAAAGGTCACTTGCAAAAAAAGCAGTACGACGGAGAGCAAAGACGCAACTCTGATCTTCATGTTAAGGAATGCTGGATGGCGTTATGTCGTGACTTGTAAGCGAAGCATTCAGGAACTATAAGAACCAGTATGCAAAGTATGTTATAGTAGTTGAGCAATCGTAGATAGCTTGAAGCTATCCTTTCAATTATCTTTCATCCCTGCCAGTGAGCGGGTATCTAAGAGTGGAGATGGTCTATCGCACGCATGCTGTCTATGAGCTTTGCATAAGCCTTTCCCAGAAAGAGCTTCTTAACCACCGACCATGCCAGGTCATAGCCGTTTTGTACACGGATTACCGCACCACAACGCCTGGCCGACCATAAAATCCCGTTCCAGCCACATGAATCATGTTTAGATACGATGTGGACTTCGTGACGCAAAAGACAAGATAAATGCATGTGTCCTCCCACCCTCTGAACCCGAGAGACACCCCGGCCAAACCTGGTCCCTTTTCCTCCGCAAAACAACGCTCACTTTAACTGAGCACGGGGTATCGCTAGAAGTCAAAGCATTGGAGGACAAAAAAATAACCGCAAACATAGGAAAATTGCAACGCAAAAAGTATCACCTTTATGCAACCGCAGCCTCCTCGCTACTACCACCGCCAAGGAGCTCAAGGACCTTGTTGACGACAGCACTTGGGTAACCACGGGAAAGCATCTCGCTGACAACAGACTTGGCGCGCCCCCGTTGCTCAACGGCAAGGTAGGCGCGGGTCATGGCTTCGTAAGTACTAGGCTCACGCTTCTCGCGGCTGACCTGGCTGTAGACCAGTCTGGCCTTGTCGATATTCTTCTCATTTGCCCACCCATGGATGAGAGTATTGGCAATATAAGGAGTCAGGTCAACACGACGCTGTCGCATCATAGCCAAGATGTCTTCCGTGTCACCCACGTGGTGATTGGCGACCATTGACTCAAATAGGGCTTGGAAGATGCACGGATGCGAAGGTATGCTCGGATCACGCGTCACGGAGTCGAAGATCCGTTGAGCACCCTCCATGTCGTGGAGGACACATCCACGGGCGTGAATGAGAGATGCATAGTGAACAGGATCAGGTTGTTGCCCGGAAGCACGAATCATGTCCAGAACAGCTTCGGCAGCGGTCATGTTGACTGGCTCGAGTGTGGCGTGGGTGTCAACAAGAAGCTTGAAAGTGTGCGACGTGGGAGCAATCTTTTTGGCCTTCATCCGCTCATAGTAAGACAAAACCTTAGACTTATCGCGCTTGGTCGTCAGGAAGAATTGCATCATGCTGTTATAAGGAGCGGGGCGAGCTTTGTAGTTGGGCATGGCCTCCATCTCATCGAATAACTCCTCAGCAAACTTCTCATCGCTGACACGGCAAAGCGCGTTGACAACAGTGCCGTAGGTGACGCTGGTGGGCTTGATACCAAGAGCACGCATTTCGGCAAAGTAGAAAAGACAGTCGTCAATACGTCTGGCCTTTCCAAGCTTTCCGATCAAAGCGTTGTACAAGAAACTGGAAGGCTCGACTCCCTCAGCCTTAGCGCGGTGAAAGATCTTCACAGCCTCTGTGGCCTCGTCAAAAGTCTTGGTCGATTCCTTCAGAGTAGTGATGTATAAGCCGAAGGTATTCGCAGACGGGGCAGCGCCCATCTCGAGAAGCTCAAGGTGGTATTGCTCGGCCAGGGTGCGGTCACCGAGGGTCAGACAAGCACCTACCATTGCATCCAAGATCGAAGACCAACCATAGCGAACAACAGCATACTGGGTTAGGAGGGGGACATCGGTTCGTGCCATGGCCAAAATGTCATGACACATATCCATGCGGTTCTCACGAGCAGCAGCAGAAATTAACTTGGCGTAGGTAATGTACCGCGGATGACGACCAGCACGACGCATGTTCCGGAATCGAGTAAGAGCATCGTTGAGCCTTGGGCCCTTGCGGCCATGAGCACCCTCAAGCTCATCCGAGATGATGGACGAGCCCTTGAAATCAGTGCTGTGGGCGTAAGGATCGAAGTTGTCCTCGTAGCTCGAGACTGTCGGTGTGGACTCAAAGGCAGAAGCTGAAAAGGTCTGAGGAGCGTAGCTGGCAACCGACGCGGTTTCGCGAGGATCCACGATTCCGCGAGCAGACATGTAGTTCTGTATCAAGTCCATGGCCTCCTCAATCTCCTCAGCAACCTGCGACCGAGTTTGCATCTCGGTAGCGCGGATGCGCTGGAACATGAGCTCCGACTCAGCCAAACCCTCGGCGGCGTTGCCGGAACCGATCATGGCCACCGCATACATGGTGGCCGGCTCGACGAAGGCGGCAGTAGCCTGAATCTCGGGATTGCTAAGCACATGCCAGTACCTCGCGGCTGCACCAACATCGGCCTCGCGGACACTTAACGCCAATAGAGCCATGGCTGGTGTGGCGATGCCTTGGAAGGCCCGGGGAATGTTGGCGAAGGCAGCTACCGCAGTCATTTTGTCACCTGAATCAGCAGCGGCCGTAGCGATGCGAGCGATCGATGTGAATTTGATATCACTTTCGATGCTCTGTGCCCACTGAAGTGCTTCCTGATAGACGCCACGCTCCGTAAGACCGTTGACAATACCGAAGTTGATAATATCGTCCTTGAGATGAGCAGCATTGGCGTCAAATTGCTTCACAATCCTCTCGTAAAACTTCATAGCACCATCAAACTTATCGGAAATGACGTAGGCATTGATGACAGCAGCGTATACCTTGGCATCGAGGCGATCATTGAGGGTGTACTTGCCGCTGTCATGGGCAATGGCGAGCTCCTTGTACTCATTGTAGCACTCGACTGCACTGGCCAGATCACCGACCTTCGCGAAAGCAGTGATCATGGTGGGAAAGGTGGCTGCTGACGGAACAGCGCCGCTGACTTCCATGTGATCGAACATACGGAGCATATCGGAAACACGACCAGCTTGAGCGCATGCTGAGATGAGCTGGTGATAGACCTCGGATGAGTAGTTCGCCTTGCGGTACTCAACAGATGAGTCGAACAGCCGAACGGCCAGATCAAGTCTATCATCCTCGGAAAGAATGGCATATTCCAATTCTGACGAAGCAAACATGAATTTGCCTGGCTCGTCCATTCCACCAAAGCGGGCCAGCTTATCCTCCAAGGCCTTCTTGAGGCTAGAGACCTCAAGACATCTACCGGCAAGAAGACCTACAAGGATGTTATAGGTCTCGCTATCGGGCAGGACTTGCCTCCTCATCATATCGGCGTAGACATCTAGTACCTTGGTGACAACCTCATATCTCTCCACAGGGATGTTGATCGCCGCAACTAGCAGAGCGTTGTAAGCCTTGGCAATGGGCTTAACATCGGCCACCAACATAGCCTCGAAAACAGCTGGAATCTCTGCGTAACGTCCATCCTCGGAGAGTTTGGTCAAGTGGTCGGCGTATGTTTGAGATTGAGGATCGATAGGCGGAGTTGCCGTTCGAGCAATGCTGATTGGTGTGGCTGATCTCTCAATAGTGGGTGTACCGGCTCTGGACTGGACGAGCTCGACAGCAGGAGGTGTAGGGGCCCGCGACGGCAAGGGGCTACCCTCTTCTAATGCCTCTTGCAACCTGCGAACTTCGATCTCTCGCTCCAAAGCCGCATTGATGTGGGCCAAGGCTACGTCTGCGTCAACGGGGATCGGTTGATTCTCAGCCACATCTTCTGGTGCGGCCTCGATAGTCTCAGCAGCGCCAGAGGTCGACTCGGGTAAGACAGACGAGGTTGTTGGCTTCCACTCGATGGGCTTTGGAAACTGGAACTGAGTCCACTCTTTCTCAACTTCAGCAACAGCCTCTTCATTCCCGGAAGCTGTAGCTTGTTCCTCTTTCTTCTGCAGTGCCTCAAAGTAGGCGTCTAGGTTATTGACGTTGCCATGTTTGTCTTGCCGGTGCTCTTGTGCAGCAGCTGTCGACGTCGAACTCGAGACATGGAAAGCACTCTGCAGTTGTAGACCCCCGAGTCTACCGACGCGCTGGCTGCTGCGCCGGGCCCACGCGGGCCTGTTCTGCGAGTTTAGAACATGTGGATGTGTTGCAGCTACGACAGATTGTGCGTAGCCGTGGGTGAGTGTCTTGCTAAGTCCTGTACGGAAGACGTTCTGGTACAAGGTAGAGTGGAATGGCATTTAGATGACACCAGGAGGGAAGGGTGACTGTGAAGGGGGATCAAGTCAGTAAATCGTGGCTCAGTTCCGTGCATGTGAAGACAAAAGAATCGATGTGATTCAAGCAGGATCTAAAGACAGCAGTGCCATTGGTAGAGCAGAGTGAGCCCATTTCAAGCCCTTCCACGTGAATACATGACTTTCCTCTGTTGTGTCAATTACACCAACTGTTGCTGCAGTGGTGGCGCGGTTCGCGACGCAAAGTCTCCCAACATGGTGGTTGCATCGGCGTGTTGGTCGAGTCACTTAACTCGCAGGTACGCTTGGTACGTGCCTGTACATGCATACACACACGCGACAGTAGGGCAAAAAGTGGACATTCATGACGACTTACATAAAAAGAGGGTATTAAGAGTCGTTGCAGGTTCATTTGACAGCGTCCTCAAGCCGTCAAACAAACGCGCGATCTGGTAGAGAAGATTAGTTGGTGATTGGGGGATAGAAAGAGTAGACTGAATGAGGAAGAGGGAAAAAAGACCAAATGCCTCGAAAAGATGGTGGTGGTATCTGCATGATATTCTTTTCTCGCACATTGGATGGCTTTCTTGCATTATCCATCAGCTCCGAATGCACCCTTCTGGCACCCCCTGTAAGACCCGCTACGGGTCACTGTCAACGCTGTGCTGGATGCACTAACGAATTGTGGAGTGCGGCCCCCGTAACCTTTCTGACTCAACCACAACAGCGATCATCGCAAATGGTCATCTACATGTAGAGCCGTGTTTCGCCTTAAGGTTGTCACTCTCAAGGAAATACACGCACTCGAATGGAATCAGCATTTCATGGAAGTGGCAACACGAGTACTATGCTCCAATTGTCGACGTGTTTCATATTATTACAGTCCCAAGACTGATGATCCTATAGGTATCTGTCAAATGTACCACCATGTCCGGACTTTTTCAGCGATGCGCGTGAAACAACGTTTAGTTGGTGCATATTGCGCTATATTCACGGGGAACACTCCCTAGAGCCACTATTTCTCTCACGCTAAAGCCACGTCGCCATTGCTTTCCTCAGGCCTCCTTTCGTCCACCCATGACGACCTCAGGACGAAACAGGTCCATGGGCTTCCACTTCCACTCTGCGTGGCACTGTGGCAGCCTAGGGCTGCATTGGTCTGTACCGGCTCTTTCGGCGCAGCTAATCAGTAACCTGTCTATTCGTTCCTTCACATGAAAAACGGGTCCCGGAAGCAAAATATGGGGAACCGAGATCCTATCAATGCTTGATTGGATCGACAGGATAAAGCCGGAATCTAATCAGCTACCCTGTCCGGCTTTTCAGGCACTCGGATTTTTCGAAAGACCGCCTCATCATGCAGGATTGAGCTCAAGAGGTGTAGCCGTGGCTGTGGCTGCGACCACTCGAAATATCGCCGAATGCAGAATATGATGCTCGTACAGTACCCTGAACGGAATGCATCCAATCTGATACCGGCATAGAACAATTGTAGCGTCCTCCAGGTTTGGACCAACTTGAGCCATAAGCAACAGAGATACTTTGCATGATCTGCCCAAAAGTCATGCAGGGGTTCAATAAAAAATTTTCTTCTAGAACGAAGCTCCCGTTCTCCCGCAAGCAACTGACACCTTTTTCCCGCACTGTCTTACCCACTAAGCAATGCTTGGGGGCCGCCTCCTATTTCAGGGCCTGGAACAACACAGTGGGCATTTCGTCGCAGGCACATACCGCCCAGAGATCAATGATGAAGTCGTCGACTTCGGTAGTGTATGTATGAAGTCAACGACGCTATTCTCACCTTGTCGCGTGCCTTCTGATTTGCCCCCTGAGGCAAGGATACTTCTGCTCGACTTTCTAGCGCCCGACCGTTAAAGCACTTTCCTGTTCCTACCGGTGGCTGTGAAGGTTCTACAAGGCTTACGCATAAATAAAATTCGACCATTGCCTATTCCTCCAAGGTTAGTTGCTTTCTGTCCACGAGACCGCGCGAACCTTTGGCGAACGAAAATGGACCGCGTGCCACACGGCACTGGGTTCCTCCGCTTACGCGCACGCTCTAATAAGACCACCGAGTGCGCATCAGATTGTCGGCCACTCGGCCCCGATCCTTACAAATACCGAACACACTCGGGCTTTGGAGTTAACAGATCCGGGTCCGACTGTCTGTATTTGGTTGCTGCAGTAGTCGATATGCCTGCTTAATCAGACCGTCATGGACTTGAATTATACCCCAATTATATGAGGCAATCCACGGGGTACACCCCTGATCACGACAATCCGTTGCAGGGGACGAGAACCTGTAATGACAGATCGCATTTGAAGCTGGTGTTAACAATACAGTATGCCCTTGGCCTGTTGGACAATTGATGATCGCAACCTGGCAAGCCTGGGTTGATCGCGACAACAGGGTAGCAGTGCATGTTCTTACATATGTCGAACACCTTATTTATGACCAATAATGTTGTCTCCATTCTGTCTGCGACTACCATAATAGCCATTATAAGTTGAACTTTCTCGATGATGCAGTGAATCAACTCAGAGCTAACAACAGCTGTGCGTGAATTGGCATTTGCATTATTTCTTGGCAAAGAACGACATGATATTGCCTTGTCCTTTCGCAGACGCCTTTTTCTTCGCAGCAGGAGCTGGCTTCTCGGCTTTCTCCATCTTTAGCTTTGAAGGCGGAGGAGCTTCATCTTCCGAGAATGATTCCCAACCCTGTTCTTGAATAGTGACTGTATCTCCGGTTAGCAATTACCATGGTGAAATTCCGAGAAAACCTACCCAGGTACCCGTCGTCATCCATGACTTGTTTCTTTGTCGTGACTCTCCTCCGCCCACGTTTTCGGCCGTCGCCAGTACTAGAGAGCACCTCCGCTGAGACCTCTTCAGCCTTAGGCTCTGGTTCGGCCAGAGTGTCCTCTTCTATTGGTTCTTCTGCCGGGGTTTCAGGTTTAGACTCAACCTCCTCATCACTTTCCTCCATCATTCGGCGTAGCTCATTTTGTCTACTCCTCCGCGCCTTGCCAGCTTCAGGATCAGGCTGGACGTCAGGCATTTCTGAATCGTCTTCGCCATCGTCCGATAACGCCGGACTCGGCGTGTCGGCGACAGATGGTGTAGTGGACGTCGTTTTGGATGCAGGCTTCTTAGGCTTTGCCGCTGCTTTTGCAAACATTTGGCTAATACCCCCAGAAGAGCCCTGTCTCTTCAGACTTGGAGCGGCACTGCTCTTCTTTGCGGTACTGTTTGCAGGGGCTTTCGCCTCCTTGGATGGTGCCGCTTCAGCTGCCTTCGGCTCTGCCTTGACTGTTGGCTTGGCTTCTTGCTTGGTTTGTGGCTTCGGCTCGAGTTTCACGGCTGGTGCTGAAGATGCTTCCCTGGGCACACCGTTTTTGCGTTCTCTCTTGTGCACGCCCGGATTCGTGATCATTCCATAGACTTTGCCGGTCTGAACCAAATCTTCCTCTTTGGCCATCTGGATTACCGTCGAACCTGGCTCGGCCAGCAGCTGCAGGTCCTTCAGAGGGTGCGGCGCCAAGCTATAGACGTGAATTGAAGTAACCTCGTCGTATCGCTGTAGAGCCTCTGTCTACGGTCAGCTTGCGACATACTTTAATCGTCCGAATATGACCCACCTTGCAGCTGCTCTTCCACTACCAACGTGAGAGTGGTCGTAGGGACCTCGTCTGATAATGGTTCTGATTGAGAGTCTGTCATCTCTACGTCGTTGTCAGGCTCCTCTGGCTTTTTGCTTGTTCCATAAACCAAATATGTTGCATGAAGTGTGCCTGGACGTTTGTCATTCTGCCACTTGTGAAATTCGTATAGCATTCTGAAAGAGTCAGCATTTTCAAGTCAAAGGCAAACACAGAGGAGAGCTCACTCCTTGGCAGTATTGACATGGACCTTCAATGCGCGGCTCAGCAGCCGATATGTGACCTTGGGGATATGTTAGTGCGAGAAATCTACAACTGGGATTGTATTCAGCATACCAATTTATCCTCAGTCAATATCGCCTGGGCGAGGTAGTTCCTATAACCGTCCATGTCGACGGTTCGTCCAAAGGACTTCAGCGACAAGATATGTTGATGGGGAATTTGTGCTCTTCAGAACTTTGATCGAAGATCATATCGTTTTCATCATGGCTGAACAGTGGACGCGACGCGGTAGGTGTCGCGGTTTCACGTGGAGGGATGTCTAATTACAACATCAGTGTCCGAATTCTGCGTGGTGGAGCTTCCTGGCATTGCTACAGCTCTTCCATATGGACTCGAGATTCAAGATTCGGAAGACCGAAACACAATGATTCAAGAGTGGGGGCATCCATTTATGGGTTTAATTGGCAGTCGCGTCTCGTTGGGAGCAAAGCGTGCCTGCCAATGATCTCACGAATCCCGGGCGCAAGACCGGATTTCTTCGTGAAATTGCGATTGCGATTGCGATAACATCTGGAAACTCGACACGAGGGTGTTGCAGGTTGATGACGTCTTGATCGCAGTACCGACAGCAATTTGCCTGATCTACTACAATCCCATTCATGGCCCGCATCGTCCAACCTCCATCACAATCCGACAACGTCTGCACCATGAACGGTCACGACTCTATCGAAGTGAGCGACTCGACCGATTGGCTCCCGACACCGCTCCCCGGCCTCGCCTCCGTCGAATCTGCCCTGCGATGCCAAGTCTGTAAGGATTTCTATAAGACGCCTATGCTCACGTCGTGCAATCACACATTTTGTTCGTTATGCATTCGCCGTGCGCTGTCCGCTGACGGCAAATGTCCGCTCTGCCGAGCCAACGAGCAAGAGATCAGGCTGCGAAGTAATTGGTCTATGGAGGAGGTTGTGTGTGCATTCGTACAGACGAGGCCAACCCTCCTTGAGTTGGCGCAGAATCCACCCACCGTTGTGGTGCAGAGTGCTGAGTTGCCTAAGCGGAGCCTGAGCCATGACTTTGCAGAGGACCCCAGGGAACCGAAGCGCTTGAGGAGCTCTGCGAGGCTGAGTGCGTCGAAAGGAGCCCACGCCACGGCAGAAATGGCGAGACAAGAAGCATATATACATGTGCCGGAACAGGAAGAGGTGGACCTTGACGACGGCCTAGTCGCATGTCCTATCTGTCTAGCCAGAATGAAGGAGGTACAAGTCGACCGGCATCTCGACAAATCATGTCCAGGCTCGCCGCAACCAGAGTTCTTACGGAGACCAACTTCGAAAGATCACTCTGCTCTTACAAACGGCTACAATTCTGTTGTAAAGCAATCAACACCAACAAAGCGGCCCGATCGCTTACCAGCGATCAACTATTCCAGCTTTAAAGAGGCGCCGCTCCGAAAGAAGCTCTCCGAACTCGGTATCTCGACTGCTGGAGACCGAAAGATGCTAGAAAGAAGGCATAGGGAGTGGATGACGATCTGGAACGCCAATTGTGATGCGCTACAACCAAAGAAGAAGACCGATCTTCTCCACGATCTAAATGCGTGGGAAAATACCCAAGGGAGCCGGGCACCGACTGCTTCACGGTCTGTTAATTTAGGTGTACAGATCAAGGATAAGGATTTTGACCAACAGGCCTGGTCAACAAAACACGACTCATCATTCAAGGACCTAATCGCTAATGCGAGAAAGAATGCTGCTAAAGCCAAGCAGAACATAGAAGCCACACCGATACCCCAAGAGTCATCTGAGACTCCACAAACACAGCAAGCTCAAATAGCGTTGCACAACATCCCAAATGAAGCAACCGGACGATCTTCAGGCGGCCCTGTGAACCTAGATGGGGCAGAGTCATCGAAAGTCATGGCGACATCAGCACATGAATCACAGATAGACATAAGGAGTGCGAAAGCCAGTCCATTAAAAACAAGTCCGACATTGGACAGTATAGCTAGTCAAATGAACTAGGCGGTGGATAAACGTACATGTTTTCAAGCTTTCAGTGCTTGATGTTCGTCGCCAATATCAGATTTGCTAATGTTACATGTGAAAAGGCTCAAAACTGACAGCTCTCAAATATCTAACACCAACCAAATATACTCCAAACCCAAATGCAATGCGTTGTTGTGCTCAATCAAACCATACAAGTTCATTCAGCAGCTAGCTGCACAGGTTCTCCCTCAATAGACATGCTCTCCAAGTCTCCAGCTGCAGCGGTAACAGGCGCATTCGGGTCTTTGGCTTTCCCCTTTGCTTCGTCTGTGTTTGCGACAGGGCCCAGCCTCTCCAACTCGGCGAGTCGTTTCCGGGTCTCCTCCGCCTGCTTTGATTCTTCTGCTTCCTTCTTCTTCCTCTCGATCTCTTCCTCCTTCTCCCGTTCCTCAGCAAGCATAGCCTCAAACTCCTCGTCGACTTCTGCGTCGTCCACTGTAGCCGTTGGACCAGATTCGGCAATGATGTTGCCCACTTCGTCTACCTCGCCCATTTGCTCGCGTAGCGCATCGAATACCGCGTCAACCTTGTCCGCACCACCGACTTGGGTATTCAGACTCTTCAGGGCTGTGGTACTACTCTGCATGACCTTGACGAGCTGAACGTTGTCTGACGCCTCCTCAATCTTGGCTGCTACCTCTTCCAGCTGATGAAGCGTAGAGTATCTGTTGGATAGATTCGTCTCGGCAAGTTTTTTGGACTTGAGAGCCGCACGAGCCGACACCATATTCTTCTTCATCACCGCTTCCTTGGCAGCGGTGCTGAGCTCCTCGATGCGCCTGCTCAACACCTCGGTTTGTTTCGTCAAGTCCTCCATAAGCTCCTTCAGATTCGCAATCGCGCTATCCTCTGCCGTTATCGTGGCGCCTTCTGTTTCTGACGTCCGTATCTTGACGATGTTCCCATCCGTAGCTAAAATCTCCTTATCTCTGGTGAGGAACTTGAGCAACACCTCAAAGTCTGCCTCTGATAATGTCTGGCCGTCCAGGAGTCCATTCTCAAACGTTTTCTTGAAATGTGCTTTCGAAAATGTCCTTTCGAATCTGCTCACCCGATCGCTCGTCACTTTGCCGAAGCTCTTTGCGCCGGTCTCGAGATTTGACAGAACCACGAACTGGCCTTTGGGCATCTTTCCGTCCGCGCCGGGAGCGCCAACGAGTCCGGCTTGACGCAGTCCCCATTTGGCGACCTTCCAGCCCAACGAACCCCAGCTCTTGTAGTAGATGCTTTCTCTGCTAGCCAGGAACTGCTTCCTTGGTATCATCTCGCCATTTCCAACAGCCTCGGCCAACACGGCGCCAAGAGCAAGGGGCTGGCCCAGTTGTTTGCTCTCCAGTGATCGAAGCAACGAGTCGTCGAGCTCGAGGACGAAATGGGATTTGTGGGGTGATCGCGTTGGTGCATGGCCGGACAACAGAGCTGCCGACAGTCCACGTTTCCATGCTGCGACATTGGCAGCATAGCCATCCGGGTTCAGGGTTCGTTGGGGCGTGAAGTCTGAATAAAGGGCTGGGAGCCGGGCTCTTGGAGCAATACGTCAGCTTGGGTCCATGAAAGGGGAAGACGAAGTCAGCGGGCAGCCCGTACTTTCGGAAGTCCCCCTCGTTCTGAGCGAGGTATTCGAATAGTTCGCTGCTCATGCTGGGCTAAAATATGATGAGTGCAAATGCTGCTTCGTTTGCCGTGCCCCTATGGTTATTCGGCCGTTCTCGAGGCTTGAATCGTTTCTGAATCGAATAACGACAATACACTGATGAATGGGTCTGCAGCCAATGTCAACACATGATATATCTCATATCGTTCTGATACGGTTGCGCTGGGACGGAAAAAACAGAGGCGTCTTCAAATTCATGTTCGCGAGGTGTGCAATCGCTTATCAGTGCGACGTCACACAGGGGACTGCTCTAACCTTAGCGGCTTTCGGCGGGGTCGTCTTCTTGTGACAGTACCCAAGGCAAGTTTCTTTGCAGGGGACGGATTATGTAGGTACCTAACCTACCTGCCTACTGTACATTCCAGTAACCTAGGCCAGGTTACTTGCTCTAAGAGCCGAGTGCTAATTACAGTGCGGCAGCAGGCCTCTCTTGCCAGGGATCATCTTATGCAATTGACGTTGTAACAAGCTTATTATGTCGAGTGGGCAGTAATTATGAGCCAGTCTAAGTGGCATGACTACTTTGGAGCTTCAAATTATCGGTACCTAAGGCCTGTCTGTCTGTATATATTGTAGCAACACCGAAACTCCTCCATTAGCAATACATTGTCCACCCCTAGACAAGTACCATTTCCCCATACCCACCAATCCAACCTACCGGCCGTTCGATGAGGCCTCTGACTAGTAGGCGTCAATCCTACTTACCTGGAGAAAAACCACTGACCACCTCAGGCAACCGCAGACTTACCATGGGCAGTTTTTGTTTATTTAACACAGCGTAAATCTGCCTCGTGTCACGAATCCGACGCGTTTGCTATCGATCTTTACGTGGACGCGATCACCTCCAGGTAGGGAGGCCCACCATTTAGTATACCCAGCACCACTCACGAAGTCACTCCCTCCAAACACTCCATATTCATGAGGAACAAGCCTGAGAATTTGCGAACATCATCCAGCCATGTCGTTACTTCGAGATCTTGTCAAGCCTTTAGTCATCGAGGCCAAGGAAGACCATTCGCACACTGTCGTCTTTCTTCACAGATTCCCGGCAGGTACCACGGATGATGAGCTCCGTACCAAGGTTCTGTCCGAGAAGAAGCCGGGCTTCACTGTCACGCTGCAACGACGGTATCCTACACTGAGATGGGTCTTTCCTTACCCAAAGCTGCACTCAGGGGAGCATCAGCACCGCACAAGCCATTGGGAAAGCCTCTCCGCTACTGATGTCGCCACGCTTGAGTTAGAGGACAACGGTCTACCCTATATCACACAGATCATCCTTCGAGAGGCTCGGCTAGTTGGCGGCCTGGATAAGGTCATCGTCGGGGGTCAAGGGGAAACTGCCATCGCTGCTCATGCTGCTATCAACAGATTCCCAGAAATCCCTTCTAGAGTCAGAAACGAGCCGACAGATGTGGTTAGCTTCCTCCAGCAAACTTTTCCCGGCTCTTGGACAGAAGCCTCGCAATTCAAACTCGCAGGATTTGTTGCCATGCATGCGGCCGACGACGAGGCAACTCAGGATCAGCGAACGTACTTGCTCATGTCTAGATTCGCGAATAAGAAGACAATCAAAGATAACATCACACTCAACACCCCCCACAAATTCATTCACGGTGGAATAAAAAGGCGTGACGATCAGAACGACGGTCCTCGCATTGTCGAGTTTAGCGACTTTCTGTCTAGCATTGGTGTGCCTATCCAGACGAAATTGGTAGCCAGCCCCATCGTTCAGATTGAACCACAAAGGGTCGTTCCTCGCTTTACCAAGGCAGTTGAATCAACAGCAAAAGAGGAAGACGATGCAAAACTTCGACATGAGCTTGCTGAGAAGGAGAAGTATCGTCAACTGCTTGAGAAGAAGAAGCGGCAGGAAGCAGACGCCCGAAAACGCACATTACAGCGTATCGAAGAGGATAAGATTGAACGCAAAATACGTCAAGAGAGGGAACGGCGAAGAATTTTCGGCCCCGACATTTCTCAGACTCTACCAGATGAGTGCAATCCACAACGAGTAGATTCCAAACTCGAAGATGAGCTCGCAGAGAGAGAAAAGTATCGTCAATTGCTCAAGAAGCAGAAGCAACAGGAAGCTGAAGCCAGGCAACGTGCATTGATGCGTATAGAAGATGACAAGATAGAACGCAAGATTCGCCAAGAACGGGAACGACAAAAACTTTTCGGCCACGACGTTGCTCGGGGGGTCGACGAAGAGGACGCTCATCATGACAGTGATCACGACGCCTAAACCGGTGACCCAACAGGCAACTAACAAGGCAGCTAAAGCACCAACTCGTGTGGTTGAAACTGGCAAGACACTGGGTGGTGGTAGCACCGTGACTCAACGGGGAACCCCAAATGACATGGTGCGGCATGGTTCAGGACACGAAGCCTCAAGAGTCATGATGCCAACGAAATATCGGTAGTTCTAGATACCCGTACATATTAGAAATGCCCTGCCGAAGGCTTTACACAGTTTCTGGATAGTCGCTACATATGGTACCTGAAGTATATTGTAATTAGATATAGGATCAATAGGTTATCTCATCAGCTTGTGAATAACACTATAAGACAAATATGTTGCGTTGTGTGATCCCAATATATCTCATTACGGCCCACATGAATAATCTTCTACCCGCTGTGAAACATAGATGTGGCTTTCTGGTGGTCGGTGTTGCCTCACGCAGGCAGTTGTATGCACGTTTGTGTGATTAGCCATAGTTGTGGTAGTTACATAGTGTTCTCGTTCTACTACTATATGTTTTATAAACCAAATTTCCATTTTAACCATCTTCAACCAACATTTAACGATTCGGTCACCATATACCAAACCTCATTTGAGCTCAAACCCACGTTCTTTCAAAACTTCATTCCACACATGCCGTCCGGTGAGCGACTCAACCGTAGCCACCCTTTTCGCACATCTATCGGTCCAAGCCGGTATCCCCTCACGTGTCTGTCCAGCATTGAAGGTCGCAAGCACGTCGTCATACTCGGCGAAGCGCTCGACCTGCTTCTCTGTATCATCACTCCACGTCTCTCTATGCAAGACCTCATCACGGCCAAGTCTCGGCTTGACCGAAGCAGGACTCGCCGGGTCAGGGAATCCCACCGCCAGCCCGAAAAGCGCAATCACGCGGTCCGGCAGCCGGAGCAGCGCCGCCATCTCGCGGGGCTTGTTCCGCGCCGCGCCCACGTAGCAGATGCCCAGCCCGAGCGACTCGGCGGCCAGCGCGACGTTCTGCGAGGCGAGCGCGGCGTCGATCGACGCCATGAGGAACATCTCGGTGTACTCCAGGCCCGCCCCGGGCGCGCCGCGCCGCTGCGAGACGCGGCTGAGCCGGCTCAGGTCCGCGCAGAAGACGAGCAACAGGGGCGCCGCGCGGATGAAGTCCTGGTCCCCGCTCAGGGTCGCGGCCTGCGCTTTGCGCTCCGCGTCCGAGATGGCTATCACGCTCCAGGTCTGCAGGTTCGAGGACGTGGCTGCGCTCTGCCCGGCTGCCACGAGAACCTCGAGCGTTCCTGGCTCCAGGGGCTTGGGCAGGAAGCTTCGCACGGAGCGGTGCTGAAGCAGCGTTTCCAGGGTCGGGTTAGCGGCTCCGGAGGTAGATGCTGAGGGCTGGCCGTACCGGGCTTGGAGTAAGTCGGAGATGTCAGACATGGTATGTGATCACACTGCGGAGCAATTAATTGTTGGCCACCTAAATCATGGAACACAAGAAAGAACAAAAGGATTTATAATCTTAGCGAAAGAAGTAGGTTACTCCGCATGTAGTTCCGGCTGTCTTATCGCATTCCGATCGCGTCATTCGGGTGCGAATTGAGAACATGGTGCAGCTGTTTGCCACTTGACGACTATACTTCACTATAAACCTTCTATACTCCATATTAGACTTCGCGCCCCAACGAAAAGCTTAAGATGTTGTATTAGGGATCATTAAACCAGGGAACAACGCCAACTGTCTAGCAGGTCTCAGTTTTTATGTTCAAGCACTCTTTGAGTTGTTTAAATTAAGCGTAGAGTAAAAGAATTGAGCATCGTGGCGGTGCGAGCTGAGCAAGTTATGCAGCGTTCTCAAACCCAAAGCCTTGGCAAAATAATTAGTCATGAACAGCCCGGCCGAGCGATTTTTGCTCCATATTGAGGTCATCTTTCATAGTAAATTTCTGTCGATAAAAGGATCCTGATATCTCAATCAATTAAAATGTCTGAAGCAACAAACCACCCTTCAACCCAACCTTTCCTGTTTAAATTCTTCAGATTTGATATATATATATATAGTACATTGGCCTTTTGTATAGCGAGTAAGCCGTAATAAATCAACAAACGCTAAGGGGTATCTGTAATGACTGCGACGTCGTTCTGGTGCATCCTTAATCTGCAAATGCTAGTCCACACCGATTTTATTCGAAAACCTGTTATTTTGCGTCCACAAAATCAAAGCTGTACCCAGCCTCTCTTCTTATCCTTGGTGGTACTATCGCTCCTGACTCTTGTATGCGTACCTGGTCGCTTCGACTGCGAAGACTGCGGCTGGAGCGGCGCCGACCCCTCGTCGTCATAAAAGTAGTGCATATTTGTTGTAGTTGTTGTTGTGACCTCCTGCTTCTTAAGATCCTTCAGCTCCGTTGAGCTGCCTGGGCGTGGCAAACTCTTAGAACTATGTTGAACCTTCGATTCCTCGTCCATGTCGCGGTACTCGTGCTCGACGCTGACTTCTTGCGTGACAAAAATAGCACCGAGGTAGGGCGACAAGACGGGCCAAAATATGGGGACGGAAGCGCAGATGCTGGCGCAGTCGCATTCGAGCGTAGCGAGGAGTAGAGATATCGGGCCATACCATGTCGGATCATGGGTCGGGTAGCGACCGGCTTGATGTTCCACGAGTGTCTGGAGACGCCAGATGGAAAGGAAACTGACGCTATGCCAGGTATTAGCAAGCTTCTCATCCATAATAGATTGAAAACAACCACATACATTGCCCCCATGAGCAGCAGAGCGAGGAGACCCATACGCATCTTGAACGTCATGTCGCTCTTGAAGTAAAGATGAAAAGGTATGGCCAGGATAACGATGTCGAGAAGCATGTTCATTGCGGTATGACTGTAGAACGTTGCTACAAGGTCCGCTGTCGACCAAGCACCATACCCCCAGCATTTGGCGTCCGCAGGAGAATACCAGAAATCCGAAACGGGCCAGCATGGGAAGAACGCCAGAATCGTGAATACAAGACCCCACACAGAAACGACTCCGGCTGTAAGCTGCGAAGCTCTATAGGGCCATGTGTCTTTATCGAAAACTCGTAAATACTGGAAAAGGAGTGACAACTTGATGAATGTTGCCGCAAGATTCAAACATGCATTGAACATATAAAATGACACCAAGTATCTTCCAGCTTGTCCAACTGTTAATAAGAGCATGTGTTGCCCAAAACCGTAAGGTATCGCTTTATGATATCAGAAATGCGTGCTTCCTAGGGATTTGGGACAGCTTACAGATCAGGAGGGCTACCGAGCCCAGCGAGCCTGTGATCAAGTAGAGAACCACGAAGAGATCATCCCACCAGGGCACTCTCACGATTCTGAAACGAACGTATAATCTGAACAAGACAAAAGACCATGACAAAATCTGTCAAAAACGATAAATAAGCAAGAGTACCAAGGAAGTCTCAACTGGAAGCTGTGTGTTGAAGTCGTACCATGAATGTGATCGTCAACCCCATTATCGTGGACTTCTTGTTCGACCACGGCACCGGTTCGTCAAGGTTGTCGTAGTCCGGTGGCCCTAAAATATCCCACAACAGCTCGTTCTCATCGTATCCAGACGTGGCAGACATGACGAGAATGAGTTTGGCGACGTCAAGCCGCAGTGACCAGTTGCTTGGAAGGAAATGATGGACGCAGTCATCGGGCCAGAGTCACTCACTCACGATGTGTGGGGAGGTTCGTTGTATTTTATCTGCTCAATGCTCCCACCTCGCGAGTGCTTTGGGCGTCGAGGACGTACTTCCCATTGCGGAAAAGTAGCCCGGCTGAGCCTGGATAATGGCGTGGTTCCAAGATCTGTGTCTACCACGAGGAGAACCGTGCAGATCTGTCTGATGGACCTACAGGGCTGCGTCTGGTCTGCAGATTGCGTACGTACTTATTGAAGCATTTTCAACAGACACAAGCGAGCTTGAAACATACCCACGCACGGAACACCCACATCTCAGTGGTTTTAGCCTTTTCGCGATAGCCGGCACCTGGTGGGAACCCTGGCTTGTGCAGGATTGGAAGATGCCAAGTCTTTGACGGGTCTGTGCTGCACAAAGGACCCAATAGAGAACGAGTCTTGTATATATCCCTGTCCGTGGTAAACACAGAGAGTGGATTCATAGTGGGGGAGAACATGGCCCCAACGTGAGATTGGCCAATGGTACTATATGATCCTTGAGCACGAACCCCTAGCTTGTGCAACAGAGCAAGACCGGTTTTGTCAGGTGCTATGTACATTACATAGTGTACGTTCTGCAATCACGGAGATATATCCAGCTCTAACCATAATCAGTTTCGGCATTTGCTCTCGAGCCCTCCTGCCCTCCTCTCCGAGGAAAGAGCTGAACAGTTAGCAAGTACAACTAGGACGCGTTAGCAGCTATTCTATCGGGACGTGGATCTGCTTCCTCGAAGCACAATGAAATGGGGAGAGACTAACCTCGGTACGTTGCCCAGATGGTAGTCCTTGACTACGCCCTTCCTGCCACTTTGGCTGGAAACTTCCCAATACGCAAGTAACGGATTTTTACTGTACAGGAACAAGGATATACAGTAGGCACAGACGCACAGCTCGTAACCTATTCCGTGCTAAAGATCGGCGCTGCCATCCGATGGATGCCAATCGCGGCTCAGAGAAACATGAAACGCCTAACGGGAACCACGATTGCTACCGGGGATTGCTGCTATCAATGGTACCCCAATTACAGGCTAAAGTTATGTAAGGCCAATCAAAGCACGCGACGCCTTGGATAACTGCCCTCCGTGGCCCATGTTCATAAACATCACAACCATGGAGCGCAGAATACTTGATTACTCTACCACAGTAAGCAGTGGATGTATCTCTCCATAATTAGATACGGTCAAGTAGCAGCACGTAACTTATCAGGATATGATTTGGTGAATCCGTACAATCTTAATGTCAATTGTCCCGTCAATTGGGGACATGATTGCACTCAAGTGTGCAATTTCTACTGGAGTATTGCACATGTGGTGGGGCGGGTCCGCAAGTCCGCTAATACACCATAAAAAACAATTGCTTGTTAGATTGGTAATTCTGCCTCCAGCCTTTTTGATTGGAGGTCAGCATGCATATACACATGTATAGCGTTAAAACACTGAATCAATTCTGATTGCCTGCTTAACTCCTTCATGAGACCTTTCCAGGCCGATATTAAATCGTAAAATTGAGAATCAAGACCGCTGTGTTCAATCGAGGCGTCCCAAGACACGGGAAATTATTAGTTGTGCAGGTTCCATAACCCACAAGGTGCTCTTCGCAGCATGTAGCGATTTCCCCATAAGAAAAATACCCTCTAGACCTGCAGCCTCCACCCTGCTAGATAATCGTGGTTGGGTTTGAATACTCGAGATCTGTGCGCCTATGTGTTTCTGCGAAGCGGAGGGTGAATGTCATGGGAACCAAGAATGCCAAATTTTAAACCGGCCCGACGCCCATTCTACCCGCGATTGCGCATCTCGTCTCCAGTCAAATTTATTCTGTGACTTCACCTACCTCACGTAGATCAGGCCCAGATTTGATGTGCAAACTATTTTGTCATGGAAAATGGACAACGGTGACCGTATGGTTTGGAGAAATTGTCTCTTAGGTCAGTCAATCTTATATTTATCAAACAGGCTCTGGCATAGGTGACGTGGGCGATGTCTGCATACATCCTTGTGGGATTGCAACTGTGGTCATCAAGGATTGTTGTCGTTTGGTCCAGCTGACAATGTGTGAAATATCGTTGCCAACTCAGAATAATAAAGACCGAGTCATGTGAACTGTTGCGACCATATCCTGAATGGTTGACATGCCTCAGAATTCATACTGAAGTACAACAACCTGTATTACCCACCCTTCCCCACATATTTTTCAAAGCTCCAAATAGACATTACAGTATGTAGTAAACCTTTCCATAACACTAACCATGCTCTCAATGATGTATAATTGCACAAAATGTTTCCCATTTGTTTCAATAAGGTGGTGGGCTCTCACTGTCTCCTCCATCGATGGTGGCGGACCTCACAATGGCGAATATCTCAGATCTGCATGATTGCAACTCATCCTTGACTGTCCTCAAAACGCTTGACCTGGCCTTGGCATTCTCAAAGGCTTCATCATATCGTGATCTAGCCTTGACCAGTTCCTTTTGAATCTCATCCACACAAGCCTGGGTCCCAGACCTCCACCCCCTCATCATATCATGGAGGGCCATCGTACTCCAGGGATTATCGTACACATCACTCGTCAGGAGCTTGAAACGGATATCGACTGGCGGCAAGGTGTTGATTGTAGGCAATATTGCCTGTGCTTCCGCCATCAACTGGCGCATGCTCTTAAGCTCCAAGTCGGCAGTTTCAAGCCTCTTCCTCTCAACGGTGCTCGAGGAAAGTTGGCCGCCTTTGAGAGCTTCGATAATCTCGCCCAGCGCATGGTCCGCTTTCTGTCTCGCTGTCGTCAATTTGTCGAGGAGTCTGCAAGCAGTCTGTGTCTTCATTTCAGCGCAGTGATAAGTATGCAACGCTGCTTCAGCCTGCCTTTCAAACTCATCCTCTTCGGGAAATTCTGGATTCGGGCCGTGGAAAATACTGTCGTAGAGCACGTCGAGTTCGGATTGAGCTTGGTTGTGGCGCTCTACAGCTGCCTTTAACATGCCCCGAGTCGCGAGTGCCTCATGCCTTCGGGCCGAGATCCTGTCTTCCTCTTCTTTGGCCTGTTGCTCTTGCTGCAACACATCAAAGTACTCCTGTTGGCCGCTCTGTGCACGAAAAGCAAATTCGCGACTCTGTCCGCTCAGTCGATAGGCGAGCTTCTTGACGACGCTGTCGCGGTAGGAGGTGTGTCTCTTCAGGTCTGACTCGCGCTTCTCGTCCAATTGACGAACCCGCTGCTTTGCAGCCAACAGGTCTGCATCAATCTCGGCGATGCGAGTTTCGTGTATATCCAGGTCTCTTATTGCAAAGCGAGTTTCCGCGAGTCTTGAGAGCAGCTCGTGGTTGTGGGGGCTTGCATCGTAGATTCTGCTTGCAATCGACGACATGCTGGTGGTAAGGCGGTTTTGGGCATGGCGCCCACCCCTTTTATCAGTTGCACGCGAGCAGAACTCGCGGGTGAATATATAGTAAGTGGGCGAATGTGCTGTCACACGGCACTTCGCACGACGCCGATTGACTCATCGCATAAGCCGCCGGGCTGAAGGTGTCATGTGTGCCAAGCCTTGCGAGGCTCGAACTCTAGAAAGCCCACAACAGGAGCTGGCCGCCGACCCCCTCGAATTGAGGGCGACAAAGGAGACTTGCTCAATAGTCTTCAAGTCTAGTTTGGCAGCAGTGCTTTTATGTATGTATGTATGTGTGTATGTATATATGTGTGTGTGTATATATGTGTATGTGTGTGTGTGTGTGTGTGTATATATATACATATGTATTGGTTCAGTTGGTAGTTAACTAACCTAGTCAGCTGTAATTCCATCCCGTAGATCGCCACCAAGAGACTAACCTAAGGTTAGTCTATGCTATAACTCGGTACTCATACTAAGTTAGACTAGACTAACCTTGGACTAACGTAGGCGAGGAACGGAAAGTTGGAAAGAATGCTGCCCCACTTCCTAGGCTAGCTCTTTACCGCCAAAAAGTCCCAAATTCTGCCGGAGAAAATCAACTCTCCTGTCCAGACCGACATCAACAACCCAAGGTATATACGACAAATCGGCACAATGGCGGATAGTGGCATGATCCTGAATTTTGACATCGGTGCTGCCGGCCCGGTAAAACAGAAGGTCAAGTTCTCCGGCGGTCGCTGGAGGGACCGAGTGCACGCCCAGCGCAGCGAAAAGAAGGGCCATCGCGAGAAATCATGGGACGGCGCAAATGGAACCCCTCTGGACAAGACTCGCGAGTTTGGCCGAGGCGGCGACGACAACAACGATGACCGTAGCAGCAGCAACAATAACGATCATGGCAGGCCTGCAAAGCGGCTGAGAACATCCGGCGAGGACTCAAATGGTCACCGATCGAGGCCAGCCACGGACTCCAAATCCCTCTCGTACATGACGGGAAAGCTGCCTCCGGGAAGCATCACCTCGAGACTCTTTACGTCGAATCCCGCACAGAAAACCGTCTTTGAGGATCCCGTCGAGGAAGCCGAGCCCGCGAAACCGTCCAATGCCCCATTGTCAGAAGAAGCAGAGAACTTCCTCAAGCTGGGTCTGTCGAGGCGCATTGCCCAGCATCTGTCAAGCAAATTAGAGATGAAGGCACCGACATCCATACAAAAGAATACGATCCCCCCATTAGTAAAAGATGATAGCGACGCATTTTTGCAGGCCGAAACCGGTTCCGGAAAAACCCTCGCATATCTCCTGCCCATCGTGCAGCGCATAATGGCGCTCAGCCACAATGAAGACGGGACGCCTACTGGCACCAAAATACATAGAAACTCAGGCCTGTTCGCCATCGTCTTGGCGCCGACGAGAGAATTGTGCAAGCAGATTGCGGCTGTTTTGGAGAAGCTTCTGCGTTGCGCGCCCTGGCTCGTGAGCACGACAGTAATCGGTGGTGAGAGTAAGAAATCCGAAAAAGCCCGATTACGGAAAGGCGTCAACATCCTAATTGCGACACCGGGTCGTCTGACCGATCATCTGGATCATACCAAAGTCTTAGACGTCGGGACTGTGCGATGGCTGGTGCTAGACGAGGGCGATCGCCTCATGGAGATGGGGTTTGAAGATGAGCTGAAGACAGTTGTCGGAAAAATCAGGGAAGAAGGGTTGAAGAAGCAGAACGAGGAGGGTGTCAAGCTGGATGCGCTACCGCAAAGGCGTGTGACCGTCCTGTGTTCGGCTACCATGAAGATGGATGTCCAAAAATTGGGCGAGATTTCTCTTCACGATGCCGTCCATATTACTGCCACCAAGTCGGATCACGATGGTGATGACGAGGTCAACGACTCCGTTTTCTCTGCTCCGGCTCAACTGAAGCAAACATATGTCATCGCGGCCGCCAAACCGAGACTTGTTACGCTGTTGGCCCTTCTCAAGTCAACATTTGCACGAAAAGGTTCTGTGATGAAAGCGATTATCTTCATTGCTTGTGCTGATTCCGTCGACTTTCACTTCGACCTCCTGCGCGCACTCCCAGTGGCTTCATCGAACGAGGACAAGTCGCGCACAGTAAACACTGTTGCAGAGGCCGCCTACATCACTTCGCCGGCAAACCCCGCGATCACGTTATTTAAGCTTCATGGATCGCTACAACAACCAGTTCGGACAGCCACCCTCGATGCTTTCAAAGCCGAGGAGAACCCTTCTGTTTTGATCACTACCGATATTTCATCTCGAGGTCTTGATGTTCCGGCTGTTGATCTAGTCATTGAGTACGACCCTGCCTTTAGCAGCGCCGATCACGTTCACCGCATGGGTAGAACCGCGCGTGCAGGGCGCACTGGAAAGGCTGTGCTCTTCTTGCAGCCAGGATGCGAGGAGGGATACATCGCTCACCTGAATGCTGCCAACATGACTGGGCAGTCGTCGGACAAAATCATCGAAAAGGGTTTCATGACCCCAATTACCCTACCCAAGGCCAAGCCGACTGATGATAACCCACCGATTCTTGAAAGCGAGAAATCGCCATTCAAGCGCGCCGAGGCTTTGCAGCTGCATATCGAACAAAGGCTGCTCGAATCGGAAAAAAGCGGTAGCAAGCTTCTTGACTCGGCACGTCAGGCTTTCCGGTCGTACATCAGGGCATATGCAACCCACATAAAAGAGGAGCGGGTATTCTTCGATATCGCACAGCTGCATCTCGGTCACACAGCAAAGAGTTTTGGTCTGCGTGAGGCACCTGGCGGTATTGGCGGCGGCCCAACGAGACGTGTCATCAGGGGTGGCCAACAGAAGTCTGGGAAGCGGAAGGCTGCTGGCGACGACAAAGCTGCTGCGCCAAGCAGCAGAGGAGTCGACAGGGAAGAACTTGGTGAGGCTGATGAGGATGCTGCCAGGCGTATGCGCATGAAGATGAAGGTGGCGATGAACGCAGCTAGCGAGTTCAACATTGGCTAAGCATTTTACTATGAACTGGGAAAAGTTTGTCATTGAGGCGTGGCGTTTGTGTGGGCATCTCGAGAGTGGCAATTATAGCATATGGGTTACTCCAATCCAACAGCATTCACAAAAATTAGCAGCAACTGTCGTGTTTCTCAAGCGACGAGTGTTGTTCAAAAAGAAAGTGGTAAATGCATTGATATATTTTGTTAGCAACCATCCACGGCAACTGATCTTCCATCCAATGGAGAGTTACCATTGTTTCCACCTCTCAGTTTCCACCTCCTGTCTAAGCGGTGTCTTCGGAAGATGGTTATCAACACCATCCTGGATGAAGGATAATACGACCTCGTACCCCTGATAACCACACTTACCAGGCTACGAATTCGTCCAGCAACCAATTTCAGAATGAATATCATTCTGGTTCCGTAGTGTAAGTTTGACTGCATAACTATAACCCATCACATCAGTATTCTAGCCGCCCCGCAGGTTTTCTTCTTCTTTTTTTCTTTTATCAGAACCGCCCCTGTATTGTCTGTCGAATCAAACCAAGGATCACCAGGGTCACCACTGGCGATTCATTGCAAAGAAGCTGGCTATAATTACGAGAATCATGTTTGATCAAGCGCCACTTCTGGAAACCCGGTTGATTCGGTACATATTGGAAGGTATATAAGACGGGTGCTGCTTGGAAGGAGGCGGCCTCTGAATCTTACCGAGACGCACCCACTATCACTACGTACATTTTCGGAGCGTCGGAGGACATCAACTGGAGACATATTCTGAACACCTTGCGAAGGAACAGTAGTAGTAAAAGGCACGTAATTCAGCATCGAGTGCCATAGAATGGGTCTCAAGATCCTTCTACGGAAGATTCATGAAGACCTCCAGCAGCTTGGGGTATTGCACTGAACCCAAACCAGTCGTGGGGTCCCAGCCCTGGACTGCCTGGAAACCTTTCAGGCCACACATCGAGTTGTTGCCCACTGTGATGTCGTTGAAGATGCCTGGGTTTGCGTACAGAACCGGGTTGATGAAGCCAACCACACTCTTACCAGCCGCGAGTCTTTCCTCGTTGATCCTGTTGATCATAGCGCCGATCAAAGGAGTAGAGGCTGAGGTTCCGGCCGCAGTGCCGAGTTCACCAGCTACAGCGACGGCGATATTATAGCCCACAGCCGAGATATCAGGGATGCCACGACCGGAGCGGTTGAAAAAGCCGTCGAGGCCAGGGTCATGGTCTGCGAAGTACGTGGCGAGGACAGATTGTTGGTATGCCGGCGGTGAAAAGTACCTGGAGAAACCCCCGGAGGAGGCCCAGGACGCGTCCATGGCAACAGCTTCGCTACCGTCGGATCGCAGCATCGTTGCACCGACGGACGTCACGTATGGACAGGTGCCCGGGTTGGAAGCCCAGAAGCTGCCCAAGTTGCTAGCTTGACACGATGCCGTCGCGAGCGGACCGCTGTCCCCCGAAGACGAAACGACCGTGACGCCTTGGAGGCCGAGTTTCATCCATCTGTTCATTGTTAACACCGCGTCATGCCGTATCCGATGCGGGTGCAGTCGTGTAATCACTTACTCGTCGCATTGACGCATTTGGTAGCTTGCAGTCCATCTGCTCTCCGCCGCCCCCCAAGACATAGAGATGACGTTGGTTGGTTTGTAGACGCCACACATGCGTGGGCCTTTATACGTGCCTGGGTCGAAGGGTTCCGGGCGACCAGGGGCTATCACTGTATGGTTATCGGGGTACTGCGCATCATACTTTGGGTTATCACCCGTTTCGTCATATGCCGAGTAGTCACAGTATGACTGTGGCGGGTACTGTTAATTTCGCTTCAACTTTCCCAATGACCGTAGGTAAATGACTTACACCGTCGATCGCGTCAAGAAAAGTGTTGAAAAGCCCCGTATATTGGACTTGATATAGATGATAGTATTCGTCATCGACCTGGTATACCGTCAAGGACTGCGGGTAAACAATTGGATACGCAACATCAATGTCCAGGTCCGCCTCACCCGGTATACTAATGCTGCTGTCGCTTTCATTGTAGTGCCAGGCGGCGAGGTCGATGCTTAAATTTAGGGGCCGCGTACCCTGAGGGATGTTTGGCGCGTATGACTCGAAGAACAAGTCAAGATCTTCGTCCTGGTACCAGCATTCTCGTTCATACAGCCCCATTGAGTTGTTCGGGTTGGCTTTGTCAGCTGGCGGGATCTCGTAGAGATCAGCAATACACTGAGGCGTTACGAGTTGTGAGCAGTCCGTTGAGTTCTGACGCTTGTATGACTTTACTATAGATTGTGACTTCGTTGTACTCCCTCCATTGGTGCGACGCTTAGAACTCAAATACATCGTGCTTTCAGCCATCACTACACCGGGGTAGACGAAATCGATATGTTCCGAAAGGTCTGATGGAATATGATACCTGAGACGATTGAGTAAGTGCAATAAGTATAATTATCTTGTAATTTCTTACTCATCGCATCCAGCCACCACCTGGCCTTCTTCATTTTCGTACAGCCAGAAGTTGGTTTCCAGAAGTCGCTCCGCCTCATCAACAGTCGCATTGAAAACCAGCCATCCTCCGCTTGCAGTATGGGCGATTCGCTTGGCCTCTATCCCGGTGGCAGTCACCCAATCCTTGGTCATTTGAATGGTTTCGTTCGAAGGTGAAAACATCTTTACAATGTCCTCTGAACTCCAATGCTTGCCGTAGTTCGTAGAATTTGGATCTGCGACGTCCATGAGCAGGTCATATCCGTGGTGTAGATTTTGTTGCGTAAGACCGATGCGCATCTCGAATGAATGAGCCAGCGGTACTCGGTCCCGCTTTATCCATTCAGTCTCATGGTGTGCATCTCGTTTCTCATGAACAACAGTTCTTTGCGTGATCGCGGTAGTGGCTGTAGCTACGAGAGCCAATACGCCAGCGACCGTGCGGAGGAAGGCCATTGTGTCGGTATAGCTTTGGACAAATCAACTACAAAATAAGTTTTGTGGCCATGATGGCATTCTTAAAATTTCTTGTTGGCCATCCCACCTGCAGTTGGAGCGCGCATGAGCTGTATGGTGATTTCTCGTATTTGCATCCTTGACATCCGGTTTGATCCAAAAATCCGGCTTGTCAACCCAGCAAAACAGGGACCGGGACATGGGATCCACCTGCCATAAAGGCAATACGAAACCTTTCCACCCAGTCATAACAAGCGGGTAGGAGGATCAATATCTGCGAGAGAAGGTGGAAAGATTATCAAAACCGGACATCGATAGTAGTTTGCGTAACGGTAAATGATGTACCAGCAATATTATGGGCATGAATCGAGGGTCATGCGATATCAGATTGCCGTGTTGCCTTGAACCCAAAGAGAGAAAGCACCTACAGCGTGAGTTCTGATGACTCTGTGGTTGAGAACCCATGAATTGGAAGGTATGTTTCAGACACCCAAACCGTCGATCTTAGTGACGACCGATTTCGGCCACGACCTTCACATCCCCAACCATGAGCGTATCACACCACATCTAACTGTCTTCAAGATAACCGCCAAGCACTACGCAGTATCTCTCAGTCTGTCAGAAACCTCTCAACTTTTCAATGCTGTGGAGCGGAATAGCAAGCTTGAAGCCGTACAGGAGCAGTCGAGGATAGTTAACGCAATGCCGGGAGCTTCACGTAGGCTACCGGGCAATTCTGCGCAAAGACCAACGTAGGTGAGCTCGAATTGGTGAAGCGCTGAGCACTTCGTGTTAGCGATGTGATCATACCACAGTTGACGAATGCATTTGGAGAACGTGCGAAATCTCTCTTAAGCTGCCTACGTCATGCGGCATTCTCAAGCCTCAGGGGAACAGAGACTGATCGCCGGAGGTCTTCATGATCTCTTCCCATGACCTAATAAAAACCTCGTCCCCTCCTCCATACACTAGCAGTGTATTCACATTGTATGCCCAAGGATGCAGTAAGCCACATTCTCTTCTCTCAACGTCTTCCGTTCGGCTGACCACGATAAACACTCGGCAATATCTGCTGCACCGATCAGTTGGCCGCCCCTATCTTGACGCTGCACATGATGTTGAAATACCAGTTATGGTCTGAATGGTCTGCTCACTTGAACATGGAGTTGATGGCCTCAGAGAGCTCAGCGGTGCTTGATTTATCCATGCAACATGTGTCAATCCACACGTACTCGAGTCCATCTCGGAGTGCTTGCCGGTAACAGCCATCGATTTTCACACAGCCAACCTTTCGTTTACTATAGCCAGCGCCTTTACATATCATCGTAGGTCACCTTCTCGCCACCTTCTCAGTCAACTCATGTATGACACAAGGTTGCGTACGACAAATAGCACGTCGGCCAGACTTTCGGAAGACGTTTGGCTATCGCGTGTAGGAGACGCATTGTGTGTATTGCAGCTCGTCGGTGCCCGGAAATAATGCAAAATCAATAACTGAATGATGAAGAGCGAAAGTATTGTGAATTTAATCGACCAAATTCCAAAGCCCTGTCCACCATGGCCTCGAACGAGCTGTGCGGGCCTCGAGAACAACATGCAGGGTATCATCCCTCAGCGGCCAATAAAAGTGTTGGGCGCAGTCAAGTTGGTCCAGCTTGCCAATCCAGACCGGAAAGGAGGCGTTCAGCTGGGCACACAGGTGCTGTGGTGGTACATCGAGCTACGGAGTCTGCCATCAAAAAGCAGTGCATTGCAGCAGTCAGGATTTGTAAACAACGCGATTACCGTTATGTATTCTCAGAGTGACGCTAATGAAAACAGGGTTTTATGTACGTGTTTGGTCCTGAACGTTTTGCTTGATTTGTCAAGGGATAATAATATAATGCCTCTGCGATGGAGCATGACATGAGTTTCAAGGCCGTATTTCCCTTGGCTTTCGGGGACTTTGGCCACCGAAGCTCCGATTAAGTTAGCTAACCTAGGTTAGTTTGCTGTGGGTTTAACCATTAACTGTGACTTACAGTAGAAGTCTTCAGAAGCGACGATCAAGTGACATAGTTCGGTTAAGACGATAGGAATTGAAGGGTTCTTGCGTCTGTACCCAACACAACGACTCAAGCTCGGCATTCCTGTACCTTTTGTTCTTTGAGTTGATTAATGACTTCTGCAACGTAGTTAGATTAGAGGCCTCGATGGTGCTAGCTGATGTCTATCACTGATGCAGCTTATTCTACTGGACCTTAACCTTAGTCTTACAATAGTACTTACTGAACTCCCAACTCGACGCCATTGTCTTGCTCCTCCTTGCAACTAGCCCTATAGTAAATCCTACGAACGAGCGAGCGACAATTGCAGATGCCACCGTTGCCAAACGCACAAGAAGAGTCATGACGTCCAGTTTCGACCATGACTCCCCCACAGAACCCCTCGCGACGCCTCCTTTGGCAGCATCATCCGCCGCCGTGAAGGTCCAGAAGACACGAATATCCTCCATGGAGGGCACGCCACTACCCCTTACCCAATCCGAGACTACCCTGCCCATACGAGACCGCCGGTCGCATCCGGCGGCGGCTTCTCTCTACGCCTCGACGTTGTCGCCTCCTGGTTCGCGCTCGCAGTCACCTGCTGGCCGCCCGGGCTCACGGTTTTCGTCAGGCACAGCCTCCATCTTCGGTACTGTGGGCTCGAACAATGCACGAGCGCTCATCGAAGGCGCAGGCGATAGCCCCGGCGATCCTTTGAACCTTCTTATGCATGCCTTGGCACCACATGTTGCCGTCTATGCATCTGACGATACCGAGCAACTTGTGAGAGAGAAGGGATTTGACCAAGGCCTGTGGCAACTTCTCCGACCCTTCGGCGAGCGCGTACAAGGCAAGGTCATCATCAGGGACAGTAATGGATCGAGCCGTGCATACGAGGACTATTCGATACACTTTGTCAGGTTTGGCAAGGGCATAGAACATCCCGAGCCAGCTGTGGGAGGACTTAAGACAAACAACACTGCAGGGGTGACTGGCACTGGAGAGAGAGTACACACATCAAGCCATGGAGCGAGGCTCGCAGACGTCGGCGCCGTCGTGAATCGGCATCTCGACTACGCGGAAGAGGCGGCCCCGAGCTCTTCACAAAGCCCAATAGCTACGAAACACGGCCTGGATATCGATATACCATCACCCTACTACTCACTATACCTGCGCCGCTTGTTGTCTGGATTGTCCATTGCGCCTCATGAATCGTTTGCTCATCCAGTCGCTTGTGTAATTGCAATTAGTTCACGTAATGCAGCTCCTATCGAGACGCTTAGGAAGTTGTATAACGATTCGAGCTCGGGAGACAAACGAATGCCAAACTGGGTCGATTCGGAATACTTGCGCTATTACGTTCTGGTACATGACGAGGAGAAGGATGACATCACTAAATCAATGTCATTGTTTGACCAGATGAAGCGAAATCTAGGTCTACACTGCCACCTACTCAGAATACGGGGAACCCACAGTGCTGCGACAGATGACGACAGCATACCATTGCCGACCAGTGAGTGGATGTCAGCTTCGGAGGAGCTGGCCAACATCCGAGAGCACGACGAACAGGGGGATTTCGATGATCTGACAAGATATATATTTGAGTCCGATGCTACCGCGATCCGAACTTTTATCCGAGAGATGGTCACACAATCTATAATTCCCACGATGGAGCGGCATGTGTCAGTTTGGAACGATCAGGTTGCGTCAAGGCGTCGAGGTGTCACGGGACGTCTAATGGGTCTTACCCGGCGTTGGGGTTTTGGAAGCAGCTCTAGTTCGAAAAGCAGCAGCCAGCCTTCCGGGAGTAATTACGATACCTTGGGTTTCTATCGTCAAGATACGCCAGAAGCCATCATGCGCAAGTTGGCCGATTATTCATTCATGCTTCGCGACTGGAAGCTCGCATACTCGACCTACGACCTCCTTCGGGGTGATTTCATGAACGACAAAGCCTGGAAGTACCATGCGGCTACAAATGAAATGGCTGCTCTGAGCTTGCTCATCATGCCCCAAAACTTGAACGCCAAGATGCGTGCTGAGACTATCGATACCATGTTTGAGGCGGCTTTCTATTCCTATGTTACCCGTTGCACCTCTCCTTACGGGGCAGTACGGTGTTTGACTCTCGGGGTTGAGCTCCTCCGTCTTCGAGGAGGATCAAGTATCGATGATGCTGCAAAATGGGGTGTGCGCCTTCTCGAGAGCAAGATTTTGGACCCCATTGGTGACGCTCTCATCAAGGAACGCCTAGCCGTTTGCTATGCCTCAAAGAGTGGTTTGGGCGCACAGAACCTAGGTAGTCGCAGACGGAAGTCGGCGCTATGGAGTATCCTTGGTGCAGATGCTTGGTTGTCACAAACGAAATACATTCAAGCCCAGCGTTGCCTCAACGAGGCGCGTAGGATGTACAGCGATCTACCAACGGACTATGGCATTGACAAGTTTGAGAAAGCAAGTGCATTTATGCTAGGCATCGGACAGCGCCTAAATGAGCAATTGGAGGCTGGCGAACATGGCCGGGACTCACTCGGCGATGACGATGAAACAGTGGACGAGGAAAGCGAAGTCCTGAATACAAGAGGTCGAAGAATGAGCCTAGCCGGCTATGCAGGTGCTCCAGTACCAACACTAGAGGCTGCGCCGCTTGGGAATACAATTTTAGGGCAAGAAGCAAATGACCAAAACCCGGATGACGACTTTGGATAAGTGGCAAGAATTATAGAAGAGATTGCATAGACCAAGCATACATGCAATAGAATACCAAATCAGTATGAATTTCAATCCTCTTGGTAATACACAAGTCACAGGAAAAGATGCGGCTCGGTTTTCGGGCTTAAAGGTATACCTATTTCACTACATCCACAGTGATTGTGATTGCTCAATGGCTTCATCAAGATCCTGTCGACGGTCCTTATTTGGATGATGATTTTGCTCGCTAAGTCAAGCAATCCCAATTATCACCACTGCAGTCAGCAACAACTCGCTTCTTGGTAGTCATCCAATCACAATGAATCGCTTGAATATCAGTGCTGCCAACGCTGAGTAATCCACCAACCCGGATTCAACCTTCGGATACACGCAGAGGCCGGCATCCAATCAAAAGCTGACGATAGCTTTGATCACCTTGTAAGCCATCCGCAAGCGAATTTCCCATGCTTTCCAGACCCCGCTGTAGCCTTACGAACCCCTGCAAAATCGGTTGTGGTAGGGATGCTAGAAATACTGAGCCCTGTTCAAAGAAGCAGGCTCGAGGCGTACTTATTAAGTGGACAATACACTGCGCCCGTTTCGGGTCCTTGTTGATGTACTCCAGGCATGCTATTGGTGAGCTGAGCATGAAATTGCGTGCAAAATGACATGATCTGGCATTGAACCTACTAGCTTCCGTCATCGATGGCCAGGAGGCTTCTACAAGACCCTCTCATGGTGAAGGGCTCCAAGGTATAAAGAGACTGAAAGTCTCGCACACTGAAGTAATTTACCTAATGCGCCTGAGAGACGGGTTAGTGACCGTCGCTCCACTTTTGTCTTACATTTCTACCAACCCAAACACCAGCCGAGCTCAGGCAATACAACGATAAGATGCCTCAGCCTGATGACAGAAAGGTCGTTGAGACCAGCAAGGCTATTCTCGAAACAATGCACGAGATATTTGGACCACAACCGAGTTTCCGACCTGGTGAGTAGCATGATATTATGGGTGAAATGGATAGCTTTTTGTCATAAAATCCTAATATGATCACTCAGCCCATGCCAAAGGCGTTCTCCTTAATGGAACTTTTACACCAACAGAGGCTGCCAAATTACTCTCCAAAGCACCACACTTCAACAATCCCTCAACCGCCATCCTAGCTCGCTTTTCCAACTCGACCGGTCTTCCTCAACTTCCTGACACAGATCCCAACGCCAACCCGCGCGGTTTTGCTATTCGGTTTAAGTTAGCAGAAACACCACGCCGCGTGCACACGGACATCATCACGCATTCAGTTGACGGATTTCCAGGAGCTGACGGACAGGAAGCCCTTGAATTCTTCAGTGCTATAAAGGAAAACAAGGTTCCCGAGCACCTAGCTTCACATCCCAATGCACTCGCATTTGTAACACTACCCAAACCGACCCCTACTAGTTTTGGCAAAGAGAAGTACTTTGGCGTCAACGCCTTCAAGTTTGTCTCCTCGGAGGGCAAGGAAACATTTGTTCGTTACCGTTTCCTGCCCCTTGCTGGCGAGGAGTACCTTGGCGACGCGGCACTCAAGGACAAGACTCCCAATTTCCTCTTCGACGAAGTTCCAGAAGTGCTCAAGAAGGGACCGATTGAGTTTACGTTGGCGGCTCAAATTGCCGAAGAAGGCGACATCACTGAGGACAACACTGCCAAGTGGCCGGCAGAGCGTGCGGTGGTTGAGCTGGGAAATATCAAGCTGAATAGTATTGCGGAGGGTCAGGTCGCTCAGCAGAAGCAAATCATCTTCGATCCCATCCCCCGTGTTGAGGGCATTGAGGCTTCGGACGATCCGCTCTTGCAGGTTAGAGCTAGCGTCTATTTGCTCAGTGGCAAGGAGAGGCGTGCTGCCTAGGGTGTACTTTTTGCTCTTGTGGAAACCGTGTATCGATGTGGAACTTGTATAGCTCGGTACACGATGGAGGTCGTTCTTTGCAGATCACGAGCTTTCTTGTAGTATGCCTTCAGAACTCTGTGTCTTTTTCGACGAGGCAGGTACCATTGATTGGTTCCGTCCCCGCAACGAAGCCTGGTTGTTAGCATGAATTTCGAGCACCGGAATTCAGACATTGATTTTCGAAGAAGTGGTTTCACTACCAGCCACGCCGTTGAAAGCAGGAACTAGTATAGTTGGCTTTGACTCCTGAAATCATGAGTATTGTTAAACTTGATCTTTTCAATAATATATTATGCTGTTGTCTTTTCTTGATAAGCATGGGTTCTTCTTCGATATTCTGGATACTTCTGTTCATCCCGTATAAACTAATAGAGGGTTTCACACCATGTTCGAAGCTACGTGAAGTCGTGTATCCACTGTCGGCCAAGATTGTCTCGTCGAAAGCCTGTGTAATGGTCTGAATATTATGTACACAGGAGACGAATTACTGGCTGTCTGTACAAGATGGCTACTATCGGTTCTACCTTTACTTCGAAATTCGATCGAATACGATATTACAACGTGCCAAATTATTACGACATCAAGAGGCATTGAAGTAACCAGAAGGCCATCATCACAACCAGCGGTGCTGTAGGTCGGCTCTTGGCTCAATCTACAAAGAATCTGCAATGCTAAAGTCATCTACTGACCGCTTCCCAGTCAGACATTAGCCGGGGCCTGATGGCACCACGTTTCAAAGGATGGCTGGATGACTTGTTCGAAAGCAACGACCAAGCTGGGCTTGAATTAGGTATTTCACCGTTCTCCGTATGCATAACTAGCGAGTGACTCTAAGCAGGCCAACACCATAGGCCCCAGTGCTACCTACCTTCATGCAGACGTAGCTGAGTACAACACGCAGGCTGCGACCGTTCTGACGGCATGGAAGGACTGAGGTCATATTGATGCGCTTCTAGCTAATGCCGGCACCATGGGCTGGTCGTCCATATACATCCTCTCGCATAAGTGACGTTGCCGCGGAAGACATCCCGCATGCGCCCGGCACGAGCTGTACAGACATTGACGACAAGGGATTCGCGTACGGTACGTTGATAGCGATTCATTTCCCATGCGCCACAACAGTCCAAAGTGCGGCATGATAGTCGGGACGGTAAGTGCGGCCGGTGTTTGCCCACACCCTACGTATGCTCAGTACAACGGCCGTGAAGGCGGGAATGATCAACGTTGTGCGTGGTTTCACGGATGTGTTGAAACTGGAAGGAGGGCATCGAGATCAACGTTGTGTGTCCCGGCCTCGTGGGCGACTGACAGCGCTCCGCCTGAGGTGGTCGTTACATTCGAGTAGAAGTACTTGACTCGGGTCCAAACCGTTGTGCAAGGTTACGGCCGCTTTTTTTATGAGTGTGATGAAAGGTACGGCGTTGCCGTAGAAGCTACGCTGGGTTAAATCATGCAGTTAGCTCCTTGGTTGATGGCAAACAGAAAGACGAGCACCAGAAGTGTTATGGTTCGGGATTCTTTATTCAAGCAGATGCATGGCGAAAATAGTGGACTACCAAGAGCAGTTCTGTAACTCATAGGAACTACGGTGATAGGTCCCCTGATTAATGCATTGGATCTGATATACTTCATCAGTTAATTTCTGTATCTGAAGACTGCTGTGGTCTCTTATATCAAATAGCATGTAGTCATCACAAGTCAGTAGAACTCAGTATGAGCGAGAATAGTGACAGTTATCTGGAGACGTTTGACGTTTATCACGCATGTCTAGTCTTCCTCCATGTCAACTAAGGCACGGAGAAACTGGATCAACACTTTTCTTCTAAAACTGTCTAAGCTACGCAAACGGGTGCGATGCGACAGTCTTTCCCTATAAGCCGTTTGCCATATGGCTTCAGAACATATGTTTCTGTTTCCCGAGCTGTCAACTTGTGTATAATACAATTCATCTCCCGTTTCTATTGACATCTTGCCACTAGTTGTTGTGCTGACAGGAAAGTTAACTTGAACCGTCAGCGATCACGATAAAGAATAAATCTATTGTGACCTTAAAGGTGACCATCAAAATCAGCTGTCTGCTCTCTATTACGGGATCCACAACTAGTAAGCTGAGCTGAGATCTAGGTTGTCAATGACAAACAATGGCTACAAAAGAACCTCACCGTGGATGCGAAAAAGAATTAAAAAATTCGCTTGATCAGATGAACGGTCGAAAAGAGACTTAGATCGACGGAGAGGAGGGACGGAATCCCCTTCGCAAGCTTGGGTTTCAGGCGGGAAGGTCTCTGCGAGCCGTGCTGTCAGCCTCCCTCTCACGATCTTGAACACTCGAAGCGCCTTTCCCCAAACTTTCGTCAAATCATCATCAGCCCGAACACAAATCTCACGCAACTTGCCCGAACAGCACGATTGGAGATGTGTTAGTTCGAGTATGATGCTCGGTCCCGAAACAGAAGGAAATCATCATAGCATTCGCGCACAGATGGTATTTCTCCTTTGTCTTCATTGTCGTCGACTTTTGCAACGAACTAAGTTAAATAGTGCCGAGCATATATCCTCGAGGCTGTCCCCTACAACAGTTACATGTAGCCCAAGTTACTCACGGGTACCTTGCCGTAGTCAAAATAAACCTTCGAGTCTATGATGGGTACCTTACTGCTGTGAGGAGGAAAGCTTTTATGCTATGCCCACGATGTGATGATGATGGTGCGTACAAGCTCTAGCTTTTCGCACGCAGCACGGGCTATCTAACTTAGTGCCTCTGAGTTCGTGGCCCCTGATAACTTACGGGTTAAGGTTCATGAAGACCGAACCTTGACGATTTTAATATCTACTTTCGATTAGAGTGAACATGCTTGTTTCAAAATAGGACAGGTTTAGTCTAACAGGCGTGCGGAGCGTGGCAATCGGATATGCAATGACCCATTCAAGCACTGCTATCTTAATTGGAAGCATAAATCTTAACAGAACCGGCTAGTCGCTGGCTTTTCAGTTCAAGCCATCGTGCAGGAGACATGAGCTGGCACCTACTTAGTAAGAGCCTCGGCGTGTGAGTTGGCGCCATCACCGGAGTTTCCCAGAAAAAGCAATGAAGACGGCCCCCAAAAAGATCAACTTCGCAGGCGCCTCCCCATATCAGGATGGTCAGGTGACCCCTGCATAAGCTCGCCAATAGACACACGCGGAAAGCGAATTCTGTCTGAGATTTCCTGCGTGGACCCGCGACTGGGGCTTCATCAGCGCCATGGAGCCAGCCCTCCATTGTTGCGAAGACTTTTGTCGGGCTCAAAGCAGGTCTTCCGAAGGGGCCGCAAGCTCTGTTGTTCCTAATCAGACGTGAATGCCACAAAAGAATTCACTTTGTGGCACAAAACCATAGCAACACTGCAAAAGGAGGTCCATCTTTCCGCAATTTTGCAGCTGCGGTGTCGTGGCTGACAGGGATAGGTTGCAATTCCCCGTAAGATCAAGCACCGCCTGATCCAGATCTAGCGATCCATGAGGGCCCTCAATGACGACGGCTACTTGCAGTCTCTCGCATCAAAGTCTACCAAGGAGATGGCCCCAAATACCGATGCTTACGTCGAGAAATTGTGTTACAGCGAGGGAACAATTATCGTAAAAGCTGGTCGTTATGGCGAACAGCGCAAGGCATAGGGGTACTTGCACAGTAACGAGCGCGTAAAGCAGCGGATGTGACGATAAGCAGACAATCGAAGCGGGAGACGTTGATCATTCCACGAGACTCCAAGACTGTCAGATGAGAGTAAACTCATTTCTAGGTGCCAGCTAGTCACGGGCCATCGACACATCGTGGAATATGTCCATTTGCTTCACATCGGGGATTGCGATCAACAACGAACAGCTAATGTTTGTGTTGAGAGTTGACGGAGCCGCTTTTTGACAGTTTTGATCACCTATAGCCAAACTCAAAAGACATGACCATCTCGGTCTTGTGAGATTGCTAGCCGGTCTTTTAGAGGAAGTACACCACCATGCTTTGTATATTACAGACACACGTTGTCCTAGTCTGCTTTGTCTGACCCAGCGGGCAACTGCAGAAGAGCGATAATGGATGTTGTCTCTTCTAGTTCCGCATACTCGGTAACCTAATTAGAACCAATCGATTGAGGTCACATTGCATAACCATGGCCTTGGTGTTGTCTCTGACTGGATTGCCGCAATGTTGGCTTTTGCATCCGTTATGCTGCAGGACTACACGACGAGGGCAAAACGTCACGTAAGCATGAAGTATACGATTAAACGACTTCGATTGATACAAAAAGTTGCGAGTCAGAATCGGAAAAACTTTTGAGTGGCTGAATCGTCATACGAGATGCATATGACCGGTGGACTACATGACTTCCAATAGCAACCATTTAAGGCGAATGCTGACCCGTGGGACATCGGATTGCCGAAGTGGAGCATATCGTAGATGTGCTAGGCCTACATTACGCTGTCCTTGAACTATTGCTATCCAGGGTCATTTTTATTGGGCCAAGGTAGGCTCGTTCGGTGTGTCCCGGGATTGATACCTCACTAAACCAACCGCCGCCACCACCTTTCCCATATCGTTTCTAGAACTTCTTCCAATTTATTGAATAGGCTCTGATTTGAGACACGAATTTGACAAAACCGGTTTATTTTACAGGCGAGTTCTACGCCGTGGTACACGTAAGCTTGGGCCCCAAAGATAGGAGGCCGCCACAAAATTTCCTCGAAGAATACCTTGAGAAATACTCAAGCATGTTTGTTACGCAGTTACACTGCAGCGCATAATGTCTCTTACGGGCGTAAATACAAACGAGTGTGATCGTGACACACCGCATTGCTGCAGGATCGAAAACAATACCAAGATGAGGTACATAAGACGGGTATATGCTCCAGACACGCAAATTGGTGGCACAAGCGAATCCGTATGAAGTTATGGAAGAGAGAGCATGTGTAGATATTGATGT